ACTTTAATGAGTATAGAATATGAAAAAGCTGACAAAAAAATATAATAATAAAATTTGTCTCTATTTTTTTCCTGTGCATTACAAAAAGCTCCTGCGCGAGAGCCTCATCCGCTTATCAGGTTGAATTATCAAAAGAGAGGGAACTTTGAGTTAAAATCTGATCACAACACAACAAAAGTGAAAATTTCCCTCGCTCAAAAAAGATAAAAAAGACTTAATAATTACTCCGTGGTTTGTGTTTCGAGCTCTATGCGCTGCTCGAAAGTAAATTAATTGAGCTCGAAAAAATTCAGATATTTTCAAAGACCTTATCAAGACTGTTGATTTATTCTGAGAGTTTCAAAGAGAGAAAACCTTTTTGAGCGTCTATACGGTAACCCAACTTTATAAAAAACTTGCAAAAAGTTTATAAGGCTTATTTTCGAAAAACTTCACAACACAACAAAATAAGCGAAGAAGTTGTTAATTTTCATAAGGAAAATGTTGAATGCTCAGAAAACTTTAGTTAATATGAATTTTTTCGAGAAAATCCAAAGATTAGACTCTAGAAACATCATCCGTATTAGGCTCAAGTTTGGGGCTCACAACAGAAAAATCCAAAAATCGAAAATTAAAAGGTGTAAGTCTCTTTCAGATATTTTTTTTAACATGGAGTCCATTTTAAAAAAGAGAGAAGACAAGAAAGTCGAGAGGCTTGCGAGACGCAGAGATGCAAAGTAAGGGACAGATAAGTTTGATATTTTTGCTCACTTCGATCAAACCTTCAAAAAGCAGAGTGAAAAAACCTGAACCTTGGGAAAGAAAATTGAGTATTTATGCTCTGTGAGGACCTCGTGGCCCCGAAAAATTGGCCTAATCTTAGCGATCTTGGATGTCGACAATCTGCCGTCACTCCTGTGCTCGATGCTCTTCCTTATTTGACTAATACTCGCCAAGAAGTGATGTAGTGGCCAATTTAGGGAAAAACAAACAGCTACGCAACAGTTGGGCTAATCAAGTTCGAGGAGAAGCTTATTTATTAGGGTCAAGCTCCAGAAACCCCAGCACTAGAGTGTCTTTAGGTTACAGAAAAGTTTAAATTTGAGAAAGTCTGTCTTTACCCAAAGCGGAAGTTTAAAGAAAGAAAGAAAATTCCAAACAACTTTAAAGTAGCAATCCGTTTTTTTTAAGGTTGACAGGATAAGTCCACACTCGACTCCTAGACGAACAGCAAAGATAAGTTGGAATCAGGTTAATTCTAAATATAGTCTGTGTGCCACGACTTGAAATTTCACGGAACGACATTCCGTTGTTCCGCTGCGTGCGTTCGTGAAGCGTCTTTCGAATCTAGGTCACGCTTTCAATTGATTGTTATTGCTGTGAGAGCACAGGAAAGTAGAGTACCTTGATAAAAAGAAAAAAAAATTTAAATCGCGACAAAGGTTCGCTAGGCGCGCAACGACACAGCGGAATGTCGTTCCGTGAAATTTGAAGTCGTTGTACACAGACTATATCTTACTGTAAATACAGTGCGGGACAAAACTATAAGACCCCCTGGTTTTTCAAGTTTTTGGAAAAGGCAGATGTCCTAGAAAAAAATTGTTAATGTCAATAGATTTTGCATCTTTGAAAACCTACGCTTACCAACTTTGGTCTCTGTCGGTTGCCGTTGAAGCGAATGAGAAAGGAAAAACGAAAAATCAGGTGGGACAAAACTATAAGACCCCTCTACTTTTTGATTAAAAATCAAACTTTTACCCAGAATCACTTTTCACTGTTCCAATAAATTTCTGTTCATAACAACTTTTGAGCATCTTTCAGCTGCGGTTGAACTTCTTTTCAATTTGAGAAATCTACGAAATTTGTTTTTAAATTTTTTTGAATTTTTTTGATTTCTTGGAGACTTTGGGCATTCTGGCTGTTTCGTTTCAGAGAGCAGCCAGAAATTATGTTACATTACTGAAGGTTAAACATTTGAGAATGATTTTATAGCAGAAAAACCCGATCAAAAAGTTTGAAAGACTCGAAAAATATGACTTTTTGATGATCAAAACCGTCATTCTATCGGGTTGAGGCTGAAATTCCAAGTATTACTCCATGAGATGATACTCGACAAAGAAGAATTAGTCTTGGCATGTACTTAAGAAACTTCAGCTTCTCATCGGATACAATTTGAAGTCTAAAGGCACACTATTTAGTTTGCTAACAAGTGTTTTTAAAAAGTCCTTTGGTTCACTTTGATGGTCTTTTTCAGAAACTAACTTTTTTTTGTTTTATTTTTTTATTTGCGCTCTGAATTGTTTCCAACCATTAATAGAGCAACATGTACACAATTCAAAAAAATTTTTGAAAAATTTTGAAATTATATAAAATTAAAAAAATCGTTTTATGGGTCGGTTAACTTTTTTTCCATTATTGACGTCAATCAAAATGGGTAAAGGCTGAAAGCGAACAAAATATTTTTTTCCCTCGGTTTTTTTCGCATCAGTTTTATTTGAAACGTTCTTAAACACGTTTCCAGCTTATTTGGAGCTTCATTAGCATGTGTATCATGTAGTAATACTTGGAATTTCAGCCTCAACCCGATAGAATGACGGTTTTGATCATCAAATAGTCATATTTTTCGAGTCTTTCAAACTTTTTGATCGGGTTTTTTTGCTATAAAATCATTCTCAAATGTTTAACCTTCAGTAATGTAACATAATTTCTGGTTGCTCTCTGAAACGAAACAGCCAGAAAGCCCAAAGTTTCCAAAGAACAAAAATTCAAAATTTAAAACAAATTTCGTAGATTTCTCAAATTGAAAAGAAGTTCAACCGCAGCTGAAAGATGCTCAAAGTTGTTATGAACAGAAATTTATTGGAACAGTGGAAGTGATTCTGGGTAAAAGTTTGATTTTAATCAAAAAATAGAGGGGGTCTTATAGTTTTGTCCCACCTGATTTTTCGTTTTTCCTTTCTCATTCGCTTCAACGGCAACCGACAGAGACCAAAGTTGGTAAGCGTAGGTTTTCAAATACGCAAAATCTATTGACATTAACAATTTTTTTCTAGGACATCTGCCTTTTCCAAAAACTTGAAAAACCAGGGGGGGTCTTATAGTTTTGTCCCGCACTGTATCAACGACTCTCAAAACTGGACTTCCTGAACTTACAACGTCCGAAAATTTTTCAGAGTTCGTTGATTGAAAAATATTATCTTGGTTTGATGCCGCGTTCATAGTGATCTACCAAAATTCAAAGTTACTTTCAGAGAACTGAAAAAAAAACACAATTTGAAAGAGCACTTTGAACACGGGATAAAAGAAACAATTCGCTTCATTCTCCTCAAAACAACGAGCTGATCCAAACAAACATATTTCTAGTAAGAAAAAAAAACGAGGAATCGGAAGAAAAGTGCCCGACTTCCGTTTTGGTGAAAAAAAAGTGCATTTATATGTAGGACACAACCCGTTTTTGATGCGAAAGTGACGTCAATCGGGTCCAGCTCATGAGCTGAAACCCACACAAGCTCCGCCCACTCGAAATAACCGAATTACGGACGGATCCGAGCAGATATCTTTGTAAGCGTAGCCTGATCATTACGGAGCAAATTGCATTAGGCTCATACGTCTTTTTTATTTTGAGCCATCCGTTCAGAGTATTATAAATGAGCGAGTGGCTGTGAATAGATATAATTCCTTCGACAAGTCTCAAATTATTTTGGTCGCATACAGAATGGAATGTCTCAACGCGTTGCGGCTCAATTTTTAAATCTTTCCCGTCGAAGCCACACGAAAAACGAAAGTTTTCGAATAAGACATGAAATAAAGGGTTTTGGAACTCCTTTAATCAATTAATTTCATCGCAGCATAGCACTTATGAAGGATATTTTTTTAAAGGAGACATGAAATTAAAATTTCGGATTGGATTAAGAAAAAAATAAAGAGGTTATAATCCAAAAAAAAAAAAGGGAAAAAAAAGTTAAAGGATAAAGAATTGTTTGAAAAAACGAGAAAGAAACAATCAATGATAGGAGGAAAAAGAAGTATGTGTGGGAAAAGGAACACTTGATCTTGATAGCTGAGATTAGAATTGACGACCAGATCAGAATTGATCTACAAGCACTTTTCGATACTTTTGTCCAACTATTCAGTGTGCGTCTATTTGTCTTCCATAACATTTAGTAACCCAACCGATCGCTTTCCTTTGTCATTGCTTTCTATCAGTTTTCCCAGATCATTGACTTTAAACGTTTTTAAAGCAAGTCATTAATTTGCGGTTTGCATTTTTCTACGAACTCGCTTAAAAACTCTCTAAAGGTCTAGATGAAGAGACCATGAAAGATCTTCATCTAGACCATCAGAGAGTGTTTGAGCAAATTAATGGAAGATTCCAAGGCGCAAAGTGACTTTTCTTCTATGGAAATGAAGATTTAGAAGGAACCGTTCTGAATTCCAGAAGTTTTTTGATTGGAGTTTGAGAAATATCAATCTTCCTGTTTATCTACCGTTCATTTTCCTTTCTCTGTTGCAGCAATCGTCATTTCTCTGCAAGTCCAGTGAGTTCACACGTTGACCGGAGTAATTTCTGTGCGAAGAGCAGTTCTGGAAGAAGAAAAAGCGCTCTAATTAGATCTGGCTGGTCTCCTCCGGAAGGCCCCCCACGTAACTGACGTCAGCCGAAATATAAACGAATAAAACTCTCCATTATGCCTCGGTTAACTGCGATAATTGGCCCCAATTTATTGTTTAATTAGTGGGATGATGTAGTTTTGAAATTATTGTTTTTTAGTCAACACAGAGAATGAATTTGAGGGCGATTTTTTGAGAATGAACATTTTATTCAGTTTCGGACAATAGATAATGACAATTTATGGAGATTTACGATTCTCCTAAAATTTGTAAGTTTTGAGTTAAAGTATCAAAAATGAACTCAAACGGAAGAGAAACCAATCGACCTGTATTATGTGGGTTAGAACCATTTTTTTGGTTTTATAATTTCAAAGAAAAAAAGCATACAGTAAATATATTAGGATTTTTTTCTACCAAGCGACAGGTAGCGATGGAGGTACTTCATTCATTTCGCAGTAGTCTGAAAAACCGTCTGAATTTATTTTTTTCTATGGTAAAAATATCTACTAACTGAAAAAAACCGCTCATTATTTTCATGTTTTTTTCATAATGACTTGCTGAAATTCTGAAGGATCAAAAAGTCTTAAATGAACTGAAATAATCTGGAAAAACGTTTCTTCCTCTCGAGACCTTTGCAAAGTTTTTTACTGCACTTTCAAAAACGATCACAAACATTTTTAACAATCATATTTTCCCATTATACGACCTTTTCTTTTTTAATTCTAGTTTTCAGCTATGAACGAACTGAAATTCGTTCAACAAGATTCAAAACTTCATTGATATCGTCTATATTGTCGTTTCTCCTCAAACAGTGGATCGTACGGCCTTTTCTCCTGGTATTGCCTTACCTGGCTTCATCATGTAGGGATAGGAATAGTTCAAGTAATGGATCGCGCCACCTGGCGGCAGACAGTTTGTAGGGATATTCTGCATCGGACCTCCTGGATCGATATATAAGAATTGAATTGGGAACTCTGAAAACCTATCGAATGTGTGAGGGGAACGGATCCGGTGCCGATGTGGCTTCGCCAGAGGTTGAAAGAGGCCTGGAGGCCGTAGCCGTTCTTCTCGTCGAAGATGCTCACGCCGAACAGCTTGCAGTCGTCTTGTTTCATTTAAAGACAGTTTATGATTCAAGTTAACACTGGAGAGTTTGCTTCTTCAAGACCCAACGTATTTTCATCCATTTTCCTTCCCCAACTCCAATCCAAGAGAACATATTGTTCGCGAGCGGTCGGGCCGGTCAAGTTTAATGAAAACTTTTTTTCAAACAACTTTTTATTTATGTATAAATAGTCGCGGTATCAGCACGAGTTGTGCTGAAATTTCTAATTAACTTTTTTTTCATTCACCTTTTTTCATTTTACCTCGTGAATGAAAACTGAAAATCACTTTCGAGACTGTAGTTTAAAAGTTTCAAAAACCTAATCAAAAACACGGTATAAGTAGCCGTTCCAAGCATAAAACATGAACTTTACAATTCAGTTCTCGTTAATTTGATTTAATTTTCTTAAAATTTGTAATGTTTTTTTAGAATGTATTTTTTTAGACAAAAAACAATCAAAGTCACCGCTTCAAGAAAGTTTTTTTGTGATACTCAAGAAGTTTACAAAACGTCACAAACATCGAAGTTCTCATTTAAAAAAATGATTAAAACTCGTTTGAAGTATATTTTCCATAGTGTCTCCAGATGAAAATACCTGATCGAGAAACTTGATATAGTCGGTGGCGATCCGCAGAGTGTGTATCTTTGCTCATTTTGTCGGACGGCATCGAAGGAATCAGCTTTCGGAGAAGTGCGAACGCGTCGTTCAATTCCTGCAATTGAGATGTTTTATTCGTGAAATCCGGGGTATTTCACTCATTACGGGCACCTATCCATCACTCGCAACCTCAGGAACCGTGTTAAAAGGGCCAAGTTACGCGGTTCTCCTCCGAGGCTGCCAGAGACATAACTCAGGCCTGCCGAAGCGTGGGAACCGTGCGGTAAAACTTGGCTCGGCGGCAGATGGCCCAATTTTCAGAGTTTCGTTCGGATATTTTCCCATATTCTTTTCATTTAAATGCCTTAAATGAAAAAATGTGAAAAGAAATAACAATCAAAAAAGAATTCTGACCCTTTCAACTTTTGTTCCGACTAAATGATATTTTCAAGTAATATCGAACATTCCTTGAAGGTGAGTGTCATACGAATTTTAAAACGTTTAGTTCATATTGAAATATTAGTTGGAAAAAGCCCTCAGTTTTCAGTTGAGGCCAGGGATAATTTGAACTGAGATCTAAAAATAAGCGAAAATCAGAAGTAGTTCATGCTTCAATTGAACCAAAAAAAGATCTTCGTGCCAAACCAAAAGAAGGCAAGTTTTGTGAGTACTATTCCGACAAATTGGTAACAAAAAGCGAGATCTCGCCCCAACTTGTTGTTTTTCTCATCATATGCGCACCTGTGCAGCGAGGTTGTTTGGTAACGGACACCGAGTCGTTTCTTGACAGTTACCCAATACCCGTGAACCCGCTAATCCGTGCGATACAGCAAGTGTGCCCTGGTGAACGGAGGAGGATCCACCGTAGCTCTGCGGAGTGACCGGCCGACCGCGAGAAACGCCGCCAAAAGTTTACAGCTTCGTCGTAAACGATCATTTTCTCAGGCGCAGAGTTCCAGCTTGAATATTGGGACACTCGCGTTGTAAAATGCGGACTCGCATTAGTCAAAGGATTCTGTACCGCCTAGCTTTCTCGCAATTTGTAACGTTATCAGTCGGTATTGACAGGTTTTTTTTTGAATATCATTGTTTTCAAATTCAAGTGACCAGAGTTGAGCGGAAAGTTCAATAACTACTTAACATTTTTTTTCGAACAACATAAATTATCTTAAAAAGATTTTGATTCGAAAAAGAACGGCTTGAAAAAAAGAAAGAAAGCTTGAGTTATGTGAATAACACTGACCAAACCAGACAAAAAAAGCTAGAACTTTTATCAGCTAATGCCTTAGTTTTAACGGTTTCGAGAAGAAATTTCTTTTTTCCAAAAAATTTTCAGGAAAACATTCTTTATCCGTCCATAAAACCTTCCAGCGCGAGTGTGCAGGATGAGAAAAAGTAATAAATTGAGAATAGGTGCATTTTTTTCCCTTAAGAATTAGTCTAAATAATGTTTGAGGAAAAAAACATACTCCTAACTTGAAAAAGAAAAATCTTTTTGGTTTGAATAAAGCCTTTATTACTTCAAATTCACGCCTTTTTTTCAGGTCTTCATTTTATTTTTTTTTATTTTTTTGGAGGTTTATCAATTAAAAAGGATGTACGGCGCCCCTTTAATCAAATTATATAAAACTGAAGTTTAGAACTTCTCGAAGTTGATCCCCACTAATGGAGGTAGAAGATTTTGAGTAAAAGGGTTGAAAAGAAAAAGGCCGGGAGCTCCAGAGCCAAATTAATTTCTTTGAAACTTCAGCAAAAAACATGGGAAAGTGGAACGTTTTCTAATTATTCAGACTTCACTTGTCATTGTTAAAGAAATCAATTTTTACATTTTTAAAGAAAATTTTTCAGTTAAAGAAAAAAAATTTTCACGCAAGGAGAAGTTACGAAAAAGCTTACTTGAGAGCCTCACCATTATTCAGAGAATAACATCGTTATTTGTATCGTTCTTTTGAAGTACGTAAGAGAATCGTACCTTTGTCCTTTGTCTTTCCCTGCGATTGGCGCAAACCCGTTGAACTTGCGACTCTTCTTCGTTGCGCGAAGTTTTCCGTGATCCCCGTTTCTTAGCTGCCATTTGTACCCGAAGCTCTTCAAATAACACTTTTGTTGATGGGATAACCTCTGAAATGTGAAAAAAAATAAACCAAATTATTCAAAACTTGAAAAGACGTTGATAGAATTTCGGCACTTGTGTTTTTAATTTCTTCAAAACCTAAGGAAAAGAGAGCATAAACAAGCTAGACACTGTTTCAAGTAACAGAAAATGAGAAAAAGTAGAAGAATCACTGATTATTCGAAATAACAAAAGCGACGACCTTAAGTTTTTTAAAATTGACCAGGAAATATGCAGTGAAGTATAGAAAGATGATCAACGCAAATAGGAATTGTTAACCAAAACTTTGTTCAGTTTGGTCAAATCTCAATGGCAAGTTTTCTTCATTTTTCGCAGTTCACTTCAAAAATTGAAGCCCCACCGAAAGTTCTCCACGACTTCTTAATTTTCAAAAAAACTTCTATGATTAATGAAATTCCTAACTAATTCGCGGATTTTATACAATACCCAAGCATTCCTACCAAATTTCTTTTATCTACGAATATTCTGATTTGACAGTTCACCTCGAAAAAAAAATATAGTGTATTTGAATTCAGAAAGATGTGTAACTTTTGATAAAAACTTTTGGGAATCAATATGTACCAGGAGAAAAAAAAAAGAAGAAAGCGATTAAGCACAGGATGAGCAACTCGGAAAAAGCTCGGCAGAGCCATCTGGTCGCTTCCAACAATAACTCGGCTACCGTAGACTTTGGGAGAAGCTCCTCCGGATGGGCGGAGCCTAGCACAGCCTTCTTTTTTCTATTCTTTCTCTTGAACTCGTGCTATTTTCAAAACGTTATAAGAGCATATTCTGAATCACAAAGTTATAGTGAGCTTTTCCTGAAGTATTTTCGAGAATTTTCGATTGATAAGAATGTGATTTTTTATGTTACCTGTTTCAAAATCGAACTTTGAGCTGCTACTGCGGTGATGCTATTTTTTCGTTATTATTATTTTTCATTTGAAATTTTAGCCACAAATCAAATCTGCGCAAAAAAATCCGAACATTTTCTTGCTTTTACTAATTTTCAGCATGACTCAAAAGTTAAGTTTCATCAATTTTTCTCGGTTTCGATCATAATATTTTTTTTCGTTTGAAATAATAAAACTCTTTCGCATTGGTTTCGAAACAAGATATCTAAATTCATCATGTTTCGAAACTATTTTTCCAGTCTTTCCTCGTGAGAAGCGACTTTTCGACTCTTTTGTGTGGCGACCGTCGTGCCAGCTGATTTACGGCTCATTTTTCGACGAGTCGAGTCAGTCGAAATTTCGAATTTACGCGCCTATTCGAACTTTTCTTTCATTCGTTTCAAACTTTATTAATTTATAAACATCAAAATAGTTATCTCTCAATAACGGTGGCCGGTTTTCGGTAGTAAGCGAAAATCTCGGACGTCAGGAAACAAATCGCGAGTTGCGCTGGAATGATTAGTTTTTATCTTGAATACCAAAGTAAATCTCACGAATGATAACGGCAATTTCAAACGTGGTCATTGTGATGTAGTAGGTTTTCAGTCGCCAGTGGAACGATCGAGGGTATTCTGAATAATTTGAACAATTTATCAGTTCCCAATTTCGAGAGTGTGGAAAAGAACCTAAGATTATAGTGAGAATACAGTAGACGGCTCCAGCTATGCATCCGATCAGCATCAAAATCTGCAATTTTAAAAAAAGTTTTTGGGGTTTCAAAATCGGTAAAACAGTTAGAAAAATATTTTTTTCAAAAATTCCAAAATATATTTCTGAAAAACTTTATCAAAAATTTTATCATTATATTTAATGGTGATATACTTTTTTCGCCGCGACTTTAAATCGTCTGGTGTCTCTGTCCCTCTTGATCTCCCAGCGAAGTTCTTTCTCTCAAACTATTTTGTCGAGAGAACATCAAGAAAATCAAGAGAACAGACAAGTTAGACTGTCTCCTTTCATGGAAAATGAGGTTCAAATCTCTCGTTTGACACGGAAAACGAAAGAAATAAGAGAAAACTTTAAATCATGAAGAAAGGAAAAATGATCGTGGAAACAAACTGATAAGGAGAGAGCGATGGCAAGAAGCCAACTGCTCTGCTTCACAAGTCCAAAAATGGTCACCAAAATTGCGACGACCTGAAAAACGCGACGTTGAATTTTAAAAAAATCCTGGGGCAGAGCTTACATTGAAACCGTGGAGAAGAATAAAAAACCAATGTTTCTCAAAAATAATGTGAAGAACCAAGGCGACAAGCGAGAACAACAAAGATATTGCGCACAGAAGATACAGCAAAGTCTGAACAGAAAAAAAAAAATCATTTGGGGAGTTTTTTTTGAAACCTTTGAATTGAGTCCGCAGCATTTCGGTTTATCAACCTGAAATAGCAGAAATTTATACACATGTGGATGTTAGATATTTTTTTATATTAAATCTGTGTCGTTAATCTATTTCGCTCGGCAAGTTTTTAAAGGAGAAAACTACTTAGAAAATAAAAATAAAAATTTTTTAACCCATAATTAGTGGGGTTGCGTTGTGATTCGACTTTTTTTTTAGCAGCAGTACATGAACTCTAACAAAAGGTGCGGTGAACCCCGCGATGAACTTTCCTGTACAGCCCGCAGCCTATCGAGGGGTGCACCCAATCGCGCTGAGTTCAACGAGGGGTGCACGCCGATGGCCGGTTCAACGCGGGGTGCACCGCAATTTTTGTTAGAGAATTTGAGCTGAAATACATAATGCATACCGTAACGACGACTCGAGAACAACTCCAGCTTCTGCAGTCGTCGTTGACGGTGACGGTGACCGGTCGGATGTGGTGGCGCGTCATCACAAAGTTCTGAAGACTTCAGAACCGTACGGCGAAACGGACGAGAGGCGGTTCGGCCGTGCGTCATTCCTCTCCGCTTTTGTGCTTACAGGAAACTTCATCGGACCCTGAAAAGGGTTGCTATAACCATGACTAAACTGTGAGTTCCTTCAAATAACGTGTGCGGTTTTGATTTCGGAAAAATATATAAGAATCCTTTTATATAGAGAAGAAACGCTTTTTCACGGTGGCTCAAGGCGCGAGAGCGCGTGAAAATTTTGAAATTTCCAAAAACAACAAAATATATTTTCAATACTTTCCAGATTTTTTCTAGAAGTATTCTACGATGTCTGAAGCCAGCGGCTATGTTACCAAGCTTTGAAAAAGTTACGCACCAGAAATAACATTCTAAATTCTATGAAAGCTTACGACTAGTCGCCGCGACTGATTCACGGCTAGCTTGAGCCGTATAAAAAAGGTTCTGACATGATAATGACCGAGACAGTGCCTGGCTCGTGGAGAGCGCAGTCAGGCCACGCCCTTTTAGCGTCACAAGTTAGCCGTGAATCGGGTATATATATATATATATATATTGTTTTTCGTTTGGATAACTTATTTGAGAAATCAACATTTGCGCGTGGGGTTTAATACCTGCGTACAAAAACAGCGGATCACACAGAGGGCAAAAAAATTTCCAAATTTTTCGGCTCTGGTAATTGTGTTTCTGCATACTTTCCTTCACACTGAGCTTATTTTCAATCAAGATAATTTCGAGGAATAGCTGTTGAGCTTTGTAGGGAAAGCTTCTTTCATGTTGGCCTTCATGAGCAATTTCGGAATCGTAAATAACTAATTTTCTCAGGTTCAAATGTTTTTTTAAGCCTGAATATAGTAGTAAAAACGCTCAAGTTACTATTCGAAGATGACAAAAAGATTTCCTCTAGAAGCATTAATTCGTTTTTTTTTTTGAATCCTTATATGCATCGCCCGAATTGACAATATTTGAACTGATTCTCGTTCGCTCAAACTCTCAATGAAGCCTTTGGAATTGCTGAAACTTAGCCAAACGATGGAGGAACATCGATGGATCATTAGTCGAAAAGAGAAGAAACGCGCGGAAGATCGATGACGATTTGTGTGGAATGGCCCCCCGTAACGTCAACAATTCGAACGTCTTGCCAGATGTGCAGACTTGGTACGTCTTCCGCTGTTTTGCTGAATCTAGTGAAACCTACCTTTTCAACTTAACTTTCTATATTTTATTTTTTTGTGACCACGAGAAAACTACACAAAAAAAGCATATAAATATTTATTTCGTCTTTTCTCTTTTCGTTTTTCAACACAACCGTGTACAATATGTTTGACCAAGGAAAAAATTAAAACGAAGTGACACAAGCTCGACGATTGGAATCAGAGCGTTTGGTTTTTGTTCGATTTCACCCATAACTTACTCGGGAAAAAAAAAGCGGCTACCACCTTGTCGATGTAAAATTCGTACCAAAAAAAATTAGGAAAAGTCATGTAGAAAAAATCAATTTTACAACCGATGTGTGTGCGATATGGTTCGACAGAGTAAGGCACCTATGAAGCTCCAAAATTTGCGCAAAAACTTTGACAAAAAACTTTCGAGCTTCCATATAGGCTTCAGGAAAAAAGAATTTAGAATAAAAACATAAATAAAGAGGAATGAGTTGAAAAATATCCGTCGGAAGCACGTGAAGCTCTACCCGTCAACAAGTTAAAAGTTGCAAGCAAAACTTTGGGTGAGTTGGCAAAAATCGAGTTCCTAAAAGCTTTGAAAACATGCAAAACAATAGCTACAAGAAGAACTAGTCAATGGAGATAAATAAGACCTAGCAATATTCCACAAATAATAAGTTTGAATTCAAGCCGAGAGACATTTCGGAGATTCCAGGAATCCGGCTGACAAGAAAGTTTACAAAAAGCGACAGAGCATAGAAAACTGAACAACAAGAAGAAATATATATACTTGAAACATATGACACATGAAAATGAAGAGAATCATGAGGACTGCCTTGAATGGCAGGAATGAAAAACGTTGAGAAAACGTTGAAACAACAAGCGTCACCGACGGATCACCATTGGATTATTAAGAGAATTGGATGAAGTTGGCAGAACCGGCTGGTTGGACTGAAAAAAACGAAAATTAATCATCGGAAGACTTCAGTCAATTACATCGACCAAAACATTGAGACCAGTTGCAAATTAAACACGAACATTGGCTCGAGGCGACGTCCTGGCGCTTCTCGGCGACAAGGCCGACGGGAGCTGTGGTCGCGGCGGCGGCAGACTTCTCGAGGGCTTCGGCGAGTTGGCTTGTGAAGGCTGTCGTTGAACGCCGGCGGCGATCGCTGCTGCGACAGGATCGTCGCGAGACACGCGTTCGATGACGCGTCGCTCGAGTTCCTCGTCCCTGAGGTAGTCGGTGTTGCCGCGGCCGTTACGACCCGTGCTCAGAAGTTCTTCGTGCATCGCCAGCCAACATTTGCGGTTGGCGCGAATCGCCTCGTACGTCGGCACGCCCTCAGGCACCAGTCGCGACAGCATGCTGAACAGTGCTGGTTGAAAATTTGTCAAAAAGCAATTCATATTCGGAATTGATTAGAATCTTCTAGAAAGCAGAAATTTCTATTTTTTGCGCTGTTGACTAAAACTTTTTTTTCCTCACAAACTATAACCTTGCGAATTTTTGGATCTTGATGCATCAAGGTACGTTGTACAAAAATGGTTATAACAACACTTCCAGCGAGATTTTCAGAACTTACTCAAAGACGGGCACTCCGATATTGTCCATGAACTCGACTTGGATCTGTGGAACGTAGGCTCGTCGTCGGTCCATCATCTCTGCCGGCTGATGGCCCAGCTGCAGCTCGAGGTCCCCCTGAGCGAAGAACTCCGAGTAGATGTTCTCGGCGATCGACTTGGAGTTGTGGAAGTTCTTGGACTGGTCTGAGAGATCCGAGGCGGTCATCACGAGGCACGAGAACAGGTAATGATGGTCCGACGACATCAGGTCAAAACCTTCGCCCACGCCACGTTTCGTTGCCTCGACATCTGAACCAACTAATTTCCCTTCTTGATCAGCTCCGAGACCACGGACCATTGACCATTTGCCTGATGCGAGACGCTTTGTTGAGATGGGCAGCGATGTCCGTGGCGAGGATGACGTCGCGGATCTGGCTCAGCACCGACTTGTACTGCAGAGTCGTCAACTGTTCCAGGACATTGCAGTCGGACATCTGCAGATACATTACTTTTGCTAACCAATGGATGCCGTTTTCTGATTCACGAAATCTACTTGTATTCTGTGTTAATCAAACAGCTCGATTTATAACGACAATACAGCGTCCAAACTTTGAAGCATCAAACCTCGAAAACGAGAACTATTACGAGAAGTTCAGTTTGTATTCTTGAAAGAGGAGGTCTTATAGTACATTTAAGCAAAGTTTCATAAAAAGTTCAATCGGCCATCAAAAACAACTTCTTGTGAGCCAAATTAATAACTAAACCTCCATCTAACTATAAAAACCAAACGGATGTCCCCAAATTAATGCTTCAATCGTTGATTTTACAAAGACGCATCGAGAGAGACGGAAAGAGTTGTGGTGGGTTCGTAAAAAAAGTTGAGACACGTGCACTCTGCAAAAAAAAAACCCCCCAACTTTTTTCTAGCTTTCAGTTATACAAAAAAGAAATAATTGAAACTTTCTTTTGATTTGATCTCATTTTTCAAAGTTGCTTCTGTAGAAATTAAATGTTTAAGTATACATTAATCAGACTTGAAACAGTTTCCGAGTTTTGATTTTAGTCGTTTCAAAAGCGAAACCTGAAGAATAGTGACGGTCTGGGCGTAATGGTGTCGCTCAAGAACGCTTCCCTCGCTGCTGTACAACTGGGCAAGTGGTGTGTTCTGAGAAGGTTCTCCGCGTCACGAAACTCGAGAAAAGAGCCACTGACCGACTGGATCTGGAAGTTGTTGGTGGTGCCGCGGTGGTCAATGTCGTGGCAAAGACAGGCGATGAGTAGAGAGAATCTCTCGAGCTCATCCAGGTGGGTCCGGGCGGCGCGCGTCCGGAGCACCAGCCAGCAGAAGTGAGCGACGGCGAACGCGTGGGACCAGTTGTGGTACGGCACCTGCATACAGTTCAAAATAATCGATCAGGGAAGAACGGGATTTGGAAAACATGTTGCAAACAGACACGGCTGAAACCAAAATCCATTCAAAAAAGCTGCACTCTTGGTAAATCAAAGCGAACTAGAAATTTAATTATTGCTTTTTTATTAATTTTTTCTTGCGTTAAACTTATTTTGCTTATTTATCTTTCAAAGCCCCAAAAACCAGCTCAATAAAGTAAATAAACTTAAAAAGTTTTATACATAAGAAACAAATTTCGAGTTTAAAAGAGATAATGAGAATACTGACGTCGCGATAGCCATTTGCCACGCGCAGAATGAAGTGAGCGAGTTTCCTTTTGTTAACCCGGAAGCGCTGATTGAAGCCCAGGTCCTGAAATTAACATTTTCAAAAAGTTCTTTCGAAAAGAGTTTCTCACGTCAAACATGGTCATGGCGGCGCGGTGGAAACAAGTTTCGCCGATGGATCGTGGCGAAAAAGAGAAATCATTGAAGTTTGGATGCCAGAAACGCCAATGGCGTACCGGCTCCGCCTCGAGCTTGTTCACGCCTTCTTCAGCCACCTGAAAGCCTTATTCTCTGAAATTATGCTGACAATGGTCGAGCGGAAAAACAGTTCTTCATGTAGATTAGGGTTAAGAAAACAAAAAAATCTCCAGATTGATCCTTGAACTATTTTTCATACGTCTTTGAAAAATAAAGTAAACCGCACGCATGAAAATTATTATTTTCATTATTTTTCTGATGATTCGAAGATGTTCGTCGGTAGAAATAGCAAAAAAGGGTTTGTCTCTAGTTCGACCTCCTTCCAAAAATAGCCTGACACAATGATTATTTTTCTCTCTCGTCGAGCTTAACGGAAATGGGATCACATCGAACGGACTGAAAGAAATTTCCGAAAATAAATTTTTAACTCCTTTTTTTTCCTTTCTAAAGAAATATTGTTCATTTAAAAGTTTTTTTACAAAAAAACAACACATCTATGATATTCCAAATCTTACACGCTGCCTAAAATCTTTTGCATTTATCTTGAATTATTTATCTTATATCTGAACTTGAATCTAAAAAAAAAACAAACGCATATTGAAAGTGTAAACGGCAGAAACTAGAGAAAAAAGTTTCATTGAGAAAAAAAATTTTCTGCAGTTCCTGAAAATGAAAAGTTGAATGCTCCAAAATAACACGAAAAAAATCTTCGCTCCGGAATCACAATGCTTTTTCTGCTTCGAACCTTAAAAAATGGCCTAATTTCAGACGGCGTTTTGCAGAAAATAGTCAAAAGTAGAATGAGAGTCAAAAACTTATTGCAAGTAGACCAAAACTTCCATCATTCTCTTAACCGACGAGGAAAACGAACTGCCGACGAAAAAACTACAAACCAAGAACTTTGATCCCTGGACGACCATCTCAGCCGCCATATGCGACCGCCGATGCGCTTCTTGCACTTTCTTGTACAGCAAGCACTGAAAAACAATCTTCTTGCACTGAAAATCGACTTGCAAAAAAAAAGAGAAAGATCATTTGACCATAGAGTTTTCCCCGATTATGGCACAAACAACATTCCTGCGCGATCTGAACAAACGCACTTATATTCCATTCAGATATTCGCAAAATCAACAATCATAGTAGATTCTCGTAAGTCAAAAAACCTTTGTACTTCAAACAAGATAGCTTCTATTTGGAAAAGAGCCCTTTGAAAAATCAGAAGGTGAGAACCTTAGTGAAATTTTAGAAAAGAAATCAGGTAACTTAAAAACCGCTTTGAATGAAAAATCACAGATTTTCTAGATTGATAAAGGCATTGGTTTAATTTTAATTCGAAGATGCAATCAAAAATTTTTTTTCGAAGACTCAACAGCAATAAAAAAACGAGCTCAAATAGAAGAAGTTCACAAAAAAAAGTAAATCTTTGGGTTGAATATATATTTTCTGAGTTCAAAACAGATTTTTTTTTTTGTTATCTTCTGATGACGAGTTTTATACCAAAAGAAATGAAGTCTTGATAATGGTTTCTGAGAGTTTTCATCAAGTTAGATCTGAGAAAAAAGAGCCCATTCAAAGAGTTTATGTGTTTCAGAACGCTTCAAACTGGAGCTTTTCTCGTTCGAGATCGCCTGGTCGATTCTTAGGCTTTCAGAGCATTCTCCGGTCAGAAGTGACCGGAATTTGGGAGGAAGAACAGAAAAGACGAACGTGTGAGATGCTGGTGGCGCAGTAGACGGCGAACGCTTTGGCGCAACGTTCGTCGTGTCGAGAGAAGCCGGCGCGGGCGCCGCGTTTGTTGCACAGTTCGGCCACGCCCACGAATGTACCTGCAACTGACCAATCAGCCTTTCCTCAGAGTCCATCTCAATGGGATAGTAACGGTGGGAGAACAAAGATTTGATATGAGTTCCTAAGCTTGAGGGAGACTTCGACTCAATATTTTTTATAGATCCGAAACATTCAAAAGAATTTTCTAATTTTTACAGGTGATCAAAAAAATTCGAAGCAGACGATTCAAGTTAAAAACACAGTTTAATAATCTTGGGAAAATAATCCATTGAAAAAAAAAACATCTTTTTTTTTTTGAAAAATTCATAAAAACGCGTTCTCAACCCGGTTTCCGTTTTATTTTTCAGTATAAAGAACTTGCCGAGATAAAGAGGAAAAAAAATTCCAAACCTTTTCCAAAAACTAAAGATTGTTCCAATAAAAATAAAGAAAATGAGAAAAAATTCTTAAGATCTTTGAAGAAAAAGACTTTCTCAATATTTCTCACGGCACGCATTGTTGAAAACTCTGATCATCTGATTTTTTTTTTTACAATGATATTGAAAGTGAGAGAAATCTGAAGTGTATTTTTTCATAAATTTTTGTAGGGAAAATATGTTTCATTTATGTCATACCGTTCAAAAATTCAAGAAAAAAATGTGGATAGTGAAAAAAGGCCCCATTACTGTTTCAAGCATCTTTTTAATTAAAAAAAGAGTTGAATGATTCAGAAAGAATTGAAGAATTTCAAAAAAAAAGAATTCAGCCTTTTTCCTTCTTCTTCTACGGTCTTCATGCATACGGCATCCTGACTTCACAAAAAAATTCACAAAAACAGCCATGAATCTAAAGTTGAACCTATACATAAAATATAAAGGGGCGGGGCATTTCTTCACAAATTAATCTTCCGAGAAATGAAATTTCCATGGCTGCAGTAAAAAATGCCGATTTATTCGCCGAAAAACATTCAAGTTGAAAGGGAAACTTAGACTAATAAAGCTTTGAATGAGTTTTTTTTTTCTTTTTTTCCGAGTTCCATGAAGATTAATTTTAGTGGAAAAAATGAAGATCAAGAAAAAAGGGAAGCAAGAAGAAAAGAAAGAGACGGCTCGAAATGAATTGCGAGGCCAAGGAAGGAACATTAACGATTCAACACGTCGAATGCTTGAATGAGTCGTCGGCTAAAAAGGGACACCTCAACCGTTAATAACTAATAATGACGTCAGAACTCTCTCGAAAAAAAACCAATTACAATTAATACTTGAACTGGGAAGTTTTGGACCAAATACTCGATGAATGCTCACCGGATCTTGAAATATTCATTGTTTTTCAATATCGCATCAAAAAATAATGCGTAAATACCCGACTATTTTGAGTTCATTTTCTTTTTTGTATTCGCTTTGGAAGATAATATTTAGAAATGATGATCGAATCATGTTGCAGATCAATCGCAGAACGTTATCAAACAAAAAGTCTTTCAGTCAGATACAATTTTAAAGAATCAAAGCATTTATGACGTTTTCTGAAAATCAAAGAAGTTCGAAAAAAAGCAATACTTTTTTTAACAGTCAAACTGTTTAGCGAAAAAAATCGGAAGAGTAAAAGTTTATGAATATTTTTTTAAATTATTCTTATTTTCGACCAATATGACCGAGGCTCAATTCGTCTTCAAAGCTTATTATTTCTACACTCACCCATCTATGCAACATCATGAAAAAGGGGAAAAAAACAGAGAACGTACTGAGAATCAGCGAAAGAGGAACTTCATAACGGATACAAAAATATTCAAACGACGGCGTAATCCCGAGAGGACGCCGCAACTGATTGTTATGGCGTCCATGACCCGTGTTTTCTACTTTCATTTTTGAAATTCGATGGAAATTCATTGCAAAAAGTTTTGGTAACTCTCTCCAAACATACTGATCTTAAAACTTTAATATTGCGTCGCGCTAAAAAAATATTCGAAAAAAGATCAAGTTTAGAGTTCGAGGGAAAAGCGAATGATCGAAGAGAAGATAAGAAATTGATCAACATCGAACAGATAAAAATTTGGAGCAAAAGATATTTCTTGCTTTTCAAGAGGAACGGCGGTTCATGAAATCCCACCAAACTATGAACAAAAGATGGAAAAAGAAGTTTTATAAAACTGTTAAACTACTATCATACTCAAAGTCCAACAGTTTGAGTGAACAAACTTGACCACAAAGCGAATTTTTTTTTTAATGTTTTCCTTTTTTTCGACATCCGTATCATTGCGATTAATCTGTCTAGCAATTTTTTCTCACATTATGACTACATTCTGCAAATTCTTTTCACATATATTTTTTTTTCATGTCTCTACCTTTAAGTCATAACCAACTTGATATATATGTCTTCAGAAAAACGAAACTGACCAATAGTTGGTTTTTTTTCTATTTGTTCCTATGTTTCCCGAACTCCTCTCGCCAAAAAAAAAATCAGAGAAGTGGAAAAATCCCTCAGGTACAATAGAGGCAAAAAAATAAAAGTGGAAAAGCAGAGAGAAGAAGGTCCCTGAAGCGCTGGGAGCGTCCGAAGAGCCCCAGGAGAGAATCGCCCAAGGAAATCGACATGCACACAAAACGGAGGCGAAGAGAAAACAAAAAAAAAACGAACGAAGGAGGCACAAGTAGAGCGCAGGGCAAAAGCATAACAGCCACAATTCCGGGTGCGTGCGACTTCTTTTTTTTGTTCACTCCGTTCAAAAAAAAAATGTGTTCACAGACTAGTCAGATGAGAGGCTTCATTAAACGCGGCTATAAGTACGAAAAAAACAGCTTTTTGAAGGACTAGATGTTTGAAAGCCGAGCACTGAACAGTTGAAACCAAACCAATAGAAAAAAAAATAAGAAGTTTGCCAAAAATTAATTAAGGCACAATGATCGTGATAGAGAACAGTTCAAAAAATTTATTTGAGCATTATTTCTTTTTTTTTTACTAACCCGCTTGACAATTATCGAGCTTATTTTTGATAACAAAGTAGAGAAAATTCAAAATCCTTGTCGCATGTTTCAAAAAACTCGCTGTGAGTTTAAACCTTAGTCGTTCTTCAAGATGCGGCCAATTTTCTTTTCTATTTCTTAGGATACAAAACGGGCTTTTGACTATTTCCAGTGAAAAACCTTCAAAAACTGAGAAAAAACACGTCTGAAAGACCGATATCTGCTAAATTTTCAATTAGGCGCTTAGACCGAGCAGCAGCTGGAAAAATTCAACATTTCTGCATATGGCCGCCTTTTCGATTTTGTTTGACGCAAGCGACAGCTGAAGCGTGTCTTTTTTGATCAGAATAATCATTGGCTCACGTGAGAAACGGCGGCACAACCATTTTTTTTTGCATATTCTAGGGGTATTTGGTGTTTTATTAGGAGAAGCTGTTTGGAAGATAAGTCGCCTAGCCATCCCCGTTGCTTTGAATCACGGAAAGGTTGAATGCAACACAATGTTATGATACACTATGTGTCTATTCTAATAATAAGCAAGATGCCTCCTCAAAAAAATAAAAATATCTAGAAAAAAAAAATGAAATAAGGAAAAAAGAAGGAAAAATTGCTGCGCCCAATAATAATTTCGTGCCGCAAACCAGCTTTACGAACACCCAATAAGGCCGTTTGTGGAGAAAAATTACGTCCGTTCAAAATTCTTCGTTTTTTTCCTATCTTTTTTTTCGTCGACGACGACAAAGCAGAAAAACAGGAGAATAATACAGAGATTAGACCAGAAGGTGGAGGAACAAGAGGGATCAGACAAAATCTTGATTAAAAAGAACAGATTTATTGGTCGTTTGATAAAAGCCACAAATGGGCAAATCCTTCGGAGGAAATTGTTTCGCCGACGCCTTAAAGGCTCATTCCAAACGAGAAAAACCACGTGGATTCCACTGGAAAAAGAAACCGCGTGAAATTCGACCTTTCGCGCCCCATATCGAACTCCAATTTCGTGAGCCTTTAGGCTCTTCAAAATAGGTCGTCCTTCAAGAGAAATACGAGCTTCGACTTTTTTCCTGAGCTTAGTCATGGCCTATGAGCAAATACAAGAAAAGAAGAAGACGTCCTGATGATAATAAGAAAAAAATATGAAATATTCAGAAAAACCCATTTTTTTCGCTTTCAGCAATCTTATCATCTTCGCTAGACCTGCAAAAACTGAGCCGTAACTATTTTTGAACTCCGCAAAACAATTAACGATAGAAAAAGTCTGTTTCCTATTGAAAGAGACCTGAGAAATTATCAGTAAAATAAAATCCCATTTGACTTTCTAAAAAAAGAGATTCAAAACATGAAAATTCAAAGGTTGTACATGAACTAGTCAAACTAGATCTAGGAAAAGTTGGGTGTTTTCAATGGAAAGGGCTTTTCCGCTCATTTTGCCGCCCTTTTATTTTAAATGTCAGTGCTCCTCAACTAATTGCCGACGACGCCCCTCAAAATAGGTCCATCAGTTATACTTTTTTCGGAGAAAGTGTGATACTTAACATCCGCGTCGAAAAAATTGATGTCATTTCAGTTGTTTCTCAACGTCTATTGATGTCAAGGCATCAATCTTTTTTTCTTTTTTTTTACTCTGTCTACTAATAACTTCGTTCTGAAACTCATAATAACTACCTCAATGAAATGATGTATTGAGTTTGCCTTCTAGACGCTGGTCGACTCGGCCAAACCGTCAAAAAGTCTCCTTTTTCTTTATTTAAGATTGAAAGAAACTTTCTTTTTACTTCTTTTTTTAATTAAAAAAATAAGTCATATCTTTAAAAAAATATTTTTCTGAACAAAAAAATACATCTTTGTTGCAAACTGATCATGAAAAATTGAGCTTTGACCAAAAAAACATTGTAATCTTCCAATAAATTATCATGTTGAAAAATATTACGTATTTAAAAATCTAATGAACGCGAAAAATTTCAGAAAAAACAAGAAGAAAAAGACCAGGAAAGAGAAGAAAGGAACTCTTCTTTCTTGATCGACCCGACGCGAAATTTCTTCGTAAACACCAAAAAACGTGGCTTTTGCCGTGGCAGATGTTCTTCGGCCATTCCGCTCACGAAACCTCCGAAAAACGGCTGATGGAAATGATTCAAAAAGAGGGTTTGGGTGAAAAAAAGACAAAAAACGAAGAAAACGAACAGAAAAAGCGTCGATTACACGTGATTCGTCTGTCACTTCGATGTGTTCGTCTATCGTAAACATTGATATAGCTGCAGCCATCGATTCGATGCCCCAAAGTGCCATTGAATGGAGGTCGGAGACTTTTTTTTGGAAACAGAGTCTCTTTAATCTCAAATCAATAGTTTCATTAAAAGATAAAAGGCTGAAGTCGCGTTTCAAAAAAAAAACCTTTATTTTGAAATTCCAGATATTGTTGTTTTTTGGAGAGTCTACTCTTTTCATTGAATTGTTATGGAAAAACCAAAAAAACCAAAAAAAGGTTTTTTTACAATAATGAATTATTGTTAACGAAGGCCAAAAATTCGTGTTGAAAAAATAATGTAATCTTAAGCTCTGACTCCATCAATCACCTTTCTCCGAAAAAAACAGATAAGAGTCAAATCCGATTAAAAAGAAATTTAATGACAGATTAATCAAGAGCTGTCAATATTTTGATTTTTTTCCTGTTAAAAAAAGTTAAGTCCAATAAAAATTTAGAACTCTCGTGGACTTTTCAAGTTGCGTGCAAAATTCTTTCTATAGAGCAAGAACAGAGTATTATTGTTATGAAACTTTGTTTCGAATTTCCGAATTAAATAAATATTCATTGAGAATAGCTTATACAAATGTCCAGCCTATGTGGCTCTTAGCAGCTGACTTTTTAATTAACCTAAATATTTATAGGCTTTTGCGCAAAGGACAGGCCAGATTTCGAGTTTTAATTGGGTATTTGGTTGGCATTGAGAGGAAGAGCAGACAAAAGAAACATTCGATTGCTTAGAAGACTGGAGACGATTTGTAATGGGGATTAGCCTTGGTTGCCAGAGCCGCGGCCCCCCATTTCGGAGGCTCTAACGACACGAAAAAGTCTCCGCAGTGCGGTCTTTTCTGATTAATTAAAAAAGCAGCCCAAGCAGGTGAAAATATATCGACAGGCGAACTTTCCAGCCATTTCCCAGTGAAAATTTGGCTTTTCGAAAGAAAAGTTTTCAAAATTGTAGGTTTTAATCGAGGGAAGAAGAAAAAATGATGATTATTTTTCATTTGTTCGTCCGACTTCCATCTCTTGGAAACAAAATTCTATCAAATAGACAACAGTCTAGGCGGTTCTCAGGAAGAAGAAAGTCAAAAGAAAAAAGAACGGAGAGCGAGGGTGCCTCTTTCGCCTCGCATTTCTTATGAGTACACCGCGAACTCGATCTCTTCCGGCCTGATTTATACATAATTCAACTCAGATTGTTGCCATTTCCTTCTAGAAACTTTAAAAAAGAACATGAAATGGATTTGAAAGGGTCTGCTTCTAAGGCATATTTATCTATCGAAAGAACTTGTTTCCTGAAGCCAAATATTAGAACAAACAAAAAAGTTCAACTCGTTCGACTTTTATAGTCTTATTTCGAAAGATGGCAGGAATCGAACGAAAAAAAAGTTGGTTATTAGAAAACGACAGTTTCTACTTTAATAATTTCCAAATTCAATCGAACGAAAAAAAATTAGTTTTGATAAATAACTGAAGAATACTTTTTACTATTACTCCGTTTATAAAAAACTTCGAGCTGGCAGAATTTCATTTCAACCGCAATTTCTCAAGCCAAACTTTTTCCAAGTCACAAGGCAGGTCGAAATAAAGGAAATGTAGAGAGATCGTGGCTTTTACGATCCCCCAAAAGGGAACTCGACGTCGAAAAACCAAAAAGCAGGCGAGGCAGGCCATTCATTCATTTCTTATTCGACCCACTCGCCGTTCTCTCGCCTCCCTACCTATCTTTTCATACCCTATTACTCTCCGCTCACACATTCCGTCCGTCACTCGAGATTCCCAAAGGCTCATGAATCAGAAAGCTCGACGAAATTAAAAACGACGAAAAAAAAACCCCATTTTTGGGAGAACAAAGTCATTTGCAAATGAAATAAAAACGTTAGAAAAACAGAACAACAAGAGAAAAAAGGAGAGTTTTTATGAGGGAAACTAACCGGCGTTATCGACAATCGGGAAGCAAAGGATGTTGTGCGTGCGAAAGCCAGTCAACTCGTCCACGTGCGAGTAGAAAAACGGGCATCTGAACATCCGAAAATACCATAAAATTGGTTCATTCCCCTTTTTATTGTATTCTTTCCCGTTTTCACACAGTCAAAAAATTATATATGTGGCATTAAAATTTGGTAGAGAAATTTCGGTGAGAAAAGCAAAGATAAAAATATTTCAAAAGAAAGATTGTTATAGGAAACCACAGTTTTTCCGCGCTCCACTGATGGTCGGGAACTTTCTAAGCTGGATTTTTTTTGGTTCTTCTCAGAGTCTCAGCTATGCGATATTGATAACGTTCTACTATATATATATATATTTCATCTTTCATAATTTTACTGCTCAAATAGCGAAATACCGTCAAACAAAAAGAATGATGAACTTTGAGAATTTATTTTTGAGAAAAATGTTGAGTGAAGTCTTTTTTGACGACTAAATCTTTTTGAATAGTGAAGAGGCTTCGAGAAGATAAGAGCATGAATAGGATACCTATGCGCGTCACGGACGTTCATCATGGTGCGAGTCGTGGCGACGCGACCCACGACGCCGTGTTCCAAAGGAACGCGAAGTTCCTCGACGCCGTCGCCGCCGTGGTCGAAGACTCGGGCCACGAGTTCGTTCTTCTCGTTGTCCACAAGGAACAAAGAGCAACTGAAAGGTTCGCGATTGGAGAGGGGCCTTCAGTTTCAGTTGGCTCACGTCTCGGCGTCGAGGAGGGTCTTGGCCTCGTCCATGATGGAGCGGATCAAGGTGCTGAGGTCGTCGGACTGGAGCAGAAGTCGCTGGTAGATCGACGGCGACACGGTTCGCATGGTCGACGCGGCGCTTGGCGTCGAAGACGACGTCGAGGAGGAGGCGGAGCCGTCGATGCACTCGTCGCCGGCGAATCGCGTACGCGAATACGGGTCGTTCTGTAGGTGAAAAATGACGTTCGCCAAATGGGATCGATAAGGAAAAATGACATCAAATCAAAGGTCATTAATTCTCTGTTCAACTTCTTCAGACTACAAAAATTGGTTCCGACCTTCCATCTTCACTGTCATGCCTCTGCCACAGTGTTTATTCAGTAAACTCAGTTTCTAGGGACTTTCCGAATTCCCTTTTCACGCTTATTAAAAAGGTTTTTCGAGATTCGGGAATGGTTCGTAGGACCTTAAATAATGCTTCTCTTTTGAGAGCCTAAGCGACGTTAAGGACTTTTGAAAAGATTATAATTTTAACTGATGGACTTTTTTAAAGTTTTTTGAGAAGAAAAAAATGTAACAAACAAAAGCTTGTATGTAACGAAAAAATAATTGCTTTGTCCAAATATTTCTTGCCACTTTTTCATGCAAAGGTTTACTTTAGAGCCTTCAAACTTTAAAACTCAAAATTCAAATGGCTAGACTCGAATTTCGCAGTCATTTGTCAGCAGTGGGATTGGGAAAACCTCAGTCATGAAGCCGCAGGTGATGGTCGCCCAGTCATCCTTCGTTCCAATGTTCTTCAGTTGTAGCTGCAGGTCGCTGGAAATATTACAATGAAAATTACACACAGTCCTATTATTCTCAATGACACCCGCGCGTTAAGATATCTCATTAAAAAGTGTCCTCAGCGTTTATTTTTCGCCCTTTTGACGAAAAACAACGGAAAATGTCGATGATTTTTCGGGAAATATTCTGAAAATTACTAGAATTTTCATCTGGATTCATATTTTTTTTTAATTACGGAAGTTTGAAAATAAATTTTGCCTATGTCAGTTCAAAATATGAGAGAAACTTTGTCGCCGGTTTTCGAGGTCTTAATACTGTTTTCAACAGCTTGTTTCACAGACGAGTTCTCATTTACCATGTACCACGAAATAGGCAACTTCTCAGCTTCAACTCAGTTTTATACAAGAATTTGCTTCTTTCTTGCGCTGTTTTGCTAACTTTCATGTCCCCAAAGCCGTTATCAAATGTTACTGACAGCTGTCGCCGATCGTTGTTGCGACTGAGCGGCGGATGGGAGATTTTCCTCCAGACGGCGGCGTTTGGCGACGTCGGCGCCGTCTTGACTGTCATCATGGACTGTACCGAAGTGTTGGCGTTCGGCGACGAGGCTTCAGAAGGCTGCGACGTTGTCGTCGCAGGAAAAGTTCGCGGCAGCGACTGCGCGACTGACGACGTCAGGTGGGGCGGCGACGAGTTCCGACGCAGCTCCACGATTGGCATCCACTAGAGAAGACGTCGACGAATGATGGCTGTGGATTCGTTCACGTCTTCAAGTTTTCTTCGAGACCTCCAAGGTTCGAGACTTCTTGGTACGACTGGTAATCGAGTTTTCTGAAATCCAATTGGATTTTTTCACAATAAATTTAGTACAAGGCACATTCGAAACGGCTATTCTTAAAAATTGAAACCAAGTCACTTCAAATAAAACGCAACAAAACACGCCAATAAGAAAGGAAAGTATAAACGCGAACGGAAAAGTGAAACAAAGAACGAAAGCGATGGGAAAAACGCGGCCTAAAAGGACATGAAACCGTAAAATTTGGATCCCAGCGGTAAATAACAAGGAAAAATTGCATGGGACACGTCGAAAGAGGCATCGCACCACTCTTTTTTTTATTTCCTAAGGTCAAAGATTTTTTTATGTTTGAAAATGGAAAAAAAATGTCTCGAGAAGCCGGCCTAAGAATGAAAAAAAAAGACAAATCATCATTTGTGATTCATGAAAAAGGAAGGTGTCGGAAGAACAAGAGCGGGGAAAGAGCAACGTACACTGGGGATTTGTTCTGAATAGCGATCATTTAGACACCTGCCAGACAGTTTTTCCAATTCCAAGTGTTCCCGATATAAGTTTTCAGTCCGACAGCCATGTTTGTCGAGCATCTGCACCTAGTTATGCGCTAATCGCTCGTCTGTGATTTTTGAGGCCTAGAGCCGACAGACAAGTCAAAAAACAAAATTCAGAATGAAAAGGCAGGAAACTTTCCTAAAGAGTCAGGAAATATGAACGGATGAAAATTGATGAAGAGAATTGAGAAGACGAAGCGAAAACAACGCAAAACGGATTCGTCGCATATATCTGAATTGACAAAGGAGATGAACTGCATTTCGAACAACAAAAAATATCTAGTTTGATCGCTTGACAATTGCTGGAATGATTGAAAAAGCAAGGGTCAAAAAAAGTTAAGCCCTGAAAATCAAATCACAGAAGCGAATTTTTGTTACTGGATGTTGAATTTGAAACCAAGAGAGTGGCCGAATCGTCTGGTTGGCGCGCAAATAAAAAGTTCGCGCGTCGTGTCCGACGACGTCAGTTGGTCTGGGTGAACTAAAATGACGACATTCGGAGTCGAAGGACACTCTTATGATCAATTTGAACTCAGCTGATTTCCACAAACACATTTATTAAGATTAAAAAAATAAATCAAACCACGGTCTAGTGATGTCTCTCCTTATTAGAGAACGCGGTTTCCTGCTGTATTTGCAAAATTCTAATAGTAAAACACTTTTAAGGGAGTTACTTCTCTCAGTAGAACCGAATAGACCTGAAGTTTGCGGAATAACATATCTTGACGAGATCTGAAAGAAGCCTCAAAGCGTTTACTTCATCGCCAGAAGCCCTAAAAAGTCATTTCAGCTTATTGAGAGAGGAATTTTTCTCACTTCTGCTTTGGTGATATTTAAGAAAGATTGATATGTGATTGCGCGAAGCGAACGAAGAAAAAGAAAAAAAAAAGCAACGGAACACATCTGTTCTCCTGGCAACGAAATGCGTTGCAAATCGCAAGAACAAAAAAAGAAGACAAGGAAAAAGCGAGTTCAAACGCTGAAACATCATTTGATCAGATTGATGGGTCGTGAAAATCGTGAAAACTTCTCTAATCATTTTATGAGAATGCCCTCTAGCGGGGTTTTTTTTTACTAAATCATTTTTTTTTCTAGAGATAGGCATCCCTCAAAAAAGATGCATTTAGTAGGCAAAGTTCTACTTTTTTCGTCATTATATGTAAGCTCGAATGAAACTACTAGAAGCCAAAGATTCGAAAAAATTTCGAGCAAAAAAAGTTCAATTTAAGCCTTACAACTAGAAGAATTCTAGCGCTTCAAAAACAAAAATTTGATGAACTTTCTTTGTTGGTTGACTGAAATTTAGGAAAAAGAGGCGTGTGAAAAAAATCGTGTGAAGAAATTAGCTAAAAAGCTGCAACTTATAACTTCTTACACAGTTACGTCAAGGGTATTGAACAAAAAAGTGATAGAGATAAAATTGCTTGAAAAATATGAATGAGGTCCATATTTTCTTTTTGCGAAATCAGGAACAGGCGCGAAAGCTCTGAGAATATTGGCAGTTGTAACGAATGAGAAAAAAAAAAATCGAAAACAAAAACAAACGGCAGCCGCTGAATTTTCTCATTTGAAATTCAAATTCGACGCCTTTGAGAGTCACCAAGGGAAAAAAAATGTTCTTCGTCGATCGCCGGAAAAGATTGCACAAAGAAAAGGCTCTCACTAGCTTTTTTTACACAACCTTTCTCAAAAAAAAAAAATTGGTGAGTTTATTTTGATTTTTCAAATTGCTGGACGATTCCACAAATATCGTTTCAAAAAGCGAGCGATTTCCTGCAACAAGAAGAAAAAATAAATGAAAAACGTGGAATATAAAACTATCGTTTGAGTTTTTTCAAAATTTTTCTTTGAGGCACGAATTTACTCTCGAGCGATTTCGTCTGCACCTGTGACCATTTTTTGTCGACAAATGTTTTAATTAATTTCTGGATGTCCTCTAAAAAAGCAAAAGTATGTTTTCATTTTTTTCCAAGCTAACTATTTCAAAACACTGAACCCAAAGAAAAATATTTTCATCTTTAGACCTTCAAGACAATGTCAAAAAAAAAAGGAAAGAGTGAGAAAATTGAAAGAGAGAAGCTGATAAGAGTAGCCGACTGATAGAAATTACTGAAAGCCGTTGAATCACGAGGAAAGAAAAATGGCCGATCAGCAAATTTTTTCCCATTAAGAAAGAAGGAACACACGGACTCGGAGCTGATAACATCTCCCAATGTATTCGAGGATTCAAATTAAAAAAAAAACAGAAAGACTCTTACTCGTATAGTTAAATAAAACCAGCTCAGTTTTGGAAAAAGCAAAAGAAAAAAGGCAGAAATGGGGGAAGGAAAAGAACACTCAAAAGACCTTGTTTGTTTTTTTTTTCTTTTGGCCACGAGCCAGAACGATCTTTAGTGCGCAAGGTTCTTTCAGAAAAAGTGAGGAATTCCTGCGGAAAGTACAATTTCAAAGCAAAAACTGGCTTTGCTTTTAAATAACTATAATACAAATTGTTGAATAAGAAAATTTCCCTGAATGAAACTCTGACTGAATTTTTCGGCAGTGTTCAAAGGAACTGAAAGAGTTTTCGCGATTCTTGCGCTACAATTTATGGGCTTAAGGCCTTGAGAAATAAGATTTGTTTGAAGATAGAGAGTTTCTAGAAGTTTCGATTAAAGTTCAAAGTTTCATATCTCAACCCACATGAATAGAAGCGCTGTCTTCACGTTGGCTTCAGAAATTTTATCATAGAATTTTCTTTGAACAAGACCAAGAACCAAATAAAACTGAAGCCGAGCAGGAGAAAAAAAGATAAGGAGGAATGGAATTGGGGACCGGAATTTCGTGACATGACGCCCCATTGGGTCAACACTTGGATTGTACCTATAGGCCTGCAAACAAACCAAATGTGATCTTTCTGACCAAAATAGCCTCGAGGCTAGTTTTGCATCAACCTCAAAAACTATCGAAGATTTACGTTCTTCTTGTTCGAAGTATGAAGTATAGCTTCACGCAGAAAGAAGAGCAAAGGAAGCTTCAAACTTTTTGTGGTTCAATGAATTCTTTTCAAAACTCAAACAATTATTCACCGATAGCTTGAGTCAAAATTGAATTGCACGTTTCATACGAATAGTGGGCAAAGAAATGTCTTACTTTTCTGCAGAAAATTCTTCCGAGCAACTACTGAATAAAGTACAAGCAATGACGCAAAAATTATAAAAAAAATTATCATCCGATGGCTACAGTATAATTTTAAAAAATTTCTGTAAAAAATTTCAAAGACGCCAAAGCCTCGCAAAACTATAAAATAAGCTTGAGAATGGATCCTCGCTTCGATGTTCCTTTTTTAAATTCTTTACGCCCCTCAGCCAGAATTTCGAAACATATTTTATAATTATTTCCTGTGAGGATACTTTAAACTAAACTTCTACTGAAAGATGAATGAGAAAATGAGGTTTTCATCATGAAAAAAGAGAAATTGATATTGAGGCCCGCCGTGTCCACTGCAAACTGGAGTCGTTGCGAAATATTGTTGGTTTTTAAAGATGAATGTTTATTCTTTCAGGCACTTGAGGAAATCAGAAACCAAGGGGCTGGGGAAATAAAAAGGCGTTCCTCGCCTGGCTAACTCGTGAAGAATTCCAGTTTTACTGGAAAGTTCACGCACGAAATCACCTGTCAAGTTATTCTGCGCGTGACGGAGCTGTATAAATCATGGCCCGTGTCGGAAATCCATCAAATTCCAAAGAAAGAAAAGGGAAAACTTCTTTTGGCTAAAATATTCAGCATTCAGACAAAAATATTATGTTTCTGTATCATTTTTGAATTGAAACCTGGGTCCTTTGTTGAAAAGAGCCTAAGTTTTTTTTCCCAACATTTGAAAACTCAATCTCATCATACTGAAAGCTTGATAGTGTGATTTGAATAATTAGAGAGCACTTTTTGTGACAAAAGTGTATGGTTAAGCTTCATCAAATAGGAATATTTTAAAACGTTATCTGAAACCATACATTCGCATGAAAAAGTTTAAAGTGGGAAGAATAGAAGAAACACTATGAATAAGTTTGCTCTACTTCTCGCTAAATGCTTCAATCTAAATAATAATGAACATAGAGAAGATGAAATCCTAACTTTTCGATGAAAGGGAAGTTGTCAGTGGGTTTGAAGAACGGGCATCGATGACGTAAATTGCGTGTTCAAACTTCCCTATATTGACATTTTCTACATATCGAAGTTGTTCAAACAAATCGTCTTTTCTCTCAAACGCTTTTCCCGTTTGCTAAATGAAATGAAGACTTTGACCCCTTTCATCATAGAAGGCAATATTTCCAACTTTTTCTTATTATCTTAAACACTTCAAAAATCATTCACAGTGACGTGAAACTTTTTGAAAAAAAATAATACCTTTAAACAATCAAGATAGAGATACCTGTAGATAACTCGCATATCAAAGATTGCCCTGGAGCGGTGTCGAAATGAACTGATAATATAACGAGTTTTCGAGTAAACGAACGAATGAAGTTAAAATAATCAACAAGGGCAAATGTTATCAACGAGGCCGCCGCCCAACACAAAACATAGTGAGGATTGGCGCCAATGACGAACCAAACGCAAACCTTCTGAAAATAAATCTGGGCTCTCGAGAAGAGGAAAGGTCCGTCTTCTGAAAAAAAAAAGCGAGGTTTATTCTGCGAAAAACGTTTATAAAAAAATTGGCATAGCTTACGGCTAGAAAAGACGTTTTTTCCAAAAGTTAATGTACACCAAAAAAAATTCCAAAGAAAAGGAAGTTGAATCTAGTGAACATGAAGCTTGGCTGAGCTGTTTTCAGAGCATGAACCAAATCACAATTTATAAAGAAGAGAAAAAAGACAAAAAATGTGAAAAAATGGTCCAGGTTTTGATAGAAACCTAACTTGCTGTTTGAACGGGCATGAATCTTGTACATCCAAAAATGAAACCAAAACTTTGTTGGCTTCGAAATTCCTACAAAAATTCCCGTTACTCCTATAACACCAAAAATCAAAAACTATATATATATATATATATATATGAATTGTTCCGTTTTGGCTTCCCTTATAGGCATGTTCATGAAGTCAAAGTGCACGTATCTGAAAAATATAGTGAACAAAAAGGCCTTAAAAAAACATTCGAAATTTTCAATTTAAAAAAAGTTAGAGAATTTTATTTACTTCTGAACCCACTTTCTATGTTTTCATACATTGAAAACAGTCGAATAGAAAAAAATCTTCAAAAAAAAAAAAGACGTTTTTTTCGGAACGAATTCTCACGCAATCAGGTCATGATAGGAGATTAGAAATAATAAATTGGGAAGACACGTGACCTTATACGGTTATCAGAGGAAAAATGCGAGTTCGGCACGCAATTCGGCCGCCGGCTCTCGTGAATCTTTCAGCAGCACCTGCAGCGCGAAACCGCAACATTTTCCTAGGCTCAAATATCCGGCCGGAGGGTGGGAAGAAAAAAAGAAAAAGTGCAAAAACTGGGAGGACAGTTCTAGTTCATGCATGAGCTAGTGAAACAAACTTTCTTCAAATCGTGAAACTTCAAGTTATATTACTCGACTTCGTTAATTTCTACGCTTAACACAAGAAATAAAGCAATCTATCGTGAACGCGAGTCGAAAAAAGATGAATAACCGAAAAAAATGAAAATAAAAGTTTTGAATTTCAAAGTTTTCCAAATTTGAAAGCAGGAGGAACGTGAAAAAAAAAACTATCCGTCATCTAAAAGGGGCTCGATTCGATATGAAAATGGTTGACTAAAACGGGAAAATAGACTAAATAAAAACTAAAAATAATTTTCCCAAGCTGAAGGAAACTTAGATGAAGAATAGAACCAAAATACATTTTGGCTGGGCAACATCAACTAACATAATCAATAGCAAGTAAAAAAAAATTTAAAAGCCAGAAAAGTTTTATTAGAGAAAAAAAAACTTTAAAAAAAAATCGAAAACGGAGAAGAATGAAAAAAAAAAACTGAAAGAGAAGCCAACGTTTTCAAATAAAAGCTTGGCACGAAACCGAAAAATTTCGAGTACATTACTAAATTGGCCCAAAGGGACGAGAGCAGCGCCGGAAGCGACTGGAGAAAAAGTGGAGGAGGCAGAGAGCCAGACCAAAGTGAGGGAGAAGCCACCGACGAGAGATGAGAGCGCTTGCTGGAGACGCAGAGACGACGTCAGGCTCTCCTGAAGAGAACTCCGGTAATCCGGATGGGTCTCGCCGCGAAAGTTGTTGATTGCATTAGGCGGCTGGCCCCGTGCCAAACGGCGTGATTTCAAAGTGCGATGCATGGCGGAAGAATCCAGCCGCTCCAAGCTTCTGATGGAGTGCCCCTTTTCCTCGAAAACAAACAACAAATCTTATTTTCGAAAAAAAAAAAAAGTTTAAAAAATTTTTTTTAAAGCGAATCTTCAGATCATCAAAGTATTGAGGTTGTGAAACTAACTATGGAAGAGATATAGAATTTTCAGCTGACGTAAGCTATTGCAAAAAACATCGCAATTAGTCAACTCTGTCAGAAAATTTTCTCGAAATGCTCAGAAGAGACTTAGGTTGTGAAGATCATGATTTATGAAGGTCTCCGAGGAGAAAGCGTTTCTTAGTGATTCATTTATACACAGGCAAAAGCAGAATATAATTCACACAGTGTTGATTGGAGCTAAATTCGCATGAACTGAACTTTTTTTGCGTCTTCAATTTGAATACGTAGTAGAAACCAAAATTTCACAAAAGTATTTTAAAAAATGCATCTTACTTTTCAAATGCTACGTTTCTATATAATCCATTTATTTTATGCAACCAAACGTTGGCTTTTGACAAAGCCTCAGGCGCCGTGGCCGCCGCACATTTATTTCTCCGTCAAATTTGTCGATCTCTTTTTCTTTTCTCTTTTCGATCTTCAGTCTAGTCTTTCATTGGGAAAACCTGGTGTAACACGTGATAAGATGCTTTTCCAACTGTTCTTTTTATTCTCAAAGTTCTTCTCTCTCTATCGGGGCCGTCGGTTTCATTTTCTGAAGATTTGGAATTGATGTAGAGTACAAACAGATGAAGCCGTGTAATTAGCAAAAAAAAAAGTTTTAAAAAAATGCAGAAGCCATATGTCATGTCACCCGAAACTACATTGCACGTTTGACATTTTTAGAACAGTTCTAAATATTTCCATGCGTCTCTGAAAAGCCCAGCAAGTATTTTAGATCGGACAGAAAAAAAAATGCGTTCCGCTCTGCTGGCGAAAAGATAAATCGAGGTTGCAATCTGTGTCTTGTTTCAAGAAATTGAAAAATTGCGGAATTAAAGAAAAAGAAGAAAAAAGGTTTTCTCAAAACCTCCTATTAAAATATTTTTGCGTACAAAAAATTAAGGAAAAATACGACGAGAATAAATTAGAAAATCGGTGCTTCTTTCGTTCGCATTCACTTTCTAGTTAGCTTTTTTCGAGGAAATTCGCTGTGGTTTCATTTTGAAATGTCATCCTTCTTGGTAATTGGCAAAAACGCAGTTCTCGCGTCCTTCTTCCTGCAGAAAAAAGCCTACAGAAAAACTGCATTTCTTTTCATTTCTATCGCGAAGAGAAACTATTAATCGTTCTCGAAAAATAGAGCTTTTAGATCCATAATAACATTCTTGATAATACCTCTAAAAAGTTCAGAAAAGACTTTTGTAGTTTTCTTTATTGCCGGGGATACAAAAAATAGCTACATCGGGAACGGTTTTTATGTTTTGGAGCCTTGAGAAACGTTTAGGTTTGTAGTGGTGGCCTAACAGAATAATTTGAAAGAGGAGTTGAGCCAAAGATTATTAGAAACGACATGAAAAAAAAGTAACTTTGAATGTGGATTTTGGCGAGAAAAGAGAAAATCAGGGAGAGCTCGTAATGGCATCGGGAAGAACTCAACTTTTGAACTTTGTGCCACCAAGGTCGGCCAAACCCACTCCTCGAATTACCATAAAAACGTGGATTCCCAGGCGCCGTGCATATTCTGGACGGCACGTGGTCCCGCAAAACAGATGAATATTCGAGTTGGCTTGATGAATTACTGAAGACGAGAGCAGGGATTAAACCTCCAAGTAAATAGCCGATAGTAAACACGGCTGCCGAAAAACAAGCTATTTGGAACATTAGCGTTTTCAGGTGTTTTTCGCAATTCAGGAAGTCGCAAAAGATTATAAACAGCTTTAAAGAAGAACGCAGGGATCAGAGGTGGAGGATTGGGAAGGCAGTCCTTGGCTTGGCGGCCAAGCCAAGCCAAAAAGCCAAACGATAGAAATGAGCCAATAATTTACGTGGTCTTTGGCAACTAGGTCAAGTACGTGGCGATAACGCCCTGAACTAATCATTATCAATTTTGTAAATTTTGAATTGTTTTTTTTTCGCAACTTCGTGTTAACGTTTTTAATCTACTGTAAGAGTTATTTCAGCAGGGAATTGTCACTGAAACGGGTCAAAAGGCTACCTTTTCAATCTCACTAGAGAACTATTATTTCGACAAAAAAATTTTGAGATGCTATGAAATTGATGCAAAAGTATTTCTCTTGATTCATTTGGTTTCCAAAAAAGTCAAATGACTGAAAAATCCTATTACGCCAGGCCACCTCGTTAAGAGTGGAAGGCTTACAGTTCTCTACCTGGATTTTTCCGGTGGTATGAAAAAAAACCAGCGAATTTTCGAACGGCGACTTTTTCCGATTTGTTCAAATCGCTAGGGAACTTTCCGACGGCCACTTTGCCCGCTTTTTTGTGTTTTAATCATGAATCAACTACCTATTTTATATGGGAGGATTCAAAACGAAGAGTTTATTTAGCAAAAAAGTTGAAAAGGATTAGTCGGAAAGTTCTTCGTCGGAAAGCTCCCTAGCGATATGAAAAAATCAGAAAAGTCGCCGTTCGAGTTTTCGCTGATCTTTTTTTCATACCACCATTTTTTCGTGTTTTTGTTTTTGTAAAAAAGTTTCATACATCGTTCAAAACAAGCGCTTCTAGATGCTAGGGCGATATCGCCATACAAATGACCGTCGCGCCACGCTGACTTTTGAAAAAGTCATTTCTGCCTTTTGGGCGTTTATGGCTTGGCAGGCAGGGCGGCCAGAGGGCAGCCATCCTCCACCTCTGGCAGGGATCATGAAAGCGCCTTTATAAAGAAAAAATTTGGAAGGAGTCTTTTTATTTGAATCATCTTCAAAGAAGAAAAAGGGCTTGTTGATGAGTAATATTGGAGATGAGGGAAAAAGACTGACATCGGACCCCTCGTTTTATTAGGCTATTGCCTTATTAGAAGAGTTCGAGGTCATTTTTTCCTTAATCTTATTTAAGAAAATGACGTCATAGAAGGCTAGACACAAGATGTGTGCTCAAAGGTGAGATACGAGACCCAAAATGAATTAGAAAGGCAGGTGGAGTACTTTCTCAGTAAATAACTTTCAGAGAAAAAAGAACTCCAAGTCGCAAAATATAACTGGGAAATTGTCCACTGAAAACCTGGCTTTCGCGCGGAATTGAAGTCTCTCTTTATCGTTCGATATGAGCTTCATAGGGCACACGAATATGAACAAAATGGCGAGAAAGAAGAAATTAAAAGAAAATCCAGCCTATAGTCGTAGAATCAGATGCTTAGAGTGAACACTGCGACGCTTTTTCACATGTTTTTAGAGAAAATAAATATATATCAGCTTTTTTTAATTTTTCTGTGTTAAATTTCAATTATTTACTAAATTTTTTTGACCGAGTCACTACGTTAAAAGCGATTTCTGTTTTTAGTAGGAACTTCCTCACGCGTTTCTTTTTCTAATCTTTTATCCCTCGATTATTTTTCAATGCACCAATCAAAAAGAAAAAAATCAAGATAATGAGAAAATTAATGGCATCACATCACAAAAAAAAAATCTTCTTTGATCTTTTGAACTTTTGACCTACGACTCAAACATTTTCATCATTAAATCTGAGCTTGCCAATTTTTCGAAATCTCACACTTTTTCAAGTAGAGACTTATAAAGGTAATGAGAAACAAGCGGATGAGAGTAGTAATAACGGAGAAAAGAGGTGGCGATCCGAGAAAACAGCGCGTTATCAACGGAGCGACCTGTGGCCGTTCAGACCGATTTCTCTGCATTTCGGCGCTGCCCTGACGTTTCGCCACAGCTGACAGCTCTTCCTGCTTTCCGTCCTCTCGATCCACGCCACTCTACTATTCGCCGGTTATTTTTAGTTAAAAACAACCCATCGTGTTCATTGATTCGTACGTCGCCTCAGGCGATCCAAGGTCATCCTCCCACGCAAGAAAATCACTCGGAGATTTTCGAATTTCTGTCATTGACTAAATAAAAGTTTATATAAATGAGATGCCTATTCGTTCATCAAAATACAGCACTAGGATAGTTTCTGTGGATTGATAGAACCAGTTCAAAAAAATTTCAAACGTAAATTTTACTACGATTAGCTTCAAAAAAGGAAAAAAATTTAGAGAAATATTTACCTAGAATTTGAAGGATGACGGAAAAGACAAAAAGTTATTTTCTTATTGCAGCTTGAATATTATTGGTTCTCTGTAAATTCGTTGAAATGAAAATATATCATCTTGAATTTTTTGTGTTCAAAAAATCAATTTTTTGGGAGATCAGATTTCTTGCAGTGCCTGGAATAACGCTAAAAACGGCTCATATCTCAAAACAGGTGTTAAAAATAATGCTGTTTCAAATGCTCCTTCAGAACTCTGGAGAAGGATTATTAAGCAGACTTTACATTCATTCAGCCATCAGAAGACGATGAAGACCGGGAATCTCTATTTAGGAATTGATCTCAGCACACAACAGGTTCGTATGAGAGAAATATGGAAGTCCTTGAACTTTTTCTTTTTAACGGGAAAACTGAAATAGTCAGAAGCGTTTTTATCAAATTGATTATTCTAAAATTCTTCGATTGATGGCCCGACGAAAACGTTTTCCTAATTTTCAAATATATTTAACACTCAAATTAATAAAAAATAATAATAAACCGAAAATTGAAATTTCAGGCCAAACTAATAGTGATTGATGAAAATGCTGCAGCAGTTCATCATATGGCGATCAACTTCTCTAAAGATCTTCCTGAATTTGAGTGAGCCTACTTTTTCCTTGCTAAACTCAATTTTTTCAACAAATACAGTACCGCCCAAAAGGTTGTGAACTTTTAGTTTTTTGGGCCTAAATTTTCCCTAAGTGGGTAATCTGAAAATTTTTTCAGGCCATTTTGTGGGATTAAAATACATACTCACAAAAATTTCAAAAAAATATGCAAGAAAAAAATTTTTTGTGTTATTTTTTTCGAAATTTTGTAAAATACGATTCACCGTACATTAAATTCAATCCACAATTTATGTAAATAACAAAATTTATTGAAGAATTCAATGTGTATATAAGTTATACAAGTCTAATACTTGGTCGCGAAACCCCGAGAACTAATCACAGCTTGGCACCGACGAGGCAGAGTCTATCAAAATATCGATGTCCGGTATTTTCTTCCACTCTTCACTCAAAACTACCGTACACTAACTCAGATCGGTTGTTTTTTCAGCGCGCTAGGCCTGAAAACCCAAAAGTTCACAACTTTTTGGGCGGTACTGTATGCGTTTTAATTTCAAAAATATTGCGAAAATTGATGTATTTTGAAAGAGCAAATTTCACTCATATCGAAGAGTCCTAAAAATGACGTCAGAACGAAGGATGGAGCGCGTTTCGGATCGGATGGGCAGACGGTGACGTCACCAGTGGCCATGTGGCTTAAAGCTTTGGACATTCTTCTCGAAAACTTGAAAAGAACCGTTGATGTCGGCAAAATCAAGGCCGTATCAGGCTGTGCTCAAGTAAGAAGTTAGAGTAACAAAGTGAATAAAATTGGAAAATCATGGATTGATTGAAACATTTTTGACACGTAACAGTTTCTTAAAAATTGACTCGAGAGTGTAGACGGTGTAATGGAGAGGACAAAGTGAATTTAATTAGAGTTTTGATTTTTAAGTAATTTTCTGAGAAAAAGATCATGCAACTTATGGCTCGGTTTGTGAAGTCTCCTAACCTCGAGTAGAAATTAGATAATCTTTGATTTTTCACTTTAAAAAAGCCTGAGTTTTTTCATTTCGCTATTCAAATATTTCGCTTGTAACATTTTCATCGCCTTGGATTTTTGAAAGAAATGAAAGTGTTACGAGAGGAATTTCAGCAACACGGTACTGTCTATTGGAGACATGGAGGCGAAAAAATATTAATAAATTTGGACTCATCTACGACTTTTCAGGAAGGACTTGAGGTGATTCTTATCTTTTTCAAGAACATTTCTTTCAAATATCCGCTGTGATTAAATGAAAACTTTTCATTGAACAAATCTTATTTTTGAAGATAGCCTTCTCTACAAAGGATAGTCCAATATGGATGGATTCAAGCACAGAGTCCGAATGCGGAGATTTAGAGAAAAATGCCGACGGAGCTGAGGTCTCTAGTTTATTTTTCCAACAACTCTTTGTTCCTACAGGGGCTTTGCAAAAGAACTGGATCAAGAGCTCATCATCGGTTCAGCGGAGCGCAGATCAAGAAAATTGTCGACAAATCTCCCCAGATATGGAAAAACACTGAGGCAACATTAGGCTTGAAATATTCAACCAGACTGATTTTCAGCGGGTTTCCATCATTTCTTCCTTCGTTTGCTCCCTTTTCATTGGCAAGTATGCTCCAATCGAATACACTGATGGCAGCGGCACCAACTTGATGAGCCTGGAGGTCATCAAGAAAAGAAAGGAAAGAAAAACGAAGGATTTCAGAAGCAAGACTGGGATCAAGAAATAGTGGGATCGATTTCTGAAGACCTTCTGTCTAAATTGGGACCTCTGGCGGATCCTTCAAAGCTAGCTGTAATGAAGAACTGAAGTTGAAGATCTTTCAAAACAAATTTTGAGGGTGAAGTGAGCGAATACTTGGTTCGCAGGTACGGCTTCTCTTCAGAGTGCCAAGTTTACCCATTCCTAGGCGATAATCCATGTAAGTTGCCTTTTTTGAGAATAGATAGATGAGTCTCATAGTTCGTAGACTGAGGATAGTGCTTAAAAAGGCTGAATGATGATATGAGCCAGTTCAAAGTTGAAAAAAATCTGTCGTGAAAAAGAAATCGGTTTTCAGTATAGAAAGCTGGCACCGAAAAATCATGAAATTGTAGCTATAAAAAGCGATACCAGGACTTTTCTGGTCGCAAACCCAGAAAACTGAAACTGTTCACTGAAGACGACATCAAAGACTCAAATTTCAACACAACTCGAAAAAGTCCATATTCAGCCTCGTTGGCGGGTCTGTCGATGGCCGACGGCGACATCGGCATCTCCCTCGGAACCAGCGACACAGTCTTCTTCGTGACGTCATCCTATCGGCCTTGCGTCGACGCGCACTTCTTCTCGCACTTCTCCGGCAGGAACGACCTCTTCATGGCTCTTGTTTGGTCAGTTCAGGTCAATCTTTTGGATTTCGATCTTGTTTACAGCTTCAAAAACGGCTCTCTTACGCGAGAAAAAGCTCGAGAAAGTCTGGGAGTAGAATGGAGCCAATGGCAGGACGTCTTTGAGAAGACCCGCACAGGAAACAATGGTGTGATAGGCAAGAAAAAATCTCAAATCAAAATTCACTGACTAGTCCAGGATTTTTCTTTGACGCTGACGAAATCGCTCCAAACGTCAGAAAAGGAGAGAGAGTATTTGATGCTGAAGGCAGAAAAATTAGTTCGTTGGAACTGGAGGTTCGTAAAGTATATTATGGTCCGTAGTTCCTTCAACACTGGCTTGAGACAAAATTTAACGGACACCCTAAGCGAAATAGTGTGCGAGGACAAAAGGTTTAGACAATATCCCAAGCTAGCGGTCGATGAAATTCAACTTGTCCACAACCTACATGAAACTTAGGTGAAAGCTCGAGCAGTTTTCGAAAGTCAATGCCTTCTTAAGCGGTTTTACACAGAGAAACTGGGGCTTCAGGTCGGCAAAGGTGATTCCAAAGTAATTACTAAAAAAACGTACCTGGAATGTCAGGACGTCTTCTACTGACTGGTGGTGCATCGAACAACGAGGCTCTGCAACAGACGTTGGCTGACGTTTTCTCGATGGACGTCTACATAATCGACGTGCCGGATTCAGCGGCTCTCGGAGGCGCTTTGAGGGCAAGATATGGTGCTGGTTCAAAATATACACCAACAAAAAAAAAAATATTTTCTAGCTCACATGGAGCCCTCCCAACCCTACGACGAGTATAACAAGAGCGAGAAGCTGAGGAAAGTGGCGAGCCCCAGGAAAAAGGAGCATGAGACATATTCAAATATGATGCCGAGATTCGGAAAACTTCTATCTGAAATATAAAAAGAAAAATTGTGGAGAATGAAATGATTTATACAAGATCTGGGCACAACCCGATTGGCAACAATCAGTACAAATATTTTCTGCAACAAAGAAGAAAAAAATTGAAAAAATCAGTCGAGTGTAGCGATAGCCTTGTAGTATTCCTGCTGGTTCGCCGCTTTCTGGTTCTTCGTTCGTGCCAACTTTCCTTCGAAGCCGTTTGATCTGGAGTATCGTTTTTCCGTGTTTGGAATAAAAGGTTGGAGACAACCTGTCCACACCGTCCCAGCGATACCCAGGAGAAATCATGAAACGATTTGGATCCCAATGACCGGTGTACATTGGGTACACTGTAACAATATCTTTTCACTTCAATGAAGATTTCGCCTCACCGTCTTCGCCTCGATCAATCGCCGATTCTCGTTTCCGTTTTCTCAACATAGCTGCCATTGGATCTGCCTCGTGAAGTTGCTGAATTGAATAATCTTTGCGATCCAACGCAGATTCTTAAGTCACATTGACAAAATCATGATGGTTAGATGCGCAGAAGGGACGAAAATTTTTAATAGAAAGTGGGATGGAAAACTTCTAAAAGTTACTTCTGATACCAATCCATGGAAAAACGCGCAAAGAAACTCTGGAGAATTCAAAATAACTTGAAGATATATTTTATAATTTTTTTTCCGATATTATCGAAAAAAGTTTGAGTTTTTCTCATCGAGTTTCATCGAGTGAACTTTATTGAAACTTTCTTACAGAGGGCAGGATCAAAGTTTGATAAAGCTTTTAGTAGATGGCAAAATCCTCCGAAAAATGCGCAAACACTAGTCTTTCCTTTTCCTCTTCCAAACTGACCTCCTTGAGGTACCGGTTCATCTCCTCGTCGTCGTTGCGACGTGCGACGGGCTCAGCCGCGACTCGAGCCATTTCTTCGAGTCGCTCGGCGCGATCCTTCACTTGGGCGACGCCCTTGTTCCAGTCCTTGTACTTCTCCTTCAGCTCTTCTGTCTTCTTTGCCTCTCGTTCCTTCCTCGCTCTCTCCTCCGGCGTGTCTTTGCCTGAATTCTCCCGTCTCCAAACTTCACACGCTCTCTCTCTCTCTCACCGCGTTGGATTTGCTTTTTGCGATGAACTGTTTCCGCATCTCGACCACTTACATTCGCATCAAGCTCATCAAACATCTGGGAATAAGTGATTTCATCAAAATACATCGGGTAAAGGCTAGTTTTCTATACTTTTCAAGAAAACTAGCCAAAACATGAATGATTTCAAAATCTTCGATTCCCAGACAAAAGAAAACCTTGGCTTCCCTAGCCCGAAGTCGATCGCTTTCCTCTTTCAGAGCTCTAGCTGATTGCAGTCCTGCCACCTGAGAAAAATGATGTTAAATTTTTTAAAAAACTTTGATGAGTTGAGAGATAAAAAAAAACCTTTCCATCCAATGTTTTTTGTTTTGAATTTTCCCTCTCATCATCACTTTCTCTTTTGATTCTTTTTGGAGAAGAAGGCCGCCTCGATGTTTGAGCTGAAATTGGGGCAATCTGAATTTTAATTGCAAAGAAAGCGTCTGAGGTGAACATTGCACACCTGGTTTTCTAGGACAAACGCTAAGCCACTATATACTACACTACATTAGAAATACGAGAAAAAATTTTTTTCCAGGAAATCAGATAGATCCCGTTCTCAAACTTTTTTCAATTTTAAACGGGCTTTTCTTCAATAACCCTATTGGGCTCAGCGAATAATCGTTTCTTTTTTATAAATGAGAGTGCCAACCACAGGAGTATGGATCAGATCTGCGTTGTTAACCTCTGACGATTCCCTCGTAAGAGCAAATTTAGGTTTTTATTCAAAAAACATTTCACGTGAAATTTCTAACTTTTCAAGCTTCTCCGCTACAAATTTACACGTCCCTTATTGATCCTTTTTTTTGTTATTTTCGCTTAACCGGTAGCAAACTTCAACGTTTCTCCTCAGAAAAAAAAAACTCACGCGACTGTCGACGATTCTTTCTAGGCGGGGAGCTATCTGAAACTGGCTCATATTTTCAAGCAAACAAGACAGAAATTGGGAAAATAATCCTATGGTTGAAAAAAAAATACCGGAGTTTCTTCGATATCTTCTTGGCGGCGACAAATCAGCTTCTTTTTTGAGGCGTTTCGGTGATGGGCTCCCTGGAAATTTTTAATCCTCTTTGTAAAGTTCGAGCGAATGAATGTACTCTCTTGGCGTGATCTCCGGGGCGGTGAACTATCTGGAAATAAACAATTTCCTTCAAACACTGATAATTTATTACCAGAATCGTGGCGTTTTCTGGGCGGCCGAGGAGGCGAATTGTCTGCAAAAAAAAACTATTTTTAAGTGTTTTTCTAATTATTTTTTATTCATTATCTTCTCTGTAAAGACCAAGATAGAAACAAAACTTCGAAATTCGACAGAAATTAGGGGGAAATTTTAGCGACCCACGAAAACTCATGAAGCTGCTAGTTTAAGTTATATGTTGATTCAGCTTTCTTTGAAGCCTTATTTTACTACCATTTCCAAACTGCGCAAAAAAACCAATTCACATTTTTTTAAATAAATTCTTTCAATTAAATTCTTAACTATCGTACACTTTTTTTCTGCAAAAAAATAAACAATTTCCGCTGATAAAGTTGAAATATTACAATAAATGACGAAATCTTCTCACCAAAATCATGACGCTTCCTAGAAGGTCGCGGGGGTGAATTATCTGAAAAGATAGGATTAAAAAAAGTCCCTCAACTTGAAAAAAATAAAACAGAAATAATAGTAATAACCAGAATCATGGCGTCGCCGTGCGGGTCGAGGAGGCGAATTATCTGGAATTTTTTTGAAATTCATGACGTTTTTTTACCATTTTTCTTAATTTTAAAAAAAAACTGCTGACCAGAATCGTGCCGTTTTTCTTGAAGGTCTTTGAGGTGAGTTGTCTGAAAAATTATATGTAAATTTCTTTCTAAAAAAATAATTTAGATTCACCAGAATCGTTTCGACGCCTATTCGACCGAGAAGCTGAATTATCTAAAAAGTAGAAGTTCAAAAAAATTATAATTCGAAAAAAAGCCGGAGGAATGATACTTGCCAGAATCATGTCGTTTTTTTTCCACGGGGAGGCGATTGGTCAGAATCGGAAGAATCGTGTCTTTTTCTTCTAACAGGCGAGTTATCTCAAATTGTATCTTATGATCTTCCTATTCAGCTTAAAATACCTTCGCTGCCGCTCGAATCGTGTCTTTGCCGTCTTTTCGTAACGACAGAAGCTGAAAATTACTTTTTAATAGCACCAAAAAATATATTATTCAAATATTTGAGTGAAAATTTACATTTTTCCTTAGAGCTGGGCCGATCAGGGGAGGATGGCTCTTCTGAAAGTTATTTTTTTCGGAACTGAATAATTAAAACAAAGAAAAAACTAACGTTTTACCACATCTTCGACTTCTGCGAATGTTTTCTTGAAACCAGGTACAACTTTGGCCTGAAAATTGTGTTTTTTCAGCCTTCAGAAGTAAAAACAAACCTTTGTGACAATTTGTTTTATAACTTCCAATTCTTCTCTTTCTTCGTCGGATCCATATTCTTTGATTTTCGCAGCTTCTACAGAAAGGAACCTGTCATCTTCAACGATCTTCATTCTGAAAAAAGGATATTCTTGAACTAAAAAAAATTGAAAAAAGAGAAAACTTTAACCGACCCCGCCGGCTTGAACATCGTCTTCTTCTTCTTTTTCTTTTTCTTTTCATCATTCTCAGCACCACCTGATAGATATTTCTTCAGATACTCTGCTCGTAAGGACATCTGAAACTTTTTCAATTCAATTTCATATTTCTGAAAAGTTTGGAAAGGAGAAACGCGAAACCGGTGTAAAGTTAAACTAAAACTTTCAAATGTCTTCGGAGTTTCCTTAATGATTGCAAATAAACGAAAATTGAATCAGAAACTGATGCATTAAATAAAAATTTGGAAAGATGAAATTAAAAATTTCGAAAAAAAAATTATTCTGTGGAGCGCACTTGCTCGCTCGAAGAGGTCTCGGTGTTTTTTTTTTCAGATCTTGACTTTTTCAATTTCTGACTTTATTCACCATATACCTGGGACGCGATGAACTCGCTAATTTAAATAACTATTGCTCACTAGAAACTTCTCGAAGAAGAATTTTTTCTTAATAGTTCGCAGGGTCTTGAAGGCCAAACCGCTTCGCCTGCCGATCTGAACTCGCGCATCTTCTGGTGGAGTACACAAGCGAGTCCAGAAAATGTATAGCGGTATCTGTGGCTAAAATAAGAGTCTGAAGTCTAACGATGGTACCATACGGTAGCACCTCTGCGAAAATTTAACAGAATACGGTAGAATTGAGGTAAAACGGCGAGGACTATCTGTAGAATAGAGCTGAAATGTATACTGTAGATCTCACGATGGACATGTTATACGATATTCACGATGTGTTTTGAGATATATATTCGTGGTAAGGCATAGTGCGCAGCTGCGAATTTCAGATACTATTCACAAGTTAAATCTGTTTTTGATGCATCAGAAAAAAAAATTGATAACGAAAAAATTTATTGGGTGCATAAGGAAGCTAGCGGTGAAAGAGGTGAAAAAAGACAAATGATGTGAATTCACTGAAAGCAAGGCGAAGAAAAAAAAATCAAATCCATGGCCCGAAACTTTTATAAAACTTTATATTAATCGTATTGGCGGATGAGGTTTTCAAAAAGAGTGAATTAAAGTTATAGATCTACTAGCGACTGATAAAGGTTAGTTCCGTTTTCAAAAAACACGATTCAAGAGTAGGAATGAAAGCAAAGATGAGTAATAAAAAGATGGAAAAGTTTATTTTTGAGCTGCTGTAGACTGCTGGTTGTAGTCATCAAGTGAGGCGGGAGTGAAGGCATACGGTAGGAGATCCTTGACTTGTGACTCGAAAATCTTATTGCTCGTTGAAGAGCCAAGAATCACCTTAAAAATAATTCATATAAAAAGTGAGAGATCCTCAGAAGGAAAAAGTTTGCGGAGACTCGCAAATTTCTTTTTTTATTATTATAAGTTTTCGTTGTCGATAAATATTTGAAACTAAGCTTCATCGAACCAAAACGCCATAAATCAAAGATTTTCACGTATTTGCTTACTTTGTAGTTGCCAAACTCGACGAGGAACTGGCGACAGAGGCCGCAAGGGGCCGCAGGATCGTCGAGAGCTGTGACGATGGCGATCGCATCGAACTTACGGTGGCCTTGCGTCAACGCAGAGACGACGGCTGAGCGCTCCGCACAGATCGTGCCGCCGTAGGAGGCGTTCTCGTGGTTCGCGCCGACGATCACCTCCCCAGACTGGGTCCTCAGAGCTGCTCCCACTTGGAACTTGCTGTATGGACAATAAGCGTTCTTCATGACTTCACGAGCTCGATGCACCAGATCCTGATCCGCGACGCTCAGCTTTTCCATCTTCTCCTGAAAATGTGAGTCAAAAACTTCAGACTTGTATAAAATTATTTAACAAACGAAAACTTTATGTGGTTTAACTTTTTCTACATTTTCATAAGAAAAAAACTTCGAAGATTTTGGTGAAAACCCAGGTAGTAGTTTCATCTGCACAAAATATTTGATCTGAAGAGGTGAACTTGGAATAGGAATACTTGCTCAATCCTTGTCAACGAATCAGCCTTTTTGAGAAACATTGAAGATTGCATTGATCCTTTTCAAAAGCCCGCGCAGCTAGCGACTTTGGAACAACTTCCTTCAGACATTCGAGTGTTTTTTTGAAAAAATTCATGAAAATTGCCAAAACCCGCAACGAAATCATCTCATTGTCTGGACACGAAGAAATAAAGCCTTTATTATTATGAAGGGATAAAAGATTTTTTTAAACCATAAAAAAATCCCTTTGGGTGAAACAAAAAAATGTCTGTTTTATCATCAGAAGTTTTTGAACGTGAATGATTTTATGCATTGTTTGTTATGAACTAGATGGGATGAAAAAAAAAACAAGCGCGATTTCAAAAGGCAACTTTTCCGATTTTTTCGTATCGCTAGGGAACTTTCCGACGGCCACCTTTCCGCGCGCCGAAATCCTTTCCGACTTTTTTCCCTTGTATTTTTCGGTTTATAAAACATCTATTAACATTTTTTTTCCTATTTTGTTGTGTTTTAAGCATGAATAACTTGCCTACTTTATATAGGATGATCTAAAAAAGAAGAGTTAATCGAGAAAAAAAGTCGGAAAGGGACTCGGCGGAAAGGTGGCCGTCGGAAAGTTCCCTAGCGATATAGAAAAAAATCGGAAAAAGTAACCGTTTGAATTTTTGCTGGTCTTTTTTCATACCACCATAAACTATTAATACAAAGAAAAAAAAATCTCCTCTGCTCACGATTAGTAACCGATTCAGTTCATTAACACTCACTTCGAAGTTTAGATTCAATAAACGGAAATTTATTGAAGGCCTTGGATGAGTCAGAAAATATAAAAATATTTTTTCCTTATACAAACTTGGGATACTTCCGATATGGAATTTAAAAAAAAAGTATCTTATAGAAGAAAAAAGAAAAGTATTCAAAAGCAATATAAATTAATTGACATGATATAGCTGATTCACGGCTGGCTTGAGACATCGAAATGTCCTTACACGAAAAAAAGGAGACAGTGCCTGGTTGGTGAAGAGCGCAGACCAGTCACACTCCCTCAGTGTCCCGAGTTAGCCGTGAACCGGCTATATTTGCACTTCTTGAAATATAATCACAAAGTTTCCTGAGCGTAATTCGTAGAAAAGCCCTCATATTTTGTAATTACTTTTAAACGTTCTAAACACCTAATTTTGCAAAAAATTTTGTAGTATCAACAAAAAAGAGACAAATAAAATTGGACTGGAGCGTGGATGTTGACACAGCCTATGTGTGAGACAAAACTTGATCAAATCGATAACTTATTTGATGAGCTCTTATCGTTCCTCTTGGAAGATCAGTGCGTAACAATAGAATAGGAGATGATAATTTGAGCGACCGCGTGCATCATAAAGAGTGATGATAAAAAGGATTAAAAGTTATTTTTTTTTACATGATGGAAAAAAAGAAAATTGAGCCGAAGAGAAAACGGTCAGGAAAAATAAAATTGAAAATAGAACTGTTAACAAAATGGCTTTCCTAATCTTATTGATCCCTCTCAACTTTGAGAAAACCCTATTTCTGTTCAAATAAGTTCCAGATATTCTGAAAACCAATCAAAAACACTTTATATCCGCAAAAAAAAAACATTTAAAACAACGAAACCCAAAAAACATCTTGAAATTAAAAAAAAACCATGTATACGTATAATGCATAAAAGAGCGCAAATATGTCGAATGGCGGAATGCATTTAGTTTTTTGGCCATAGAAGAAAACGTGCACTATGACTATGCTCAAATTTCAAAACAACAAATTATGAAAGCGGACTTTGATAGCAATTTGAAAAAAGCTCTTGAATCGTGATTACAGACGGGCGCAAAATAAGTGGAGCACAAAGATTTCAATAGCAACCCACCTGTAAAACACGCTTTCGGGTTGAGCAGAACTTGGAAAAACATTTAACCACTCCAAAAACTACACAGAGAAAAAAAATTTCAAAAAAAAAAGTACGGGGAAAAAGTAAAGGTTAGGGTCTGTACACATATCACAGTATTGCTCTTTGATGGGTAAAAACTGAAAGAAAAAAAAGTTAAAAAATCGTCCGATAAATGGCGTGTCCTGAAACAGTCATCAGCAAAAAGGAAAGAGAAAGGAAGGAATAGCAAATGAAAGATGTGTTCTTCGTAAATGAAACACCAATTGGCGTAAAACTCGATGTTCTTTGTGTAACGCACAAATACCACACATTTCGCTACAGTAACCGACGAACAATTTCAAATTTCAAAATCGAAGAACACACCGTTCATCACTGAAGTCATATCAAAAATTTCAACTAAATGCAAGCCGCAACTGTGCCAAGGCATCGGAAAGTCAGAAACGTGGATAAAAACAATGAACTTAGTATCGATATGTCCGATGGTTGGAGCGGTGCCAGCTTAAAAAGCGATAAACGCACTTCCTCGACTAACAAAATATAAGAAAGAAGCGAAGAATGACATTCACGAAAGTAAAAATAGAAGGGAATACGTTAAAAGGGTGAAATAATATGGCTATGCGACACTATTTCAGGAACGGCAAGACCCAAAACTTAAAACTTTCGACTTTCATTTGAAATTTCTTATCTGAAATGACTCAATTTCTATTTTGAAAACGGAGATTTTAAGTTTTTGTTCAGGCGTAACACGACCAAAACATCATATCGCAACGAATGGAAAAAAATGGGGTCAGAAAAAATATTTTCTTCTGCATCTCAGAAACGTAGAAAAAATCATAAGTAGTCTGAAAGTAGAAAGGCTCTCTGTACACTTGACTAGAATTTCATTCGGCTGATCGTCAGGAAAATCTGAAAGCTTTTTATTAGAAGAAGTTTTTTTTGAGGCGATGAGCCTGGTTTCTGATACAACTCCAACGGATTTTCTTCATTTTTATTGTAATTTACAGAGAAAACTCACTTCAAATTAAGAAGAAAATGGTAGAAAGATGTGAAGCGAAGATTTTCGGTTGAAAATAGGCAAAAACCCAAGTCTGAAGTTGCTTCGACGCAATTTGATACATTGCGAGCGATCAACCAATCTGAAATATGTTTTAATCGAACTGCAACTCGACCAAAGCCAGTAAAATAAGAAATCGAAAGAATTTGATATAGAATGAGTACCAAATATGGACAAAGTCAGAGTGAATGTTTAGTTCAGCTGCGACGATGATAAGGGCAGTAAAAAAGAGGCGTGGCTTTCCTAGTTGAGAAATTCAAGATAGTACGAAATGTGATTAAAATATACGAGGATTGTACAAAATTGATTCGCCATGAACAAGAACAAGAGTGGGAATGAATTTGTGGGAACTCGAGAGGTCTTATGAGAATGGGAACCTTCCAGCGGCGCTACATCAATTCTATTCCTATTTTGTATCCAGGCGATTAGAAAAACGATAGACTCCAATAAAAATATCAAAAAGTTTATCAGAATATTGAAAAAAATGTATTCAAACCTTCATTAAATATTGAATCTAACGTTCTGTAGGAAAAAAATTTGTTCAGCCAATAACTACTTTTTTTCCAAAAATCAAACGTCCGAAAGAGAGTACCAGAGAAAAAAATCATAAAATTGCGAAAACAATTTTTCCCTATTTATTCCGCGATTCGTCATCATTTCAGAGTGAGAGTTCTAGAGAAAAAAAGAAAGCAGAAATTTCCAATTATTCCATTTTTGAAGGCCTAAAAATGATTCTAGGTCTTATATATTCGCCAATGCTTCAATCAGACAAATTAAAAAATTTTTTTTTCGAACCGGACCCAGTCCTGTTTCATGGTCGCGCCATTTTAATGACTCTGGAACGTCTTTTTGGCTTCATTCTGCTCCTTCAAAAACTTCTTCCGAGCATTCTTCGAATAAAATAAATATCTACTCAGAGCCGCTTTGAGACCCACAATCTACAGTTGGAAGTGCAAAAAGAAGCCCAAGGGACGAGAAGTCGGCTCATTATCAGTCGAGCTGCTGATAAGGAACCTCGGCCGTGCAGACAAACACTCGAGGGACCGCGCTGGCGCCAGCTTCTGCCTTTATCATCGTTTGATAGGCATTCAGAAGATGGTTTCTCCTAAAATTGTGGGGAACGTTTATAATGTCAATCAGTCAACAAAAGAAAGAGAAAAACTGTATGCGTTACATGGATAGTTCATAGATGTCTCAGAAATTACATTCTGTAGTCAGATAAACTTCATTATGATCTCAACTCATCCGGTTCTAATAACATTTTTATTTTCGACTACCTTTATACATGCGAAATTACGTTATTTTTTGAATGTAGATGTCTGTTTGAACAAATCACAGAAATATGGACACATTAATACAAAAAAGTCCGTTTATTATGGAAAAAGCCGTTGGTAATATTAAAAAGTCAGTTTTGTTGGCTTTTCAGGCATCTGAGAGAATATTGAAATTGTTAGAGGGTTTTGAGTTTTATTAAAAAATTTCAAACAACAATTTTCGGGGAAAGGGCTTTACTCTATGTAGAAAGAATCTCTTATTGTAGTTTTGTTGAAAAAATGATCTTTTAGAAAGAATTGACGTCAGGAAATTGATGAGTGATAACGAGCCGAGCACTGACAACGTGCCGATAATGAGCAGGTGCAAGGGCATCGAGCTCGTGACGCAAATTAGCGTGTACACTAATTGCCACCGCTCGCCCCGCCCCCATTTCTTCAGGTATTCAGCCTTTGTCGGCAGGTGCACGGCTCAATACGAAACGAAATGTGAAAAGGGAGAGAGAAATTAGTGCTACATGATGGGAAACTCAAAATGAAAGATACTCGGAAATCCCATTTTCTCTGCGACTATTTCGAATTGAAAAGGGCTAGAATAAAGACAAACAGATTTTGTAGAACTATTTAAGAGTTAAAAAAAATATAGTCCCACAAGGATTTACTCAAAAGAGAACAGCTCAAGGCGGCACTTCTGAATATTATAAAGTTCACGAGATGCATTAAATCTGATTTCATTGTCGTCCTAAAAGAAGAGAAAATGAACAAAAACGTTAAAATTCGTTGTCCTTTATATACGAAATCAAAGATTTTGGAAAAGACCATTCTTCCATACAATTATTTCTCTTCTTTGAACCAAAAATCCATCGACGAAATGACTACAAAACTTCAACTTACTACAAAACGCTTAATGAAGATTTTTATGATAAATTTCAGAATTCGCTCGATAACTGCTGAATACGGTAAAAGAAGAAAAACTATACGAAAAGGGCGGAAAATGAAGCGGCGAAGAAAGGAAATGCGGGTTGCCAGGCGAAGTCGCGTAGCCATGCCGCTTCTTTCTATCATTTCTCCCGCTTTACCCAAAAAAGTTGTTTTCACACGCAGCGTGAAAAGGTATTATACTTTTTCAATAAAGTTGGCAGAGATAAAGAATCGACGAATTATTTCCGCCTCTGACGTAGGTACTCATTAGGCTTCATTCTGTTCCTTTTTGACTCCTTCATTTTATTCAATGCCAACAAAAAATGCCCTTTCCCAGGTGCTTTCAGAAAACTCTGTTCGACCTTTCACAAATATTAAAGTAGCGGAAGTGAAGGTGAAAATTATTTAATTTTTGAAAATTCAATTCAAAAGTGGGTTTTAATACGAAACTTTCAAAATTTGAGTTTGGGTCTGAAGTGGAAACTTATTGTGTTATTTGAATCATGACGACCTGAGAGAATTTATCATGAAAATATTCCCGGTAAACAGTTTTGGAAGCAGAAAAAATTATTTTTGAGCCTTCACCTCACAATACCAACACTTTTTGTTAGAAATTTCCAAAAATGATTTTGTGAATGGGACTCTCTAGCGTTAAAGTTATTAATTTCGAAGTTCGCGACTTCAAAATTTCTTTTTTGACCGCAAACATCACGAATACCGTATGTAACTCGCAGACTCCGATAAAAAGGTTACCAGTTGAATTTGTCGGCGGAAAAAAGGACAAAAGACGAGGAGAGCAGGGATGGAAACGTATCGGAAATGTACGATTCGACGGCGCCCGAGGGCGTGCACAGGAATTATGACAAATGCATAAAAACGTAGCGGTTTTGTGGGGGGAAACATGGCGGGACAGGGAGAAGAACTGAAACGGCGAATCTCGCTGCAAAGTACGGTGGCTCTGAAATCACTACTTCGGAGATAATTGAAGGTTTAATTGGCTGTTGAGGATTTCTTTTTTCTACGAGGAAGTCAAATTTCATGATTTCAAGTTACTGGAAATGTTGCGTATTCAAGGATGATGAACATTTATGCAAAAAGCTGCCAAATGCAATGAATACTTTTTTTTCAATGAATAAATCCAAATTCAATGAAAATTCAATGTCCAAATTCAATGAATAACTTTCTCGGAAAAATTTAAAACTAAAATTTAAAAAAAAAGTCTTCCGAACAACTGAAACTGCTAAAATTTTTTTCAAACTTGACTGCTTGAATATAGAAAAGCCGAAAGCCTTTTATTACCAAAAATTGATAGATCCATAATTTAAGATTAGTAGAACAACAACAACAACAAAAATGCGAATAAATACTCAAAAGTAGAAGTAAGCGAAAAGTACTGATTAAAAATGACTGAAAAAAAACAACAACAAAAAAAGTTACCTTGTAAGTTCATTGTTAAATAAGAAGGATAAGCACAGTAAGTCTGCAACTTGACACTAACTCATAACTCTATTTGATCTTTGATTTCAACCCCCAAATGAAAAAAAAAAAATGATGACATGAAAGCCAAAGAAATGCCCAAAGGAAACATAAAGATGTATTCGACACCGGTGGAGGAATTTAGAGGGAAATCGGGGATTATTTAATCGCGAGATCTCATGCCGAAGACGCTGCGGAACTTGTCGTCGTACTCGATGAAAAGCTCCTTAATCGCGGCCGCAACGGCGTCTTGAGGACGAGCCACAGCCTCCATTCCCGCAGAGAGACGTTGCAGGATCACCTGTCGAGTTCATTTTAAAATCAATCAAAAACGTTTCAGTCCTCCTTTTTTCTGCCCGGATTTTTTTTCAGTTTTTTTTTACTTTTATGAATTTAGAGAAACTATAGTCAATGTTTTCCGACTTGAAAGGGAGGCGGGGCAAGGGGCGGGACGCGAAGCGTGATGCACACATGAACAAAATCAATAAATAATTGGAAAAGGAATGAAAAGAGCGAAAAACGAGCTCTCCAAACAGTCGCTGGCGGTTGAGTTGAACTCGTGCCAAGAGCCGCATGCGCACACGCTACGCGTCTCGCCCCTTGCCCCGCCTCTCTCGCCTTTCAAGTCGGGAAACATTGACTATACAACAGAAATTTCATAGTTTGAGTCTCCTCGAAAAAGAAAAATTTTTTAGACTTTCCGTGTAATTTCATTGAACATTTTTGAAGTAGAAAAATCGCTCACCACAAAGTCGTGGACGGCGAACCACATTTGGGAAATAGGCAAGTCGTTGACCGTCCTCAAAAGCTCGCGACTGCCATGAGTGAAGAAATCGATGGCGAAAGCGTTCAGGTAGATCTGGAACGATGGAAAGAAATGATTGAAGCAGGGCTGGAACGGCTGAACCTTGCGTCCGCGATGATCTCTGCGGTCAAAGTCGAGAACCGGTAGGAAAGACTCGTCGTGGGAGTAGCCTTCGTAAACTGGCGACACCAGATGCTGAGAGGAAATGGAGAACGAATCATCGCTGATCAGACCCGTGGCTCGGAAAACAGGATCCTGAGCAAAAAGAGATGTCTTCCAAATTAGCAATTTCAAAAAGATGCTGAATGAAAAAACAAGCTCCGTTTATTTTTCAATACTTAATTACTCCGAAAAAATAAAATAAAAACTTGCACAACTCACAACAAGATTACCATCCTTGGACGCAGCGGCAAGACATTTCTTGTAGATGCCTGTTACCAGTTGGTTGTACTCCTTGGCGTGTTGTTGGAGCTCCGAAGGCAAGCCGGACAGAACAACCTTAAGAAGATGAATGGACGTCTGTCCTAGAAGACAATTCGACTTGCAGATTGCCCTCTTGGCCTGTCTTTTCGTCTGGGTTGTAAGAAGCCGACATGCGACGTGTCGTGAACAGATTCGCCAAAACGAGCAGCATGGTTTTCTTCGCTTTTTCTGGTCCACCAGCGGCCTACGATTTTTTGTTGCAGAAGTTAAATTTTTATTGCATAAAAAAAAGTCGCACATTCCTGAACCTCATCAAATCATTCTCACCTTAACCAATCGATGGAAGCATCCTTTTTGAAGAAGGTAGATGAAAAGCAATGTTCCAGATTCTCCGGCTTGCAGATGCATCGCCAGTTCAGCCAAATTTTTGGCAGCACCCTGAAAAAAATGAAAACGACTGAGACTCCATTTAGAAACGAACAAATGGCGTGACGAGTTGCAAATGTCGGAGCAGCTGCAGAGCGAAGGCGGAGAACATCCGAAGTTGGACAGGCAAATGGCCTTCCTGTGCCTCGCGACGAGTTACCAACGAGAAAGAATGGTTCAGAAGAGACATGGCCGTCTGGAAAACAAGGTCGGTTGATGCCAAGGCTTCTGATGACCAACATGAGCTCTCTGCTTGATATTGGTGATGGGCTGGCCAACAGAGTCCTTGACGTCTTTCTGGTGCACATACGCCAGAAGCCGTAGCAGGAAGGTGACCGTGAAGGGCGGATTTCCTTGCAAGTTGGACAAAGAAGCCGTCAAAAGTCGACGCATTTTGCTGGAAATCAAGAAGTTTGTTGAATGAGGAGTGTGTGAAACCTAGTGGGGACAGCCATGAAAATGACGGTTCCAGAATGATCGAAGCCTCGTCGTCCAGCACGACCCGACATTTGGCGGTAGAGAAGCGGGGTGAGCATCGGTGTGTCGACGCCGAAGATGACGGATTTGCAAGGCATGTTCACTCTGAGAAGAAGAAGGGGGTACAGAAGGAGTTTTAATGAAGAATTACCCGAGAGCTAAAGTCGAAGTGGAGAAAATGATTCCGAGGTGTCCTTCTCGGAAAAGAACTTCTACAGCTCCCTTCTCAACCATGTTCAAACCGCCGTGATGGAAACCGATTCCGCGCTCAAAAAGTCGCAGTAACAATCTGAAAGGGAAACAAGCTTTATTTTTTTTCTCTGTAGTGTTTGAATAAAATAAAATGAATGGATAATGTAATTATGATGAAGATAAATAGAAAAACATGGAAAACAGGTAAAACAGAGCATTATTTACAAATTTGACGAGCACTCTACGTCAAAAAATATCCGGTTTTACACTAAGAATAACTGCCGAGATAAACGCGAGACGCTGGCGGTACATTGACGAGCTCGCAAACATCTCGCGTTTTTTCTCGCGCCGGTCTCGCATTTTTCTGGGCGCCAGCTCGCACTTTTCTAGGCGCGAGCTCGCATTTCTCTCGCAATCTGAAAATTTCCGAAATGCAAGACAAATGCGAGGTCGCGCCTAGAAAAGTGCGAGCTGGCGCCCAGAAAAATGCGAGATCGCGCCTAGAAAAAGGCGACATTTTTGCGAGTTCGTCAATGTACCGCCACCGACCTCGCGTTTATCTTGTCAGTTATTCTTAGCGTATTCATTTTTTTTTTTTTTGAAGATTTTTTTTGTTGGCTGTATCACCTGATGACTGGCCCTTTCCGACGCTCATTTTACTCTACGAAAGTAGGAAAAAAGAAAAGGCAAAGGCAAACTTTGTGCTCTCGCGACTCTTGGCGTTTCTCTGCATACGCTCGACCATCTTGGTGTAAACGTCGGGGTCGCCGCGACGTCCTTTCACTTTGAACTGCTCGAGAACTTGGGCGATTCGGGCCTTCTGCGAGGCCAGGGCGTCGCCCATCGAGTCGTCGTCGCCGTCGGCGCCCGCGTCTTCGTCGCGATGCTCTCTGTCCGACTGAATACAATTATTTTCTTCCAATGGAAAAGCTCTGTACTTTTTTCTTTTTGTCAGCCGCATCACGTTTCCTCTTTGCAAGCTTCAGAAGCTTCTCCTCGTCTTTCATGGCGTACTTTGCTTTGAAATCGGCCGTGCTCACGAATTCCTGGTATCAAAAAGGTTTACACATGAACTGTGCGCGCGGCTCACTTCTTCTCTTTTCTCCAATTCTTCGCAAAGTCGGAGCGCCATCGTTTCGCAGACATGTCGTGCGTCGTTGAAGCAAATCGCCGGCAGCATGTTTTTCTGACGGAGTTCGTCGACCATCGGGGTGATGTAGTCCGAGGCGACTTCTTCCTGTATCGATCGAGTTGATCGAGATGAAAAGGGAAAGAAATTACCATGTTGAAAGGAACCGCGCGATATTCCAATTGCTTATCCACCGGTTTGGAAATGCTTGAAAGAATCTGTAAAAATGCAACCTTTTAAAGAAAATGTGTTCAAAAAAACTAACCGTCTTCAGTTTTTTCTCATCACCTTCGAGCCATTCCAAGAACCTCTCTTTGAGTTTATTTTCAAGATTTCGAAGGTTTTCACGAGAAATCCAAACGTTTTGGTTGGGCTTCAGTCCAAAGAAACGGCACGGCTCAAACTCTTTTCTGAATGAAACAATATTTTCAAAATACTTTTGTTCTCGACAAACTTGGACTTTTCGTCGACGTCAGCCAACATGGAGTAGAGGTGCAGAATCTGACGAGCTGTTAGTTGCTGATCATCCGGAATCGAGAACATCCGCAGTTTCTCCGGCATGTAGACGCCGTAGGGCATCAGCGGCTGTATGACGTCACTCGTCTCCTTCTTTTCCTTTGCTTCGTTCGCCTCCTCTCCTACAAAAGTTTTTTTCACTAATCCTAAGATATGGTACCTCTATCTCTAGTCAATTGAGCTTCATAAACATTTAATTTAGAATTTCAAGAAAAAGGTGAATAAAAATCTTTGCTGTGAAAAAAAGACGTTTTTTTATATTAATTATGTTGTTTTTTTGTTAAACAAAAAAATTATATTTGTGAACCTCTTATTTAGTTCTAATAGAAAAGCTCAGATTCTGAGGTCAAGTTTTATACACTTTTATACAGTTTTATACATTCCATAAATATCAACAAAAATGATTTCATGGGTAATCAAAGAGACAGTATACTATTTAACATCTCATCTCCTACAAAAACTAGCTCAAACCAAAAAAAGCCTTTAAAGACAGTCTTCTTTGAAATAAAATGAAAATAGGAAATCTTGGGATATTTTTTTAAAAATAAATCATCTATCAGAAGAAAAAAAAGTGGAAAACCTTCGATGGCGTTGAGAGCTTTCGGCTTGTCGATATTGAGGATGGACAACTCCAATTCGGAATACCTTTCTCCATAAACGATCAAGTCGACCTGAACAAGAAACAGAACCTTCCAAAATTTCTGGCTTTTCTCACTTTTCTCTTGCCGCCGCTTTTGGCCACCTCGCTGTCGTTAAGCCATTGATGGAGTTTGTTGGCGTTGCCGATGGTGGCGGACAAGGCCAAGAAAGGACACTGGATCAGAAGCAGAAGCTGTTCCCAGATGTGCGAGATCTCGGAAGCACTGAAAAACAAAAACTGGTTTCAACGGTGAGGATGGAAGGCGGACCCGATCGAGTGAACTTCGTCGAAAACGACGTATTTGATGTGAGAGACAAACTCTTGAACGGCCGGCGTCCTCGAGAGCAGAAGCTCTTGGAATGACTCAGGGACGGTGACGAGGACCTGAACATCAAACTCTTCGATGTATTCCCGAAAGACGGTCCGAAACCTGGCAGTTGAGGGGACTCTGGCCGTAGTCCGGAGTGAGAGTTCCAAACAAGGATTGGCCTCGAGTCATCGACTTCTGACGGAAACGAGCGTAGACCGATCCGCAAACCTAAAAAGACAAATGGAAATCTAGCAAAAATGTGCCAGGAGCTATATACATTCGAAAAACATTTTTTTTTAAACTTTTAAAGAGATTTCGACACTTTTCTTTCCTACGTCCTGGAGCGGAAGTATTAATGTGAAATATTTTGGGACCTGGTTGATGAGAGCCTTGGACGGCGAGATGTACACGACAACGTCGTCGTCACTCGATCGCAGCACTTTCTCGATACAATAATACGAAACGAAGGTTTTACCGGCGGAGGTCGGCGCGACGATCAACGCAGAGTTACCTTCAAATCATTACTTTCACTACTCTTCTTTTCTGAATAAATTTTCACACGGTGCTTCATCTCTTCAAAATTTAGGTAATATAACTCATTCTCTCCTTTTTATCACCGCAGCAACCGCAGAACATAAAAATAAAAAGAAAGCGTTTCTGAGGAAAATAAAGGGACGCAGAAGTTACATATTCCCGAAAACGTTGCGATTGAAGTGTAACAATGAGAAAAAAGAAAATAAATTTTGAAATTCTCTTAATAATGAACCCTTATTTTGCCGGTTATGAAGTTCTCGAGGCTAAATCAGAGCTTTTTCCGGCTAGATTCTCTGTGAATTTTAATATATACATACCTCAAAAAGCCATCTGTACCAGTTTTTGATCATGTTCAAAAGTGGAAATAAATCCTTTTTGAAAAACTGTCACAAGTCATTTCGTACTTTTCTCTAGAAATATGAATTGGGGGGCAGACCTCGGTCAACAGAGTCCAGCATCCGGCGTTGCCAAGCATCAGGAGCGAATCCACTGACACGGTCGTCCTAGACGGATTTACCATCATTTTCCACATTACTCAGCGAATTTCAACCTTTTTCGGGTCCGAATGGATGTCAATCAGTTCTCCGGCATACTGTAGCTGGTAGTAGATCATATTGATGCCAAGGTCAAGCTTTTTGGACTTGGCTTCGGACGAAGGCTTGGAGCCAGCGGGAGCGTCGAACCCGAGGGAGACCCACAGATCCGTGACCTGGTCCTTCTGCTTGTCTTCCAAATGCTGCCAGTGTTCCACGAAACAGTTCTTCAAGTGTCCAACCAAGTTTATCGCATTGTTTCTCCTTTAAAAAACAACAAAAACTGAATAGATTTTTAAAAAACGCTTCAAAAAGCTTTTTTTTGGGATAATTTACTCATCTGATAAGGGAAACAAACTAAATAACAATTTTTAGTTAACCAACACGAATTTTGAATGAAAATCTGTAAGAAATGAAAAAAAAAAGAAGTTGATATTTATTTCAAAAAACTCCATTTTCTCTTTCTCTCTTTTACCTCGCTTCCATGTTGTTGGCTCCTTGAAGGTGGTCGAAGAGATAACGAGCTTCACGGATCGTGATTTCAAAGGCACAAAGAGCTCGCGATTCTGGAAGGTCGAGAGAAGAGTAGAGCTTCTCGAGGAACGAGATCGCCTGAATGATCAAGTTCAGTCTCCAGAACCTCCTCAGACACTCTTACGTCTTTTCCTTGTTGGGTTCCATACTTGATCTTGACCTTCTCGCCCTCGATGATCTGCAACAAGATGATTGAAGCAGAGTAAAACTTGGTTTTAATTTCAAACCTTGAGATCTTTCGTCTTTTTATTCGCTTCAAGAATCAAGTCTTTTTTGGACTTTGCCGGTTCCTTGCCTTTCTTAGCGCCACCGCCGCCTAAAATTGTTTGAATCAACCAAGGTACATATTTAATTGAAAAAAAGGAATAGAATAATTTCCGAGTAAAAGATCTATTTAGGAAGTTAATTACGCTTTTTTTCACAAAAATCTGCATTCGAGTTCGAGAAACTTACCCATAAAAGTTTTTAACATGAATCTTTCCCAAATATACATTCCTAATCATCTTTTATTTTCTTAAAAACTATTTTTTGACATTACATTAGGACTATGTGACGGAACTATTCGATCCGAGAAGGTTAAAAAAAAAAGAATTTTCCTTCTTCCTAGGATCCACGTGTCTTTTTTTTTTGTTTCACGAACCTTCTCTGAACTTAAATCAAAATTGTTTTTTTGATTTGATCGCTGTGTGTCATTCGGAGATTCGCAATGATAGGAAAAAACTATTCAGAAAGAAATTCACAATTTTCGCAGAAAGTTTCTTAGCGGTGACGAGAATTGTTTACCTTTTTGTCCAGCCCAAGCTTTTCCTCCCTTTTTCTTATCATCTCCTGCGTTTTCGTCGTCATCCCTCGTCGCAAAACCTTTGGGGATCCGGGAGAAATCGACCAAAAGCTTCGATCCACGACCTTCCAGAGAGTTGGCGAACATTTCGTACCTTCAAATAAGCTGGATAAGAGACAGGAAAAGAGACAAAAAAGACCATCTGCTGGCATATTGACGCTGTTTGTTGGCTCTTTTCCGTTGCCAAACATCTTCGATTTTCTCTTCAGGCTTCGCGAATTCTTCTTCAATCGGTTTCAGTTTCCACTGCATCGTTTCTTGGAAGTACTCAGCGTAGTCTAAATATACTCATTCGAAAATATGAAAATAACGCGTTTTTAATAAAAAAAATATTTTTGCTAGATTTATTGCAATTAAAAATTTCTTCAAAAGTTTTTGAATCCCAAAAAACATATATTTGGAGAAGCATCTCATTCATTTCCAAACAAATAATGGCCTCTGATTACCTTGAACCTCTCCTTCTTTGACTTTTTTGCCAGAATCAAGACGAGCAATTTCTGGAACAAATCGCTTGAAAAGTGGCGAATCCGACTCGTAAAGAATAGGAAGCTGGGTGAGCGGATCTTTGGCCTACAATCATTTTTTTATTTTATTGTGAAAGGTGAGGGGTTCAGCCACCTCCGGAGACGGTTCAAAAAGACGTTCATTGGTGTCGACAGCCAGGGGAAACGAGAGTCCGGCCTTTTGGTGCAACTTGGCGAACTCCTCCTGGAGTCTGTACGGCAGGATCAGTTCGTTAGCGCAGATCTCGTCAAAGATGCCGAAAACCATCCGGCCGTCCCAGAAATCAGCCAGCTTCAACTTGGAATCCTGGAAAAACTTCAATTGAAAAGCTTTTTTTCTTCTTGATTACCACAAAGTTGGCCTTTTCAAGGAGAGCGGCCGCAGTGTTGAGGAGAAGTCGTCGGTCCCTGATTACATCAAGTCCCCGTTTCACGTTCTCCCGTTCTTTCAAATACACTCGCTCAACTCCGCGTCGGTCGCAAACCAACACAGAAAGCAGAACAGCGCAGCAAAGCGCTTCGAAATTCTCGGATCCCGATCCACTAAATGGCAGATTTTTTCAAAAATAATGATAAAGTTTGTAGGATCTTCCCACCAAATGCATTAATTTCCATATAAAGATATAAACTTTAGCCTTGGAATTACAAAAGGAAAAAAACTTTAAGATAAATCTAAAAAAATATTTTCCCAACGGAAAAATTTTTGTCTTTCCTGGAAAGAACGCTGCTGTTATTTTTTCCAGGTTTTGAAATAAGTTTTAGCCTTTACGGCTTTATTTTTTTATACTCTTTTCAATAATAAACCTGGCCTTGGCGTCGGCGATGATCTTAGCCCACAGTTCAGCAGCATTTTTGTACTCCTTGACGCTCACCGACGGATTCTTTGCGTTTCGTAGCAGTTCACCTGAGACAAAGCTGGTAAACTTGTTGATTAATAGACGATACCGTTGCAGTCCCAGTGGGCGGCCACGAAACTGTCCCAATTGTGCTTGACGACCAGTCGCGGTTGGATGTAAAACGCGTCGACCGATACGAAATTGACAGAAATCGAAAAAAGCGGAACAATGGGAATTGATCGGGAAAGCACATCGATCACTGCAAAAATAGAAGAATAGAAGCAAAAAACTGAAAAAAGAAAAACCGATGGTTTCAAGTTGTGGCGTAAAGCAAATGTCTTCCTGGGCACAAACTTCGCGAGTAACATTATCAGTTGAAATCATCTGGAATCATCAAACATGGTGAGCAAAGTTAAAATTCGAAGAACCAAGAAAGAAGGCGTCAAGTCGATAAGATACTTGGCCCAATTGGGATCGGCAGGGCTCGAAAAGTAGACGAGATCCTGAAGAATATCATAGAAAGAAAAAAGTATCAAGCCAACCTTGGCGAAAGGGCCACTGGCAAGATGGGCGACGACAGTCGCGCGCGCGAATGAAAGGATCGTGTCGCGGGCGAATTGAGCGCCAAGGTCAGTGAAAACCACCAACTTGAACTTGCCGCCAAGGTCCACGAACTGCTGCAGAAACCGGTCGACCTGAGAAAAAGCAGTTGAGCGCGAGGAAAGTCCAAAAATTTTGAAAATTTACAAATAACGTCAAACCAAAAAAATAGGGGCCTAATATTTTATTTTTTATATGGTCATTTTCTACCTGAATATATACAAAAAAACTTTAAAAATTTCGATCTGTATACATAGATGTAATACTATTTAAAGTACATTTAATAGGCACAAACCGCTTGGACCTCAAATTTCATAAAAACTAATTGACACACGAAATCAAATCAAAAGAAAAAAATAATTCTTGAAATCGGATAAATATAACTTGAACCAACATAAGGATTGAATAGAAACCTGTTTAGTGAGAACTATCGACTGGCCAGCAAGTTGCCAATTGTGGTATTTATGAGCCGCGCATTCGATAATCAAACTATCAAGGGAAATCAGAAAAATCTCGACGTCGGCGAACTCCGACACAATATTCCGGTACTCACATTCGAACTGTGATATGATCTGCAAAAAACTCCCTCATTATTAACATATTTACCAAAATCTTGGAACCTTTTTCATGTTGGTCATCGTATCGAAATCCAAAGTTAGAATCTCGGCTTCAAGATCTATCATATCGTCTAAATCCTCGCTTCCCACGGAGAGAGCGTCCGAATCCGACTAAAACGTTTTCAATTTTCTTCTTTCTGCGTTGTTCCGTGCTCAAAGTAGTTCCGCAAAATTCAAAAAAACCGTCAGAGAATGGTAAATATAACTAAATTTTGAAGAGTCATAAATAATTTTGAATTTCGCGGAAATTTCTTTGGATACGACATTAGTATGAGCAATTGGGTACAGTATCTGCAACGAGCGGTTGTGATGTATATCCATATTTTCCCCCCATATAAAAATTCCTTTATAATTGTTTACAAACTAAGATTCTCAGAATTTATCAACTTCTAGCTTTTATTCTTATATCGCTAAGATTGGGCTGTTCTGGGAATCTGCCTATAAAAAAATTACAAGAAATGAATGATTTGTTAACCTTTATTTCAAAAAAGTCAAATATGCTAGCAATCCTTTAAATAACAAAAACTTTTGATGAAGATCTTTTAATTTTAAAGTATTCAAGCAAAAAAAAATAGTTACAATTCATTGATTAATTCGAACAAATTTTTTAAAAAGAACCTCTAATTTTAAAAACGAAACATCGAGAATTCTTTTTTCATAACAGGACCATTTAAAACTTACGTCGTCATTTTTGACAGACCCATGAACGGAACTCTCCAAAATTGCAGCCTCAAAACGTTAATCATTAGAGCTTCGAGAAAAAATGAACCTTTTCCAAACTTTTGGCAATCGAAGGCTGCCTGGCACGCGGCAGGATCACCGGCTTCTCCTCGACAACAACGTTCTCATTCTCACTATCTGTCACAAAATAGAGCTCATATCCATTTTTCTTGATTATAAAAAATAATATAGGAGATGAAAAGAACGAACCAGTATCATCCCAATTGGCGGACATCCCTTCGTTTCCTTTTTCAAGAGTTTGAAATATATGCCGATGGGCGGAGATAAAATGACAACAATTACTGAAATATACTAACTTGATTGAGCATAATGAGTAAAAATGACAGATATTCCTCTGGTATACGACCAGATAGAACAACAAAGTCGGAGACTTTTTCTCATAAACCATAATTTATTATCACGCAATCTCAAATAACACAGGAATAGAACCAGCACAGAAGATCCCAGATCCCCAAAGAAAAAAATACAATAAATAATCTATAAATTAACTGATGGCGATCAAAACTACTAATTGAAGAACCCCAGGCAGAAAACGAAAACAACAGGTGAAATAAAAAGAAATGGGAACTGGAGGATGACCTAGGATAAAAAAATAAAGCTTTTATGACTAAAAAGACGATCCTCATTCACCAAGTATCAAAAACCGTAGCTCTTCCGTGACACAGAAAGAGAAGGCGTCATTTACTGAAACAATCAATGCGACATTAAATTTAAATAGGCAGTTCCATGGCTTTTTGTGTCTGGACGACGCGGGTGACGTAAAGGTAGAAGAAATCGGCGTAGAGGACAGTCTGGATGATGCCGGCGACGGTGGCGATGGGGTCGAAGTAACCTTCGGAGTAGTAGCGGTAGATCCAGTTGAGGAGGTACAGGCCGCGGTAAGAGCCCAGGGCGAAAAGATAGTGAGCAGTGATGACCTCCGCTGAGCCCGTAGCCTGCAGCATGAACAACTGCGGCATGATGGCCACCGCCTCCAGGTAGATGCTGAACGTCCAGAGGATCTCCATCATCGTGAACTGGTGGTTGATGAGCAGCGCGAGAACGACGCACGGCAAGACCAAGAACTCCAGTCGGAACTTGTCCGACTCCCTCATGTAGGTGCTGCGGAACTTGGCCAACATCAAGTAGACTGTCGCGTAGGACGATGCGAGAAAGAAAACCTTCAAAAAAAAAACATAAACTTGGTTTATCCTTATTCACAAAACCTTCATAGCCGTGTTATAAGTGGATATGTAGCTGGTGAAAAGGTCCAAGTATCTCGCCGTGAAAACAATCGCAAACAGAATCTGCGAACGAGCGGAGATTCCGGAGCACGAGCGGCTCTTCCATATCTTCATCAATAGAATCATGATTGCCACCAAGTGCGACATGTCGGCCGCGAGCCGGAAGATGTTCATTTTCGGCCTAAAAAAATTGAACGAGTTTTAAAAATTACCTTCCTCTTCAAAACTAACGACCAATTTTCCAACCTACACAACTTTTTAATAAATCACAAAGAATCCATATCGACGAAAGGAGATAATTTTTTTATGAAAAAACTACCTGCGCAAAAAACTTTTAGTTCGTTATTGGATCCAGAAATCTAACATCAACCTATAAAGAAATGCGCAAGAATTTTTTTAGAGAAGTCTAAAAAAATAAAAATAAAAAGCCATACATGTTATTTTTGCATTATAAAAATTTTCAAAGAGTTAAGAACTCATAAAATCTGACTGATACACACTTTTATATAAATAATTATAGCAAAAATTTTAAGACCAAAATCGACTGAAAAAGCGTCGGAAAAAAACAGATAATATGCTCGGAAATTTTTTTAACACAAAAACAGGATTAAGCAAAAACCATTCAAATTATTCTAAAAAAATATTTTTGGGTTAAGCCAAATTGAACCTAAACTATCAGATAAAAATTAGAAATGACCGGAGCCAGGAAGCGCCAGCAAAAAAAATAAGAGAGCGTGTACGCACTAATTGCACCAAATGCGCGCTATTTAACGATACGCGGGAAGTTAAAAATTTCAAACCATGGTTTACTTTATTTTTATACGTTATATTCAGCCCAACTCAAGATATCTTCTTTTTTCGAAACGAGAGTGAAATAATGGATCCTTTGGATGACATTATAGCCCAACTTGGAGAAGTGGAAGAGTCAACATCTCAAACAAAATCAAAAGAAATCTTACCAGGTTTTGCAGAAATCTCATTTTTCTACAAATCTTGCTTTATAGGTATCATTGAAGCCGATTTTGTTCATCCTACGAAGGTTGAAGAAGTGACTAAAAATGATTCACAAGACAAATTTTTCGAAGATGATAGTGACGACGATGAACTGACAGTTGACAAAAAGTGAGTGTTCCGTCTGGATTATTAAAATTGGACAAAATAAATATTTCTGTCTCTACAGAGAGCTCAACGAAAGTGGGAAACAGTTAGAATCGTGGCTAAAAAAATCAGATGCTAGCGAACCACGTTTGGAAGCTCCTTGGAAGGCCAAAACGGTTTTGAATTTTTGGATGTGTATTTGCAGAAATGGGATAATAAGTTCAAATGACAGAAAGCATTGCTCAAAGAAGCGCCAAAGTTGGCGGACGAAAACTTTTGCGTTGCTTTCGATAAGTTCGGCATTTCCGTGAGGTTTGATCACGACGATTCTTATTTTTTATTTCACTCACAGAAATCCCAAGGTGAGTTCTCAAACATTCGGCATGTTCACCGCAGGAATGCAGCTTGTGCGAAGCAGCGATCTCAGACCTTCAAACACCTTCAAAGGTTAAAATTACAATCTTGAAGGATAGTAAGATTTTTTTTTTCCAGATTCTTGGTGTACCATGGCCGTGATTGTCGAGAAAAGTCTCACAAAGAAAAGTAACAATGGAAACGAGTATCTCGTATGGAGGCTGCACGATTTGAAGGTCTGCTGAGTTGTACATCTATTATGGAGGGGTCTAAATGTCAACTTTTTCAATATATATTTCAGGACTGTCAGTCAGCGACAGTGAAGCTCCTAATTTTCGGAGAAGCCGTCAAGGAGCGCTGGAAGTTGCCGGTAAGTTTCAATTTGAAGATAATAATAAAAAGTTTTTTTGATTATTTCAGCTGGGGATGGTGGTGGCGCTGATGAGTGCCCAAGTAGCGGACGACGCTGCTGCCGCGGTTAATGGAAAGTCAAGTAAGCCCAAGTTTTCATTGAAAAAAACGTCTTTGATTTTTCAGAAAACACAGGAGTGACCCTTAAAGTGTCAAAGCCAACACAGATAGTAGAAATCGGTCCATCGGCTCATTTTGGAGTGTGCAAAGTTTGTTTTTGTTGAAAAAATTAAGGGGAATGTGGCGCTTTAAACTAGGTAGTAGTTTTTTTTTTTTTTCTGTACATGTTTTACCGCGCTTTATGAATTAGAATTTCGAAAAAGCTTTTTTAAGCTTTCCGCTCTCCTTGCTATGAGAAATGTGTCGAAAAGTGTTTAGACATTAAAAAAAATCTCTTTGGTTCAATTCGCTGTACCTACTTTCAAAAAATGCCGCATTGAATAAATTTTTATTAACGCAGATGCAGAATAAGAAAAAAAAACTGCATGTATTTCTGACAAAGTACTAACTAGAAGTCTTCCTAGGAGATGAGATCATTCCCTCATGAATATTTTCCTCAATAAGTAAACGTTTTAGTGTATTTACTCATCTCTAGGGAACCAAACAAGACGGCAATCCTTGTTCGAATTTCGTGAACAAGTCTTTGGGAGAATACTGTGTTTATCATGTGATGAACGCCGCGAGAAAGCTTTCTGCCAGAAGAGGTTTTCAATGAATTTTTCCAACCTTGATGAGTATTTGTGTCTCAGGGACGTTCAACGCGGTGACGTGCGGTCCGAATGTGGGAGGCCTTTCTGTGAAGCGACCGGCGGCCAAGACGCCACTCGCCAGATCTCTCACCGCTGGGAGGTGACCTCTCTTTTCGAGCGGATTTGACTTCTGTCTCAGCTCTCCGCTGATGCAGCTGAACAGTCCGAGCACTTCGCTAGCGATTCGAGCGACGTCATTCAATGCGCCGTCGACCTCCGGCCAGAAGACGACGACCAAGGAAGAGGAGAAGGCTGTGCTCGACGACATCATCAGTAGCAGGGCGAGTTTTTGAATTAGTCAACACATTTTTTTTTTAGATAGTCTCCGTAGCAATTTTAAAAAATCAGATTTTTGACGAAAAGTTCTCTAACTTTTGAACACTTTTTCCTCTATTCGAATTCTTCTTTATTTATCTTTTAACTACAGATGGAATGGTATGTTATAAACCATTGTGACAACTGTACATCATCGAATCATTCGAAACCAAAATATTTTAATTGCTTTTTTTGTTTCAGAAAAATTCTTTGGGAACCAGACAAGTTCTGCAATTGAAAAGGTTACAAGAAGGTGCGAAGGTGATGAAAAGCAGTAGTCCCCTCGCACGTCCCGCTTCTTTCACAGACTTTATCAAGGTTTCCAGAATGTTTCATTAGTCGTATAAACAGCGTTTCCATCAGAAAGAGGAAATGACGACCCTCAAAGAGTCCAGACCCCAGACGATAGATCTTTCCAACGGTTTGAAGCCTTCTGGTGGGGCCACTGTAGGATGGCCTTCCTCTCCAGTTCAGGCGAAAAAACCTATGGGAGCTCGTGATGCGCAAGAACACGCAGCCAGAGTTTTCTCTATCTGCTGTCTGAAAAACAGTTGATTACTTTCAGCTGCGGGCGATTGCCGTCCTCAAGAAACAACGAGAAGAAGCCAAGGCTGGCGTCAAACGAAAAGCGCCTCTGTCACCTATGGAACCGGCCAAGAAGGCCAAAACCGGAGCCGACATGGACGAAATCCAAGCGTTGCTAAACCGGAAGAGCATCCATCATCAAGAAGCGACCAAGGAGGAGGGAGAACGACTTCAGAAGTACCTGAGTGGCCTGGAAGAACGGGAACGTGTAGAGACCTTCACGACGACATGCATGTCGGTCAAAAACGTGAAGGTGGTCACTTGTAAACAGGTTCAACCGTGGCCTTCTACTAATGTGAGCGAAAAATTCCAGTGCAAGTACACGGCGCAGGCGCAAAGCAACTTGTGCCGAGAGGCAAAACACGAGGTGGTGAAGCACGACGCCGAGAAGCGCTTCTTCAAGTGCTCCTCGTGCAAAAAACGGACTGTCTGCTTCGAGTTGATGCCCATCAAGCCTTGCAATGTGAGTATTTTTTAATTGACTTGTAGATAAGGATTTCACTGTTGGTCTAAAGGTGAGAATAAAATTTAGAATACCCTCAAAAGTTAAGGAAAACTTTGAAGTTTGTGGAATTCTATATAATCGTTCCTCTCATTTTTCATTTAACAGATAATATCTTAAGATAATATTGTGGAAAAAATACTTCCTCAGTGTTATTCTAAGTTTTTACCGTTTTCAAACTAGTATTCAGTAATTAAACGTCGTTGATCATTATTTAATTTTAAATTTAATCTCAAAACTAGTTCATGTTTTTTTTTGTTCAGACTTGCAACGAAACGAAGTGGGAGCGTGTGGCTATGCGCGACGAACGAAAAGTCGTGCTCGAAAACGAGAAGCTCTTACTACGAGGCGAGGAGCGTACTTTTGTTAATGTTTGATCATATTGAGTTAAAAAAAAGCTGTCGTAAACACTGTGATTCAATTCACCTTTCAAAAAAAAACTTCAACCTAATTAACGCATCTTTCGTAATCATTATTTTTGTTAACCTGTTAATGTTGCATCTGTGAATACATTTTTCTTTTGTTTTTGAGTACTTTTTTAAAATTTCAGCACTTTACCAAAACAAATCAACGGAAAAAACAAGTACTTAAAAAAGTCAAAAACATTCAACACAGAAATTCTAAATATGGTCATTTTTAAGAGAACACCGTCGAATTACCAGGGACTAACAATTATCATATAACAAACAAACGAAAAAAATATGCAGAAAAGTTTCTCGACATGAAGATGTGACTTTTAGACCCTGAAAAAGAGATTATTAGAAAAAAAAGAAAGAGATTGGTCAACTTTTTGATGACTTGGACGACGTCTTCGTCGTTGAGAATATGGTCTTTGCCGACGCGTTGCGGATTGTGTTTGGCCGAAGATCCCCAAACAAGTGCGCTGAAACAAAAATCATCATGACAGAAGGAAGTTTTCAAAAATTTCGTTTAAAAATCTGAAAAGGAAACGCCGATGCCATTCTTGAAAAAGCCCTGGTCCGTCTTATTGACCAAGAAAACTGATCAACTGAGTTTCAACAAATGGTTTTACTTCTTTTGGAAAAATGTCAAAAAAATTTGGTTTCAGAATTTTTTTTATAAAACAAAACAAGTCCATGAAAAAGTCTCAAGTAGATCAAAGTGACGTCACCTTGACGTCTTCTGAAGAGTGTCAAAATGGTTAAATTTATTCCTTCTTGCTTTCGCGTTGACACTCAATGCATATTCAAGAAGCAAAATCCAAAATGGTTTTTTTCTCGAAAACTCTGCATCGTTTTTCCCTATTTTTCAATACAAATTTCGAAATCATAATGTCTATTCCGAACTAAACCATTTGAAATCTTTCTGCAAGGACTTGTGGATCTTCATGCAAAGGTCATCTACAGTATTCTTCTCGGCGTTCAAAACGATCGGCGCCGAATAGTCGGGCAACTGTCCCTTCGGTTTCGTGTACCTGAGGAATTCACGTAAACCTCTTAACACCCTAATCCTTACGTTCTGATGAGGTTAAGGTATTGCCAGATCTTCTCTAAAAGGTCGTCAAAGTTCCACTTGTGATGTGCGGAAATGGGAACCGTATGAGGGATACGGTAGATGATGTCGAGCTCTTCGATTGAGATTTGATCGATCTGAGTTCGAACGGCAAAAAAGTTGAAAAGGAAATGGAAGCGTACCTTGTTGAGGACGTAGATACAGGGAATGTAGACCCGATTTCCCTCGATGACGTCAATCAAATCTTCTGATGTGGCGTCGTACCGCAAAGTGATGTCGGCGTTGTGGATTTTGTACTCGGCGAGGATGCTCTTCACGAGGTCCAAGTCCAGCTCCGTTTGTGGCACCTGTGAGAGGAGTCAATGCTTCTGAAGAATATGGCGGACGGACCAGCATGGTCAGGTTGATTCCACCCTTCTCCTTGCGTCGGAAGCCGATGTTCGGCGGCTGCTTGTTCAGCCGGATGCCGAAACCTTCCAACTCGTACTCGAGTAGCTTTTTGTGCTGCAGCGGCTTCATCACGTCCAACACCATTAGGATCAGCGAGCATGTTCGCGCCACTGAGAATCGTCTTTTTTGTCGAAACTTTGCATAAGAAAGTTTGACTATAAACATTTTTCTTAACATTCCTAAAATTGCTCATAAGCTTTTGAGAAATTACATCATCTAAGAATTATACTCCCAAAATCTTAATCGGTCGAAAATTTATTCGCAGTTTTAAAGTGAAGATATCTCTGAAAGTGGACCTAGATACCTATCATCGTGAATATTCACCTAGCCCTTTAGAAGAGATTTAGAAAGACCACCGACATATCCAAAATAAGAAGAAGAAAAGTGACTTATACTATCAATACCCTAATTAGCTGTTTCGTCTTATTTCTCAAGAGTTTTCCTTAAAAGAAATCGTTTTTAGGTTTTCCAACCATTCCATTTGTCAAGATTCTTGTCGTTTTCCCTCTGCGGCTTGTCAGTTTTTGCTTTGCCCATATATGATCAAATTTATTTTTCGTGTGAATTTATGAGTTTATGAGACCAGAGAATTTGAAGAAAGGACGTCGAAAAACAACACAAAGGGAGGAGAAAACGAAACCTCAAGGGACAGGATATCATTTCAACTTGTCCTGCCGTGCTGACTCGCATTTGTTAAAACTTCCTCGGGAAAAAACTTTTTTCTTCACTTTTTGCTCACAATTCTTGACAATATTTAAGAACTAGTTGGGCGAATACTTTTGAGCCTTTAAAATCTGACTTCGGATCAGAAGAAAGGTTTTCTTGCAAAGAAAAACCAACCTGCGATAACCTGTTTACCACGACCTTTGCCGTCTTTGGCTCCTTCGATGATTCCAGGCAAATCGAGGAGTTGAATTTTCGCACCCTGCAAGAAGAGCAAAGGAGTTCGAAAGCAGTTTTTTTTTCTCTCAGATTATGCAAAGTTAAACTTGATTCATGGCGTCAGTTTTCCAAAAAAATTTTCATTCGAAAGATACCTTATAACGAATAACGCCAGGAACCGTAGTGAGAGTCGTAAACTCATAGGCGGCGACTTCTGAGTAAACTCCTGCCAAATTCGACAAAAGCGTCGACTTTCCGACAGATGGAAAACCTGGAAGATTCATTTCAGCCCCGAAAACTTTTACGAAGACACAAAATTCTCCTCGTGAAGAATATGAGAGGCCCTAAAAAAACCTTTCTCAGCTTTTGTTTGAAAAAGATCAGATAACAAAAAGAGGATGCAAAATTTTAATTACACAACATTCGAAAAATGATAATAATAAATAAATTTTTTTTGTTAGAGCCAAATTTACATCGAACACGTCTATCATTATCGACTTTCCGATACGATAAAAAAAAATAACACCTGCCAAAATTTCTAGCTTGATTCTTACAACCCGAGGTTGAACTAGATCGGATCTGTGCGATTTTAATCTCTGAACAAGCTATATCTATTACTTGAAACGTCTGAATTCAGAGCAATTTGTCTAAGCGTTCAAATTCAGAAAAAAAATTTTAAATATATAACTCTCAATTAGTCGATCAGCTTGAAAAATTGGTATGAACTTCGAAAAATAAGAAGGCGCGGGGTTGGGTTAATGACTCTTCGAAAGTCCATTTGTCTGAGCAGGTTACAAAAAAATCCTGGAAATTTCAGACATTAAACTTTATTTTATCAAAATTTAAATTTCCCAGAAATTTTGTCGGAATTTAGCGATGTTTTTTTTAATTTTTTTAAAAAAATTCAAAAATAAATCGGAATATCTAAATTAAACGCAACCTTTTTATAACGATTGCAAAGTTTCTGAAACCTTTCAAAAGTTTGAAGATAAAGGTCTTCCAAACTAGAAGAAAACTGAGAACAAGAGGTTGAATTTCAGACTAGGTTTTTGTTTTGGCCTTCTTTCCCAACGAACCAAAGACTACTTGGCACCTTCGAGAGTTCCATAAAAGGCGACGAGGCCTCGATTTCGGTGAACTCCACCCTCAACTCGCAGGCCCTAAGGCACAAACAAGGACGACGCCACACACATGCACATAGATATATCTGCGAGGGATTGAGCAGAGTGGAGTGAGCGAGAAAAAAGAGAGCAGCAGCAGTAGGGTAAAAAAAAGGAAGGCAAAAGAATGAGTCCGAGAGCGCTCCACGCGAGAAAAGAGAAAGAGGCCGAGCCCCTTTTCCTTCTTCCCGTTTTCGCCGCTGCTGCTGCCATTTTTTTTTCCATCGCCAGCAGCATCTGCGAGAAACACCGCAAGCACGCGTCTGACGTACGGCTTCTTCTTTTTTCTTCTTCTTTTTTTCTTCTTCTTCTTCTTTTTCCCCTCACTTGTTTACTCGCCTTCATCATTCCCATCAACCTTCATAATTGCCTGTGGCTGCTCCACGCAAGTAGAAAAAAGTGTCCTTTTCTCTCTTGCTTCGCTTAGGTTTCTCGCCTTTCACATTCACATGTTGCTCTAAATAGACGCGTCCCTCACATAATTGCTCATTTTAGAAAAAAAGAAGTGTCGACCAGTTTATAGCCTGAGGGAAAACAAAAAAAAACCTAACGGTTCTAAGCAGCAAAAACTGATCAAAATAAATGTATCATTATGTAAACTTCAAAATTTGAGATTCTGACTTTGAGAATCACTAAAAAGCCACACAGGAGGCTGTTTGAAGATCAATTTCGCAGGATTACATGGTTTAAAAACAAAATTATATAGGAGAAAAGCGGATGGACAGATGAATTATGATCTAGAAGCATATTTTTCGTGAAGGGTAAAACGGATCAGAAACTATTCATTATCTTTTTTTCCTTATGCTTAAAAAGTTGCTGGAAATTTTTGAAACGATTTCTGGAAAAATGAAAATAAATCTCTCTCTGTTAAAAAACTTCTAATACTGATATATTTTTGATGCTCTCATAATCGGTGTTTAAAATATTCAATTTTGAAAGCGACTTTAGAGATAATCTGAAGCCAATGGAAAAAAAAAAACTCAAGTATCTTTGACTCGCCTCAACCAATAACAAGCTGCTCGAATGCATTTCCGTGCTAAAAATTCGTCTCAAGAGACCTGAAAACAAATCGTTCTTATCATTGCGAGTAGTTGTTCGGCGTCAGTTGTCGGGTCTCGTCGTACTCAAAAGAAAGAACCAATTTCAGGATTGTTTCCATATCGATAGGCGTCCGGCGCCTCTCCAAAGTGTTCGACTATCCCGTTATAGCTGTAGCCGAATCCTCCCGTCAGTAGTTTATGGACGACAAGCCGCCCAGCCGCTGCTCTTTGTTTTCAATCCGACGATATTTCTGTTCGAGATGACCCCTTCTCCTGTGGCCATGCGTATACTGTTGCTGTGGATGGTCGGAATCTTTTCTGTTTCACCAAATTCGGTGAAGAGAGAAACGGACGAAGCGCCGCCGCCGTCTTACATGTTCACGGCAAATCCAGAGACAGACGTTGCCTCGCAGGTCCTGTCCCACCGACCCATCATCTGTAACAACCACACAGAGTTTGAATGCGTCTGCATGCTGCCAATCATGTCTCCGGCGTCTTCTGAAAACCTCACGACTTCTTCCGACTCAACCATTCCCGACTGCAGCAAGTTCATCAAGGTAGTTTGAATTTTATTTTCAAAAAACCCTTCAAGTTCAATTTCTCAGCTATAAATAGCCGAAAAAACGAGAAGCTGTTTTGCGTATATTCTGATCGACGTGTTAATTGAAGGTGTCATGTTACGAGGAGAAAGGGAAGCGTTCGATAGGGGAGAACCGGCTTCCGGTGGCTTTATTTTTGAGAAACCTAGTTAGCTTCGAAAAAATCCACTGAAAAAGGAAACTTACTTTATTGAAAGTACGAATTTTGCTATCAAGTGAACATTTTTCACCAAAAACAATCATTTTTTCTAGCTGTTTTCTGGACAGTAATCTCGAAATTGCTCACAAAATCAAACAATAGCTACTCCGGAGACTCAAAACCGCTGAAGCGCAACAAAATTTTTGAAGCAAAGTAAAAACAAAAGAAAAATGGCTTGTTGGGATATGATAGTTTCAAGAAATCACCAAAACAATTTCTCGAAGCCTTGATGACAAAATGAATGAGCAGAGCTGCACCTGCCATTTTTGAAGTTGATTTTAGTACCTCAAGTAACTCGATTTAATCGTTGATTAACGCACGCGGCAATCTAATCTATTAGCCAGTATTTTAAGAACAACTTGTGTCAGAACGAAAAATTCTACGAAAAATCATCGAAAAGCTCCAATCTCCAGTAACAGTGTCGTGATCTGAAGGCGCATCGCCTAAACGTGCAAGGACCAACTAACAGGATTAGTTAGCCCCGATGTCAATCCAATTCCACGATTTGCACTCAGCTTGAGATGCAGTGCAATAGCCAGATAATTCCGGACTCCATGTGGAAAGAGAGAGATCGGGAAAATTAAGTAAACGTTACACTATCACCTACATCTCAAATTTCCTCTCGAATGATGTTTACTTTCTAAAATTTCCCATTTTCCGGAGCCAAAATAATTCAAGCAACCTCGATTCGATTGTGTTTCCACCAGTTCACAAACTCAATTGTATTCAGACACATTGCAAAACAGAGAAAGAAGCCAGAATTTCAAACTTGAAAAGACTAGTGCTGATTCTCCAAAAAAAAAATTGATGGAAAAATAACCAAACTCAGAAAATTTTCGACAAATAACTTTTTTTTTTGTGAATTTTCCCTCTGCTGTCTATTCCAATTTTCCACCTCATTTTTTTTTCTCTCTCTTCAATTTTATGACCAACTTTTTTGTCTACGAATTGAAAATTTTTTCATGATAGAACTATATAAGATCTTCTAGACTTCGCCTGAGAAATTTCTCCCAATAGTTTCTCACATTTTTAATGTCCCCGGTCACTTCCGTTATTTCAAACTACGTTTTTAATACTTTTGAACCCTCCATCCGTTTTGGTCTGAGTGAATGCATAAAAAGTTCAAGAGCCTTTCGAGGGCCAACCCCATCAAAATTATTGCCCTACTTGAGTTCTCCGAAAGAGAAATAAAGAAAGAAAAAACCTAAAAAGCGATTAGCTGAGCCGTTTTTTTTTTTTGAGCGCCGGATACGCAACGAAGGCAATTTTGGAGCCAAATGGCATACACAAAAATATATTTTCCAGTGAAAATGTAGTTTTTTAATACTTGGATTTCATTGCTGGCTTCAATGAAGTGAAAGTTGGAATTGAACCTATCAGAATACCTCTGGAGAGAGCCAATAAGTCATGCAACCGACCAAAGCGGCTCCACAAACCGAACGAAAATTTGCGCCGCTGGCAAAAACCGCAATTTGTCTTGCATGGCTCCCATTCCGCCCGTGTTCCTCGTCGCTTTTTCCCAAGTGCGAATCGAATCAGTCCGAAAAGCAGTAAGAAGATAAATGCTTCTTTTTTTCGGCTTTTTTTTTTGCCTCTCGAGCAACTGTCAACTCGATTACGAATCGCCACACAGTTTTTTTCTTCTCCGGTGGACTCTTGGGGTGCCATCGCGCAAATAAATTCCTTCATATTTGTCGAGCTGCTTTCGAATCCCCTCAGATTAAGTATGACATTGGCGGTTCGAGCAAACATCTGACTTCAGATGAATAGAATGTCGTAATGGGGATTAGTGAGAAACTGGAAAATATCAAGTGAAAAGCTTCCGGTTTTTTTTTGTATTTTTTTTTTCGTGTCCAAACTATTGTTTTTAGCTTGAAACTTTAGATTTAAAGATTGGAAATATATATTCCATGATTAGAAAAATAGCTGAAGAGAGAGTGAGAAACCCAACCTTCCCTCATGCACCACGCCAATTCACAGCAGACTCGCTGAAATGAGCTGAAAAAAAACAGCCGAAAAATCGACAGAGAAAAGCATCACATAAAGCAGACGTTGAGTCAAACAAAATCCTGCTGAAAAGCAATAAGACTTTTTTTTTTTACTTGAAAATGAATTCCTGACGACTTCAACAGCTACTATTTTCAGTACCAAATTAAAATCCAGATGTCTCCAACACATTTATTTCTGTCCAGGCGCAATTATGACACAAAGGCGGGGGTTTTTTTTTTGAGAAACAAAAAAGAAAACCCAGCAAGAGTGAAAGAGAAATGAGTTCCTCGTTTGAGCTTTTGCGAGCTTTTTCGGAACTCCATTCTTTTCTTTGGACCACTCGATTTCCTAAAAAGAGCGGAAAAGCAGGAATCGGGATGGACGGTTATGCTAAATAAAAATTAGCCCTTGACAAATCTCAAAAAAGGAAAACCTTTGGAGTTCTCATTTCCGGCGCCATTCAAAAAGAACGACAATTTCCTGTGGCATAGTGGGCAATTACAACTCGCGAAAGAGAAAAATGAAAAAAAGACGCAACTGAAGCTTCAAAAAGAAAATCTTGGGAGCATGAATCATCAAAAATTAAATTTTGCAGACAGATGAACTTCCAGTGGTGGACATGCGCATGAGACACGTGAACACGGAAGCCCTTCTCTACACAAAACAAAGTTACGAGGTGCAAAACGTCTTCCTTCTATTCAAATCTCTTAGAAATTTCAATAACTTTAATTAAATATTAATTTCCAGTTTTTACAGAACAACGCATGCCTCTGACTGTAAGTTAAACAATAGAGCTACAGAAAATAAACTTACGGAGTTAATTATAATCATTACCAGTTCTTATTCAGCCGTTTAGAAAAAATGACTTTTTTTTTCTAGAAAAAATTGTAATGAATAATTTCTTTTTCAGTTGAAAGTTCAAAGCTCAATCTATTAAAAAACCTTTCAGGAGTACTTCAAAAAGCGGATTGCGGGGATCGTGTCTCACTACTGCCAACACAACACCAACGAATGTCCGGGCACAGCGTTGCGCATGAACAAAGTGAGTGAGGTACTGTGCACGATCCCTTTCCTTTTTTTTTTTTAATTTTTTGTACATCTGAACTGTTTTTCCTTATTAGCACATGGTCGTTTTTTTCTCTTTTTTTTGAAATCTATTTCGGAAAAGCGGGGCTGAAAACTCGTTAAAAGTTTGAAGCATGTTGAAGAATTTGTAAGCACGGTCTTAAATTTTTGAATTGTTCAAATGTTATTTTTGTCCTTTTTGCGAACTCTATCGCATGATTGCTAAAACCTTGAAATGAAATCAACGAGTTATTGAAAATGGTTTCGTTATCTTCGTACCCGTTCACAGGTTGATAATCCACACTCAACTGCCTTCTGCCCTCTTGAGTTTTTGAAATGATGAAAGTCTAACCAAATCGCAAGTGATCGCTCAAAAATCACATTGTCACTTTTTTTTGATGTTCAAATTTTTGTTGATCCGATGAACTAACCTCAAGTATTTTCTTTTCGCTTTTGCAAGAATTTTTGTATGATGTAAAAATTTATGTTCATGTGATTTATTTTCCTTGGTTACACAAAATTTGGTTGAAACCCACGGTCAAAAATGAAAAATTAAAAGAAGCTAACAGTGAACTTCGTTTTCAAAAAATTAGAAAAGATATTACTGAAATTTTGAATATAAATACTTTTTTTTAAAAAGCTTTTGCACCACAAGCATGTCTCCAACAACTTTTCGAATCGCTCACTTTAAATTCTATTAAAAAACTTGAACACGCTTCGAGTAAATTTGACGTACCAATTTGGCAAAGGTTTTACATCATCAATAAACTCTTGACACCTTTTTTCAAAATGGCAGAAAAGCAGAATATCCGTTGAGTGTGGTGAAATCAACTTTTAGGGGTCGGAAGATGACGCTAACGAAGAAGTCACATACGCGGTTGACGAATCCGAACCCTTGTTGACACAGGAAAACGTCGTCCTTCTGCGAATGGAACATCTTCGCGCCAATGTTACTCGTGTCCTTTTCGTTATCATCAAAAACGACAGAACTACAGTCATTGACGAAGACGCCATTATCGACCCAGTTAAGGTGAAGAACCAGTGAAAAAAAGATATGATCCTAGAATTACAGGTGAAGTACATTATTGCAAGCCAAGCGACGCCGTTGTCGCGAGTCCTTGGTGGAATTCGCATTGATAGCGTTCGCGTAGGTGGTCTTAAGCGAAACGTCAACTTCAAGGCGGCCTACGTCGGTGCCACCCACGCCCAGAGGCGCGACAACGAACGCGACAACTCAAAGCTGATTCGTATCATTTGGATCGTCGGGGGATTCTTCGCGATAACCTACCTTATTGGCCTCTATCAATGTGTCAAGTGAGGTTTCGCCAAATTCAGATATGAGTAAGCCTAGAAGAGTAATTTTTGAAGAGGAATTGTGGGAAAAATTTTTTTTAAAAAGGTATGATTGTTTAATGTTACAGTAGATCTCAACGTTGGATGCAGAGGCTATTTCATTAAGCAACAGGACAGGATCTGAACATCCCTTTCCTTATTTGAAACATTTTTTCTTAGCATCGCATAATAAAAGTACTAGAAAGGTTCACTAACCGTAACTGGCTTTTAGGTACAACTGGAAGAAATGGCAGCGGAAACGTCGTGGATCAAAAGCAGAAAGCGTAGTCGGACTGGCAGCAGCCGCAGACGGACGCAACTATGGCACCCTCGAAAGCAAACGACGACCATCACGCAACGGCCACGCAAATCATCTCGGTGCTCACGTTACCGTCGCTGCAATCGAAGAAAGGATTCCTCTGACATATGTGGAGATCGACGAAAACGCCAACGAAGACGTTGAAACGAGCGACGGAAGGCCAAGAGTGCTCAGCGACCGACAAGCACGTAATTTGTTCATGTGTGATGCTTCTCAATTGCCACGTGAAGCAACCATCGACGGCTCTTTCGCCGTATACGAACCCACGCCTCCGACCAAACGAAAAGAGTCACCACCATCTCAGCAGCCTAAAGCATCAGAAGCGCCTTCTGAAAGCTTCTTCCCACCTAGTGAAGCGTTCACTGAGTACGTCGAGGAGCAGTACAATAAGAGCCGTGCGTCCAACGGCTCTCCTGACTACCAGACCAGCCAACCAACAACGCCACCTGCAGAAATGTCTGGTCGACAAGGCTCTATGCCGCCCGTCGTCTTGCTTCAGTCTTCTTCTCAGATTGGTACTCCCGACTTCGACTCCACACCGGCAAATGACAGCAATGGTAACAAACTAAGAAGCGAAAGCCCAACGATAGGAAGACCTCGATCTCGGCGTGGAAGTCGCGTTGATGAACCAGAAGGACTTCTGGATCTTCGCGAACTGAAGCCACTCCACTTCGAAGACCCACTAGCAGAACCGCTCGACGCCCCAGTTCCAGCCGATCAAATTCAAACAGAGGTCGATCCAGAGGACCGTTGGTCTAGCAGCGAGGAAGGTGAAGTCGATGTCTACTACAAAATGAGCGACGATGAAGATGGCATCACGAAAGAAGAGGAGGAGTGGCAGAAAGCTTTGGCCAAAGCTAGCAAGGTCGCCGAAGCACAAGGAAATCCGATCAGAAATGCGCCAGAAATAGAGGTCCAGAGTCCGTCAGCCACTGATCTGGCTGCTCATCAGAAAACTCCACCTTCCTCGCTTGTCCACGACTCCGATTCGGAAGCAGAAGACGCCGAAGAAGACGGTGACACAGAAATGCCGCCGGCAGAAGACGCAGACAACTTCGTCTATGAGCGCCTTCGGGAGGAACTCTCGCCGCAGCCCCCAATCGTCGTTGATCTAGACACGATAGACCTTGACCTGGAACCTTTCACTGGCTCCAAGGAAATGCCACCGCCACCTCCTCCAGAGCTTTTCGATTCTCCGCCAGAAAGCAACAGCGAGCGTCATTTCCTTGATGACGAAGAAGCCGATTCTTTGCGGTAAAAATAGGATGTTTCGCTAGAGTTTATTTATTTTTCTTGTTAATGGATCTACGATATGAATACAAATGAAGATATTTGCTAAAAGACACGGAGGAACTTTTTTTTTGTGCGTTCAATTTAGTTGTTTAGTGTCATAGTTCCGAGCCAAATGACCCGAAAACTTTCTAATTTTCGAGAGAATCTCTCGTCCCCATTAAAAAAATGCTCAAGAAACTTTTTCTATTCACGTTGAAGTTTGAAAAAAATTAAAAAAATGGGTAAAAAAATTTATATAGACGCCCGGTGGCCCACAGAGCAATAAGAAAAAAATATATGAAAAATCAGTTTCAAATATATTAAAACTAATCTTCCTACTTAATCGCTTCATTCTATTGAAAGAAATTGTTTTTTTATATTCTCCCAAAATGCCCAACAACGTGCAAGGCCAAAATCCAAATGGTTTCACTTGAGTTACAATAGATATTAGTCATTGCCAAACTTCTCTCATGTGTAAATCGTCTATCCCCGCTGTTATTTTTTTCCGAATCAAAACGATTTAATCAAAAACCGATTGTGCCTACTGTGTATTTGTTTCATCAAAATTTATGTTCTTATGAATAAAACTATGGAGAATGGTTGTTTGACAAGAATAAAAGTTGAATGAAAAATGGCAGAAAAAATAATCTGAAGAGAAATGTTCCTGAAGACAGGCAAAAATAATCGATAGGCAGAACGAGAACGACTCTCTATTTTCGAATTAATTTGAAATGAAAGCAATTTACAACGAACATATGTTCAAATAAAAGAGTTCGAAACAAAAAACGTACCGACAAATCCAATGCGAGCGTCTCCGGTTTTGGCGACGTCGAAACCTTCGCCGGTGCCGCCGCCGCCTCCTTTTGGCGTGATCAAATCCCGCCGAAGTTTGGCGAGTTTCGCCTTAAATGGTCAACTATCATCTTCACAGAAATGTGCAACTTGATGATAAACTTTCGGAGACTGTCTCAATTCTTTCAACCAAATAAAAGCTCTTTGTCGCACTTTTTTAATGATTAGCAAACAGCTTATTATTTTCATAGAACATCTTTGAAGAATACATTTTTCAGCTACTGTCTGTTTTATAGGCAAACGATGGTCTTTTAATGCTCAAATATTCGAAGTTTCATTACTATAAAGACACCGATTAGTTGGATAACTTACTTTTATCAATTTTTTTTTCCTGATGAAAATTTTTCGTCTTGCAACCTGAGAGGTCTGGTCCGCCCACTGCCTTTTGTAGACAAAAAAACAAGAAAAATTGTTTGAAAGAAACACAAAATGAAGTTTAACTTCGCAAAAACTCAAGGACGACTAGGTTTAGTTAGCAGAAACCTTGAACATTACATTCAATTTTCTTTTGCAATCAACTTTAGAAACTTAAAAAATAGTTTCCGAACTGTAACCACATGCATGAAAATTTACGTAACTTAAGTTCGTTAGCGAAAGTTTCCAAAAGGAAATCATCCTACTTTTACGTTCATTTAAAACTTTCAGGCTCCAAAATTCGCATACTCGTGTGAAGACTCAAAGTGAAGCTTCTTCAAACTCAGTAACGCCAGGTAAACTTTCCTTCTTTGTTCAAAGTAAACTCAGCGAAATCAAAATTGACGCATAATTCGTTCAAATAAGGCCCGATTAGGCAAAAAAGGGATTCCGCAAGCCGCAAAAAACAGTGGACTCCTACAACGAGATAACGACTTTTACGCGCAAAACTACAAACTTCGAAATTATGTATAATGAATAGAAAAAATGATCGAAAATGGTCTAAGGTGGCAAGCGGAGACGGCGCAGTGCAAACTGGACTAGTCCCTGTAGGTCTGAACTGGTGTGCGTTGTAAGACCAAAATTTTAAATGGCTCATGAAACTCCTATTTTGCATATGAAACGAATTCACTCTTAAAGAACAACGTGTCAATTTTGAATCCGCAAAAAATTGGATTTTTGAATTACTTCGAGCGCATCATCAGAAAAAATATTTGAAATTTAAAAAAAGGGTAAAAACCTTCAAGATTCCCAAATGTGCATTAGTGGCCTTGTTTTTTTGAGTTCGAGCCATCTGAAAAATTTTTCAACAGTCTTAATCTTGATTTCACTGCATTATTGAACCTCGGCCTCAATGTCTGCAATTTTTTGAAGAACCGACATCTTGACGTTATAAAGGAAACCTGCAACTTTTTTTTTACGTGAAATGCATTTTGATGAAAAATTAATGATGAAAAAATATCGAAAACGAGCGAGCCGACGACCATTCTGAGTTGTTAAATAATATTTTCTCGAAAAACCTACGAATTCAAAAGCAAAGCATGAATGGTAAATTTTGACCACTTCTGCACTTGTTCTTCAAGCCAACTTAATCAAAACAGTAAAAAAACTAATCAATACTAACGAAAATAACAATAAGAAACATTTATAAAACGCGAAATACCCCAAAATTCGTAAATCCGCACAGCATTTGGCAGGTTCATCAGAGCACACTTTCTTCGGTGTTTGCGCGGAAATTCAAATTTCCATTCGTATATCGACAGGGAAATTAATTATAATCTAATATTATAAAAATCTAATATTAGACTTTTTAATGAAATTCCTATTTATATTTCAGCTTGTAATCCTAAAAAAATATTTCAATTTTTAATTTTTTTTTTCTAGTTAGAAAAAAACGTTTATCCTTGCGAGTTTTCATTTTACTATCACTTCACATTTAATAGGTTTGTTTATTTCATTTGTTTATTTCATTTATTACTAACTTCTTTCCCTTCATGTGCACTTCTTTTTAACGCTTGCTGTGTCTTCCTTGTCCATGTAAAAGTATAGGAGGTTATTACAAGAAGTTTATGTAGTTATAACGTTCAAGGGTTGTACTCGATGGGGAGGTTCTTCCTGCGGACCATGCCGTCGCCTTGGAACCACTCGCGGCGGAACTGCTTGGCGGCGCCGTCAGGGGTGTTGGTCCATTCGATGGTGATGCGGTCGTTGTTGGTGTCCTGCAAAGAAGATTTTGAACAATGGCTCCCTAGCTACAGTATACCTCCTGTCCGTAGGCGAAGGCGTCGCAGGAGACGGCGAGGAGAACGGCTTCCTTGGGGTCAAGAACTCCGCACGGAGGGTCCACTCCAAGACGCTTCATGTTCGTCGTCTTGATGCCGTAGCCGATGCGGCGAGCCGACGAGTTGATCACCTGAGAGTGGTCCCTTGAGCAGTTCTTCGGATGGGAAGAACGATACCTTGATGTGGTAGGTGTGCTTGTCGTCGTACGGCGCATTGAAGACGATCTTGGTGTTGGGTTGCGTCTGGATGTCTCCTGGGGGTACCGATTGGGCCATGTCGATTTCTCGATGTTGAGCCCGAAGAAATTTCTGCCTTTTTATTAGTTTTCTAATCAACTCGCTTGATCTTTTATCATTTCTTTCACGTTTTTTCGTGAGCAGCAGACTTCTTCTTCTTCTTCCCAAGTTGATTAGCCGAGGGCCTATCCTGATCAGTGCAAATCCGTGGACTGGCTCGAGTGACCTATCCGTCCTTGTGTGTGGGCGACGACTGGGGATTTCGAAGTCGTGGTTTCCCAATACCAACATTTATTAAACTCCTTGGTTGGGTCGAGACGGGGGTCGAACTTGTGACTCTGTGGACGGTAGACAGGCACACAATCTGTTGCGCTACGGTGCGCCCAGTTTGTGAGCAGCATTAAAAAAAAATTTGAAAACAGAGGTTTAAGGTTTAACAGAGGCGGTTGGTTCAAAAATAAACTCACGATTATGACTCCTAATAGAAAGAAATAATTTAAAAAAGAAACGTGAAAGAAATGATAAAAGATCAAGCGAGTTGATTAGAAAACTAATAAAAAGGCAGAAATTTCTTCGGGCTCAACATCGAGAAATCGACATGGCCCAATCGGTACCCCCAGGAGACATCCAGACGCAACCCAACACCAAGATCGTCTTCAATGCGCCGTACGACGACAAGCACACCTACCACATCAAGGTATCGTTCTTCCCATCCGAAGAACTGCTCAAGGGACCACTCTCAGGTGATCAACTCGTCGGCTCGCCGCATCGGCTACGGCATCAAGACGACGAACATGAAGCGTCTTGGAGTGGACCCTCCGTGCGGAGTTCTTGACCCCAAGGAAGCCGTTCTCCTCGCCGTCTCCTGCGACGCCTTCGCCTACGGACAGGAGGTATACTGTAGCTAGGGAGCCATTGTTCAAAATCTTCTTTGCAGGACACCAACAACGACCGCATCACCATCGAATGGACCAACACCCCTGACGGCGCCGCCAAGCAGTTCCGCCGCGAGTGGTTCCAAGGCGACGGCATGGTCCGCAGGAAGAACCTCCCCATCGAGTACAACCCTTGAACGTTATAACTACATAAACTTCTTGTAATAACCTCGTGTTTTCTTTTGCTCACTTCTGGGTTTTTTTTTTTGCTGGTTTTTATGGTTCGAAGTGGTCGCGAATCCTCCATACAGCGTAAATATAACAAATATTCTCTCCTGAATCAAGGAAAATTATTTCTTTTAGTGGGTTCGGGAAACTGTCAAGGACAGCGCGTAGATCATCACGTCCTTTGTGATATTAGTAAACGAGTTTCGAGCGTTCCAACGAGCAGCTGCATTTCTATGTATAGCCTTTTGAGGTTTTGAACGTCAAGGTGTCGCTCAAGCTCCGCCCCTTTAGACGTGACAAACTAGAGAGCGAGTCATCCACGTAGCGTTTTCAAGTGACGTCATTCTACTTGACATCTGAGCAACTGCAAAAGCAAAAAAAAAAGAGTACAGTGCCCAAAAATTCCAAGGCAGCGTTGGACTAAATCTGACAGGAGAGGAAGATTGACCACTCAGGAGGAAAGAAGTTAAGAAAAAAAAAACGAAATCCTTGCTTTTAAAATGATTAGATGACGGAAAACTTATAGCTCATTTCTAACGGGCCAATGTAGTGGTAAAAACTAAATGAAGAAAAAAATGAAAATGAAATACTGTCTCAAAAATGCGTGTTTGAAGAAAATAGTTGTTTTTTAAAATTTAATCTCTAACGAATTGACGAGCTTCTGTCTAGTCTTCTTGAAATAGTTATTTTCATTTCATGAGAAAAGAAAAAAAAAATCATTTTGTCAATTCCTTTAGTGATGGCAAGCGCAGATTTTTCAAATTCTTCAATACGTGAAGTGATATGAAATAAAACAACGTGTGTATCGACATTTCTACTGTTCTCGGCCGTATTTATAAGGCGAGTTCTTTTTTCGACAGAGTGCGGTAAAGAAATAAATCCAAGCGATTAGGATAGAAAGTGTTGACGCTACCGCACAAGTGCGCTCATTTTTTCTGCCCGTTTCCAATTTTAGCATACACCCAACATAAATTCCAATATCGCAGCGGGCCGCAGGCGATATAGCCAAGGCTTCTTCGTCAAAATTTCGCTGCCATATATCGCTCCCTCTCAGAAACGTGAAACATTTTTTTTGCTTTTTTTTCGACTTTTATGATGAAATTAATCAAATTAAAGAATGAAGCAGTTTGAAAGGAAAATTTTTCCGAAAGCGATATGGCGCAAGACGTGCGCGAGGTCGCAGCTCCTCCGCGGTATAGCATTACTCTCGCTGCGATATAATCCACAATATTCAGTATACCTGTAAAAGGTTGGAAACAAAAATAGGCAGAAAAAGTGCGCTAGCGTCCACACTTTCTATACTACTCTCAGGCTTGTGTTTTTTCTGAAAATAAGGCCCAAAGCCCGGCCCGGCCCGGCCCGGGCCGGCCTGGCCAGGGCTTCGGGTCTCATTTTTCAGAAAAAAGCCCGCGTGTGCTCGGGCCGGGCCGGGCTTCAAAAAATAATTTAAATTTTCATTTAAAAAAATTTCACCGAAATGTGACTTTCACTTCTGAAATCATCGTTTTTATTAAACTTTAGGTGAAAAAATCAGCAAAAACGTAATTTTTGTCGTAAAAAAGCTTGATTTCCGACTAGAAAAAATTTGCGCACTTCGGGGCGGGCGGGCTTTTTTTTCTTGAGGCCCCACTAAGACCGGGCCGGGCTTACGAAATGGTCGGGGGGCCGGGAGGGCGACGGGCCGGCCCTCGCACAAGCCTGACTACTCTGACATGGAGCGCCAAAAGGGCGCCACAACTATTTCTCTGACACACACTATTTTGTCGTTTTCTCGCAGCTAGATTTTGGCGCCCTTTTGGCCCTCCAACTCAGAGTACTCAACCGAGGAAGGTTGTTAGAGCTATGAAGAAAAAAAAAATACATCGAAAAAATGCATTTTCGGTTGGAAATTATTTTTTTCAGTAAAAAATGGAGAAGAAAGAGGAGAAGAGGCCTCGCTTCAAACCAATTGATGGCGAGCCCGTCTCTGCTCTCAAGGTTAACGAGTTCTAAAAAAATATTCGAACATAATTTCGTTCTCATTACGTGGAAGAGACTGGCTTGCCTTCCCTCACCGATGCTCTAAAAGGCCACGGAAAAGGGAAGAGAGGACAGTCAAGCCATAACGTTCCAGTTCATCACTGATTCAGAAGACAGAAGCCTTTTTGGAAGATCGAGGAGTTTTTTCCAGATGGAAACAGAGTTGATCTTCCGGTACCGGACCCTGGAGCCTTGCTCTATGGAGCTCAAACTGACAAATCCAACAAAAGATAGATTCGCTTTTAAGGTGTGGCGCGAGTCCTGAACACACATCAAAAAGGTTTAATTCAGATTAAAACTACGGACAATGCTCTGTTCAAAGTGCAGCCGTCGATAGGCTTCCTCCCGGTGCGATTTTCCTTGTCTTTGAGGACATTTCACCTTGTGTTGAGAAATTCTGAAAAATGGCTCAGAAAAGTTTTTTTTTAAAAGGCTATCCTGGATTTTTCAACGATCCTAGCGTTTCAGTTTGTGTTTAGCCGGTAAACGGTTTCCAGTTATCAGAAAGAAAATTTCTCGAAAACTAGGAAGCTTCCCGGATATTTATCAAAGCACAAAAAGTGTCGAATCCGATTATCAGGCTATTCTCACCGGGAAAGTGTTTGGAGTTTATAGCAAGTCTGGTCCCCGACTTTTGGGGTGGATATAGTCCTAAGGAAGGCTACTTGAAAAAAAATATCTTCTGAACGCCGTGGGAAAGGCCTGTCGAAATGGTAGAAAAAATTACTTTTCTCCGATTTTGTGATATTTTACTGTTTAATAGGCTAGATCATTCGGAACAGTGTTTTTCATAACTGCTTATCCGAAATGAAGCACCTATTAAGCTTTTCAAAGCATCCTTAGACATGCATCTTCCCAGTATCCATGCTTCTTAGCTCCTTTTATTTTTCTTAGTGATCTTCCCTAAAAAAACTTTGTACCAAATCTGTCATTAACTCCTCACATTCTGCCCTCTTCAGGCACAAAGCAAAATGATTTTCTTTTCAAGGGATTTTTGCGACGCGATAGATTTGCAGCCAAACGGTCAGATGTGCATCAAAGTGTCGCTGACGGTGAAGACTCTTGTGCAGCCCAGCAAGCACTACGTCGCCGTCTTCAACGTCAAAGTCGACGAGAAGTGCACTGATGCCAAGGCGGTACTCAATCGATTCAAATCCTCGTCCTGAGTTCCTTTGAAGGCTTTCGAAGGCGGTAAACTTGACGGCGTACAGCGTGTGGTGGCGACATGCGAACGTGAGATCGTCGACGAGACTGCCGACGCCGGCGCGTCAATCGAAGCCAAAAAATGAGTTGTTGAATGAAACTTTGAATACATTTGCCACATTCACATTATAGACGGTTTATTCTCAAATTTCACAGAAAGGTTGGAATTATTAATTGCAATAAGTGAACCGTAGGTGGCAAGTTATAGTTACCTTTAAAACAAGGAGTTATACCGCCACAAATTAAGTATTGACTAACTCACAATTATCAGTTAGACCGTATACAGAATGAGCAATATTTTAACTATATCAATCTGGACCCCGAAGACTTGGAAGAGCCTTCGAAAAAAGCAAAAAGAAGCTTCAGAGATTATTTTTGATTTTTTCGAAGTCCATCCAAACAACTCAGAAATTTTATTGTACATATCTCAGCAGGGCAATGACCTTAACACGTTTTCTACTAAAGTGAATGAAGGCAAGAACGTTAGTTTTTGAAAAAAAGAATCTCAATCACAAAGCTGGATCTCCTTCGATCTGCTTCGGCTCAAGAGGCGCGGTTCCGGCTGAGTCTGTGGCTTCTGTTTGATCAATTTTCTCTTGAACGACGGATTCTTCATTGGTAGCCTCCAGTGGAACGCTTCGGCGTTTTCGACGCTCACATCTGTAAGGAAAAAGAGTAATCGAATGACTACGAACTTTAGGTTGAGGGGTGTAAATTTGAACTAAATGTTCTGTCCCTACTCACCTATCTAGATGGTAAGACCTTTTTATTCATTTTTCTATTGGGAAAAACATTTCCATTTTTAACACGCATGTTTGAGGCAGTGCTACGGTGGCCGGTCAATTTTGCGCCGTCAGTTTCGGAGCCAAGAAGTTTTTTTAATTAACTTTATTTTTCGCAATTTGTTGAGGACCTATATATTTCTCGAGGTTAAAAGGTAAGTTACGTCAAAAAAAGTACACAAGTTTTCGTTTTATTACTGAAAAACCTTACCAAACTACCGTAATACGACCGGCCACCTTAAACAGGCGTGTTAAAGATGCTGAAAAAACTATAACTCGAACATAAGTTGATTAAATCCAGAAATTTTCAAATTCAAAAAACCGTCTCTTCTAAAATAAAATAAAAGAATGACCGAAAAGTTGACGAGTGACTTCGAATTCTTGAAAAGATAGAGGAAATAAGAGATTTTCGATTTCACAAACGTTTGCAGAAGCTAAGATCTCTTATCTGAGTTGTAAAAGCTCTCTCAATTAATTCGGTGCTAAGAAGAATCATAGCTCGCCTGGGACACTGCATACTTCTTTTCTCGAAACACCTTCTGTGAAACACGGCAAGGCAATCTTTGCACATCCGCGTGTCCTCGGTGAATGGATAAAGGACCTTAAAAAAATCTACTTTTTCGGACATTTAATATCTCCCTGCCTTCTCTCCCTCCGGAGATCCCTTCTCGCAAAGCTCGCAGAAAAATCCGTTTCCTTTACAAGTCTCACATTCCTTCAATAATCCTTGCTTCCCTTTGTCATGACCTTTCCAACAACCTCTTCAATGTGTTTCCGAAACACGACGAAGATCTGCTCGAGTTCAGACAAAAGAGTTCCATTGCACAAATCTCGCAGCTTCAATCCTCATTTCTTCGAAAAGCCCTGGAAAAGACGAAAACCTCCTTGAGACTGTAAGAAGTGGCCGAATCAACGAAATGAGAATGTTGGTTGAGGTACTGTAGAATCCTGATTTTCCGAGCATTCTGCAACCATTTGAATTCATGGAAAGGTCCAAAAACAAACTCGACAGCTGATAAAGTAGCACTTCATGACGAGAAAATGTCTCCGCAACTCGCTAACTCGGCGCAATTCCTAAAAACTGCCAAGTGAATTTCTTCCTAAGTTCCTTATTTTCTCCAACGTTTGCTGAAACTTTTTACTGAAACATTTTTTTGCGGCTAGTGGCTGAAAGAATTTTAGTGTGCTAGCACTAAAAAAAATCTTGAAAGCCTGAACAAAGTTCTATTTTCGAAAAAAAAACCAAAAGTTCTAAAGTTTCAAGCAGCAAAAATGAAGTTTTGAAGTTGATTGAAATAAGAACTTTATGGAACTTGATGAGAGAAGCGTGAGACTCGTCGATAGTGATGAGAGGTCGGCGGTCGACGATGGCCAGGAGATGTTTGACGGCTCGACAAACTGGTCGAGGCGCCGCGTCGAGATTGTGAATTACTCTGGAAAAAGGCCCAGCTTCAGTTAGAAAGGCGAAACAAACATTGCAAATCCAAACTATCATCGTTTTTGTGCGAAAAAGTATACATTTGACAGAACTCTGGCGAGAATTCTCCCGGAACAGAAAAACCTGGCTGGAATGCTCCAAGTGTCCATCCAATGGCAGTTGGGGCAGTACAACTCGCCGCTGTAGTCGCAAAGACGCGGTTCTTGATCCGCAGGACCATCTGCAGTCGATGACGTCATTCCTTTTTCAAAAATCAACGAGAACCGTAGCAAATGGGAGAAGAGCACTCGGCGCATTTGTAGTCCTGGTCGGCGAGCGACTGTTCCTCGGAAATACTCGTTGCGACGGCGAATTCTACGCGCGACGCGATAACGCCACTGCAGAGCCTTCGCGTGCTCTCCGTGCACTTGTCATGCGCTCGCAACCCACAAACTGAACACGAGTTCTTTTTCAGGAGCGTCGCAGAGCGAGACCTCGACAACGTCTCCACGTCTGGACGAGCCTCCAGATGGTGTGCATGCAGACCTCGCAGCACGGGTTGTGGCGGCCTCGCATCGGCTGAATCTCGAACTCGTGACCCATGGATCTGATCAACTTGTCGCTCGACAACCCTTCGTTTTCCTGAAAAAAAAAACGAGATCAGAAAATGTGTTTGCATTGGTGAGACCTCCAAGTTCTGTCTCTCGAGTCCCAACTGAACGATCTTATCGAAATACATCTGTTTTTTCTCTTTGTTGCGTTTCCGCATCAGAAACGGACGAAGTTTCGTGACGACGTCTTCGGAATCGTTGTTTTCCTCGTCGACAGAAGGCGACCCGTCTTCTTCTGACTGTTCCGCTTCTGTTTGAAGGAGCTCCTTCAACTCTCGACGGCAGTGGTCCAAGGCTGCATCGATTTCAGCGATTCTATCAAAAGATACTTTCCAAAGAAAATGTTACATTCGGAAACTTCGAAGAGGAGGGATTTTGACGTCTGAAAGTTTCAATGACGTCATTGATCTCGCGATCGACGACGTTGTCATCTTCACCCTGAAATGGAATGAAAATGAAAAGATTTTTTCAACTTTTTGGTTTCAGACATGTGAGCTTTGGTGAGAAAAAAATTCTATCGTTTATTAAAGAACTTTAAGGTCAAAAAAAAAAATTTTTTTTTTATTTCAATCTCAGCTCGTTTGGAAAATGTTAAACTAGGGAAATTACTTTGAGGAAGCTTGATTTGCGCGGAGAAGAAATGAAAGAGTCGGAGAAGCCTCCCTCCGACGAGCAATACGACGACATCCGCCGCCGATTCGCAGCTTGGCTAAACGTTCAACAATTTGAATCATTTTTTATCAAAAGCTATAAAATTAACTAAAATCTTTCACTCTTCGTAGCTATCGGCAATAATTAGAACTTCAATTTAAAGATTAAAAATATTATCTAACAGAAGCCTTCCTACTTCCATGTCCTAAATATGAAAAATAGATCGAAGAATCCCATAAAGATCATAACTTCTTCTTACAAAAAAGAAACCGAGGAAATATTCACAACAAAAAGATTTATTACACGTATTCGACGCTCTCGACCCAACACGTGAAAAAAAGCGTCGAAAGCAAAAAAATGGAAGAAAAAGAACACAGCAAATTAAACCAAAAGGCAAAAAGTATTGTAGTAAAAAAGAGTAAGTGGCCTATAAAAACACGGCCGGTTGAACCAAATCGATGAATGTTTACGTTCTTTCAAATGAGAAAACACCTAAAAAACAATGGGTGGTGCGGAAAAGACGCCTAAAACTTATCTTAAATTGTTTCATTAATAAAACAAATTAATATTAATGGTAACATGAAAACTTGAAATAGTATGCTTCAAAAAGCTACGTGGTTAAAGAACAAAAATCTCAATCGCTGCAAACAATCTCTGAGACAAAAACCTAACTGGATTCGTAGAGAAAATGATTAGATAAGAATAAGAACGTCGAAGACATCAAAAAATAAGATGAGGGTTTGTTTAACACAGAATGAGAGAATTCAACAAAAAAGTCGGATGCGTAAAAGGCCCATGAGAATATAATCAAGGCCATGCAATAAAGTTTGGGAAATATAAGAAAACAAAGATACATTAAGGTGGACATTCAACAGCTCGAAAATGACCTCTGAGCGAAGCTATTCATCAGTATTTGAGGGAAAAAAAGATTCCAGTGGCGCAAGACCGGGATAACAATAAAAGTGAAAAGATAAGTGAATATGATAACCGGAGAATCAAAGAACGCATTTGGGAACAGAGAAAACAACAAGCCAAAGTTCGATTCAAAATAACATAAGACAAGGAAAAGGACCTAAAAATCCGTGCAAAAGGAACTATTCGTCGGACTTGACAATACTTCGGCCGCAGTGAGCTTCCAGTTGAGTCACCAAGTTGCGAACGTGGCTCGGAAGCACCAGAAGGCCTGAAACACGATAAATGACAAAACTGCAAAGAGACTGGAGGCCTAGCAAGTGTTTCAAAGCCTTACCAACAATTTTGTGTTCTTGTTCAGTCCTGACTCGGATGATCTGCATGCGAGAAGCCTTGCGGTCTCCGCCGGACAAGACTTCTTCAACGATCGGCCAAACCGAGAGAACCTGAAATTCGTACTTGAGATGGTTACTCGGAAGATGTCCTCTGACCGATCCGGAAAGAACGAAATAGGTTCGAGTACGACGTCCAGTTTCACAGTACACTCCGCTAGTTTCGGTCTTGCACTTGCCAAAGGCGTAGTTGTGCTGACACATGTGAGAAGATCCTGTAATTTGGAAGTTGAGAAAAAAGGGGACCAAAAACAAAAATCGGTAGACCAGGTGATCCGCCATCTCAGTGTTACTTCTTTATGAGACTTGATTCGACAAAGAAGATTGAGATTAAAAGGAAAAAAAATAAGTTTTAGAGGTAATTAATTTTGTTTGATACATAGAAACAACCTTTTAATACCCCGAAAATGAATATTTTTTCTCAGAGGGTTTCGAAAACTGGAATAATTTTTCAATCTCTCAGAGAGTTATCAAACATAGGATTTTTAGAGATTTCCTTCGACACAGGCATAATTTTTTTTCACAGACTATTTTTCGATCACAGAGATATGAAATAAGCGAGATTAAACTTCACACAGAGAACAATATTCTCAACAAAAAAGTGTAACACTGTAAATAATAATAAAACACAGTTCCCTCTGTGTCTCCTTCACCAGTGATTAATTCAATCTTCTGCTTCTATCAAGAAAAAGAAATTATACCTTCATACTGCTCCTCCCAGATTTCCTTGGCTTCTTCGGGCGTCGTCTTGGTGTAGCGTTTGGAAATGTCGGCCATAGTCAGAAGTTTAGCAGATCGACCGGTCGAAGGCCTCGTGATGGCGTACAGCCGCGCACCATTGTCCATCCGAATTTTTCCGATACCATATATCAACGCCGCGACTTTCTTGCCAGTGCTGTTGACGCCGGGATTGTAGGAGTAGAAGCCGTCCTGAAAGACGTCGTTGATCATTCTTTCTTTGGCGGTCTTCACCTCGTCCGTGCTGTGCTCCTTGTAGAGCGCGTAGGCGTCGTCCCAACTCACACCTCGTTCCACTCCGATCTTGTGCATCTCCACGCGGAAACTGCCATTGTCAACACTGAAAAAGTGGCCTTGAAATAAAGCTTTGGGAAAATAACCGACCGGCCAAGAAAGATTCGAGTTTCCAGTTTTCGAACCTGATCTCCTCCAGTACCGAGGTCTGAAACAGTGATGAATTTGTGAAGTCTCACAAACTTGTCATCTGGGTCTGGTTGGGATAGTCGAAATATATTTGTTCTTTATTTGAAATAGAAAAGGAGCTGTCTGAGACGAGTATGTAAAGTAATAAGATCTATCTTATTTTTTTAATCAATTAAAAATATCAGTTAAAGTAATCATACGTGTCAATGGAACACTCATTCATGATTTTTGAAATTTCTGTCACAAAAATAGGTAGTTTCCCTCGAAATCTTATAATTTACTAAGAAATGACTGTAATAAAATTTTAATTTCTAGAAGAATATGCTTGAAAGTCATAATTAGGGCAAAAAAATACTTTTTTTATAGAATGTAAAGATCAAATATCGCTTTCCGAGAGCTATTAAGGAAGTTAGGACTATAAAACCCATTCTCAAAAAATAAACTTTTAGGAAACTAATCTAGAACTTGAAAAATGTTCAACTTTGAGAAAAAGTTGATTATCCACTTTCTCTTCGTAATTGTCCAGAACACTCACCCATGATACCAGTGTCATAGGTTCCATCGTGCTTCGACTGCGCGATGAGTTCAGCGACGATGTCCGAGAAGTAGGAGAAGATGGCATTTTGAGCATGAACAGGAAGGCCGAGGATCCGGTTGAGGAACTTGGGAATGGTGGCCGCCTCCTTCTCCACGACGTACTGTTCGCCGTTCCGACTCTTGGCCAGCAGACCGACGCCTTCCATGTAGAGTCTCATGTCTGAAGCAATCCTTCTTATGATATTCAGGCAGGTCGAGAGAACCTTCGAAGAAGTCTCCGTAGTGGTAGTCGCTGGGCGGGGCGATCAACGGCGGATTGAGAGTGCCGATGACGGTCCTCAGAAGGACGTCGAGAGCTGCGCGGCCGTACTTGTTGTCCATGTTGAACTGCGACAGGTCGCGGGTTTCTGTGGCTCGTCGATCTCCATGGGTCAGAGCGCCGAGGGATTCCAGCCTTTTAGCCACAACCGACGCGAATCTTGAAAGAAAGGTTTGTTATTATTGAGAAAATGCAAGCAGAAACTCTCAGTTGCTTCCACAACGAAACACGTCCCACATTTTTCTTCTCAGGAGATCAGGATAGAAATTCGAAGATAAATAAAAAGGAGGTCAGAGGAGGTCAAAAAATTCAATATTCAATACACAGAAATTTAATTTAAAAACCAACTCGGCTACAATTCTCCGATCTTGTAGCTGTAGTGTTTTCTGCACCTTCGAAAAAAAAAAAGCAGAAGTAAATAAGTTACAGCCTCCAACTTCTAAAGCATGAATACATTAATTGTGCGATTGACTTTTACTTCACGAAACGTTCCATGAAACATTTTGAAACATCGAAAAACGTTTCAAGCAGAAATTATTTTCAATTTATACGAAAATAAAATAAAATGAGGACCTCTTCTCTCCGGCTAACTCCGATATGAGGAAGACGTATTCAGGGGCGCTCACTTGATTGGAACGATGAGTTCGACCTGAAACACGCGAACTTCTATTTCAATTATTTTCTGGAACAAACCAAACTGCTGAATGGCCTTGTCGGCGCTCCAAGGAAGTTCTAGGGTGATATGGACACGTCTTCTTTGATTTTGAGCTCGTTTATCCGACTGAAATCCGTAGTTGGAAATGAATAGAGCTCAGAACCGACCTGTAGGGAAATTCCACTGCTGGCGGCCTCACTAATGATGGCTATCAACTTTTCTCCGCGCATAAACTTGTCCTTCTCTTCCATGTTGATCAGCTCCAAGGAGACTTCGGCGTTGGCGTTTCTCCGTTGATACGTCACATCGCCGCCTTCTGTCGTGATCAAATGACCTCGTCTTCCAGTCATCTGAAGATAGATATTAGATAGGGATCGGAAACGAGGTGATTGAAAACCTCAGCAACGAATTCAGGTCCGCCAAGTTCGTCAATCAGTTGGTCCAAGGTGTTCGCAGGTAATTGTGGTCCCAGTCGTTCAACGGCGGCGAGCAGTTCAGCCTGAAGAACATTGAGAAAAGGGTCAAAAATTGAAATCTAAGGACAGATTGGCCCTTTCAAGCAACACATTTTCAACTTTTAACAATGCAATTTATTTTCTCATTTTATACATTTTTCACTTTTCAAAACACTTTCCATGTTCAAAGTGACGCAAAATGCAAAATAAGCGTCAGAGAAAGGAAAAGACATTTGAATTTTGGAGAGACAGAGATAATTTTGCATTTCGCGGAAATCATTTTGAACACGGCAACCGCTCCAATTTTTCCAAATTTACGATTCCAAAAGCCTGAGTATATCAAGAGCTGAAAGTTACCTTAACAATCATCGGATTAATATTTTTCCTGTCATCCTCTTCCGTACTGCAGAACTTGGAGGACGAGATGAATTCGTTGGCGTTTCCTCGCTGAAAAGGGATTCCAGAAGAGATTCCAAGAAGGTGAAAACCTCCTTGGCGAGTTCCTCCCTCCGTTTCTTCTCGCGCTCCAACTTGCGTCGAGCTCTGCGAGCCTTCTTCTCCCGTCGATGAGCCTGTCGCTGAGCTCGTTCCTTCTGCGCTTCCGAGTCTTCTTCTTCCGCGTGCTTCCTTTTCCTAGAGCCACTTGCAGCCGACTTCTTCTTCGTTTTGGGCTTCCTCTCGTCGTCGACAATTTGCTGATTGTTAGCCCACGGATCTAGAATTGAAGTGCGAATTTGAGAAACCATATTTGCTGTTACCGTTATTCGTGAAATCACACATGAAGGGGTTGAACTCTTCCTCGAGCACAGGTTCGTTCTGTTCTTCCTCCTGTTCCTCGGTCTCTTCCGCCTCCTCTTTTTTCACTTCGCCGTTGTCTGCTTCCTCATCGTCGTCCTCATCGTCAGATCCACTGGAAGATTCGGCTTCTGCCAGCAAGGCCTTCACCCATTCGTCTTCCTCCATTTGATCTGAACTCTCAAACTACGATAACATTCGATCAGCCTCGCCGAACCCATCGTGACGCCGCCCTCGGCTTCTTCGCGAGCGCTGTCCCAAGACTTGGTATCGTCGTCGTCTTCGCTCTTGTCAGAGTCTTCAGAAGACTCTGACGTCGTCGAGTTCGCTTCGGGAGTTCCTTCCTTCTTGGCTCTGCCAACGCTTCCGCTCATTCCAACCGTCGCGCCTGACCAAGAGCCAAAACCGAGGTCGTCCATGAAACTCAGAGCTCCGCTGTAGTTTGTCTTTTCTAAAATGATCGTCTCATGAAATCTCAATTCGATTTTTTTGCTGACTCCTCTTAGCAGGTCGGTCGAACTCGTCGTACATTCGGTCGAAATCCTTGAAAATATCGCGGCCCAAACTAGCCTCCGTGGGGAAATGCTTGTCGATGAGTCCGTAGAACACCGCTCTGTATAGAAACAAACTCATGGGCTAATTTTTTATCAGTATATTGATTGAGGCTTAAAGTTGGTGGTTCAAATTGCCTACTTTCAAGATTTTTATTTCACTTCCATCAAGTTTAATTTTTCCTCCGTTATTCCACAAATACCAACTTTGCAGTGGACACAAATTCGTTAAGTTCTCCGCCCATTTCCTCCAAAGTTTCCAAAGTCGCCGATTCTCCAGTCGACTGCAGACCGATAACCACGCATTTCTTCGCTTTTATCGCCTCTCGACTTAATTTCACGCAAGCGTCAACCTCAAAAAAATCGGAGTTACTGTTTTCGAACTTTATAACCGACCTTGGCGGCAATACACAAGTATTTGAAGAATCTTTGATGACAAGCCCAAAATTGCCCCCAAATTTGCTTGCACGAAATTCGTTCTTCATCGTCGAGCGCTTCGATCACGGCCTGAAAAAAAGACTGATCAAGACCGAGAGAAATTGAAACAGCAAAAAGTACACCAATCAATCATTTCCAAAAAATCTCACTTCCAGTGCCTTCAAGGTCATTTTACACTCAATGCATTTAATCAAGTTGACCTAGAAAATGATGGAAGAGATGATACAATTGAGAAAAAGAGCAAAGGTTTCCAACACAAATTTGGACTTTTTCGATAAAATAGCGTGTGAAGAAACCTAGGATCGAAAAAGAGCGTGTGATGGTGATGAGAACTCAGAAGGGAAAAATTCATTGGCTCAGGATTGTCAAGTTAAGATACAGGCTCAAATTTATGATCAATTTTTTGGAACGAATCTCGATACTTTCGAGAGGACGAACCTGGAACTGTCTTCGGCATTCCATCCACAGTTTGACAGCGTCGTCGTACATTTTCGTAAACTCGGGAGAAAGTTGCACTTCTTGAACATGAAAAGAAACGCCGCGGAAAGACAACTGACGAGCAAGGTAGAGACCTCTTTGCTGGAAAGAAATCATTAGTTTCGAAACAGAGATCAGAAAAAAAAATTAGATAAAAACAAACTTTCATGTCCATCGCAACAATTTCCATGGCGCCGACGCCACGACGTTCCACGGCGCCAATGAACTGCGCGAATTCGGGAAAAGCCTGGCCTTCGCCCCAAAGTCCCAGTCGAGTCATGTACGCCATGTTTCGGGGCTCTAAAAGTTGTTTTTTTTAATTACACCGAAATTTCTTCAGAACCAAAAATCTCATATATTTTTTAATGGCTGAATTGAATGAATTTAAATGAATGAAATGTTTATTTCGCTCACAGACCGATATATGGCGTGGAGGAAGAAAAACCAAGAAAGTTATAATTGCCTTCACTTCGATAAAGTTCAACTTAAAAAAAGACCTTCTCCGCAAAAGTTCTTAAAAAAAGTTTTTTTGTAGAAAAAAATTAAATTTTTTTGGAAGGGATTTATAAAAATATTTCCAGTTAAAAGGGGATACAACAAAATTACGTTCAACATGATTTTAGACGAAAAATGACTCAATAATTAACGATTTTCATAACGTCAGGTGGCAAAATTGATTTGGAAAAGTTAAAACAAGAAACAGACCAGTAGCTCCAGTGGCGGAGGCGTAGACCACGCGAGCATTGGGAAGCGCTTTCTGTAGTTCGAGGACGATTCGACCCGTTTTCGTCGGTTTCGCACCGGCCGTCGGAACCAAGTTCTTCGCCCGATGGCACTCGTCCAGGATGATGACTCCATCGTAATCCTGGAGGGATTTCTTTCATTTTTCTCTTTTCACAGGTCTTACCACGCCGAACCACTGAATCAACTGTTTTATCCGACTTCGGTACTTTCGCGATTTGGAGGCTCTGCATTCGCCGATCAGAGAGGTATAAGTCGCGAACAAAACGCCTTTTTTGATGCTTCCGTTCTCTTTGCTCGAAATCTTCGCGTACTTCATCTTATTCAGCGCGAAAACCTGAAAATTCACAAATTCAACCAATTTTATATAAAAAAAAGAACAGATATTTATTCCATGCACAACTAGAGTTCCCTGAAAAACTTAATTAACATTATAAGAAAACAGATTCCCACTTGGAATGCTGAAAAAAGAATAAATTTTCAGAGTTCATTCGTTTTTCATTGAAGATAACTGTCATCACTCACCGGAATGTTGGGCGCTCCAACGTCTCGCAAATCTCGTTCAGCGTCAAACTTCAAATCCGATGAAACCGACAGCCAAACTGCTCGTTTTCTCCCCTAAAAGGCATGATTGCTGATTTTCGCAATAATTCCAGGAAGAAAAACCTGCAGATAGTTCTCGAAAATGATACAAGCCACAGTCCTTCCTTTGCCGACTCCGGCGCCATCACCTGAGCAGAATCAAATATGATACGAGGTTTGAAAAAGATGCGAAACCAATCAAATATCCATATCTTTCGTTTGTCGGCATTCGTCTCTCATGCATTTGGCAGGCGTAAATAACCGCTTCCAATTGCAACGCAGAAATGTGACCCATATCGATGAGCTGGAATAAATTACATTAGTTATTCAGAAGTTGTTATATTTGTGAATTACACTTTTCTTGGATCCATAGTGAAATTCGGGTGAAAATGTATGGTCAGTACTGACATAAAAGCAACATTTTTTTCTTCCAATTTTTGTTTGAAAGAAAATCTGTCAAAAATGGATAGGTCTCTAGTTGCGAGGATATATGCCTACCTTCAAATAATTTATCAAGTTGTTCTTTACTCAAATAAGTAAAAACCCAAGAAAGAGATACACACATATTCAGGAATGGAGATCTGATATCGAACGTCCGGAGGAGAAACGCTGCTCAGCGACGCGGACTCGACGACAGAATCGGGATGGGCGAGGCCGGATCGCAACTTGGCCGGCGTATAGTCGGCGTAGGTTTCCGCATAGCCGAGATTTTCTTCCTAAAACAAAACTGAGTGTTTCTAAAACTTAATTTCAATGCGTTATGACAGTAAGAAGGGTGAGAAGTTAATGTGAAAAAATCAATGTTGTGTAAAGGTTTTCAATTAAATCTTCGAAATTAAACAGATAATAACATGATCCAAGGAAATATCGATCTGAAACTTCGGAAAAAAGCGAGATTGAAAATCTACAGCAAATGAGCGCACTAGAGTTCTCAAAAACCAAACGTTTGAAAAAAATGAAAGTTTGAAAAAGATGAAAAAAATTTTGTTTTCAACATTTCGAAACAATTTCATTTTCAAACATTGATCGAAAACGGCCACAATCAAATCGTTTAAGTTATGATCAAACGTTTTCCGACCGAAAAACAAACGTTTGTTATTTTGACCAAACTTTTTTCAACCGATAAACGAACGTTTGGTTTTTCGATCAAACTTTTTTCAAACATTGAATAAATGTTCGTTCCGATCAAACGTTCGATTTCGGAATTTCAATCAAAGGTCGGTTTCAATGAAATTTTAAAAATGTTTGGTTGAACTTTCGTTCAAACGTTTGGTTTTGAAAACTCTAGAGTGCACGTAACAAGAAGGTAAACTTGAAAGTTTGGGAATGGAATAATTCAGAGAAATGTCTTGGAACTAAATGACAAGACCAACATCTTCCTCGAGTTCGTTCCTTCGCTGGACTTGCTGCTCGGCGGCGGCCATCATCATCGCCTGCTTCATCTCGTCTTTCGCCTTCTGCGACTTGGTCTGCGGCTGCGGGGAGAACGGCTGCGGAGGGAGTCCCGTTCGCGACAACAGGGCCGGGGACAGCTGCCCAGCCTGGCCTCGCTGAAGAGAAAAACTTTGATTGAACTAAGATCTGAAGAGACAAAGTTGACAAAGCCTAATGCAACATGAAAGAAAGATATTTTCCAAAATAAAGGTAAAGGCAAATGAACAAAAAAAAACTTTGACAATTTTTCATCACCAGAGTCTAAAACGCGTTAAATCCTTTAAAAAAATCAGGACCAAAAGTTTCGATTGGAAACGAATATGATTCCATGAAAATTGAATATATAATTTCTATTTCTTTTTCATTACATCGGTGGATTAACATTAAAGCTCAAAAAATAGTTATTTCGGTAGCCCGACCTTCTTTTTTATCAATGGTCCTATTATGATAGTAACTTTTCAATTTTTCTATTCAATGAAAAAATCAATAAAGAATCAGAAAAGGGAATGGAGCTGACCATTGCTCCGCCAAGCATAACTCTGCCGTTGTTGATGTCGACATTGTCGAAAGCTCCGGCGCTTTCGGCCATTCCCGCGTTGGCCACGCCGCCCATCATTCGTAAGAATCCACCGCCAGAGTTTCTAAAACAAAAAACGTGACCTTTTTTTTAAATAATTACATTTGAAAAAAAAGAAAGCAAATGATCCGCTTCAGCCTCATTTAGAAAGTCATCAAATCCGTTTTCTCACACAAGAAAATTTTCAATAAGATAAAGATCTCGCCTTCCGAAACGTTTCATACTGGCAGACTGATTTTGAGCTGCGAGTTGTTGGTGACGCAAATTGACAGCGGACGGCGTTTTTAGATGTTCCATCTGACGCAGAGCTGGGGAATTCGGGGCACTCTGAAAATCAGAAGCCCATTTACAATTAGACGCTCTAGGATTTTCGATTCTCGCCCACAATTTTTAAATTTTTCCAGTGAAAGAAAAGACAAACCGCATATTGGAAGGAAGGCGACGACTGCGACGCATGCAGAGCCGATCTTTGCGGGACGATTCCTCCGCGATTCGCGTAGCGGACGTTGGGAGAGTTCTGAGGTCGCACCATCGTCGGCGAGTTGGCGGCATTTCTTTGTGTCGCGTAACTGAATCGCTGCTGCTGCTGGTGCTGAGCCATCGTCGCGCCGCCCGTCGAGCGCCCGACCAACGGCGGCAATCGGTAGCCCGGGCGTGTGGCGTAGGCTCCTCTGCAGGAAGGAAGAGTGAAGGATTGAAGTTAAGACATGAGGCAAGTACATATTCAATTGATGAATTTTGGATATAATAACTGGTTGTTCCTTTTGAAAATTTATTTCAAAAAACAAGAAAAATATTGCAAAAAACTAGAGAGATAATTCGATTAATGAGATTAAAATATTTGAGTCAATTTTTCAAGGAGGGAAAAATTTCTTGGCCGAATCAAGAAAATAACGAAAGAAGTTTAAAATAAACGCTGACGTAAATGTTTAAATCGCAACCCAACGGCAAATCAACTGCACATCGGAAAATAAATCAGAAAAATAAAGGAAACCTTTGGCCGGGACGGACGACATTTCCACGCGACAAGTAAGTCTTGCGAGCTGCGGCCATGGGCGAAATGACGTTTTCAGCGCCGCCGGCGTTGCGAATTATCGCCTGTTGGCCGTTGGCCAGCATTCGCGTCGGCGTCGAAATAACTTTTCGGTAGACGTAAGGGCCTGAAAAGTCCAAATATTTCAAAAATAATTCATTTTTTTGTGAAAAAACTGGGCTTTTTTTGGGGAAGTCTGTTTCTTTCACTGAGTCACAAAGAAGGTAACCCTCTCACCGTTTGCAGTATCTTGCCGAACCAAAACCACCCTTTCGTGTCCATTGACGCTAGTGGGACGCACAACGGTCCCTTCGCCGCGAGAAGCTTAATTGAAGATATGAAAACGGCTCTTTAAGTAGCTTTGAAACCTGTTGCAACGTTCGGAAGCGAATTTAACGCACGGAAGATCTTCTGGCCTTGTTCCTTAACTTGTAATTGTGGATAGAAAATGAGAGAATGGACCAATACATTAATATATGGCTTGAGATACTGTGTTTGGATGCCGTTCCGGGTGTGGATTGTTCGCTTGATGATCGGCCCAATCGTCGAAACGGCAGCTGAAAAAAAAAGTTTCATATTTTGAAAAGTCTTGCGTTACTATCTTGACTTAATTTGGGACTTCAGAAAAAGCAAGAAATTTTAAGCGAAACTTCTATCTTTAGATAAAGAAGTTGAATGAAAAAAATCATAACAAAAATTTCTTTCGCAGATAGTAAGAAAGATATTTTTGAATCGAAAAATTCAAAAATTTGTAAAACTTCTGATTTCATTTTTAACAGAGGTAAGAAAACCACGTTCTTTAAATTAATTTTTTTGAAGAAAAAAAGTTGTCACACACTCTTGATCTCTCTTGGAAACTCCTCTGCTCTAAAATTACGCTACAATTCTCCAATTTAAGCGACGAGTTTAGTTTCAATATTCTGCTAATGTGGCAGTGAAATGTTCAATACAAACTCGAAGAACTTGTCGAGGGCGACATGGATCCCGGAGACGCGACGACGCCATTTGACGGCCTCTGAATTATCTGCTGTCGCACGGAAGTCGGGAGCTTGGGCGTCATCGCAGGAGATAGAGTCTGCTTTTTCTTTTCCGTCGCACTAAAAGAAATGATCATCAAGAAAAAAGCCTCTGCAATCGTGCCAGCTATATCTAAAACTCAAACTTTATTTTCACATAGATTTTCTCGCAAAACCGCTTGGAAAACCTATTTTTTGCTCATTCAACTTTCAGATTGGAACCTTTAAAAGGTACAGCTTTTTTCAAACAGAGCATTTTGAAAACTGGAGAACGCCAATCTTTTTTTTTGGAACGATTTCGAAATTGCTATCGTTCTTGAAAGAAAAGAGAAAGGTTAATAGATCTTGAACCAGGCTTTATAGGGACAAGCTAACGATAGGATAACACAAGTGAAATTGACATTATGAAGTTAGAAAAATCAAAGCAAGAATAATCTAAAAAGAAAAGATGATGCATTGAGCTCCATTGCGGATAAACAAACTGATTTGAATAATTAACCGTTTCAATAAATCGTTCTTTGAAAAAAAGCAATCATTTTCCCTCTAAACCTAGATGGATATAGTGACAACTGAAAAAATGATGTTGGAATGTGAGAAATTCGTTGCAATTTTTAAGCATGCTCTGAAGATTCAACTTACTTTAAAGACACGTTCTGCACAGCGCGAGGCGGTTCGACGCTTTCCGGGACCGGATCTTCAATTTTCGGATTGTCGGAAACGTCGACTTCTATCGCCTCCAAGCAGTCCCCATTTGTTTCTCCAGAAGTCGAAGCCGTTCCTTCATGATATTCATTTCTTTTTTCATCCTGTGGAGCGTGGTTCGAATATTGATGATCGTCTGAAAAAAAAACATACCAACGAGTTAACTTCACCATGATCCAAGGACTCAGGAAATACAACTTTGAACGATTTGGAAAACGTTCATCAAATATTTATAAAATATGGGTTTTGATGGTTGAACATTTATAGAAATAGAACTCGATATCAAACCATCACAGTCAAAAACCTTTTTTTCTCATTTATTCTTCAAACATTTCCCTGAAATTTTGTTATTTTCAATCTACAAAAATATTTTTCATTTTGAACGAACAAAAAAAGAAATCGAAGAAGGAGAAATGATTTTTTTAAAAAGTTGAGAAATATAATGGACTAAAATTGAAAAAATTCAAAAGTCAGTGAAAAATAACCACAAAAATATGAAAATCTCAAACTAACCAAAAGCTTGATCAGCATTTGAAGTACACGGAGCACTGGAAAACCGATCGTCAGGATAACTAAAAAAAATTGAAATTGAACGTATACTCACAAAAAATCGCTTAAAAAGCTCATGAGAATATTTGATAATGAGCTTGAAGGGAGCCTACTTTCTATGTTGCTCATTTAATAAACCTGCTGGATCTACTGGAAATGGGCGAAGGCTGACAGACGAATTCTTCTAATCCGGCTTCGCACAGTGCAACCGATAACAAATCATCCATAGTCTTTAAAAGAAACACTGCAAAATTACAATTAGTTATTATTTTCTTCGAAAAAAAAATTGAACGAAATCGATGGAGAAAATAGCCCCTTATATGAAGGTAACGTTTAACTTTTCATGAAAACCTATAATCATGGCACAGCTATAATTAAGAACGCACGAAAAGAGCTCAGTGAAATAAAAAGACGATCACTAACTCTCAACGCAAGGAACTGATGTTTTTGGCAAACACTAGAAAAAAAAACGCGACCAAAGCAATAAATATTCCGAAAAACGGCGACAAAATTTTAGGCCAAGCGCTACCGAAATCGATAAGTCAACGGCACACTGATGATATGACAGCAGAGATATCAGTCATTGAAAAAAAAAATTACTGCTCCAAAACCTGCAGGATGACAAAGGAACTAGAATTTATCTTTTGCGTGCACGAGAGAGTCACGTGCTCCTCGAATTGACAGGGATTTTGAAGGTCACATTAATTGCAGATGACGGCCAATGGCATAGGCATTAGAACACCTTCTAAAAAATTCAAAAAATTGAACATTTCAAAAACTTCTTTCAAAAAAAAAAAACAGAGAAAAGACCGAAAACGTTTCAAGAAACTAAACTTTCGAAACCGTTAAATCTTATGCAAGGCGAACATAGTTTAAAAACACGTGACGCAGGGGTTGTCCAAACTATTTTTTCTAAATTGCTCTGAAACTTTCATTGCACCCAGCTTCTACCGTCATGAAATGGAAAAAAAAAATTCATTTGAACCACTTTATTCGAACTTTAATCACATGCAACATCACATCAACTAGGCATAGTGGTTAGCCTTCTTTCTCAGTTTATAAACGGTTTTTCAATGTGGGCTGGAACCAAAATACGCTTGAAACGTCAGCGTCGTGACCGGCGAGAATTGCGAAATGGCAACGAACAATAAAAATGTGCGTGAGCTCGTACGCAAATTGTGCAGTGCACGACGTCCTCCAAATGCATAAACTCGGAAAAATCCTGATTCCTTTTTCTTATAATTTTTAAACAAGATTATGCCGTGTTCAATTTGATTCCGCGAAATGCAAAATGATCTCTGACTCTCCAAAATCTAGTGATCTTTTCCTTTCTCTAACGGGTATTTTGCATTTCGCGGAATCAAATTGAACACGGCATAAACTCCAAGAAAAAGACTTTAAACTATTTACAACTAATTTGTATTCTAAAAATTTTTTAGGTGGAGTGTTCAAAAATAAATGTTAAAAAAAGTTAATTGCCTTTTACTCTTTCAGAATACGGAAGTTTTGAAAAATTAGTAGCCTATAAAGTGCCGGAAAATACTCGATATTCAGGAAAAACAATTTTTGGAACGCGGACCTTTTGTAACTCCTTTGGAACGGCAAAGAAGTTTTGGCGCGGAAAATGAGGCCGCGTTAAGGTGCGTGCACGCGTGAAGGCGCTGCAGGCCGTCAGTTAAAAAAAATCAGGGTGAAAAAAGCTCTCGAAAAACGTTTGACGACACTCAGTGTAAAAAGGATACCAACGCGTTAGAAGGGAATTCGCACGTTACCTTTCGGTTGTAATGATATGCCCGAAAAGACCGAATAATACTTTGACCAACGGGCAACACAGACTGTTCAACATCACCATACAATCGTAAGGTATTCCTGTGAATCATTTCTTCTAAAATTCAACATTTTCTTTGCGTAAGAGGTTCCGAGAAAAAAAGAGCACCTTTTTTTTAATTAAGAAATGTTTATTACAACGCATCACTGATCCTATTCATAATCAACCTAATAAAACCATACATTAAAGAGTTCTCTCACCGGATAAAGCAAGAATCAAAGAAAAAAAAAATAGATGACAAAAAAAGTTCTTGGTAGATATTCAAACCGAAAATTGACAAAACAAACAAATGAGGGGGAAGAACGCGCCGAGAGTCAACTTGTGCAGGCCCCGCCCACTAGGTTGACGCAAGCGGTTCGCGGAGAGATAAAAGATGAAAAACGAGAGTATGCAGAATAGTTAAGAGAGTTTATTTCCCCTTGACGAAAGCGACGCCCTTCTCAATGTTCTTGTTGAGCTCGGCAACGGAAGCGTCAATCAACTTCTGCTCATAACTGGTCACCTGCAAATATTCAATTATTAAATGAAAGCACAAAAATATCGAGTTCGACATTTTCAAAGTAAAAAAACAATACTCGAAAAAAATCCTTCAAAACTATTGAAATAAAAAAGTACTTTTTCCAACGCCGAGGATCTTCTCAACTCCGTTGGGTCCGAGCTCAACGGGAGTCGAGAAGTACTGAACTCCCTTGACAGCGTCCGACTCAACGTAGGCACACTGTACGTTCTTATCTCCCTGGAATGAAGATTTGGAGAGGATATCAATTATATGATGCTCTATGCACCTTTATTCCACGAACAAGAGCGTTGGCAAAACGAGCGCCAGCGAGAGCCATCGACAGAGTGGCAGATCCCTATATTACATTTCATTTATGAAAAAAAAAACTTTATCAGCTCACAGCTCCAGCCTTGGCGTTGACGACTTCAGTTCCAGCGTCTTGAATTCTGGGAGTCAACTTGGCGATTTCCTCATCGGAGAATTTTGTCGACGGCTTGGTCTACACGATGCTAATTTTCAAAACTATTGAAATTAGAAAGAAAACCTGGGATAGAAGAGGAATGATGGTGATACCGGCATGTCCGCCAACAACAGGAACAACCGTCTTAGTAGCATCGTGTCCCTCAATTCGATCACATGAACCCTCTTCGAGTAAAAAAAAAGATTTTAGAAATGCGTTCTGAGCACGCCGCAGTCGATCTTTTTTTCTTTGAGGGTAAAATGAAAAGACCCTGAAAAATGTTTCCTGAGAGGAACAAACGTCTATCTGGTTTCTATCTGATCGTATCGCACTCTCTCATTCTTCACTATTCCTCGCTCACTACGTTCAAATGCCAACCACCTTATTTTGTTCTGAACATGCAGTTGACCCGGAAAAAGTCACAAAGTGTTTATGCTGTTAGCATCTTCAACTAAGAAAAATGAATCAAGAAATACTTCCAAAAATAGTTTTAGTAAGAGCATACAATTCTTTGCACGAGTCTTTTCATGTTTATGAAAATTTCAAGGAATATTTTTAGAAATTTGAAGATTTTAGGCAAATTTTTTAGTTAGGCCTTTTACTAAGAGTTCGCTCCACAACACTAGAATCAAAAATCGAAAAGGATCACTCAAACCCGAAAACAAACAACAGGAAAATCATAGAGGGAACCAGTTTTCCAAAAAAAAGAAAAAGGAAAAAAAAATGCGATGACAAATTCAGAAAAAAACTCCTCAAAGTCCTTCTTTCTCAATAAATTGGGAAACGTGATGAAAAGATCAAAGTTTAAACGTAGCCTGAGTGCAATCCAACTTCTTATCTCTAACTGGTGCAGGTAGAGGCTACAAATTCGTAGCAGTCGGAGCAAAAAAGACTACAAAAATCGTTTTGATACTTGAAATAATAAAGAGAAAAGCTTTTCACGGATAAATTAAGAATAAAAATAGAAAACAAATAACCTTGAGTTCGGCGACGAAAGCTTGGGAACGAACGACGTCGAGGGTGGTGACTCCGAAAAGACGGCGTTTGTCGTAGACGCCGTTCTTCTTCAAAACTTCTGCGGCAATGGGGACGGTTGAGTTGACAGGGTTTGTGATGATAGCGATCAGAGCCTGTGAAGAGTGAAATTACTCAAGTATTTTGTGGAAATTAGAATTTAGAAAAATAATTCAATGGGATGAAAAATATTCATCAAAGTGTGATTATAAGAGAAAGCCCTAACTAATATTGAAAGCTAGCGGCAAATGAAAATTCGAAAAAAAATTTTCTCCAAAAAAAAAGGGTAACATTCAAATTTTATCAGAAATCAGGGTTTTTATTCATTTATTTTTCTTCCAAAAAATGTTGGATCAGTTAATTCAACGAAAAGAGCAAAACTAATGGCGTACTCATTAGAGAAACGGAACATGCTTCAAAACAAAAAAAATCGTGTTCATCGGCGCGTCAAAGTTGCTCCAAAAAAGTCCTAATTTTTGTTTTAGAGCAAATTTTTGGGGTTTCGAAGCAATTCTAGGTTTGTCCGATGAACACGCCACAAAAGTAAATACCATCCTATAGAAGTTTCCAAATTTCACTAAAATTAGAAAAAAAGCACACTTATAAAAAAAATCGGATAATTTTTTGTACACAAATTCTATTACAGTGAAGCTTTTTTAGTTCGATTCTTGATTAAACTTTAAATGATTGTCCAACTTAAACAAAAAAAACCTTGGGAGCCGCCTTAGCGATGGTTTCAACGAGGTCGCGGACAATGCCGGCGTTGGTGTTGAACAAGTCGTCACGGGTCATTCCTGGTTTGCGCGGGACTCCGGCGGGAATCACGATGACGTCGGCGTCCTTTACAGCGGCGTGAAGCTCAGCAGCTCCAGTATGAGCAGTGACCTTAAAAATTATACATTCAGAACAAAAGAAAAATATTATTGGAAAAAAGTTTTAAAATGTTTTTGACAAAAATTAAGGTTAGAAGGAACCTTAGCTTTGGAGTCGATGTGCGAAAGATCAGCAGCAACGCCAGGAGTGTTGACGACATCGTACAATGCGAGATGTGCTACGAGGGGATCCTGCTTCAACAAAAGTCCAAGAGGTTGACCGATTCCTCCAGAGGCACCCAAGAGAGCGACCTGCAAATTTCTGCCCTTTTAAGTTGTTCAGCAATCACAAAAAAAGTGAAGAAAAAACGCATGTTTAAGACAGAACTACGACGCCGGTCAATACTGCTTCTTTGGTTTAGGAGCAAGAATATAAAAAAAAAAACTTGTTTTGCAATCTGTTAAGTACCTATTTCTAGAGATAACAAGATGGGCTTTGTCACAAAAGTACACAAGTTTTTCTTTTTATTACCGAAAACCTATCTAAAACACCGCAATACGACCGGCAGCCTTGAACAAGCGTTTCTGAAAAAGATTAACTAATGTAAATGGTCTTTTTAAAAAAAATTATATTGGACATTTGCCAAAAAGGCGGAGCCGTCCAATCACGCAGTGGGAACCTGCTGCGTTTCGGCTCGTGCTTTGAACCAGAAAAACTGTTTCATTGCGCGCGTCAAATTAGCTTTGAACGCGGCATTATGAGCTTTCTTTTTTGCTATACAAGTTGATATAATCAAAAAAGCGCGCCAAGAAACTACTTATTAGAAAGCGAGAGTTTGAAATATATTACCAACCACAAATGATGGGGTTCATGTACAACATGGTATTGAAAATACCTTCGGCTGCGAGCTCGAGTTGCGAACTGACACCAAACGAAGTCCATTAGCGGCGGCAGAAGCCAGGGATTTCGCGGGAAGAGCCATCTTTAAAAAACTTAATTCTGATCATTACTTAAAAAATTTGAAAATTCATTTAGAAATAAATTTTTCTCTAAAGTTGTTCATATATATGAAGAGCAGAGTTTGCAGGGAATCAAACCTAAAAAAATGTTTGAATCATTGGCGATAAGAGTTCATTAACACATCACAATAAAGAGCGTATGATCAATAGAAAGGAAAGAATTCAAGACAATAATTGAAGTACAAAAAATTAACTTTTGCAGCGAAATAGCGAGTGGTCGGAGTTCAAACTTTTAAAGGCGCAGGGCCGCCTGCGAATGGCAGGCAGAATTCGCGGTAATGTTTCGTTTTGCGGGAGTTCAAATTTCTCATCAACTTTGAGGTTATTCTAATTTCTTTCAAGTTTTCCCATCTTTATGGCGTTTTAACGAAGGAAAGGAGCATGTTTCAAAATGTTAATGGCGTATTCATCAATATAAAATAAAACAAAACTCGTTTCGAAACGCAACGAAAAAAATCAGTTCTGTTTTGGAGCAAATTCGAGGGGCCAATAAACACTTTTTTTGCGTTTTTAAACATGTGCCCAATATTATGGACAATGTCGCAGCGAGAATAAGGCTTTCTCTGGAAAATTTACCTTCAAAAAATTGTTTTCTTTAATTTGATTCATTTCATCGTGAAATTGAAAGTCAAAGCAAAAAATAACTTTTTTTAGTTCTTAAAATTCATGAGCAGGAGCGATACAGCAGCGGGAATTTGACAAGGTCACATCGAGAAGGCTTTTTAGACCCAGATATGAGCCCTTGGAATAAAGTGAGACATATCTTCTAAACCCCATAGGCTTCCAAAAAATCTTCGAAAAAAGTCAGGTTATAAAAAAACATAGTAAAATCTCATTAAGGTATCAGGGCGAAGAGCAATTTTCAGGTTATTATTAATTATTATTCAAAAAAATTTGTCTTTTTAATATATTTGTGCGAAGCGAAGAGAAAAAAAGTGAACAGGGAAATACACGAGTAATAGAAAAGGAAATGTATTTCGCGCACTCGTTCGGACTCCTAAAAACTTAATGGCGTAAGATGGACACGCAAGACTTCACATATTTTTCTTCTATTTATTTGATTGGCAAAAAACTGCTATCTCAAACAAACACTGGCTTGAAAAAATAAATTCATTTTGCGACAAATATTGATTAAAAAATGTCGGCATACAAGAAAAAGAAACTATATGAAAAAAAAAAATCACAAAAGAACATCGGCGTGAATAATTCTAACTAGTAAAATCGAAGTAAAAAAAGTCTCGATTAAAGTTTGGCTAAAGACAGAATATTTTTTTCGAAAAAAACTTATTCAATATTCAGTTGTATTTAAAATGTCTTAACTAGAACTTTATAACCGCTGAGCGAAAACCCAAAATAGGTACATGAAATAAATTTCAACAAAGTCAACAAATTAGAGAGAAAGTGAATGTTTAATCGTCGTCGTCTTCTTTGAGGGAAGTGGCTGATACATTGGACTCATCAATTATTTCCTGATGATATTCCTTGGGCTGGCATTTGGCCAGATCCACTCTAGGCATATCGACCTGAAGAAAATACGATTTTCTTACACTGTAAACCTGAGTTTTGACTTCGGATGGTTGAACTTGAACTTAAAACATTGAGGGAAGCTTGAAAGTTTGTTCAAAGCGAAACCTGTTGATCGGGGAAGTTCCAAGGTTTGTAGTGTGGGTGATTGTTTTTCTTCCAATCTGAATAGTTCATGCAAGCCTTGTGAAGCTTCTTGATCACCTGCAGTCGTTGAAAAAATTTTTTTTCTGCAGAAATTAATTGTAACCTTTGGCGCGATCGTTTTCGTGACACGATTGGCCAACCAAGTGGGCAGTCTTCCTAGAAGATATATATTATTTTTTTCAATTTGAAGTCCACTTGCCTTTTGGATCGGTATGACTAACATAGATAATTTCACAACCTTCGCCGACGTTTCGAATTAGATACCCCGAAAGGATAACTGTTCCACGAACATAACCTTTTTGAGGCGGATAATCCTGAATTATTGATGACTTATGTCGTGAACGGAAAAATGAAATCAGTCAGAAGTTTTGAGACCTCGTGACAAACGGAATGCGAACAAATGAGCTTCTCCTCTCCAGTATCGAGCCACGAACGTTGCATCACGAAGTCCCGGCCTCGGATCGTCGCGAGACCATTCACTGAAAACTTTTATTTGAAAACACGTGTCCCGAAGAAAGACTGAAGTCATTCAACTCACGTGCATAATAGCCGATGTCGTTGTTGGGATTTAGGAGTCCTATTGTGTTCTGAGAGCCCATGTGCTTATCCCATTTTGCGCGGTAAGCTGCATGAAAAAGAAGAGTAAATTGGTGAGGGAAAATATTTTTGCTAGGAGGGATTGGTATTCTTCTGTATAGTTTGAATAGTCGTTAATTGAATAGTTGTTATTCATGTAAATTTTTCTATTCAAGTCCAAACGGTCCGCTTACTTCCAAAGTCTCGCATACTCCTATGAAAGAAAAAAAAATATTAAACTTGAAAATACATACAACAATCATGAAGAACGTCGTAAGCAATGGAAGAAGGAACGTCAGGAAAATGGGCACATGCCTGAAAAATTGAATTTTTTCAAGTTTCTTGCGGGAAATTACCTTGATCATCTGAAATGAGCTGTTGGCCACGATCTGAGTGTAGACCTCGATACTTTTTTTCTTGTAAACCTGCAGAAACTTCCCTATTTCTTCAGAAAAAAAAAGCTCAACCGACTTGGACCCATCCTTCGTCGGAATTGCAGAATTTGCGGACTTTTTCGTAGTCTGCATCTTCCCAAACCCGTGCTGTGTTCACTCGCATAGTTTTGAGCAATGTCTTGAAACTTTTGCAACTTTTGAGTTTCATTTATTCAATTGAAACAAACAATTAATGAAGTGGGGAAAATGAGTGTGAAGTTAAAAGTTTCTTAAAATTATTTATTCGGAATATTCCTCAGCAGTTTCGACTTGAAGCAGTCCCACCTTTCTTCGCTCTACTTACCATCGACGACGAAAAAAAAAGAAAAGAAAAGAGAGTAGTACACATGAAATCAGAGCGAAGAAAAGTCTGATCCTTTTTAATTCGAAATGGAAAGAAAAAACGAGTAAGAAAGAAAAAAGAAATTTTGAGAAAGAGACATTTTGAAGGGTCAAATGTTTCAAATTTATTATAAATGAGGTTCGCTCTTTCGTTCTCTACTTCACGAATTCAATTATTCATCTTTAAAAGGTCATGATTCCTCCGATCAAACTGCAAAAAAGAAATCTTGATTTTTTCTATTTCTCTGCAGGTATGTTTCTCACGAAATAATTTATTGGAGCGTTTGATGTTCCATATGGAAGATCGAAGTCTAAACCGAAAAAAAGCACTATCGATCACCATGGAGTGGTGAGTTGAGAACTGATTATGCGACGCTGTACCTATAAGCAGAGCCATTTCGGAAATTCGGAACAGAATTGAGGAGGTGTGACCGATCGAAGAAACGGTGCGAAACGGTGCTGAAACATGTCACCCAGACGAAATGAATGCAAACAAAACGGAAATTTGTCAGGAAACAAAGACCCGTATTTGGCATACATTGATTCCCATCGCTGGTGCTTTCGGCAACTCGCAGGGCAATAAATATGAACGCATGTGACGTTGTTGCGTGGGCCAAAATTACAGACTCCTCGCGGATTTGCAGCCCAACCACAATGTTTCCCTTCCGCACACGCTACGAATTCTCTCAGACGCCATTAAAGTACAAAACGAGTTGATGAGAAACATTCGAGAGATTTGCGATTCATTCAATTTTGTTTTAATTGAACGTGGGTGGAGAGAATAGAGAGAGTAACGCAACTGCAAAGTCTCCAATTCGTTCCATATTCATGAGCCTTTGCTCTTTTTGTTCGAAATTCACGGCACGAGAAGCGATTTGAGTACTTTTGAAAACAACTGCAGGTGCTGAAAAAAAAAACATATATTTTGAGATTTTTGATGCTCCGACGAAATTATTTGTCTAAACGGGAATGCGAAGCCACGCCTCCTTCTCTTCAAATCTCATCTATTTTCGGCATTTAAGCCTGAGACTTTCATTATTTTGCTTGTTCCAATTAGGTTTTTTTTAATGCCACCAATTTCGCGTAACAATAATTTCAGGAATCTATTTTTTTTTTCTTTCTCAAAACTGCTGAAAGTTGTTTCTTTCAGGAGGAAATGAGAAAGCTGACATCACTGAATGAGAAAAGAGAAACAAATTGCTTGGAGCGATGTTTTTTTCAGTATCGACGACCTTTTCTGCATGGCTTTCAAAAAAATTTCCCAATTTCTTTTCTTGACGCTCTCCAACGTTTCGCTACGTTCTACAACTGTGGATTTTTTGACAAAAGGTTTCAAGAATTTGAAAACAAAAAAGATATGGAGAAAAGAATACGTGAAACTTTACGAGCGACCCATAAAACTTTTCAATTTCCATTTTTCCCTTTTTTCCAAGAAAAGATAGCTGAAACGGAAATAGAACGAAGTAGTGAAGACGTTGTGTATCCGCCTTGAATTATTATTGGCCAAGGCTCGCTGAGAAGAAGAAAAAAGGTCGCAAAACGAAAATCGAAAGCAGGATGTCAGTAAACACGCGTCTATTTCTTATTGTTTTCTACGTTTTTTGGACGTCCTCCAAATATCCATCAAACTGCACCCTTATTGGATTACAGCTATCTATGAACGCTTTTTGAAATGAGTTCGTTCTGGCTGAAGAAATGAAACTCACTATACAAAACTTTCAGAACAAATCAGCAGTTTCTCAAAAAAAAAAACGGGAAGAAAGGAAAGAATCTGAAAATGAAAACTATCGACTGAATCGAAATGTTAGAAAGACTGAAACGATAATTCTCGAGGCCTCCTTTTGAACAGAATTTCAGCTCACACGCAGTTTATGTCCGACATCGGAACAATAAAAACTTTCTTTTTTTCTGCTCAGCCCACGCAGGTTTCTTCCATAAAAACAAAAAAAACGAAAAGGCTTTTGAGGAGATTTAGAATATTTTTTCAGTAGCTGGTGAGAATGAAAATCAAATTTCAAAATTTTACTCGTTTCACTATTAATTTATTGCAATCCCAAAGTCAAACATGCAAAAAAGTTTTTATTTTTAGGAACCGCGCTCGGTTAAGCAGGGATGTCCGGGGCGCGTCCGATTCGTGTTACCGTGGCGGGGCCTCGGTCCTTGGATCCAAGTATATTTTTTAATGCGAGGCAAGCAACTTTGCTCTATTGAGAGCGCGGGAAATCTTAAAATTTGAAAATCTATTCCATCTTACTTATAACATTTTGAAATTTTATTCCGTAACTGTTTTTATAGTTGATTCACGGCTGGCTTGAACCATCTTGAAAAAGGTCCTGCCACAAAAAGATAAGAGACAGTGCCTGGTTGGTGGAGAGCGCAGACAGGCTACGCCTTTTTGCGTCCCAAGCTAGCCGTGAATCGTCTATATTCATCATTTTCAGTAGTGCTCAAAGTAAGTCCGCGAAATTTTTCCTTTCGAAAGGCAAAAAAAAAACCATGAGATAGTGAAAAAGATAACTAGTTTTGGGAAGCCAGAGGTAATGTTCATTTAAGCGAAATCACCTCGCATGGTGGCCAGGTACCTCAACGGGTGTATATAACCCTTAGATTTTCCTCTATTTTTTTACGACTCGCCACGCATCTCCACAAAATCTTGTTTAACGCTTGCCGTTTCTCTGTTTTCTAGAGTTTAGTAATGTTTTTGAAACGAAACTGTTTTTTACAGAAAGAGTGGCCATTTGATATGTATTCTAGTTGAGAAATTTCACACATGCTTATCATAAACTGAGTTGGTTAAAATGAAAGTATTATATTCTGAACATCAATATCTCATTTCTATTTGACAGATGAGCGGAGAAGCGGCCACGAGAAAGAAGAAGCGTCAATCTGTAAGTTTCAATCTGTAAGAATCGTAGTGATCCATTTCGAATTTTTTTGAAGATACTTCGGGTGAGACAAGAAGTCGACGAAGCGATTGTATTTGAAAATGATAACGAGAAGACGACTATGCGCAGAAGAGTTAGTTTTCAAAATGTGAAGCACGTAAAGTATGTTTGTGATCTGTGAACACAGAATGAAAAATCATTTTAGAGAGTTTGACAAAGATGTCGCGAATTTACTCGATGTCACGCCGATCAGGGAAAGAATTACTGACACTATTGACTCCGATGGAATTCTTACGTTTGTCTCGAAAAATATTTCTGATATTCTCAAATTTTACAGCCCCGGTCGGGCGGCCAGCAGAGCTTCTGTTAATTCCGACGCCAACACTACAGATTTGAGGGTTTTTGGCCTCGATTCTGAAGGCAAGCTTCTTTCTTTTTTTTTGTTGCGAATAATTTATTTCTAATTCAGCACATGTCGACCTGAATGTGACGCATCGGACTATTGTAGATATGGCAGTCGATAGTCAGTTTCATAGATTGGATTTTTTTAAAAATCTAATGATGATAATTTTGAGAAAAGCTTTTGACTTTCCTTTTCCTTATAATAATAATTTTACAGCATCTATGGAAGTTTCACAAAACAACGAGAACGGAAATACGATTTACGAAGACACGGTTTGTATAATATTTGCTGGTTTTTAAATCAATAAGTCAATTTTTTAACTGAACGCGATTAAGAGGTATTTTATATTTGAATGGTCCAGTTATTTCTTGCATCAAGTTGAAAAATATTCTCTTTGTTAGAAACCGTAACCACTGTAAGAGTTGAATTTTCCGATTTTCAAAAAAAAAACTAATCTGATTTTTTTTTTGTTTTGTTGGGATTTTTTAATTATTAAATTCTTTCCCTGCTTTCCCTGATTTTGCACACAAGAATATTCCAATGGAGTATTTTTAACACATTTTTTTGCAGTTTGTTATTTTCAAACCACCCAGCGGAAAGTTGAACAAGACGGTTAACGAAACGGTCAACATGGATATTTCAATGCGTCCAGCCTCACCCTCTTTACTTGATGACACTGTGGGATCGTTTTGCAATTTTTTTCTTCCAAATCTTCTTTTTAAATATTTTTTTGTAAATGTATGTTTTTCTGCAGCTGGCGGCGATAAAAAAATGCGATCTCCTGCACGAAACCAACAAATTGTGCACGACGTGACACGGAGGACCGTCGTAGACATGTCGATCGATGATAAAGATTCCACTCGTTGATTCATCTCAATTTTTAACGGAAAATTTCTTTGTTTCAGTGATAGGAGACAGCGATGACCATCCAATGGATATATCGGCTGATTGTACGGTGAGACTTTTTTATCTGTGAAATTCCAATTTGTGCTAAGTGAATGCCGAGAAGAGCGCTAAAGGAGTGCTTCAAATGAACTCTGAAACCTCAAAACCTTCTTTTCTCGTTGAAAAGTTTTCCATGACCCTTTTTCCCTGCAAAAAGTTGACTTATGCAAAAGAAAAGTTTTTTATCCTTTTTTTCCAGACATTTCAAAATCGTGTTGATGGAAATTGGTAAAAAAAAAAATGGATTAATTGAATTAAATTTTCGCGATAGATGAATGAAAATGTTCTATGAGGCGGAGACTATTGTGTTTTGAGAACGCAAGTTCGACCTTGTTTCAATACTCCTAATACAGCTCCGCATGTTCGACCCATCGACACCCCGACGAGTCGCGGCGAAAGCGGAGGAAAGTCTCGTGGACATGGACATTTCGGTCGCCCCAACAGTCGATCTCCCGGTTCGCTCTAATGAAAAGATCTAAATTCATCTGAATTTTCACAGGCTTCTGTCGTTCCTGTCTGTGGCGGTTTGGATGACACTCTTTACGCCATTTTTGGAAACCAGGTTGAAACTGATTCGATTTCCACCGAAATGAGAATCTTTTGAGGTTTCTTCCTCGAACACTTCGACCCCACTCCGACGGTCTGCAAGAGTGGCGGCCGACGTGACGCCGACCCGAAAATCTCCGGGTAGAAATAATCGGTCGCCTGGTAGATCTGCTACCAAGTCGCCTGGGAAGTCTTTCAACGAAATGTACCAATCGGTTCGTGCTAGTTTCTTTTTTTCAAGTCAAAATTCGTTGTTTGTTTAGGTTTTGATGGAGATTGAGGAGGAAGATGATGATGGAGGGCTTCCCAGATGTCCGCCTGTTCCAGAAACGCCGTCCAAGTTTGAGTCGACGATGGACGCTCTGCTGGCCATTCCTCAGTCCAGTTGTCCTCCAAACGTGGGCGATTCAGCCGTGGTAAGCTTTCTGCCCTTTTCTTTTGAATTGAGTTTTCCTTGACATTCTAACATGATCGTAGTCTGATTGAAAATGTTGACCTGGCTTAAAAAGGGTTTAGTTAGAGTTAGGGTTTTGATTTCTGGGATGTAGAAGACGTGGGAAACACTAACCGTAAACGGCAATAATTGATCCGATTCTTTGATTTTCCGAAATAGGTTCAAACGTTTTCCGGTTTTAATTAGATTAAACGATTTTTGAGTAATTTTTAAACTTTGTTTTTTTACAATTCGGTTGGCGAATTTTAGGTGTATAGTTTTGGAAACGAAAAAAAATTTAGAAAAGTGCCTTCGAAATGAAAAATAGAGTAACTGGGCGATTTCAAAGCCTTTCCAAACATTTTCTCAAAAATTTTTTTCTAGTTATTATTTGGCGCTAATATTTTTCACTTCTTACTGTCATTAAGAAAAATTACCCCAAGCCATCTGAATTATTTTTTTAATCGTCTACGATTCCATCAGAGGAAACTGTTCTCATCAGAGTAAAGTTGTTATCGAGATGAATTCATCCAGAGTTTTACAAATAGTTAATTTTTTTTGCCCATACAGCATCTGATATTAGACAATTTTGCTATTCTGTTTTTTTTTTCAAAGGAAGTGGCGACCCCGGTGAATCCCACTCTGACGTATTTGGCAATGCCGGAATGCCAAGAAAAAACTGGAGACTTAACGCAAAAGAACGTCGGCGATAGCACGATGTCGTTGGCATCGCCGCCACAAGTCGACCAAACTATGGATATGGGCGATCGGACGAGGAACAACATCTCGATGGCGTTGGAGACGCCGCGACGCGACTTCCAAGCAGTAGCCAACCAGACAGTCACGGACGTCATCGATCGCAGTACCCTCAAAGTTTTGCGGAGGTCTTCCATCCTGGTTCGATTCTTGTCTTCGACGAATCGACCTCCTGGGTTTCAGAACTCGCGAAGGCCGAGTTTGGACTCCAGCCAAATGTCCATGTCTTTAGCTGTTGACTCTCCTCGCCATCGCGACATTTTCAGTATTGTGAGTATAATATGTTCAAAACGTTGATGTAAGTGCTTAAATGCGAATATAATTTTTTTTAGTCAAGGGTCACTTCAATCTTTTGATTTTTGTACCTCAAAGTACACCAACGTTGCTAAAAAGATATTTTTTAAATGATTCTGAGAAGCTTCGTCGGACAGTGATTTTCAAACAGACCCAATCGGTTCGGTCCTCGCCGAGCGTCTCCCTCATCGCTCCCGCTGACGAGGCCCAAACCTCCGCAAATTCTTCTCAACTCAGCTGTTCCACGCTTCCGCCAATTTCCTTCAATCCCCTTGTATCGAATGTTGGTTTCCATTCATTAACCTCTTTTAATTTTCATTTTAGATACTGTATATCAGAAATGTGGAAGAAGAAGAGAGCGAGAGAGTGGCGACGTTGCGAAACCAAGCAACGGAACTGCTTCTGAACAAAATGCAAGAAATAAATGAGAAGTTTGTTCTGTAATTTTCATTAGAACAAGTGGAATGGTGGTTTACTTTTTCGGTTGGAAATTGTTCTCATAGGTAAAACGGAAAAGTTCCTTTGAGGATCCTCAAAGGATCCTGAGAGGGAGATAAAAAGCTTCCTCTAAAAGCTCCTAAAATGATTTAAAAAAGCTTTTGAGCACCTTTTTCATAGCCTCAGAGGATCCTTTTTGAATCCTCTCGGATCTTTTTAGTTGCTTTCTAGCATCCTTTTTGTCAGAGGATGTGAAAAAGACGCAAAAAAGAATTGAAATGATGTAAAAAAAGATCTGCTGGGGACCCTTTCAAGGTCTTTTTTTGAGAAAAGCTTTTGGGGAGCTTTTCAGTTTTGCCCGAGCTGAATCCATATAAAAACCTCTTAGATGTGCCAGGTGAAGATCATGAATGTCTCACTTAGCACCAAATCCAAATGCCGTGTTCAATTTGATTACGCGAAATGCAAAATACCCGTTAGAGAAAGGAAAATATCACTAAACTTTGGAGAGTCAGAGATCATTTTGCGTTTCGCGGAATCAAATTGAACACGGCATAAATTTGAAAACGCACCGTCAAGGTTCTAGAATCTGGAATATCGATAAAAAGGTCATGTAAAGGAATTTTCCTTTTCGTGTTAAATAAAAACGTTTTAGACATACATCGGCTGGACCCCACTCCAGTTTTTCTCGTACGAAAAAAAAAGTTTGAAAATTTACTGAGATAGGCCGCAATTTTCGAGGGGTGGGCTGCACCCCGGGGTGGGATTCAGCCGACGTATGGTTTTAGACGATTGCCAGGCAAAAAGCTAAATATTATTTTTTTTTTTTCAAGCCTCGATATCCATAATTGTTCTATTGATCTTTTAGAAGTCAAGCTGAGGTAGCAGAAGCTTTCACGGCGCTGGAAAATATTTGTTCCGAGGAAAAACTCGATGTTTATAAGAATATGGACCGCAGAAAGGTTAGAAATCGATGATAATTACCATTCTGTGACGTTTTCTCAGATGAACGCCGACGAAAGAGAACTGATGTTGGCAGGTTTGCGATTTTCCGAGTTGCAGGTCCTCGAGGCGCGCGCAGAATGTGCCAATCAGTTTGATCGGATCGCCAAGGTTTTGAAGACTATCTTTGACTTCCCTGAAGCCCGATTCAGGCACAGTCGCAGGAATTGCAAGAAGAAATCGATAAAATCGAAGAAATGAACTCGCAACTCGTCAACGTTGGTCAACTGCAAGACGGTAAAAAGCTATTTTTTCCCAATAAAACTATGTCGGTGTTCTAGAAATAGCGCAGTTGGAGTTCGAAATGGCGGGAGTCGAGAACTTGACGGAAGACGACATTCATCGCTTCATGGCTGAACGAAAGGAGCACGAATTACTCGGCGACAAGGCTCTTACCAAGAAACTAGAAGACATTCATCAGGTATCACTTTCATGTAGTTTCAACTCCTTGTCACATCCCAAAAAGTAGGCGTTCGAAAGATTGTAATGAAAACTTTCAATTTGTCAAGGATTCGGATAATATAAGATAAAAATGGAAACAATTGAAATTTTTTTTATAACCTTTTTTTTAAATAATCGAGATGGTATGAAGATTTTTTCAATAATTTGCATTTTTTTTTCAGACGCTGAATCTTCTTTTTGAACAAGAGAACGTTGGAAAATCAAAAGTTGGAAAAAAATCCTCCAACAATTGCAAATCAAGATCGATCAAGATGCTCAGCGGAATCTCCGACTAAGAGAAAGTCTCGCAGACTTTGAAACTCGATTTGGCCTATTAGAAAAGAATTAAGCGAACTATCAATCGTTTTATCTATGAAAAATCTTCTGTATGATATTTGTATGGCTTCGTGTTGCGCGGTTTCAATTTTTTTTTTATTCGCTATACCGAAAGCTCGTCTTTTTCAATAGAATAAACTATCTTATATTATTGTTCTTGTTTGAAATTCAAAAATTTATGAGAGTTTTTTTGCGATGAAAAAAATGGTGGTATGAAAAAAAGCAAGCGAGTTTTCGAAAGGCAACTTTTACTATTTTTTTCATATCGCTAGGGGAACTTTCCGACGGCGACGTTTCCGACTAGTTTTTTTCCGACTTTTCCCTTATACTTTTCGGCTTTTTAAAAAGATCTATTAACATTTTTTTCTTTTTTTCTTTGTGTTTTAAGCATTAATCAATTACCTATTTTATATAAGAAAATACAAAACGAAGAGATTATCGAGAAAAAAAGAAGTTGGAAAAATTCTCCGTTCCTAGCGATATGACAAAAATCGGACAAGTCGCCATTCGAAAAATTCGCTGGCTTTTTGTTTCATACTCAATGAAAAATATATGATGTCAAAAGCATAATCACAGTAATGAAGCGCAATCACAGAATGAAAAAAAAAACGTTCTATAGCCTATTCCGCGCCAGCTTGTCACGTTTTTCTTTCCGCCAAAAAGACCGTATACCAAATTAGATCAATTTTCTGCTTTTATAACGGCAATAAACAAAGGTCTTGAAGCGAAGTTGGTAAAATTTGACCTGGTCTTTTGGCCGAAAGAAAAACGTGACAAGCTGGCGCGGAATGGCCTATAGCCTGTTGCACGGTGAAGTTCTCGAGAAATAGTACTTTTTTTCTTATTACTTTTAAAACTGTTATTTATTCGTTTCATACATTAAAACCCTGAGAATAACAAAAGCTAACCGATAGAAAACAAAAGTATTAGTTGCGCCATCGGTTACAAGTCAATTGAAAGGCAACGGGATAGCATCAAAACCGATCAAAAATCGCTGCGAGATCTCTAGCCGCGATCTAGCGTCAATAAGATTGCAATCTTATCGCTATACCGCGGTTCATGTTGCGGAGTTATGAGGGAGATCCGGATCGGCATATATTATACAAGGGACCTTGCGAGCATTATGGAGTCTGAGGAATATGCGCTCTGACGCAAAACCGCGAAAAGCCACTTTTAAATTTTGTCCCGTCGCGTCGCAATGGTTTTTCTGTTTCTATTATAATTATCCCTAATTATACTTTTTTGCTCGTTTTTGAGGTCTCTGTTTATTTTCATATCTATTCTCGGGCTGAGCCAAAACGAAAGCATAATGAGAAAAAATTTTTTATTTGTGAATTCTTGTATTTCAATGTCGTGTATTTCGCAATTTTCTGGTTCTTTTTAGCACCCTCTATTACTCTTTTTTTTCGAAATTGACTGACTCACTGATCTTATTTTGTACTAAAGCTTTTAAAATCATAATTTGTGTCATCGTGGACATTTTTTTATAATGATTCTCGTATGCAAATATCAGTATTCCTCTATCTGTATCTTTCACCCACGTTTACTCTCGCGTGTTCCAATTCTTTCTTATTTTTTTCAATTTTCTTCCTGGTTCAGGTGACGGCGAAAAATGTCGACATCTGTTAAGCACAGAGAGTTTATCGGAGAGCCAATGGGAGAGAAAGAAGTGACGGCTATAGCCGGAATCGGACCAACATACGGTGGAAAGTTAACAGAGCTCGGATTTGACAAGGTAAGACGTCAAAATGAGTAAAAATCTCAAACGCAGTTTTCAGGCGTACATTTTGTTTGGTCAGTACCTCTTGTTGAAAAAAGACGAAGAACTTTTCTGCGAGTGGCTCAAGGTTTTCATTTTTTTTTCCATGGTTCAATTTTTAGTCGTAGTTAGCTCACCGAGAGCTATCTTCTTTTTTTTCCGTAGAAAGGGAGGACTGTGAAGTTTTCTTAATTTCAATGAGTTTCATTGATTAACAAGTCTTTTTTTTCATGACATGCAGTAGAATCTTGGCTATGGTGTTTTTCCAACAAAAAAAAACCGTTATTAACGATTTTTTGGGAAATCTCGTAAGATAATACTGATAAGGAACTTTCGATTTGGAAATTTTTGAACTTTTTAATGCTCCTTTGAAACCCCAAAAAGTACTTTTGAAAAGACCATATACTCTATTTAAATTTTTTTTAGGAAACCGCTGGAGTGTCAGGTAACCATGCGAAATCAGCTTTCAACTGTCTAAACGAATGGGCGGAACAATATATTTGAGGTTTTTTTTTCTTTTCATGTTCATTTTAAATATTTTTTTACAGAACCACTTCTAACCATTGCTGCAATTGTCCTGCGGACTTGTTCTCACGGTTATAAACTTCAATTAATTATGTATTAACAATTTTGTTAAATTTTTCATTCTGCATTCTATGGAATAAATTACTTATATCACTTTATCGTTTTTCGTTAAAAAGAGGAGAAAAAGAGGCTTTAAAATGATATTGTCGCTCTATAGTTTGCGACTGTTTGCGGTAGGGATGTATGAATTATCAAAGCTGTTACTTCCTCCTCCAGTGCCTAAATACAGAGAAAATTTATAAACTAAATCAATTTATTTTAAGTGCAAAACTTATACGTGGATTATTTTTGACTACATACCCTTTTTTAAATATAATTTCTTGCGAACATCGTTAGTGCATTTTTGACAGAGCTGCTGACCAGAGCGGGGCGACCCGGGTCAAGACGACCGCAACGCGCCCCGCGAAGCGGTCACACTGTTAGAAGATTTCTGTACATTTACTCAATGATATAAATGAATTTTCATTTTCTTCGACGAATAGATTTCTTTATCAGTCGATACTCTGCGGATTTTTTCACTTAAACTTCATTCTAACTTATCTACTCAGCGGGGCGGGGCGACTGCTCAAAATAACGGGGCGCCCCGGTCAGAGAAAAAGTTGTAGCGATCCTTATGCACCCCTTGTCAGAGTAGTGATGGCCGTGCGATGCAAAGCCTCATTGCTCAAGCCACACCCGTTTTTCTACGCCGACATTGCAAATGACAGGAACGCACTGACGGCGCGAACGCTTCGAATTCAAATAATCGTTTATTTTAAATTTTAATTAATGCCGTGTTCAAAGTGATTCCGCGAAATTCAAAATAGCTGTCAGAGAAAGAGAAAGATAACTAAATTTTGGAGGGTCAGAGACCATTTTGCATTTCGCGGAAATTACTTTGAACACGGCATAATTTTTTTAACCTACTCCATTTAATGCTCGCTTGAGACAAGAACAAATGGACCATTTCTAAACAATTTTATATATTTATTATCTAGGTTTTTTTTTCCAATTAGGTAGTTTATTGAATAAAATTTTCATCAAAATGTGGAAATGGTCAGTCGTATTTAAATCTATGACGCATTGATACGCATCTGGAACTTTTTATCAGAAATGTCGGTTATCTTCTATATAGTCTGTTCAGATTTTGATGGTACGACTAAATCTCGAGTCCGCAAATCTTGAGGACCGTACCGTAAGGTCCTCAAGATTTGCGAAAACTAATAATCTTGATTGATATGATGAATTTGTTCCAGTTTTCTTGACAGCGAAAATTGAAGAAAGAGCATTTCATTTTACGACAAAATGAGCGAAGAAGTACTACAGCTTCGAGCGGTATTTTCAAAACTTTTGGGTCAGGCAAAAGTGATTTTTTGAAGGATCTCGAGCGACATAAAAAAAACATCGCTCTAAAAGATGAGATGCTGGAAGACCTAGAACTCGAACTGAACCAACTAAAACTCTCACTTCGCGGAAATATTTCGGCGGTCGAACATGAGACCGAAATCAAGAAATTGAAGGAAACTATCAACAATCTTCATTCCGATGTACGCTGGGCTCAAAATTATTTTTTCTACCCAATTCGCTTTTCAGTGCCACACCAAAGACGATCAAATTGCGAGATTGAGCAAAGATTTGACGTTTGCACAAGGAGAACTCCAGAACGTTTATGATTCAGCTGTTGGTTTTTTTTTCAATTTAACAGGAACTTTCTTCATAGACGTAACAATTCTCAAGTTTATTTCAGCCAAAATCCATCACTGACCGAACTCTTGACGACAGCAACGAGTCAAACTCAGACAAACTTGAAATAGAGCTGGTGAGATTTACATAGGGAGTAGGATGTTGATTCGTGATATTTTGAATGGAAAAATTAATCTGCCAAAAAAGTATTCTTTCTCAGAGTTTTCAACTAACTTGGGATTTTTTAAAGAAAAGCGTTAGTGAGCAGTTGGCGAAAATGCACGAGGATTGCGAGTCGGCGAAACACGAAGCAGTTCTTTTTCAAAATGAAGTGAGGCATCTCCGTGAAGCTGACGAACACAACCAACACATAGTTGCGGAGCTTCGTTCCACTCTTCGGGTTAGGTCTTAAAGTCGGAGTAACTAACTAATTACGAGCTATTTTCTCTCTGAAAACTCGTAATTTCATCCGTTCATTTTTTCTCATTTTTTTTTCTAGAAAACTCAAGAAGAAGTTACGCGATTAGAGGGTGAATTGTTCGAAACGCGGCACAACGATTCACACAAAAAGCAGGGAAATTCAATTTTCAGCGAGGTTGATCTCAGTTTCGCAAATATTCTGACCTCTTTTAGGCTATCGAAGCAGAAAGAAGACTGGAAGACGACCTGAAGCGTCTTTTCAAAGAGAATCGCGCTCTAAAGCAAAAGGTTGGGTTCCTTCGTTTGAAAGGTTTTTTTGAAGGTGGTCCTTTTTTAGATTTTCCAACTGAAAAGCGACTTGGAGGACGCTGAAATCAGAGCTCTCGACGCTGGAAATGTTGGAAATAAACAAAAAAATAAACAAAAAAATAAATTTAATTTTTTTAGGGCAATATTTATCGAAAGGAGCGATCAAATGAAGACTGGCTGGAAATCGAAGAATTGCGCTCAAAAGTGAGTTTTTTTGGGCGAATATACGAAAAAAACGAGTAATTAGCGGAAAATCGACTGTAAAGAAACATTTTATTTTTTTATTTGGAAAAATATAAACTTGAAAAATAATTGAACTTTTTTTATAGCCTATTCCGCGCCAGCTTGTCACGTTTTTTTCTTTACGCCAAAAAGACCGTATACCAAATTAGATAAAAATTTCTGCTTTTATAACTGCAAGAAAAAAAGGTCTTGAAACGAAGTTGGTCAAATTTTACCTGGCCTTTTGGCGGAAAGAAAAAAAGCGACAAGCTGGCGCCGAATGGCCTATACTTCATTTTAGATCAGTTTCGAAATTTCCATAGTCTTTATTTTCTTTTCTCAAATTTTCGATAACGTTGATCTGGAACAGACATATTGAATGGAAATCTATAGGTTCAAAGTCTCGAGAGGGAGAAGATGTCGTATTGGATACAGTTTAGCGCACTGGCGAGAAAATGCGACTTGAAAAAGATGCCGGGCCTCGTCGCTAGCCAGATTTCTACGATCGAGTTCGTTTCGAATGATTTGAACCGATTTTATAAGATCAGAAATGAGCGTTTTGTAGTTAGTTTAAGCCACTTTAAAAAATCACAAAAACAGATTGACCCAAAAAGTTTCCTTGACTCGCCCCTATGACCTTTAACCACGGATATAGCGGAAATATAATGTCCTTCTTGCTTTCGAATAAAATACAACTTGATAAATTCAACGCTTATTTCTAACCGGCCAACCTAATATTTAACTTAACGTCATTTTAATGAAAAAGAGTTTGAACCAAATTTATAGCGTGAAAATGAAATCTTTGGCTACATCATATGACGGAACAATGGAAAAATATAATCAGATGGCGAAAATGGACCGCTTTATGAAGGTTTTTTGAACTTGATTAGTTTTTTCAAATTGAAAGTGAGTCTGTTGCAGATAAATGTTCAAAAATTGGAGAAACAACTTCTTTCTGTCGAAAGCGAACGAAAACGTTTGGAGTCCCACAACGCTTTGTTGCAGAAACGGCTATTGGACGGTAGTTTCTTTTCAAATTTCAAAAGTCTCAACCTCTGTTCACATTAGAGCGGCGTAAAGCGTTACAATTTCTGGAAAATGGCGGCGAACCGGCGAAGGCAGAAAAAACTCGAGAAGTTGTCGAGTATTTGGACATGAAGCCGAAGTCTGAGCCAGAACCTCAGATCAACAAGGAGGAAGAAAGCAGAGTGAGTGCTGATGAATATATCGTCATCGACGTCACGAGGAATTCTGACACTGGAAAATTGTTTTGGATGTCGGAGCAGTTACAAAAGGGAGCAACTTTTTGATTGTTATTCGCAAGCACGCGGAAATAAATTTTCAAATATCAAATTGAGCCCGTTTGTTACCTATCTCCAGACGATGCCGCACCTAGCGAAGCCGGCGATCTTCATGCGAGGTCTGCAGACGCCTGGAAACCGTCTAGCCAACACTACACTCAACAATTCGTCTTTCTTGATGTCGCGCGAGAAAAATGATAGCGTGGTCGGTTTCCCAACTTTGCCATCTAATAAACTTGCAGAGATCGTTCCTCTTTCTGATCTTGATTATTTTAAATTTGATTCCTTTTGTATATTTGGTTTTTTTTGGGTTTTATCTCATAGTCTAGGTTGTAATTCCGGTTAGATCTGATCTGAAAATTATTTGAATCGGAGTGTGGCGCTCAGAAAAAGACTTACATGGGAAGCCCGAAATACCTAAGTCTTTCGGATAATCCACGAGAGCTCCAAAAGAATGTAGGAAAAAAGTTCAAAACATCATCAGACAGTCGAAAAATGGCTTCATGTATATTTTTATGCTGGGGTTGACTTTTCCTCTCTCTCTGTACAAGAAGCTAAAAGGCGAGGTGCAAGTTTTTCTCATCAGCGCTTTGAAGAAAGAGATGATGGATCCGAAACATAGTCTCTCTCTCGCGATATGTTCTTGTGTGTAACTTCACACTCTTCTTATTGCTGATGAAAAAAAAATCGTCTCTGAGTTTGAATAATCGAAATCAAAGTTCAATTTTATCTTTATGGTTTTTTCTCAAGGTGTGAATACCGAATTGCAAATTTTTTGCTGTGCTCTAAATTGAGATTTTCAGTGCGAATCGTCGGAGCAAAAGTTGTGTGGCGCCGAAAAACGACGTCTTCAACGACAGGCCGAATCGGCCAAAATGAAGGAAGCTCGTCGCTGCGTCTACAAGGTCAAGGATCTGCGCACCTCCGGTTCGTTCTCTCTCTTCTTCAATAAGCCTCTCCAGCCTGTCGAATTTCGAAAATATCAATAGAATTTCTCGATGTTCATTTGGAACGTGAATAAAAATAAAAATAAAAAAATAAACCCCCTCTCCAAAAATTTAGTCATATTTGTTACTCGTATGGCTAATTATACATATTTCGTTTGTTGTGACAAAATTGTTATTTCGAAAATGGTAATCTTTCGCGGAATCACTTCGAACACGACATAAAATGATATTTCAGCTGCTCCCTCAGTGAGTGCAGAGCCGCCAACAACGACGGTGATAAACGCGGCAGGATTTCGGCAAAATGTCGCGTTGGCCGCCAAAGTCGCAGCCCTCAACGTCCAGAGCGACACCATCGCGCCGACGGAGATCCACGCGACTCCTGTCGCGCCCTCGAAGACGCTCCGCCGTTCGCTTCGGACTGAGGTTCGTCTATATCCAAGACAAAAACGATCTGGATGAAAACGCTCAGGGTGACGTCACATCGCAAGAAGTTGCATCCCTGCCGCCCTATTCGATGCGGGATTTAACTAATGAAAAAGAGAACTCAACGGATTTCTAATTGTGAATACTTTTCTCCATAGTTCTACTCGTTGACATTCCATATACGTGTGATATTCATGATCAAGGAACCTTCAAAAACTTCACTTTCATGTTAATCAGTGTTGCATTTACGTATACCGTTAAAGTTGGTTTAATTTTTGTTTCTGTCAGTCTTTCTTGTAAATATAAGCCTCAATTACTCATTAGATGCTTACTCATACAGCATGAGATGAATTTTTTTCAATTTTATTGTTCTTTTTTACATTGTCGAGAGTCATGAGAGGGGAAAAAGTGAGGAAGATATGCAAAATATGAAAGTCTCGGGGTGATCTGACACGTAGGAAGAAGGCGCCTGCTACCGAGTGATCGAGTAGACGTTGGTGGCCCTGGAGACGTGCGCCGTCTGCGCCGCCGGCAGGGTATTCTGCGCGGAGCCAATGGGACACCACGAGAATCCGATGACGTTCGTCAAGATGCGTCGATCTCTAAAATCTGGCTGAGTCGCAAGTTGAAACATCATTGAAAAAGAATCAGAAGCTCGATTTTTCGAGACTTCTCCGCTCTACCGACCTGAGAGAGACGGCCCAGACGTCGTGCTCGGCCCAGGCGTTGTCGGTGTCGTCGTCGGTCTCCACGAGTTCGCTGGCCAGGTGAGCGGGACTCGTGTCGTTGACCGGCATCGTCTCTCCAACAGACACCAGCGAACTGTCCAGTCTTCGCATCGAGAACATCTGAAACAGCGACTCCGGTAAAGATTAACGAATATAATCTGTGAGTTTATCGCAAGTTTATTCTTAAAATTAAACTTCTCGTCGAATTTCATGTTGAATAGAGTAAATTTCAACATACTCCAAAAACGATGGCTACTAAAAAAAATACTGAGTGTCAGCCAAGTAACAGTAGTGATTTGTTAATAAACGACAACATTACTTTTGCTTAACTTTCTTTAGTATTGGAAATCTCTTCTAAAAAAACAACAGAAAGAAAAACTTTTTTTCTCGAAATTTTCAGTTTTATGATAAAAATCGACTTCATCAACTTTAAGGAACTTTTCAGAATCTGGAGATAATAATTTTTTTAAAAAAATTCATGCCGGGATTACAAAAAGGTGAGTTTCTTGAGGTGAGAACGAATCTTTTCGTGTTATTATTTTATTTATATATCGTAAAAAAATTGTTTTGTAAATAACTTTATATACAAAAAAATGTTTATCCTAAAATAGTTTATTATTCATAAATTCATTGAAAAGTTCAGTCCGACCTGGGCGTCGACGTCGCTGACTCCCACCGACTTGAGAATCGAAGCGAGATGTTCGTCTTTCGAATTCTGCTCCAGATGCCACTCATTTGGTAACGATCGGTTGTTGTCCACCAGAACCTGAAATTTTTATTTAAAAAAAACAATGAAAATGAGAGTAGACCTTGGCATCTGCACTTCTTGTTCCCGTGAGGATGACGTAGAAACAACGTCGGTTTGCCCCAAACTTTGGATGATTGCCGCGGCCAGCGATTCCTATTGATCACGACTGATATTTTTGCATCTGCTTTTTCATCCATTTTTACAGAGCTGTGTTCTCTGGCCGCCTTTAAAACATATAAAAATGAAGGCACGATAAAGAGACTGTCTTTGCTGCTTTTCTGCGGCCTTTTTCGAGCGTCTCCCTTCTAGCGATCATTATGCAACGCTGTCGCGAAGCGATCACAAACTTGTCACTTTTCAAACATGTTTTGTTTCAAAATTTTGACAGAGTGTGTAAACTGGGTATTGGGCGATCAGTAATGTGTTATTTGTTTTGAAATCCATTCAGAAACAATACATCGACTCAAAGCACTTTTCAAAATTCATTTCTGGGAGAACAAAACTTTCGAGTGCCAAACAGAATTCGTTTTCGATTTGCTGCCACCTCCAATTGCGACATGCGTTCAACAAGTACTTTGTTGGATTTTCAATTGGGAATCCACAAGGAAGTTTTACTACACAATGATTTCAACGTAGCAGCAAAGTTCAAACCTCTGCGTCCATTAGGGTTGAGAGGGAAGCCGGCTGCCGATAGAGCCCACGACTTTGTGTTGGGACCGGCTGTAGCGAAGTCCAAGGTCTGGCGACTCCGCCAGAAACGCCGGAGCTCGGAAACGTTCTGCGAGAACTGGAGTTCAAGCCTACAGAAACGAGAAAACCTGTTCAGAAGCGACGTCGACGTGTTTGAGAATGTCGCTGGGGAACTGTTCTACGGCTTTGCAGAAGAACGGAGGATTGTACCTTAACAGCAAGGGAATGAGAAGTTGAGAGACGATTCTGTAAATACTTAGGCAGAAGGACGTCCCAAGGCCGCTGATCTCGCGTAATTACTACTCGCAAAACGTCAGAATTAGGATAAGGCATCGTCATCCGTTCGGAAGAAGCCGTGGAGCTCGTCTTCTCGTACGCAGAACGCAAAGTCATCAGTCGTAAATAATTCTGAATACGGCCAATGTTTCAGAAATGAAAGAATTCTAACATGGAGAGCTCCAAGTTCGTCGAGCTCTTCTGAAGAAGCTTTGGACTTTTGGTTCTTTGCTCGCCACCTGTCAATCGATAACCTGAAAATAAACTAAATAAACGGTGAAACGAGTATCAGAAACCGTCTCCAAAACGAATTGGAGAAGGAGTTCTTTTTGAAAGGAACCGATGGGTTACGGTAGATGGAGCCGAACCGCCAAGTCGAACGATGTCTGCAAATCGTAAGTATGCAAAAAAAAAACAGAGAGAACACGGGAGGTCATTTTAGTGTCAAGTTTGGAATTTTTCGAGAATTTGCTCAAATGTTCTTCAAAGTTATACATGAAAATCATTCTTAGTTGCGACTTGTGAAAAGTTTTAGTTCTGCAAAAAAAAATTTGAATGTTGCAAACATTTGATTTCAGGCTGATCTCTAAGTTGAGGGCGAACTTCAATGCTTTATACATCCAGAACTAGAAGTTTGCCCAGGTGGCCACTATGAAAGATCTTCATCTAGACCTCAACAGAAAGTATAGCAAATATCCAGGAAACTTCAAACTTCCTATGGGAATGAACCCTTGGCACGGAAGTTACCTGTCTTTGTGGGAGTCCATGTCAGGATGGTCGTAGGCGAAAACGCCGGAAAGAGAGCCGGTCATTCGACAGCAGGCAGTGCACAGGACACAGAGCAACGTCAACGGCGGCGGCAGGGGGGCTCGGAGTCTGAAAGACTTCTCAGTTGGAGATACGAGGAAAACATCGAGACTTCTCGCTCGAAAGTTCTTCAGAAGATGGACGGATGGAGATAAAAGTTATACAAAGTGACGGAAAGAAAAGGAAAGAAGTGAAATTCAGAAAAGTCAGCAAAAAAGTGTTTATTAAAAAGATTCTTGCATTGAAGTTGAATATATGGGCATAAGATAACGATTTCGCACTTGACCACATTTTTAAATCATTTTAAGTATTTACACATCTCTTTCTCAAGAGCTGAGAAACTAAACTTGGTTCATATAAATTATTCAAGACATGAGAATCTTCTGACTGATTAATTCTGTACCTGAAGTCTTCGGCAAGAGTGTACAGTTGGAAACGCCAGATCTTGTCCGCTTCATCGTCGACACTTTTCGCGGTCTTGGCAAAGAAAGCAAAGAGAATCGGCCACAGGAGAAGCTGAGGAGACAAGTTTCGCGAGAGAGGAGAAACGAATGAACCTTGAGCAGGACGAAGTACTCGATGACGACGAGATAGGCCGGCCAAGTCTGTGCAGGACAAGTCGGATTGGCGTGTCCTCCGACCGCCGAGCAGTACTGCTTCGGAGACCCCAGGAAGGACTTGCGGCATGTGTCCGACTCTTCCAAATCTCAAACAGAGGGAAAATTGCTCAGCAAGTCAAAAAGCTTTTTTTTTGCAGAATTTATTGAAGAATTAAGCCCGTTGAATATCCGAGAAAAATATAACAAACAGGCCACGTAAACAGCGTGGTATTGACTACAAACTGGAGCATTTTTCCCCTTGAACAGCTTTCTTACAACTTTTCGATCGAAGGGTATCACTCACAGTAACTTCATAGCATCAAATAACTTGAAAAGATCAAGATAAAACATTAATTTAATAAGAGTTAAGTTCGAAAACAGAAGTTCAGAAACTATTCAATTTAAAAATAGTTGCCTCGGCAATATTAAGATCGCAATTGTTTGACTAAATATTTCAACACAACGCTGACTGAATGAGATAATCTCTACAATCTGATATGCTAATACCTCAAATATTCCCTTTGGACGCCATTTTTAAAATGATTTCATTCAATTATTCGAACTAGAGAAAGCTTTTGAACTGATATCAAGACGAACTGACTTGACAGATCAGTGGTGAAAAGACTGAGCCAAATCCAGGAGAGCATCTTTTTGGCGACTTCAAAGGTGAGCTGTCGGTCGGGAAACACGACTCCTTGAATCGCCACTGCGCTGCTGAAACCAACTTTACGCTTTGAATTTTGAAATTCGAATTTGGCAACATATTTGGATGAAATTGGCTTAGGATGGAAATTTTATGAACTAAAACGCAGCCGTATCGGTTTTTCAAACAGCTTCGAGGGCGATTTCTTGTCTTCAAAAATGCATTGAAAAGTTTCAAGCATTTTCACTTTGGCTCGATAAATTGATTAAAAAAGTAAAAAAAAAAACAGCACGAAGAGAATACTGATCTATGAAAGTTTAATGGAGAAGATGAGTTCAAACAACTATCTGAAGTCAGAGATAGGGCGAAATAAAACTAGGACGAAGTGAGTTCAATTTTCATCATTTCTCGATGCGAGAAATAGTATGAAAATCTTTTTTGATTGAAAATAAGCCTTGGAGATGATTATATCTTGTAAGTAGGGACCGCAGACGAATTTTCAAAAAATTTTTTTCAGCATTGAGCTTTGTATGGTTTGATAGCTGTTTCGATTCAAAACTCAGAACCGTTTAGTTTTTCAAAAAAGATTGAGGATGAAAAAAGTTATGACGAAAAATGTGACGCGCCGCGCACCATTTTTTTAGTACTGAAATTTTGGTATTATCCATTTTTGACATTTTTCTCGATTTTTCTTCTAGAACAAGTTTTGACACTGGTCTATTATGATGTAACAAATCATAATGAAGTGCTAAAATGATGCTAATCAGCTAGTTCGCCGAAAAAGTCGGTATTTTCCAGAAAACAAAAAACTGGCTCTTGCGGGCATCGAACTCGCGACCTTAAAATGAAAAATCGCAGCGCACGCGCTGCGCCAAGCTGTCAGGTCTGGCAAGGGGAGCTTCCATCCGCCATACCCTTGAGCCGTTTGCATAGCACAGATTGCCTATTTCAAAAATAAAAGCTTGAAGTAATTTAGCTATTTTTATCAGAATATGTTCGCAAATCTATACTCAAACTTTTCGTGGAAATTCATTCGAAAAAAACTGTTTTTTAGTGCTTTTTGCCTCGTTTAACGATCGCTGCCTTAAAACGGCCTCGTAAATTTTTGGCAAAGACGAATTTTTTATTTTATTGTTTTAAAATTACCGTTACTTGAATCAAAAATCATTATTTAAAAAAAGAAAAAAAGTGCGTTCGACCTGAAAAAGACATGAAAAAAAGCAAAAAAATGACAAAGTTTTTTTAGTTCCATTCACGTTTCTGTACGACATTCCGCGAGAACGCATCAAAAAAGCTTGAAATATTTTTTAAACGAAAGAGGAAGCTTTTCTGTACATATGTGTCAAATTTTATTAGCCAGTTCCTCATATTTTGCAACTACAACAAAATGAAGGTTGAAAACCAAAAAAAAGCCACTTTTTCTATCGCGAAAAGGGGCGTGGCTTTGCGGTCCCTACTTGTAAGTTTAATCAGAGTTTCAATGTGACAGTCCTTCTTCGAGAAATTATTCAACTAATCGATTTTTCAAACTTCGTACCTGAGCATGACCAAGGCGATCATGAAAAGGAAGTTGGTGAAGTCCCGCAGGAGCATCAACTTCACTCGGACCACCATTGGACCGAATATTTCAGACAGTGGAATGTAGAAGAACAGGGTGGAGTAGGAGACGTAAAGCACGAAGAACGAGGAGATCACTTTCGCAGGGTATATCGAGTGGATTTGCTGAAAAAAAAAGAACAAATCAGAAAAATAGAATGAAATGACCAACCAAAACATCTAGGATAGGCTCGATAGGAAAAACTCTCAGGAACAATAACAGTATCAAAAAGATGAACATCGCAACGACGTCAAAAACCTGAAGGACAGTGATCAAAATTGGAAAACAGATGGTAAGAAACCCGCCAAGGCATCAGTGAAAGAGGAATCCGTTGAGCCTGAACTGCCAGAACATAGACCGACTCGATCCACCAGAAGAACGAGCAAACCCAGAAGACCGTGTCCAGCACGTTGGAGCCGCAACCGGGCAGAAGTGCCTGAAATCAGAAAGGTCCACGGAGAAGGATGAAATAAATACCGAATAGGCGAGTCCGACAATGAAGAGGATTCTGAAGAGAAGCGACAGCCAGTACTTGACTATCGGGGTCGAGTAGAAGGTCGAAAGCGACGGCGCCGCAGCTCTTCTGATCTTGGACTTCTTGACGAAAGTTCGATCTCCGTCGATGTCCTCGATGTTCAGAGGGAAAACCATTGACTGAGGGGTCGCTGAATCTGCTCCGCCACCAAAAGCTGAAGAACAGGTTGAAGACCAACTTCAGGAAGAGAGAATTACCAGAGTTAAACCCTAGTGTGGTCGAAAGAGGTGCAGTGATAGCTGTGAGAGCTTCGCTTCTGGAGGAAATCACACTGAAAGCAAGCAATTTAAAAACTGTTTCCAAAACATTTTGAAGCTTTTTGTGGAAATGAAAGATCTTCCGTGGTCCTGTGAAGACTTTTTTGTAGTTTCTTAGCTTTTAAAAATAAATCTAATTTCAGGATTTACCGAAAATAAAAATAGGAAGATTAAGCAACATACAACTTTTTTAGAGGACGGAAGGTAGTTTTTCTAAACACCGTGCGAAAAAATGGAAGCTTTTTTCCCAAAATAGGATGTTTCACAGGTTCCGACTTTTAGGAGCTCTATCCAATTTGAGAAAATTATGAAGTTTCGAATAAAATATAAAGCTACCTTCTTAAAACCTTGAAGCCCATACAAACGTTCTAGTTTTCGAAAATTGAGCCGACCTGTACGTGGAAATGGCCCTGGTTCTTTTGGGCTGTCGACCTGCGTCCAGCAAAGCGACTGTGGGAGAAATTCGCACTTGCTCTGTTTTTGACCCTGATGCCGACTTTGGTCGAATGAGCATGAGGAATCGAATCGGAATCAAGAAAACCGCTGAAAATCGTCATCATTCGAGAAAACTCAAGAGACAAATACCTGAAATTATGATCTTGAGCCACTTTGGAATTATTGCAGGGGAATTGTGGGCCTGCAAGTTGCCGTAGAGCTTCCGGTGCAGCCAGCGTTGGCAACATTCGTGGGCGATCAAGTTTCGAGCATTGCACTGCAAACTAGAACTCAGAAAGAGGTCTTTTTCGATATCTTATACAAGTTCAACTCTCAAGAGAAGACTGTTTTGGAAGTTTGATTGGAAAGTACCTGAAAAGCAAGCTGTGTGACGTTGTAGCCGTAAAATGTATCGATGGGCTGGCAAAGCAGTTGGTAGGCCTTCGCCGGCGAAGACTTGTAGACGACGTCGAGAAGCTGCGTCGCCGAGTCGGCCAGCGACGTCGACAAGGTGTTCAGCGATTGTTCGTAGAAGTACCAGTCGTGACTCTATGGAATCCATTGATTGGAAAATGTTCAACGACCAACTTCGTGAGCTAAGGACTTGGCGATCCTCGACAAGACGAGTCCGAAAGCGATCGGTTCTTCGGCAAACGCCGCCAGACACTGGACGATGCTAGGTCTATGCAGCAACAGGCTCCAGATCTTCAAGTTTTCTTCAAAACTAACTTCTCAAGCTTTGAGACGTACCGCCAATATTTTGATCGATTCGTCATTGTCCCTTTGAGGCAGGTCATTGCAGAAGGCGTTGCTCGGAAACAGATTATCAACTCCAAAAGATAGCCGCTTCTGAAGACGGCTTTCGAATTTTCGCTTTCAAAAGGATGCAACCACAAGATTTTCAACGTCAGAGGCAAATTGTCCGTTGACTTCTGTCGGAATGAAGGAGTAGCCCATGCATTGGCAAAGGACGATCGCTGTGAAAAAGTGCTGAAACGAAGAAATTTCGACTCAACGAGAAATTCTCAGATAACCTCGTCGGCGTGATGCATCATGCGAATGAGCATGTTGGAGGTCACTCGAATCGGAGGGTTCAACTGCAGAACCGAGGACAAGAAGTTCAGCTGATCGTCCTTGCTGACGCATTCGCACAGGATCAAGGTCAACAGCTGAAAAATCCGAGAATCTGTCATTTACTGGTGACTGTTCCTTCATAAGAGAGAATTCTGAGCGACATACCTAAAATTTTTGTTAAAAAGCCTTCCTTTTAAGTATCCTTAGCTGCTGGTTTTCCTTTTTTCAGTAGCCTTGGCAAAGGTTTAACTACCATAGAATTTAGAATTAGATCTGCAATCTAAAACTCACAAAACTTCCTCAGCTAGTATTTTGAAGAACGCCCTATTTTTTTTTTTGCAAAATAGGGTTTTTGTAGGATACGACTCTTTTTCAAAGCTTCACTTTAAGACAAACTTCTTCGTCGAGCTGAGAGGCCATGTCCATGGCGGCCAGAACCGATGGAGTGTTGAGTTTGGCGGCGAGCATCAGGACCTGTCTGTCCTCCCCAGTGGGCGTGTAACAGTCCAGACAACGGTCGACCACCATCGACGTCAGGTCGTGCAGCTGAAAATAAGACCAAGATTCATCAACAAAAACTCCCATTCGACAGGCCTTTCTAACGTCTATAAACTCGAGAAGCCGAGTGTCGCCGGCATTGGACACGGAGAAGATCTTGACGATGAGATGATCTGCTCCAGGGAGGTCGATCAACGTCGTCTGTTCGCGGAGCCAGTCGACGAACCGCGAATGTGAGAAGTTGGCCGAGTCGAGTAGCAAAGCACAGGAGTGCAGTAGAGCGCACAGCTCGCAGCTGTCTTGAAGGACGATGACCGGCACGCCGTTCTCGACGTAGACTAACAGTTCTTGCAAAGATTGCTTCGAAGCCCCTGCGAAAAAAAAAAATGAAGAGAAATAAGTCTTAGGAATTACCGGCGAAAATAGCTACAGGCAGAGGCCGTTTGTCATTTGAAGGAGACAAGAGAATCGGAGCCGACTGTGGATTTCCTGACGACGGCGACATTGCTTCAGATGGAACTCCAATCAGCAGGGCTAGAGAAAAGCAAATGCTGTTTTTGGTAAGGATTCTGAGGAACCTGGAGGAGGATGCGCCAATTTGACAGCGGCAGAAGCTCGAAGCTTGGCAATTCCATCTCCGACTTCGCCTCGACACAGCATCAGAAGTGTGTTTAGTGACGTGTCCACGACGTTGGCGACGTCATTTGCGCAGCCGTGATGGGCAATGACGGCGTCTGAGTTGACGACCACGTGGAGAACTTCTGCGCTATGCTCCAACTGAAAAGTAAAGGGAATTGGAAGTTTTGAACTTTTTTTCTTGGCATTTGGAATGGGCGACTTGTAATCAATCGCACAGAAAACAATTTTCTAAAATATTTCTACTGAAATGCACAGAGATGCTGAAGGAATTGCCAAATTATAAATTGAAATTTTGTATATGAATACCGAGAAAAGAACAGAAAAACTAAAAAAAAAAAGATGAATCTAAAATAAAAACGGAAATATAAAAAATAAAGCAAAAATTAAAGATAAGATGATTATTAATTTTTTAAAATTGATTTTTTACAAGGGAACAAACTAATCTTCATCAGAGGATCCACACTATCTTCTAATTTTGTGAAGTTTTCAGTATGAAGTGGAAAATGCATGAAAGGCTTCACGAAATTGGAATTCGAACATTAAATACTCCTTTTCCCCAGGCTACATACCTTCGGAAAAATGTTGATCAAACCTGAGGCAAGACATTGCGTATCGTGGCACTGGCGACTCGAGCCAATGGATCCGAAACTTCTCCGGAGGAGATCAGCCACACGCCGCAGCCTTTCAAAAACGGCGCGATAGCATTTTCCAGAGTTGCTTGATACTTCAAACACAAAATGATGACGAGAGACTATAAGGTTTTCATACTTTCGTGGAAAGTTGGTTGCCATGAGAAGTCAGACAAAAGATGAGATCCGGAACGCCTTGGTCAACTTCTGAGGCGGCGGCGGCCAGGCGACTGTAGATGTGTTTGGAAGCACCAGGTAGAGCCTAAGCACAAGCATCACATATTCAAGGTTTTAGAGCAAAAAAGACCTGAGGACTGCCGAGAAGAAGCGCTGGACAGAGCTGAATTCCGCCGAGGGCAGAATCACCGCCCACCAGTACTGGCACGGTGTCTGAGGTCAATGACAAGTCCGGAATCGGCGCTTCAGACTCGTCCATCACATGGGCCTTTCTGTTGTAAGATAACTTTCAATTCTTGGAATAATAGTAAAAACAAACAAAAAAAAGAAGTTTTCTAGGCTGAACGCGTTTCAGAATTTTGAAAATTGTTGTAAGGACGCGAAAAAAAGTTGCACTGAAAACTTAGTTTGAAAATTTTTTAGCTCAAAAGAACAAAAAAGGTTTTTAATCAATTAAACATGTTTATATCTCAATAGTACAGAAGCTGGGGGTGCCCTGAAAAATATATTCGGCGTAAAAATTTATTAAAAAACGATTCAGTCTATATTTTATGTGTACGGCTTGGTCTGATCATTGAGACGCTTTTCATATATGAATAGTACAGTAAAAACCGACATTCTTAATTTCTCGAATCGTTATTAAAAACAAGGTCCAATAAGTGATAACTCAAAACAAGCCTATATCAGAAGTTATGCATCTTCTTTTCGAGATTAATCACAGTGATTGCAAATTAAAAGATTTTTGAAGCTTCTCTGTAGCTTCATTCGAAAATTCATTCGTTTTCCCCATCAAAACTATTCCAAGTACTCTCTTAATTCTTCTTACACTACTACAAAGATCGAACTGAGAAAGGAACAAAAAACGTCGGAAGAAAGAGAAATTAACGAGTGTCACAGAACAAAAAAGCGGAAACGGTGGCGCAATGTTATCGATAATCGGCACCGATCAGATGGACGAAAAGGCAACAGAACGGGGCGAAGACGACGCCATCAATCAATGGTATGCTGGCCGGCAGCCGATCTCAGGGCGAGATCCAAGCTGATAAGGCTTCGGCTGATGGAATTTGATCTCTTAAGCGTGTCCTTCCCTTTGGTATTACTTCCAGGTCTGGTTGAACTTTAGGGTGATCTTGACATCGATTATGGTCCCAGGCTTCCTAATTACAGTTTCAACCTAACCCAAAAAGTTCAAGGAGAACCACGGCTACAAAGTCTCATTTTGATGAGATTTTGAATCTATAAAAAGTGTAGATTAACTTATCAACTTATCATTTTCAGCATGGAAAAAAAAAGAAGAAGATGAATGAAATACAGCTCCCAACCAGAAAAGGGCTGTACCAAAGCCAGCTTAAAACTTTTTTTAAAAATCTGATTGAAACTATATCACAACAAGAGGCTAAGGTTGAAAAAACGAAACTGCTGATTTTCTTGGCATATTGAAACCATTGAAAATTTCAATTCTCAAAAGAGAAGTTGAGTTTGAGGATAACGAGCGGATAAAGCGATTGGAGACGACTGTTGATTTGCGACGCAATTAGCCGTGAGAATTCAGTCCGACATGTCTAGCCCCTCCTCGTTTCATCTGTTCCCTTCAATTTCAGTGTGTTTTATGACGGTGCCGTCGAGAATTCATTACGCTCTTTTGCCTCATGTCTATGAATCTCAAGGGAACTTCGATTTTCTTTTTTTTTCTGAATATCTAATTGAACTGATTTCAGAAACACGAAGACTTGAAAATGTATAGTTTCCGAAAGTCTTAGTTTGCAAACCAATTTTTTTTGAGAACGAAGTTCTCAAAGATCGCTTCTCTCAACCAGGAGTAAAAATTAATTAAGATTTCAAGGTTTGAAGGGTCACCTGGCCTTTTTTCAGAATTACAAAGTTTCAGTGGAATCGTGAGCCAAAATTCTGGCTAAAAGTGGGTGGAGCTACGCGGTTTCAGGGGAAAAACGAAGGTAACTGTGAGAAAAAAGCTTATAAAAAAATATGGTATAGAAAAAGAAGAGCCTATTCCAATAATCAGAAAAAAATTAGGTCAAAGTTTGCTCTGCGCTATAAAGAATAAGCTTTTCGAAAGTTATTTGGGAAAGATTAGGGCGCGTTCAAAGTTATTTCCAAGAATAGAAAACTGTTGGTTTCAGTATTTATTATTTTGTATTTAAGAACTTTTTTTGAAATTGATGTTTTCAAACAAAAAACCAATTATGAGAGCGCCATCCCTACTTTCCTTATTGAACTTTCTATTTCTCGATAGGTGAATAATTTGACAATGAGCACAGGAAAAGACACGAAAAGAAATAACAATAGAGAATAGCGTGGCCCAAGCACAGGGGCCCATAAAATCAATAATAAGGAGCCCACCTGTCGCGAAGACCGCGGGAACCTTCTTACGCAATCTCGAGTCTCCGAGCTCATCGGGGGATAACAACTCTACTTCCTTCAGCACAAACACCAGTCAACTTAAACTGAAACTTGACAAATTAAATTTTTTAGTTTTGTACATCACGGACTTAGGAGACCCTATACAGCAAGTTAAAATCTTGAAAATGTCTGAAAAAAGCGCGACGTAAACTTAAAGAGGAACCTTTCAAGATGTTAGAAAAAATGCTGAAAATATCTTTGTCTGAAGGTTTTTGAAACATTAAAGCTTTCACACTTTTCTTTTTTGTCTTCTTTTGAGCGGTCAAAAAATATTTTTGTTCCCCTTCTCTTCGTTTTTGGCCCCTAATTGAAGCACTTCCGTACAAAAGAAGATCTTATTTTTCTGTGAGACTTGACGACGGTCCATTCTACCCACGGCAGGAAATTACAAGCCACACCGCAATATCAGCTAAAATCATATCACACGTTTTTTTTTGTATCGGGTTTTCCAATAAATCTCGGCGATAGACGCGTAAAGGGAAAAAAGCAAATCGGACCCAATCGCTTTGTTTCTCGAAAAAAGGGAAAATGAAAGACAGAAACAGTTTCACGAGTTGGGAAGGGGCCAAAGGCACCCAAAAACAAAAAAAAAATCACACGGGCCTTACAAAAAGGGAACACAAAAGGGGAACAGCACTCGAGGCGAACGTGGACGTCGTGGGGAAAGGTGTTCTTCAGATGAAGTACATGCGGCTCTTGAAGTCGGCGGCCACCGAGACGCAGTCCTGCAGGGCCTGGTCCGTGTTCGCGTCTCCCATCGGCAGGTACTCTGAACCACTTTTTCCTTCCAGGGGAACCTAGAAAGGAAAGAAAAACCTTCCTCGTTGTGACGCTTCTTTTGCGGTTTGCCAATTTGCATCATCGAGGCGAGCGATGACGTCATCGAATTGGCGTCGCACTCCGAAGAATCGACGAGGCCCCTGAACTCATTAAGGTTCAGTAAAAATGTTTTCGAAAATGTTTTTGGAATTTTCAACATACATTTCATCAAGCAGCGAACAGATCAGAATCTTCAAAAATTAATTATCGATACATCAATAAGCTCATTGAGTTATCAAAATTAGGTTCAAAAAGCTATGCTCGAATACTCGTACTAGTTCTAGTAAAAATTGTATTCTTGGCTGCAAAAAGAAAAGTCAATAGACATTTCCTAACCGAAAATGTTGTATGCTTGAATTACCGAATTAACATGTTTAAAACACAATTGAATACAGTTTTTTTCTCTGGAAACTTTCTTTTGAAACCAAAACTAACAGCTTGCGTTTGATGTGGCAACGAGCACGCGTGGCGACCAAATCGGCGTAGTAGACAGGAGTCGGAATGGAGACACTGCGAGCGCAACGGCCATAGGTGTGACACATTCTGAGGTGAAACATCTTGGATCAGCAACAAACGCTTTCGCTACCCGTAGGTGATGTTCTGGATCTCGTCGGCCGTGAACTTGCACTCGTCGAGGAGCACATGATACCGCGCCGGACGCGAGGTTCCTTGGACGCCGTAGTGAGAGCAAAGGTAGAAGTCGAAGCCTTCCGGAGAGACGATTCCGGTGTCCACCTGAACATGTCAAAGCCGTCAACTCTTCTTCAGCTTTAAGTCATGCCGTCGTGCCGGGAGGGACGTTCTTGGCGCGGCCAACCATGTCCGACTGGAACTTGCAGAACATACGGGCGTGGTGACGCTTCTGAACGACGATGTAGGTGATGGGAGGGCGGAAGTCGTCGGAAATGGCCAGACAAGCAGTCCGAATGCTCTGTATCTCCTCTCGGAGCACTTCGGCGAACTGTCCTTCAGAGACACCGTCACGGTAGACAATGATGCGCGCCGGCTTTTGTTTCGTGTGTCTGGAATGGACTCCTTACACAAAGAACGGTAAATAAATGAGAGCACAAGAAAAGTTAGGAACGTGAAGTCGAAGATAAGCACACATTTAAATTAAAATAACTCATTTCTTTTTAGAATACTTCTTTACCACTCTAATCGAACTTGAAAAATTCTTTTAAAAAAATCTAAAAAAAGTCTGATTTCAAAGAAAATGTGAAGATTTCCTGAATAATTAGTTTTCCACTTTTCAAGACTTGCGTATCCGAATTTTTTGTTCTACAATTTCTAAAAATGTTTACAGAAACTTCATTTATGATTAGAGCTTTCAAAAATTGCTAAATTTTCGAATACTCGCATGCTGAGCAGGTGTCTCAACGGGTGTACCCGTATTAAACCCGTGTTTCTGAGGTTATTTTAGTCTCAGTTGGGCTAAAACGGGGGAACAACGGGTGTAAGAAAAATAGGTAACCCAGCTGGGCTAAAGCGGGGTCTCAGTTGGGCTAAAAAGTGCCAAAAGTTCTATCAGCTGGGCTTATACGGGTTTAATACGGGGGCACCCGCGGAGACCCCGTGTTAGCACGGCGGGGTTACCTTGCTCAGCATGCGAGTAGAATGAGCTCTCTTATCTATTAATCACTACTCATTTTCTGAAGGTTTTATCTCAGCGAGACTGTTGAGAGGAGGACCACGTTCTCTTTGTTCCTTCAGGGCAGGGCGAAAAAGATCTGACCTGTAGAAGGTGATGATGCGCTCGCGGATGGCGTCGAGCAGGTAAACGACCGATTCGCGGCACTTCTTCTGCACCTTGACATTGGCGCCGTAAGACTGAGGCAGGAGATCGACGTTGGCGACGATGGCCGCCACGGAAGGCATGTTCATGCGGAGTTCGGCCTGCGTCGGATGGGTCACGTCGATACCGACGACCATCGTTGGCTGGTCCACGAGGTACTTGGTGGTGATCTGGTCGGCCACGATGCGGCTGTTGATCCCGCCCAGCTTCATGTTCAGTTTCAGAACGATGTTGGCGCAGGTGGCAGGCGTGGGTCTGGAGACGTTCTTCATGAGGACGCACTGCGACATGATGCCGTGGACAATGTCCGACTGCTCCTTCACCGTCACTGAAATGGAATTAATCTGTGCGGTGACAAAACATTGGCGGTACATAGAAACTCCTGGATCCGATCTTTTTTCCGTGAATACTGTTTGAAGCAAGGTTTTGTACTTCGGACTCACTGTAAATGTCAGAGTTCTTTCCAGGAAGAACGACGATGACGCAGTCGCAGACCGTGTTCGTCAGACGGTACTCCTCGGCGATCTCTGTGTACAGACGCGAGACCTCTTCGCGACCCCGGCCGTACTTGACAAGATCTGGCCAGCGAGGGAACGCCATGCCCATCTGCGTGGCCTTCATGTGCAGCGCCGAGCAGAACTGCTGCAGCTGGCTCTGGTCGCGAGGGTTTACCAGAGCGATCATCGAGTAGGAGCGGCAAGCGGCAGGAATGTACAGCGTCTGGTTGTCCATCGACCAGGAGCCGTCTTTGGGGAAGACCACAGGGTTCTGCAAAACCCATCCAAGGGTGCTTTCAAAGAGCTGTCCACCTACCACGGAGCGGTTGTTCCCACCGAACATGATAGGCGGCGGCTGGATAACACGGGCGGTCGTTTCGACCATAGAAGGCGAGACGGCGACTCCAAACTCTTTCAAGAAAGGATCGACGTCGAAGGCAGCCTGGGCGGCCAGAGCCTTGATTCGTTCTTCCCGTTGAGTTGCGTCCACCGCAGCAGCCTAGAAGCGATCTCTTATTAGAACGAAATAAGTGCTTTTTCTTCTGTATTTTTTATTTTGAAATTGCTTGATTTTCATCAACTTTTCATCGAGAAATTTTTTCAAGCAATAAAAACCGCAAAGAAAGGATGTCGGTGTAGATAAAAGAACAGACAAAAGTTAAGAATTAATTAACTGTTGTCTTCATTTATTTTTTTCGGAGCTCCGACAAGAAAAAAAAAAGTATAAAAAGTGCAGCTTTCTTCATTCAAAAAACGACAAGAGGAAGATAGACCAACCTTGATGATGGCGCTCGTCTGCTTCTCCGTCATCTTCTTATTGTATTTCTGCGGCGAGTCAATGAGACAGTGCTCCATTGGCAGATAGATGTTGCGGTTGGGCGGTCCGACATGCAGGCAAGGCAGCTTCGGATAGCGCAGAGGCTGTAAACATTTGAATTATACTAAAAGAGAAAACGTTCGAAAATCTCACTCCATAGCGTTCTGAAAAGTAGTCAGCGACAGAGCAGAGAACTTCACGGCCGTCGTCCGCCACTCCTTGGAACCTGCACCACGCACACTCGAATTATTTGATTTGTTTTGGTAAATACGAACATGAGCTGGTCAGCGGGAAGTTGGAGGCTGTTGACCTTGTAAACGCGAATGGCATTTGGCCGATGTGTGGCACGAATCTGAAGTTTTAGAAGTAAAAAAAAATTATTCCAATTGAAGCGTCAACCCCAAACGGCACAAATTAGTAAGAGAAGTAAAAATCGAATACAGAAGCCCGTATTTGCAGAATTTGCTTCACCGTAAAGCTACAAGCGTTTTGCAATGGCGTGATTTACTACCGTGGATTTGACTTACAAGCCCCTCGTCAAGAGTTTTCAAACATTTCATATGAGTTTAATACCTTCATTCCACGAATAGCATCAGCGAATGTGCGGGATTCAAAGTTGGAAAGTTGCGTTTCACGTGTGAGAGAATCAAGCTGGAATTCACAGCCGTTTTTTTTATCATTGCAAATCTTACAGTGAAGCAAGGCCCAGCATTGCCGTAGTCATCGCCGCCTCCACTTCCGGCGCTACGAGGAGGACCTCCGCGATAGCCAAACGGTTGACGAGGTCGAGACTGGTACCCTGGGAAAAACTTTATCTTAAAAATTTATTTGAAAGGTTACCTCCAGCGTTTCTAGGCGAGCCGTTGTTATGAGGAGAAGCCGTGTACGAGCTGCGGCCGGATCTTTCGTTCAAAATGTCGCACATGAACTGCAGCACCGTCATGCGGGCTTTGTAGAACGCAGTGTGAGCCACTAAATGTTTCTTTGAAGATAAGAAAAACGGCGAAAAGCTGGGCTCCTTCTTTCATACAAATGTTTTCGAAGATCTAAAACGGAAACCAACCGTCTATGTTGAGCAATGGTTTGTATTCGGTAGCAATGTGAGCGCTCGAGAAGAAGCCGGTCCACATTTCCTTGCCGCCTTCGAGGTCCAGAGCATGGCCGCCGTTGATCGGGATACGGTAGCAGGAGGACTTCCAGGTGTAGAAATTTGCCGAGTTTCTTTAAGCTATGATGTTAACACTCAATGAACGCATTGTCAAAGGAAAACTTTTTTTTTCGAAGGATCCTTCAACCTGTTATTACCGGACTCTCAGGGATTCTACTGCGACAAATTTATATTTTGTTATGTGAATGAAGAAAAAGTTGTGGAAATTGTATGTAGAAAAAAAAAATTAACATCAGCCTTCCATTTCTAATATAGTCTAACACGGGAAGTGCAAAAGGTCGAGGTATTAGAATTTAATGAAACTTGGTATATAGATACTTTAGGACATCCTTAATTCAAAAAAGTTGAAAAAAAAGTGCGCCTTTTTGGTTCTAGTCGAGTTATGGCGCCTCAAAGTTTGCACGCAAAAAATGCATTGGAAGGGAGGAGGGAATGTCTTGCGGCGGCTAACTCAAGCTGCTAGCAGGCGGCGTGGTGTAGTGGCTAGCGGCCTTGCGCTGTGGAACCTATGATGAAGGTTCGAATCCTTTTTGGTGCAATTTATTTTTGCAAATTTTTTTCTTGGAAAAAATGATGAAGCTTTACAGATGGATCGAAAAAAACGCTCAAAATGTTGAAATTCACCATTTTATGTCGTTTTAAGGAAAATTTTCGACCAAAAAATGTTTTCGTCCTGTATCTTTTTCAGGCTCAAAGGACTTCAATAGACAGTAAGAATTTTTCATCAAAAAAATTTTTGGTGGAAAAATATATAGCTATATTATTATTGCATATTGCGTATAATTCTGAACTTTTCATTCATTAAACTTTTTCCAAGTGCACTGACTACAAAAAACAATGAAAAAAAAAAATTTTTTTTGTCAAAAATCTTGCTTAAAACGACATAAAATAGTGAATTTCAACATTTGAAGGGTTTTTTTTTCAATATCTTCAAAACACCATCTTTTTTTCCAAGAAAAAATTTGGCAAAAAAAATTGCACCAAAAAGGATTCGAACTTTCATTATAGGTTCCACAGCGCAAGGCCTCTAGCCACTAAACCACGCCGCCTGTTGGCAGCTAGAATTAGCCGCCGCAACACATTCCCTCCTCCCTTCGAATGCATTTTTTGCGTGCAAACTTTGAGGCGCCATAACTCGACTAGAACCAAAAAGGCGCACTTTTTTTCAATTTTATTGGAATCAGGGTGTCTTAAAGTACCTATATACCAAGTTTCATTAAATTCCAATACCTCGACCTTTTGCACTTCCCGTGTAAGTTTTTTGAGAATAAAATTGAATGAGATGGATTTGAAGAAAGAATAAAAACAAACTTGATAAAAAGGTCCACCGTTTTTGTTATTCTCAAACTAGTTTTCAAAGCTTTCCGGGGTCGCGCGAACGCAACCCCACACGCAAAAATTAAGCTGTTGGCGAATCTCAACTCGAGACTGCCACACAGGTCAGCCCGACCAGAAGTGCAATGGTCAGGCCTCGCCATGGAGTTTCCGCCTTCGTGATCGCGAAATCCTCCCAGCCAGGTAAGTTTATGAGCCGTCCAGCGGCGGCGACCCCATGTCAACGCGCCTCCGACTCGGAGCGGTTTGCGCGTGATGACGTCTTTAAGCATTTATGCCAACGCGCCTTATCTTATTCTTTGTTTTTCTACCAAAGTCTTTCTTCCTTTTGTATCTTCAACCTCGACCTTTGTTTATTTCAGGCAGCTGTAAAAAAAAACTGATAAAACATGGCTCTTCTTTTCATTTTTTGTAGTTCTCCGAATACATTAGCGAACGCCTTTAAAACTAATTATAATCAAAAAAAAAAACCATACTGAAATTAGAGGATGTTTTTCAAATCCCTAACCAATAAAGAAAAAATCAAACTTGAGAAGTGGGCAGGTGAGCGATTGGCGGCAGATAATGTCGAGAATCTGGATTGGCGTCAGAACACGCTCATCCAGGTTGTTGGTGCGGGTACGTTGCATCTCCAGAAGCACCGGTCCGACATTCTGAAGTTGAAAATCAAAATTTTTATCAAAAAACTCCTCAAAGAATTGTATACCTGGATTGAAACGGCGCAGCGAGTTCGGTCTCGATTGTCTTTGGGCAGAGTCGCTTCGCAGTCTAAACGCACCTGCAAAAGTGAGGAGGTACTTTAAAGAAGAAAAAATTGCCCTACGGAGCCTTTGTCATCTGGAAATTCGAGACGAGTCACTGTGTAGAGCTGGTGAGCTCCGTCGTAGGCGAGCGCGAAGCGATTGCGGAAGATTGCCGGGTGGTCCGTGACGACTTTCCAGAAAATAATGCGCATTTCATCTCTGGAAAAGTTCAATTAAAACTGTTCAAATTTCTTTATTGAGTTTTTTTTCGAAGTTTTGATTGTCTTGTATGGTCATTCAAGTGGGTTTCTTAAAAATCCAAACATTCTCGGAAGGTCTGGGTGAAGATCCGTCATATTGGCTGGTTCCACAAAACTATATTTTTTACAAAAGTTAGCAAAGCCCGCATCAACAGTGCTCCCAGAAAAAAAAAACTGAAAAATAATATTTTTTACAAATGCTTACATCAGAGCTAGCCATTATGTAGGATCTTCACCTAGAGCTTCGGAGAAGCTTTGAGTGAAATCGGAAAATATTGCAAACTTCAAGCTTCAATTTCCATTTGACAGAGAATTTTAATTTGGCACGAACTTGTCGAGCTTGCGGCAGCCTGGATGGTGAACCTCGACGTGGTACTGAATAACCACCATCTTCGGATTTTTCAGACCGATTTCGAAGAAGTTGGCCTTGACGGGAATCTGGCGACCTATGGTGCCGACGCCAGGCCTCGCCACTATCTCACGCATGTTCATGCAAGCCAGTTCCTGAACCAAATCATTCCGAAGGTCAAGAAGACGTTCAGACCGAGAGCAAAAGCGGTGAAAGGTCTCTGGGCGACTCATTGTAGCGTCCAGCCGCTTCTTCGCCGTAGGAGGCCGGCGGCGACAGAGAGCCGTGCGAATCTAGCGGCGGAGACATCGAGCCGTTGGATCCAACGGGCGGCGACATCGTGCCGGAACTGCGAGGCGGCGATCGCGTTCCTGCCGTGCTCAGCTCCGGAGGAGAGAGCGAGCCCGAGCCTGAGAATCCTGGAATGAGCCTACGTTTTTTCAGACCTTCATAACCGCCTCCACACAGAAAAATCAGTTGGAAACCCACCCGATGTGAAATTTTCTTCGTCGGAGTTTGTTTCATTAACAGTCGTCATCGTCGGAGATGAAGAAGATTGTGTCTGTGAGTGTCAGATGAGATTCTGTCGTTTCGGGAACAATACCGAAGTTGAAAGCGAAGCTTGCGACGGTATTACCTATCGACTACTGATAGCAGCGGTAAATACCGTTGCGAAGAGTCGATCTGGAAGAATTCCTAAAATGCCTTCTCCGCCCTTTATATACTTCCACGTGTGATCATTTCTTTTTCCGTTCGTTGTTTTTATACTTCTAAAAACATTATTCTCCAAGAAGACACCATTTTTGTGATCAACTACATAATAGTTTCTGAATAAATTTAATAGGAGACGAGGTTTGAATCAAACAGGAAAAACTTGAAAGCAAGAGTTTGGAAGATTTTAAGAGAGCTGCTTTTTTTCTCTAAAAAAAGTTTTGAAATTATGAAAAAAATTTCAGAAAGAAGATACATATATTGAAAAACTAATCAAAAAACTGAGCTTCAAAGGAAACTTTTTTCCAAATTTATTCCTTGAGAGTTGAGCTGAATTTAAATGTTTTCTTCTATATGTTTATTTCATTCCTCCAAACTTGGTAGATCTTCTTACTTTAATAAAGATTAAAATTAAATTTAGGTAAAAAGGAAGTAGGTCCCACCGAGATTCGAACTCGGGTCGCAGGATTCAAAGTCCTGAGTGCTAACCACTACACCATGGGACCTCGATAGCATGTTTGCCTTACGCGGCGCTATGTCACCTCTGTCCGACTAAAGGAAAATGAAGTGAGAGTGAAACAAACTTTCAGAAGTGGAAATTCCTAAAAGTTTTTTTTTATAATTTTACTACGCGCACCGTGGAATTTAGTGAGTTTCGATTAAGACAGCGTCTAAAAAAATAAAAATCTCAAACCTTCTCTTGTTTTTTTACAGTGAGTGAAGTATATTTTGATTCAATTTAATTCAAGTACTCAACACATTTTTCAATAAAACTGAAAAGATTTATTTGCAGCAGTTAGTTAAAAATATGGAAAAAGAAAATAAGTAAATGTAGTAGAAGATCAATCAGAAGATGTTGCTTTGCGTTGCCTTTTTCGGAAACATGGTTTTCTTGCAACTTGGTGTTTGTCTCTGGAATTATTAAAATAAATAAAATCAAAAAAAAGTCCTACGGAGAGGCGTATTTTTCTCGCAAAGATGTCCGCCTTTCAGACTTCATCGTCATACAGATCCAACCATAAAGAGCGGTTCCCATCAATTTCGTTTTTCTTAAGGAAAAACCAATAGATGAGTCAGAGAAACTGCTGGAAAAAGTAAAATTAAAATTGCAGAAAACTTTCAATTCTACCAGCGGACATCAGAGGTAGGACAGTATTGAAGTGCGATCCAAACGGCAGCGGCGGCTACTTCCGAAGGCTTGACTTCCAGAAAACTTTCACAGTAGAGCGAACTTTCTAGGGCGAATTCAGCCATTGAGAATTGCAAGTTCGTGAGGTTGCAAATCTAAAAAAAAAGTAAATGGTTTAGAAGTTTACTGTAAAACTTACTTTAGCCAAGTGTCTCAAAAAGAAGAAGCTATTGGGGGCGCCAACGTCGAATTCCAGCGTTTTGAGGATTTCCCGTTCTTTGGATTTTATCTTTTTGACGCTCAATGAGCGGTGTGAAAAATTCTCGATTGGTGGGAGAGTCACTTCCTAATGTCAGTTACCAGAAGAAGGTAAGTCCAAAACATACTTCGAACTTGGCAGCAAGGAGCAGCGAAGCCGTTGCCAATACGTTCAACTCCGATTTTTTCACTTCAGTGGCTTTGGAAATGTACAGGTCGGCAATTTTGACGGCGAGAAACAGCGTTTCCGGAAGAAATTCGTGTTTGCAGTGCATCTGAAGCATTTTTTGATGAAAAAAAATTACAATTTTTCGGATGACCTGAGCAATAAACTCGACTAATCTGACTGATCTTCGGCTTTTCCCAATCGCAGGATGTTTCTTCGTTTCGATATAGTCGTTGACCAGAAATTTTTTCTGATTTACAATTGCAGGTTGCTTAGGAGCTTGTATTGCTAACTTCTCTGGATTTATAATAGCAAAAAATGTCGTCGGCATATTCCGGTACGTATTCTGTACTTCGCTCGTTTCTACAAGACTTCCTTGGCTCCGTCTTCGCTATTTCATCCTTTTTTCTGGATTTTCAAAGTAAGTTTTAAAGGTTCTGGGTCAGACTTACTCAGTGTCTTGGCCCGTTTCCAAATTCTCATTTCTTTGCTTTAATTTTTTGGATATTGGTTGATAAGTCTAAAACTTGAATCGGATCATGTTTAGAATGGGAAAATGATATACTTCCTATTTTCTTTAAAAAATGTTTTTTTCAGATTCTACTGATTTAGTAGTAAAAATCAGGAAATAAAAACAAACTTTAACTTCACGAGTAATGACGTCTTCGGCTTTTCGTTTGCGACCGAAACCTGTTTGAAAGATTTCGTATTTTTTCGAACTTTTTGAACTTCGTTAGACTTAAAACAGTTTGCGCACCTTTATTTATCAACAACGCTCTCATTTATTTCTTGTTAATCCTGTTTGATCTATTTGATCTTGATATGATCTTGTCAGAAAGATAGTAAAAGAAAACGCGGGAAAGGCGATCAAAGTCGTGGCGAATGGGGTATGAAAGTGGTACCATCGGCAGTCGCCATTCGAGTAGGGCGAGTTGTATGGAAATGACTCAAGATGACCTACGTTTATTCAAACTTTTAAAAACGCTTCATTCAACATTTTTCCATTCAGGTTGAACTAAAATGTTGAGAACATGTATTTTCGACGGAGCTGAAAAAGGCTCGATTTCAAAGGAATTTCTGTAAACGATCACAATGTTTGAAATATTTAATTTTAATTTATTTTTTTTATTTTGAATCTGACTGAGAAATATACAAACAAGGGTAATCAATCGTCGCCAAGAGAGCTGGGCTGTGTTTTGCGGAGTTGCAGGGAAAGACTTCGATTTTTCGGAAGGTCCTTCTTATCTTTCTTGTCACTGCTAGGTTTTTCCATTTTGACCAGGTCTTTTGTTTCCTGAAAAAGAAAGGTTGCCACTTTGGAATTCAATTCGAGTTTCCTCACCAAAATGACGCGTTTGGTAATTTGCCTCAGATCGAGCGGCTTCTCTTCGGTCAGCTTTTCCCGTCTATTGATCTGGTTGACAGGCCAGAAAAAAAACAATTAAAGAATGGTGTATAGGATTTACGTTTCAGGCAGTCGGTCCTGCCCAAGAAGTTCGGTCACCGCCAGTTTCTCGTTGGCCTCCCGAGCTTTCTTTTCGTTCTCAAGATGCTCACGAAGAAGGTGCGTTTCACCCATTGTTTGCACTTCAAATTCAATTCTTGTTTTTGAATTTAAGTTTTCCAGTCAAAAAATAGCTTTTCAGTCATTATCATCTGGTGTATATCTTCGATTGAGCATCGAGATTAGTTGCGAAATTTCTTTTTTGCTCATACCCAATCTGAAATTGAGAGCGCATTTAAGCACGACGAAAATGTTTTTTTTTTCGGAGCTCACTTTACAAAAAGTCTTCGGTTTTTAGATTTTTAACTCATGAGTTTTTTTTTCCAATTGTTTCAAATTGCGAAGAATGCCTACTTCTGGAACCGTCCATCAGAAGCTCGATGCGTTTTGTGGCGTCATTGACTTCATCGAACCGCAATTTCAACTTCTTTGAAACCTGAATGAATTCTTTTTTTTAAATTCCCTTTTTCTTTCAACCTGTTCAATTAAGTTCAAGTTTGGTTCTTGTATACGCACTCTCTCCGAAAGTTGATCAATCTCAAAAATCTCTCAGTTTTCAAGGTTCACAGGCTACCACAACCTTCCACACGGCGAAATCAAGTCTATTATTCAACTCATAACGAGTTGCGTTATACAATTTACACGTGATCACTAAGGAAGCAATACTGAACGAGACGAGGATAAGCAAGGACCAGAAGATCGGATTCGACACCGTGAACCTGAGACATATTAAGTTTTCGAAGACGAAAAGACGATTTTTTGAAGTTTCCTCAAGAAATGTGCACATTCAAAACTAGCAAGATGCCCAGGAATCTACTCACGCAAAAATCATAGTCATCGGATCGCTGACATCGACGGAAAATTTTTGACTTTTCGCGCTGTTTGCGAGCATTTTGTTGCTAGAAATAAAGTCGAAACTTCAAATTGTCACGTTCAAAAACGTTTTTCAACAACTTTTTTTCACTTCTGAGAGTTTATTTATGACCAATTGAGACTCTCACTTGGTCTATGCCTATTTAGAATAGGCATTCTCTTCACCAAACCACTGGAAATCTCTTTTCCCATACATTTCATAGTTCGCCCCAGCAAGTTTTTGCGTTATTGTTAAACCCATCCGCATCGGAACTCAATTTCAGAAGTTCGTCATTTGAAATGTTCATTAAATTGAAGCAAATCCTGAATTCGAAGAAACACAAAACGATTATCCATTACAGTAATATGATCAAATGAAATTTTTAGTCAACAGAAGTTTCAGCGTCGCCGTCGTAACCGGACTTTTGTACGTGATTGCGACCTTTCGCGGATTGTTGTCCTGTCAGAAGTCCAACCTTTGAAACTGCGAAAAGATAAGATTATATAAATAAAGCTAAGATTTTAAACTTTTGCCTTCGGACAAGTAATGAATGGTCTTCTGCATGACGTCGACATTGTCTTTCCGGTAGATCAGCCGCTTGTTCTTCTTCAAGACTGTCTGAGAACTTGAAAAATTACCCAGGCGGAATGTTGAAAAAGCCTTCTTCTCATATTTTTAGCCAGGGGTTATCATTTTCAAACCAAATTTAAAACTAAATAGAAGGAGAACTTTAGGGGCGCGCCGTAGCGCAACAGGTTGTGTGGCTGTCTACGGTCCACAGGGTCCCAAGTTCGATCCCCGTCTCGACTCAATCCTCTTGATATTTTTTCCATTTTTTTTTTTCAACGATTCATTTTTTTTCAACTGATTTTCATCATCCTTAATTGACTTTTTCGCAGAAACAAAGACATTCATAAAGGATTCCTAGTCGGAGTACATTCTCACCTTGATAAAACAGATTTACTTCATCTGAGAATTCGTTCTCCTCTTTCTCATAATGATTTGCCTGTCCAAATAAAACCGAGTCATGATGATAAGCCAGCTCTTCTTCTTCTTCTTCTTCTTCTTGTTCTTCTTGTTCTTGTTCTTGTTCTTGTTCTTGTTCTTGTTCTTCTTTTTCTTCTTCCTCTTCTTCTTCTTCTTCTTCTTCCAGCTTCGAAAAATGAAATTTTGCTAAAAAAATTTTCTATAAACTCTACCTCCAGATCTTCTGAAAATGAAGGCTCTGAGATAGAGCATTCCTGAAATCGGAAACTATTCGAGATTAGCTCACAATTTTTACATTTTGAGTGTTCATAAATCTCCATACGATCGCTTCCGCAAAAATGACAAGTTCGGGAAAGTAATAGATCGCTAAACCAATCTAAAATATATTTTATTCAGTTCAATATTTTTCGAATATTTTGAACATGAGCAAAGTTTATAGCGACAACTCCGAGGATTCCGAAACGGATCCATGATTCGGTGACATCCATTCGGAGGACCGACGCCGCATAGAAATGAGCGTCGCATTTCTTTTTTCACCTATCCGCTTCAATATCTTCGTGGTTGAAGTCACATTCCATTTGATATTTGAAATTATAGAATAGAGTCGGTTTTTCCACCTTCCAAACTTTCCGGGCTCGTGTTAGAAAATATTGTTCTCATGATAGTGGAAGTTGATTTATACGCTGTTCATTTTTATCTTGCACCATTTATTACTCGAATATTTTAATCCCTCTTTTTATTTTCAACTGATACTGTTTCTATCGAGTTAAAATTAAATCAATGACCTAATTTCTTTAAAAAAGAAAAAGCCTTTTCAAAATCACGTTTGCCACGTGAATTTTCATTTTTGTTGATTATCAAAAATTCCAACAAAATTCCACCTGCGGAGCGCTGGTGCGCGCAGAACGTGCGGCACACTTCACGACACCTTTTTTCTTACTTCCTGATCGGTTTTATCGATTCGTTAACCGGTTTTTATCTAATTGATCATGATTTCTGCTCTTGTTTGTGATGCTATATTTTCGGATTCGTTCCATTTTCGAATGTACAGTCATTTCATCCCGAATTTCGTCGAAACTTGCTATTATCTGTATGGAAAGACCGTGTGTTTGCAGAAAGCCTCGATGAAATATGAAATATGACCGAGTGAACAGCATGCCACACGGATGTGAGTGCTATTGATAATTTGTTTCAAAAAATTGAGATTTAAAGCAAGTCAAGCAGACAATTCGTGGCGTAACATGTCGATCCCCTCGACGTCGCCGTCGCGCTACGGAGAAGAGCTGGTGAATGCGAGTAGAAGGTGAAATAATGAGGAAACGAAATTATATTAAATCAATGAGTTCAGAAATAGGAGGAGCCGTATAGAGTTGGAAGCTCCGCGACCAGCATCTCGAAGCAGAGCCACGAAAAGCGTCCTCAACGGCTACGCTGCACCAGCCCCGAATGGTTATTACAATCAGTACCAACATCCTCCGATGCACTACCAACAGCCTTACTATGGATATCCAGTCGGGTAGGGCTTATTCAAATTTAGCTTTTCTATTTCTCGTTCAGATACGCGCCCGAAGCCTCGAATCGTTTTTCTCGGACTCCGAATCCGTACATGTCGTACTCGACGTCGGTTAACACGACGCTGAACGCCTCGATGGAACTTCCACGTCGTCCTGCTTCCACACACCACTACGCGCCGATGCAAAACCGCACGATGAGCGAGACCAACGGAAGTTTTAACGGAGCTCCCCCTGCCGATCGGAATGGCGGCAGCAGCTTCAGCAATTCTGGGTCCGATAACGGTGCGGCAGATGCCAACGAAACTGAAAGCGAGGAGGAAATGCGGCGCTACAACTTGCAGGTTCCCAATTAATTTGAACCAGAAAAGAAAATGATCAAAAAGTCTATAGAATGTTTTTGCGGAGGTGTTTAACTGTTTTAAAAAACATTGTATTACCTTTCAAAAAAGGGCTGATTTTTCAACTTTTTTTTGCTTATATTTGCGAAAAAAAAAGATTTTCTGTGGAAAGGGAAGATATAGTTCTGCTAAAAAGTTATGAAAGTTTCGGCGTTTTTCGGAGTAGCAGTGGTATCATTGATTTCAAGGTGAATAAAAATTTGGAGTTTTCGGCTCCTAAATATAGTTCAAGATTTATATGGTTTGCTACATATAGAATAGAAAAGGGACTGTTCTGATGTTGCGAAAAAAAAAATTTCAGCCTTTTAACTGAGTTTTCTTTGCTGATTCTTCGAAAGAATACAAATCTTGTTTTTCAGAACCGCAGAGCTCAAGGAGCACGATCTGTAGCGAATTATCGGGATCCTTTTGTGGACGGCGGAGAAGCCTATTACTGTGGCGTCGTCCATTTGGATTTGGTAGGACTGCCTTCTTTCCGAGATTTCACTTCAGGAAACTTGAGGCACATGTTCAACACGTGATCAACACAATGAGTCCTCCAGAAGAGTTTTTCGAACTTCCTCCGATCGAACGAGTTGCTTTTGTTTTCTACGCCGCCGTGTACAAAAAGCTTTATCGCGACATCGAAGAATTCCATAAGCGGTTTAACCGCGAATTCTACAAGTTTGTCTGCGCGGGCGACTCCAACGACATGGCTCTCTTCAAGGTTTTCTTTTCTTTTGGGCTTTTGTGAAAGTGTTTCTTCAGATATGCAAATCCATGCAAGATCAGTATAACCTCAGGCAGCTGGAAAAGTCGAAGAAGGCCTATGAAGAAGCAGCGAAAGCAGCGGAGCTGGAAGTGAAGAACTTAGCCGAGTAATTTTGTATTGGTCTGCTATCATTTGATTTTTCTTCAGACAGTACGAAGGAACTTTGGTCTTTGACAATGAAGAGATCGGAGGCACCATCACCGCCAAAGAACATCTGATGGACATTGGTTCGCGAAAAAAGAAACGGAACCAAAGTTGAACACTTCGTCCTACAGGACCCGTCAAGTTCAACTGTGCGCATGCCTTCATGACCTTCGGTGTGGGTGGCAAAGTCGTGGTGGTTTCTCCGGAATCTTCCTCTTCTGCGGTCAACGTCGCCGTCGACGACCTCCGCAACTTCCTGCACGAGGACGACCACAGCTCTCGCATCGTCGAAACGTTTCAACACTTTAGAGGTACCTCGGTTCTTGAAGCGTTCGACAAAGAACATAACTTCCAAGGTCCACTAATAGTTGGCCAGACACCAACCCACTCTGTACGGCTTTACATCCAACGGCAGATCGAGAACATCCGTCGAAGTGCCAGCAAATCGACGTCCAGCTCGGACACGGTCGACGCCTTGTTGCTGTGGCAGCTGCTCGAAATGATGGTCCAGCAGCAAGGCGTTCGTTGTCTTTTCTCAGTTTTATCAGCTCAGCTCCTGTTTTATCTTTTAGTCCTACTTTGAATTGAACAGGTGGAAAAATTATCTCTTTCTTCTTTCATTACTCTGAACTGGAGCGGCCAAAAGCGCGCCGAGTTTTTCTCTTCCGCATACTATTTCTTCACTCACTGACTGCGAGAAAACGACAAAATAGCGTGCGGAAGAGAATGTTCAAGCACGCCTTCACGCGCTCCAGGTCAGAGTAAAGGCTTCTTTTCAAATCAATTAGCAGAGAAGAAGTTAGTGCGGATCAACCTAAATCATGTTATAAAGGATAGAAAAAAGAGCAAAGAAAAAACAAAAACATAAAGGATAGAAAAAAGAGCAAAGAAAAAACAAAAACAAAAAAAAAGTTTTTGGTAACCATAGCTTAGAAAAATACCATATAAATCGAAAGCAAAGATATTAAAAGAGCAGTCACCAAAATATGAACTTGGAAAACTCGAGAAAAATGATCATTTTCAAAAGGAATTGATGAGCACTGATATGCTTTGGTATTGAATTATTATGCTTGAAGAATCAGAAAACTCGAATTATTTACGTAGGAAGTAAGAAATTTTTCTCTAACTTTGTTCATTGAAAAATATGTCTTCTAGATAAATTTTTCAACTGTTCCTCTTTCAGCGTGTCACGGGACCGGACGTAGCGACGCTTCTGACAAGTGCGATCGCCTCTATGAATTCGCGATCTTCGACTCCAGTTGCGGAACACGCGACAACGACGGCGTCAACTGAACGTCGCGGAATGAAGTCGCCAATCGACCGATTCACCGATTTTCTTCTTGGTGGACATATCGATGTCAGTTTTTTGTATGGAATGAATGGAGACTACTAAAGTTTTTAATTGGTCTCACCTGTACGGAGTTTTAGAAAACCTAATCATAGGATTTTATTTCAACTTCGATGCTTTTATTTCAGTTTGAGTGAGTTTCGAAAAAAATTAATTAAAGGAATCAAATGAAAAAAATGAATGGATCGAGTCCACGAAGATTTAATCATATTCCCGTTCCCATGCTTTCCTGGTGTTGTATTATTCTAAATTTTATAATTTGTAAGCTCGAAAATTTTCCAGGAAGCCGTGGAAAGCGCTGTTTCGGACGGTCTCTACGCAGACGCTATGATGTTAGTCCGCCGACTGTTTCCACATGACCCCAGGAAAATTGTGGCTATCGAAGAACGTTTCTTGGCCCTTCGATCTTATGACAATCCCATCACAACGCTCATTTCTGTGGCGAGCGACCAGCCTCCTCCTGTTCTGGTCTTTCTTCTAAATATTCCATTGAACTTATTCTTCTGTTTCCAGACCAATCCGCCCCTGGACGACCATCGAAGCTGGAGGAAACACGCTGCGATCGTTCTGGCCAATCTAAACACTCCCACCGCCATGAGAACGGTTTCCACCTTTCTTTCTGAGCAATAATGATCCCGATGTTTGAAGATTTACCACCTTGGTTTGGCTTTGGGCAAAAGAAATCTCCACTGCGCGGCTGACTTCTGCTTGTTGGCGGTTTGTATCCTTGCTGGCTACGATCCGTTTGTTCCGGTCGTCGAAATGTAACTTTCTTTCCAACTCTGGGCTTTTCTCATCTTTTTGTTTGAAGAGAGGGCGACGAGCACTTCCGACGTCACATCACACTCATCCACTCTGGAATGCTTCCGTCTGAAGCAGAAGGGGAGCAGTACATTTCCAACGGAATGAAAATCAACGACCTCCACGCAACGGAAGTCTTTGACTTCGCCTTGCGACTAGCGAACAACGATTCCCCTTTGTCGCGTTCGGTGGAGTATCAGACGGCGCGAATCGAATACGCTAAATTGTTGGCGTCGTACGGCGGATTTGCGACCGACGCTTTCAGGTGGAGTCTTAGTTTATTTACGACGAATTTGCATCGTTATCTTTATTTGAAAAAGGAGATATTAGAAGGGCACAACTAGAAAGAAAGCATTTTTTTTTCTCTTTTTTTCAACTTTTTTTTTAGTAATCATTTCCATACCATATCGGTAGGTTGCCTGCGATATTTTTGAAGTTAGATAATCGAAAAAGACTTTTTTTATAGTTACTGTATGTACTTATTTCACTGGAGGATAAATTTTGGAAGTGCAAAATTTTCACTGTGTTACTTCAGGTACTGCACGGAAATAGCGCGCTCCCTCTGGCCGTACTATCAAGCTTTCTCTAAAGAAACCCTTTTGGAACTGTGCGATCTTACGGAGAAGTGCGTTTCCTGGGTTTTCCTCGCTATTCTCTTTACTTCAGACTGAAGTACATCGCTTCTGCGACTGATGCCGAATCGGAATGGATAGACGGTCTCCGGATCATGGTGCAGCAGATGGATGGAACTTCTTCCGTGGTTCCACCTGCAGCCATACCTACGCAACCACAAGTCGACCAGCAACCGCCTCAAGACTTCATCGAAAACGTTTGTACTCTCATTTTTTAGACAATAAATAGGGGATAAGTAAGTTCAAGTGATGTGAAAAAATTTATCTGCCGATAGGGAAGTCAGGCAATCATTTCTAAGAATCTCGAGAAATTTAAACGCATCCTCAATTTTTTAAGTTCATCTTCAATATTCTCAACTTTTGCTAAGTTCTCTTGAGCCGTTTTTTCAGATCTGCTTTATTTTCAGAATTCACAAGTGGTGACTGAACCTTTAATGACGGAACTAACACACACCGAGGCCGGCAAGTCGAAGTTTTTATTCTTTCTTGAGAATTTCCAAATTTACTCTTTCCAGCGAAAAAGACGTTCTTCGGATTAATTCTCGGACGCAGGATTCCCATCAACGAGAATCCGAACGAAGGTTCGACGCATCCAATTAAACAATATTTTTCGTTTTTCAGAATGTCAACGCTGTCAAATGAAGCGCAGGACTGGCACAGCGACCACCAACAACCGCTTGAAATGCACTTTGGAACGACTCAAAGCGTAGGTGTTTTCTTCCGTACAAATTTATCAACCTTTCATTTATTTTTTTGTTTTAGTCATAGATTATTGGACTAGGCGGTGAACAAGAATTTTTTAAAGCTATAACGAACAGCCGCCTCTGGCAAACTAGAAGTCCAAATGTGTAGTTGATCAAGTTGAAAGCATGGTCTTACGGTCTTTCGCCTCGTTCTTCTTCCCGTAGTCCACCCAGTTGCGCCTTGATTTTTCACGGAATGGCAGTATATACCTGCAGATATCGAAGGATACAGGGCGGGAAGCTCCGTCGGCCCTCCAAAAGTCGGAAACTTTCGTCATTTCAACGCCAACGAAACCGGTCTCCATCCCGGGAAATGAGCTTCCTGCAGACGTCGTCTCGTCTCCGGCGTATTTGACCCCGGCGGGTTCTCCTCAGCAGGGATATGACCTGCCTTCCATGAATATCAACAACGGGGTGAGGAAATCATCACGAAACGTAGACCTAGTTAAAATATAGAGACGACTTTTTTTTCTTTCAGTTTTATTGAATTGAGAAAAAATAGAGACTTCTCAAAATTTTTCAACCCGTTTTTCATATTTCCTGATGTTCACTGGTTTTTGCAGCATAGTCTTTTTTCATTCGTAACCTTGTGGTTTACTCTTTCTCAACTTATTTATATAGATTTTGGTAGAAAAACACATCTGAAAACGATCTTTTGAACGCAATATTTGAACTGAACGGCTTTGAGTTTTCAAGACTCAACGAAATTTTGAATTCTAGGACGGTCATTGTATCGAAAAGTTTGTATCCATGATTTTGTCAAAAACTTACATGAACAGAAAATTGTTTTCATTGAACTCTTTCAGGTTCTTTCTAAGCCTGTTACGCAGCCGGCGTCTCCGAGTTCCGAACTCGACGACCTCTGGGCCAACGCTCCTTTGCTCCCTGCCGCCAATCCCACGAAAACTTCCCCGCCCAACGGAATATCCAAGCCAACAGCTTCTGCTCCCGTCATTTCCACACATCAGCCTCTTCCAGAGCCCAAGGCGATTTTGCATGTTTGGTCAGGGACTGAAAATCTGTTTTCAGAGCTATGAACCTCCTTCGAAGCCAGTAGTCAGTGGGAACGTGCCGAAGGCGTCGTTGGATTCTGGAGGAGAAAATGTATGTTATCACAAAATTCAAATTAAAAATGCTGTAAAAAGTTGTTTCAAAACGTAGAAACTTTCTTAAAAATAAAAGTAGTGGGAAAAAAACACCCTAAACAAGGTGTGATTCTTTTTGAAATTTATTTTCAACGGTTGGAAACTCCTAACCTTTTTTTCTGGAAGCAGCTTTCTGATCAAATTAAACCTCGGAAAAAAAATATATTTTGGTTTCTGAGAATATTTTTAAAAAAGAATGTATGCCGAATAGAGGGAATTGCAGATGAATTTTAATTTTGAAGGGAGGAAAGCAACAGAAGAACTTTTCGCGCGGAGGATGGTTCGGATCGTTACGTCAGAAGGTTATGAAGTCCATGCCTTCAGCGAATCCGATGATTCTGCCAAACGACAAGAAGCCGACGGTTGGATCTTTTTCAAATCGTTTGACGACCTTCTTCAGATCGTTTGGGACCCTGTCAAGAAGCGGTACGTCGGTGAAGGCGTCGAAGAAGAGACGGCGGCGCCGCCTCCGCCAGTCGCCGACCTCAGTTCGATGCCGCCGCCAGCCAACCTCAGCACGAACAGCCTCAAATCTGTTCGTACGAGTGGAGGCGCCCGCTACTTCCAGCATAACGGCCAGAACCAAGGTCAATCGGCAGCTCCGGACCTCGGACCACCGCCAATGATGCCGCCGACCATGGCACCCACGGCTTTCGAGTTTATGCCGACACCTGATGGTGGGCTTTTATTTATGTTCAAGTTAAGGATTTATTTCACGAGTACACATTCTCTCAACACTCTGTGAGACTTCTAAGTGTATCGAAAGTTTGTTAGAAGATGCTTCCTAGGACGTCGGCGAATGAAGTCATGAATCTTTTTTCTTGAGATAGTTTTTAAATGGCAAAGTAATGGTTTTGAGGTCACGAGAATCTTTTCTAAAAATTAAAATAAAATATTTCAAAAGCAGGAGGCGGTTACTATTGCACGGTTGTGAGTTTATTGATATTTTCAAATTTTAGCGGCTATTCTCTCGCAGAGTTTTCAGTGCTTTTTAGCTCATTTCCATTTCATCGAGAAAAACTGCCTCTGCTGGTTTTGAATGTGTACATTACTGGGAGAAAAAGTGACATTTCAAAATTCAAAGCGTCTTGATGCAAGAACGGAACTTTTTCCATTACTTTTCCTATCCGAACCTAGTTTTCACTTCGAATAAACACTTACGTTCAAAGATTTTTGCGATTTTATTCCTTCAGACGACGAGGCAACGGTTGACCCTTTCAGCGGTGATACTCTATCATCTCCTGGAGAGGATCAAACTGACAACACTCGCCAATAAGGAGAGAATTGGTTATTTTTTCCCCAACTGTAAATTCTAGAAACTGAGCTTCTATTGACAGTACTCTCGAATATATAATTACAAGCTCACTCGCATTTTTCCCTTATGATTGTGAGAAAAAATAGATTTCTAATTCTTATATTTATTAATGTTATATATGAATGCAACTACAAACTTTCCCTGGAATCACTGGTGTTTCAATCATTCTGTGATAGACGCCGATGGCGAGCTTTTACTCTAGTTAAATAATTTATTAAGCGTATCTAATCTTTTTCAAAATAAAACTTCTATTCTTTGTTTGATCATCATGTTATCTTTTAATTGGAGATGTTTTAGTTTAAGCTTATGAGATAGTTCCAGCTTTTTTTCTTCTTTGTGGAAGTTTCTTCTCTCTGTAATTCATGTGCTCATGTCGGGCTTCAAAGTGTTGTGAACTTATGCTCTAACGCATACTTCTACGGTTCGCCTTTTCTAATGGTTTTGTGTACGTTTCGCGTTTTATCCTAAAGGACTTTTAATTCCGTTTCGAACGAATAGGTTTTCTTTTTTGGTTTGAGATAAATATTTTTATTTGTTCACGGAGCAAAAAATGTACGAAGTAAAACCCTCCAAAATTGAATTGACAAATAAGTTAATAAATTTGGAAGAAATCGACTGAATAGCAGCAAATTTTTCACCCGCGGTGTGGAGCGTTAGGAGAAGCAGCGAGGAGTGCCGGAATCATGTAGAACACAAGAAGTATGCAAATTGGAATCACGAAAAAGGTACATGCGAAAGCGACGGCGAACGCTCTCAGAAGACGTCGACGGCGCTCCGCCGCCTTCTGAATCGTCGTCGATTGCGATCCTGAAAGAGCTCTGATCCCGCAGTTATTTTGATAGCCACCCACGGCTTCGTTGCGACAGGTAGCTAGGCGGCGGACTTCCGCGTTTCGAGTGAGCTCCGTAGAAGGGCGGCCCAGTCCGACTGAAGAACATGGACATGTCTGGATCGTGTATGTTTGGGTTCAATGAAGTACTGAAGTTAACTTTGACAGGGCTCCGAAAGAAAAATCAGGGAAACCTGAATATTTCTGGAAGGTCGTTTTCTAGGTCGATGGAGGTGTAGCGCGGCAGAGGAACTTTGCGGGAAGACCTGACGGACTGCGTCGACGCCGTTGAAGACGTCGGCGTCTGAGGCGGCTGTGGCGTCTTCGGGGACGACGGCGTAGATTCGCCCATTCCTTCTGATTTCCTTCAATTCGGGATTTCAGATATTTGGGATAGCTATAAGGTATAATAGAGAGATAAAGTGAGGAAGGAGTTGTTGAGAAACAAAGGTTACGCCGATATTTCAATAGTTCGAGAGAAGATTCTAAAAAAAGGAACCAGAGACTAAAAAAGACAAAAAAAGAGTCATCTGATTTCGACGTTTGATATATATTTTTATTCAATCATGAAAGTTTTTTTGATTAATTCTGAGGATTCTAACAAGAGGGCTTCAAATTACATTTTTTTAAAAAAATTTCTTTTTTTTGTTTTTTTGTTTGAATAAACATAATACATCACCATATTTATCCAAAAAATAATTATTCACTTCAAAAAAGAAAACCACTGACCAAAATTGTAAACAAAAAAAAGACGTCATAAAACTTTACGAATTCTCATATCGCCATGGGACTGTAATGCAGAAAAAGAAAGAAGAAAGGGAATTTATTTCCGTTCCATGAACTATTCATGGGAAACTGTGAACACTTGGTTTGGATAGGAAAATTCCTTTCTAACCATATCAAAAAAAAACCGAATGAGAAAGTCTTGACGGGCCAAACTCGTTCTGAGATTTTTCCGGCGAGTCTAACCCAGAATTTGTGATAAAAAAAAATGTTTAATCTGTATAGACTTTTCAATTACTGAATCGACATGTCTTTCAAAACAAAAAAAAACCCGGAAGTGATTTTTGAGAATTACCATTGAATGAGGAAAGAAAGGTATTCGGATAGAGATTCAAAAATACAAAAACAGAGCGAGAAGAGAAACGCTCGAGCGGCTTCAAAGTGGGGCACGAAAACATTTTCTGCACATATTTTGTTCCGGACAATGTATTGTTTGAATTGGATCGAGCACGACGCTCCGCCTACTTTTTCCAGCCCAGGTGATCAAATCCGCTCATGAAAGGGAAGCTTTTCGTTCGCTTTTCAGCAGTTCCACTTATCGATTGCGTCACTGGTTTTTTATTAAGTTCAATCTGCAGAAATTTTCTCAAACGGGATTTCAGAAACTTGAAATGTTGAATTAGAACTTGCAGAAAAGCCATTAAAAGCTTTTTCTTTGTATATTAGTTGTTTGAGGTTTTTAAAAGTTGGTCTTTTTTTCGGAAACACCCATGAGAAAATCAAGCCAGATTAGATGCAAGATCTTGGAGGGCTAGAAATCCCTTTTCATCTATCTATATGCCGTGTTCAAAGTAATTTCCGCAAAATGCGAAATGGTCTCTGTGCCCTCCAAAATTCAGTTATCTTTCTCTTTCTCTGACGGCTATTTTGAATTTCGCGGAGCCGCTTTGAACACGGCAATATGGTCTGTTCGGGTTTCAATGTCAAGCTGCAAACTCCGCCCCCGAGGTTACAATATCTTTCGCGTCAGTTTCCTCTCCAGGTGACGATGAACCTTCAATATGGCTGCATTTTTTTTACTCCTTTTCCTATCTTAGAACAAAAAAGTCAAAAATTATCCCGCGCGATAAAAAATCGACGCGAAAAGGTACTGTGGCGGTAGGGGCGGAGTTAGCTGGTTGACATTTGAAATCTGAGCAGACTATAAGATAGAAGCTGAGAATGGGCTCAAAAACAGTGTGGCATGAAAGTTGAAATCACACAAAATCTTGTACTGGGTTTTTTTTTTCACGGAAGCAACGCAACGGTTTTCAGAAAAAAAAAATCTGAAGCGAAATGAAAGAAATGAATAAAAAATTCCATGGTCAATAGTTCAAATAAATTTCTGCTTTTGGGAAACTTTCAATTCTTCAATAGCTTTTCATTTTCTTGAACAGAGAAAAAAGCACAATTTGAAACTAACATTCATGAAAAGAATGCCCATTCGAAAGACCATAAAAATAGTTCTTTCGTCTTATTGCGACCACTTTCGCACTCCAATGCCTGTTATTTGAAATTTCACAGCTTTTTTCGGATTGTTTGCATGACCCAAATATTCTCTCGGGGCTAGAGTATTAACACGGTTTCATAAAACAAGTTTATGAAATAAAAACTCTCATAAACATTACCCATAAATTAATATAACCAACAATTACAAAAAAGAGAAAAATAAATAAAATTACTTAAGCGGAAGAAAAAGCCCCGAATTGGATGGAAGGCTAAAATAAAACATCTTTGAAGATTATGTGAGAAAAAATTAAAGATGGAACTCTTTTGGCAGGCCGAGTAACCATTTGGGTGCAAACAAGTAGCGGACGGGAGTTAGTTCCGTTCACCATAAAAAGGTGTGAGAGGAAAAAAACACGAAAAATGAAATCCATAGTCATTATTCACTCCTTTGAAGTATTGAGGCTGAAAAATTCTTCAGGAAAAGGAAACTCGATATTATTGATCTATTGGAAGAACGCCGTGAAAAATAAACTAGTTGGAAAAATACGGCGAAGGACGAGTGAACTGAGAAGAAACACAAGTGGGAGCCTAGACCATGGTGCGAACTTCGAAGAAGCGCTTGAGGTAGAAGATCTGGCCGAGGGTCATTCCGACAAGGACGATAGCCTCGAAAATCGCCCACATCACCACGCGAGAGTTTGTGTTTTCGTTGACTGAAAACAATTAAGTTTCTAATGATTCTAACCGGATCCTTTTAAATCCTCTCCGGAAAAAAAGATTGAGTTTTTCAGTTTCAAATTTTTTTCTTTTTTTATAATTTAATGAAAAAGACACTTTAATGAACCTATCCCTTTTTTTGAATTGAAAAAAAGTCCATAAAACGATGAATTTGAATTTCAAGCAGATTCGAAATTTAAATAAATTACATTTTCCTGAATGAAAACAGAAAGGAAACAAGACATTGAACAATTAGAAGCTGGAGAGTAACCGACGGGGATTTTTTTGTTCAAAGCTCAAACAATTTTTTATTCCGGGAAAGCTTTGCAAAAAAGTCAATGTATATTCAAACCTGTTAAAAATCAAATACAAACTTTTTGTGTCTTAATTCTTTTCTCATGTTTTTACGCATGTATTACACTGTTAGAGCGCCAAGTTATGGAGAAGGAGATTGAAAACTTTAGATTAAAAAATGTTTGGCTGTCTCTTCTCAACTTTTTTTTATTTATTGCAAAATTAAAATACTGAAGATGTTGAAGATCTGAATTTTCTAGAGCAAGTAAACGAACTTACTTAGTATCTCATAATTATGAAATATACAGAAAAATGATCAAATAAATATACTTACTTGAGCGATGAACGCGTTCGCGGACCTCCATGTACTCCTGCTCGTGCTTGACGGACATGAGAGCCTGCGATAGCTCCCGCACCATTTCTTCCAGCTTCTGGTTATCAGCTGCAAAACGTTTTTGCAAATCTACAATTCTTTAGTTATTTCTTCGTTCAAATATGTTTACGCGCCTAAGATAATCGCAAAATTATCCTTTTCATCCCTTTTGAGGAGGAAGGAAAGTGCAAGGAGGACAGTGCTGATGGGAGTCACTTCTTACGCCGTCCACTTATAAGACTCGAAACAGCTGCGAGATATATTATACATTTATCTTATCCATTTAACTATTCTTGCATATTTATAATTTGATAACTCATCTCTACTTAATTTTCACACGTATTATAAAGCAAACTTGTCAAAAAAACTAATAGAATCAAAGACGAATTTTTTACAGAAAAAAAAATTCACCTCCAAAGTTATTTTCATAATCACAAAAAAAAAACGTAGAGTTTGAATGCTACGACTGACAAAGGATAAAGAAAAATTTGATTTAAAAAAATATTGCAAATTTTCAATAAAAACTTCAGAAAACGAACCAGCTTCTTGATTGGACGCGGCGCCGACGGGTTGTTGATGAGCTTCATTGATTTCAACGGTGAACATCACGGCCTAAAAATGTCACAAATTGAAAACAAAAAGATGTCCCTATTATCTACCTTGGGTGTCATGGTGCTCATTTTGTTTCCGAAACAGTAGGTATAAATACCATCCATGTGAGCCGCAAACGTGAATTTTCCAGAAGACTCACGCTCTCCTTTGTAAATTTCTTTGTTGTCTGGACCGACAATCTGCGAATCTTCTTTTTTCATCAAGTTGAACAACGAAATGAATTAAAATAACAGAAAAAGGCGTACCTTGACATCGATATCCAAAAATCCTCCTTCGGCCACTTCAAACATCAGTCCCATTTTCGTCCCAGATATGAGACGATCAAAGAAACATTGTTCTTCGTTGGCATCGATGTGTATGAAGTAAGCTGAAGAAGAGGCGACCAGGACGGAGAGAAGTAAGAAAACTGATCGCGGCCACATATCGTTTTTCAAGTAATTTAAAATTACCTAAATTTTTTTCATTATCTCATAAAAACCAATGAAAAATACAAATTTGTTGAATGATGCCGTATTCAAAGTGATTTCCGCGAAATACAAAATTATCTCTGACTTTCCAAAATTTGCTTCCCTTTCTCTTTCTCTGACGGCTAATTTGGATTTCGCGGAAAAAACGTTGAATACGGCATGATATAACTGGTAAAATTTGTAAACAAAAAAAGAAAAATAAAAAAATTTCGACGGTGTATTACGTGTCGGAAATGCAGTGTATGCGGATCATACACATTACCTCACGGCTCAACTCTGATCTGAACATTAAAATTTCAACAAAATTGAATGATTATTTTTAATTATCTTCAAAATTATGTTTTTTATTGAAATTCAAGTTGACTATATCTCTTCGCTGTTTGTACTTTTTCAGTAATCGTTACAGAGAATGGCTTCTAAATCACCGACGAGTCATCCTCTTCACAGTCAACCATCTTCTTCCGTCGGCCTACCGCTTGCAAACCGAACATCGTTAGTTTGATTGAAAAAAAAAGACCAAAGGTGATTTCGTTCAGAGTTGGATTAATATCTTACAATCCCTTTTTAACAACTGAAGAAGGTAATTTTTTTTTCTTACAGTTATTGGTTGAAAGTTTAAGGAGTGGATTTTGATGGGTCAGCTGCAGGACAGTTTGACTTTGAAAATATTGAGAAGGTTTTTGTCATTTTTTCGAGTTTAATTTTTTTCAATCAGGTGACCAAAGACTTGTTACACTACATGGAAACCTGCAAATACCCATTCATAAACGACGTGAATTGCTACGAAAAGCTGCAAAAGATTGGTCAAGGAACTTTTGGGTGATTTTTCAGTAGAATTGAATAAATGAAAGCTAAATTTCAGAGAGGTTTTTAAAGCTCGATGTAAGAAAACAGGAAGACTCGTTGCGTTGAAAAAAATATTGATGGAGAATGAAAAGGAAGGGGTTAGTGGAAAAGCCTTGCCTGGAATTAAATTCAGAATTTTTTCAGTTTCCAATAACAGCTTTGCGAGAAGTGAAAACGCTACAGCAACTAAAACATCCCAACATCACAGATCTGATTGAAGTTTGCTGTACTCGATGTTCGAAAAGTGGTTTCTATTGTTTTTATTGAATCTGTTCAGCTGCACGAAACAGCAGCGAAAAGCCGACGTTTTACTTGGTCTCTGCTTTCTGCGATCACGACCTCGCTGGTCTTGTGAGCAACCATCGTGTCAAATTGTCGGCGGTCCACGTTAAAACAATGATGAAGGTCTGTTTTCCTGTTTCCATAGCTTTGTCGATCTCAATCTGGCTTTCTAGCATCTTCTGAGCGGTTTAGACAAGTTACACCGGATGAAAATTTTGCACCGAGACATGAAAGCTGCGAATGTCTTAGTTTCACACGAAGGGGTTCTGAAACTGGCTGATTTCGGCCTAGCTCGGCCATTCATCGTTAGTGAGTTTTTTGCATGATTCTCTTCAAAAAGCTTCTTAGATTCCGGCCCCAACCCGAAACAGTTGTACACGAATCGAGTTGTTACGTTGTGGTACAGGCCTCCAGAACTTCTCCTGGGTTAATTTCTTATTCTGAAGCTTCTTCTCACATTCATGATCTTCAAGGATCTCGACAATACGATACGACGATTGACGTTTGGGGCGTCGGTTGTATAATGGCCGAGCTTTTCACTCGAGTCCCCATTATGCAGGTCAAAAACCTTTCTTAAGGATTTTCGCTATGTCTTTATTCTTTAGGGTGAAACAGAGCAACGGCAACTTTACCTCATCAATCAACTCTGTGGCTCGATTAATCCAGAGGTGAGACAGATTTTTATCCTTTAAAAATGCTCAAAATCCAAGGTTTGGCCAGAAGTCGACAAACTTCCGTTGTACAAAAATATGGCTTCTTCGATGCCACCGGAATCGAAGCGGATACTCAAGGAAAAGCTAGTTCTCTATGTAAAAGTGAGTTTGAAACTTCAATTCGAAAAACTGAGATTTATTTCAGGATGAGTACGCGATGAACTTGTTGGAAGAACTTCTGACGTTGGATCCGAGCAAAAGGCCAACGGCGGACAAAGCCATTTATCATACCTACTTCTACAAACAACCGGAGCCCAAGGACAACATTTCGGATCTCATCCGAACTATCCCAGTTTGTTTTTCTTTTTAGGGATATTTTTAAACCAGCAGAACCGACAAATTTGCAGATATATGACAAAGATTTTTGAGCGAAAATTTTTAACCATATTTTTTCACTATATATCGGTTGGATCCCACACTAGCCTTTTGCGCGCGAAATTTGAAAATAAAAAAGTAGGCCGCACCCCGGGATGGATTCCAGTCGTTTTCACGTACTTTTTTGCTTACTTTTGTTTTTTGTTGACCGAAAAGTCTACAGAAAACGAGAGAATCAGAAAAAAGAGGGAAAAAAGTGTTTTGGGTTCTCGAAAAGGGGAGCTTTCAGTAAAATCGGAGTTCACAATGAACCAGAAAACTATTCATATTTTGCTCGTTAATTACTTTGATGAAATATACATGAAAAAAATATGAAGTTTCACTAAGGGCCTTGAACCTATCTTTGAAAAATTTTTTTAAAAACCACAATCAAAAAAAGTAAAAACCGCACTAGCCACACGAATTTGAAGATAGATATTATCTGTAGAAATTTGAGAACTCGCTGTTCGAGTTCACGACTGGCCGAGGAGCTCATGCCAATCGTGGAAGAGGTCAGCATCATCAGAGACCCCAACAAGGACAGCGGAAACCGCAAAACGTCCCTGCAGGACAGTTCCGAGACATGATTTTTTAGCCTTTTCTTCCATATATTCTTCGCTTTTTCAGTTGGATGCCCTTGAAGCTATCCAGCTGTTCCTTTATACCTCTTTAAATCGTTTTTCTTCTCCTTCAAAAGAAAAAACGAATCCTCAGTTATTGCAAGAACTCTAAAAAAATTCCATTAAAAAAATATCAATTTTCTCTTGATCATTTTTGATTAGTCATAATTTCATCAATCAATAAATCTGTGATTTATTTTAACTCATGCTTGGGAACAAGCCAACTTTGTTTTTGTAGTCCGTCAAAGTCTAATTGGGTTTTCTTCTCAGTTTTATGTCGGGAACCAGTTTCCTTTCTCATTTTATCACTTTTCATTCTCATGGCGTTTCTCACTTTTTACTCAATTTTGATGTGTCAAATTGGTGTGATACTTTTTTCTCTCTTTCTTCGCACCTCAGGGGCTCACCATTTGTGTTCTTGTCGCTTCCTTGTTTTCTCATTGCAACATTCTTTCATTCAAGTTGTTTTATGCACTAAAAAATAAATTTTTTTCTTATATACTTTCTCTGGAATTTTTGTTAATTATGCGGTATTCAACCAATTTTTCTGTATCGTTTTATCAATTTCACTTTCATGTTTCCTCGTTTTTTTCTAAATTTCTTGAACACAATGTCAGTATTTAAGGTACATAAGCTTCTTCTTTTAAACCTAAAATAATTATTAACATCTTTTCAAAATTTATTTTTTTTTTGAGCAGGTTTTTGAGTATTTATGCATTTCTTTATTTCTGAAGATATTTTTCAAATAAGAGTCTAGCAAATTAATTTAAGTTATATAATTGTCAGATTCTCCGCTGTCGTCAAGTCTGACGTCTTCGCCGTGATACGGATAATACGTTTAATCCTACATCACTTTTTGGCTTATTTTTATTATTTGTCTTAGATTCTTTTTCAATAGTTCTTCTCTTGTTAGCTGAACAGTGAAAAGATAATTGAATCGCCTTCAACTCAATTTTGATGAAATCCTGCATCTATTTCAAAACACTGGCTCTTTTTATAACAATTTTCAATAAAATTCGCTTTTCTGACACCAATGCTACTTTATTGCGCTTAAAAATGTTTTTTTTTCCGGTGGTCCACCAATATCTGAATGAGCTATCCGCCTTTCATTCCGGATCAACCGTCCTCATCAACAACAGGATTCAACGCGCCGCAGTTGAATCGACCGAAGTATTTTGTCTTTTTGGTTCTATTCCAAAATCTTCTTTCAGTACCGGCTTCATTTCGTTCAACCCTTTCCCAGCCGGCTCAAGTAAGGACTTTTCTCGTTCATTTATTTTTATTTAATAGTTGTCGTTTCTTTAGATGGAAGCTCACAAGATTACTCAACGGACACTGACTCCGGGAATCCTCAGAAAGTAGCGAATTTTTCTTATTAAAAAAAAGTGATCAAGTTTTCAGGTTATGCGGGGTTTGACCAAGTACATTGAAAGCTTTAAATATCCGTATATAAATGATGTATCTGCATATGAAAAGCTGCAAAAAATCGGTCAAGGCACATTTGGGTTAGTATCCTCCTTGGGAGTTTTCAAAAAGATTGATCATTTTTTCAGAGAAGTTTTTAAAGCGCGGTGTAAACGAACTAATAGGATAGTGGCTTTAAAGAAAATATTGATGGAGAATGAGAAAGAAGGAGTGAGTTATACAGTGAACGAACTCTTTCATCACCTTTTTTTTAGTTCCCTATCACCGCGTTGAGAGAAGTGAAAATGCTACAGCAGCTAAAACACCCAAATGTTACTGATCTCATAGAAGTTTGCAGCTCTAGATGTGGGTTCTCCCTTTTTATTTTCCTATCTTTTCTATTTGTCTGTTCAGCTTCTCAGAACAAGAAGGATCACTCGACGTTTTATCTAGTTTTTGCCTTTTGTGATCATGATTTGGCCGGTCTTCTTGGCTCGAACAAAGTCAAATTCGAGCCCGTTCACATTAAAACTATGATGAAGGTTTCTTTCCTCATTCGCCTTTTTCTATATGGGATGTTTTTCAGCACCTTCTGAGCGGTTTAGACAAATTGCACCGGATGAAAATTTTACACAGAGATATGAAAGCCGCGAATATTTTAATATCACACGAAGGAGTTCTGAAATTAGCTGACTTTGGGTTAGCACGACCTTTTATCGTTAGTGAGTAATTTCCATAGGAATTTCTAATGAATATAATTTGCAATTGTTCAGGTTCTGGTCCTAATCGTCAGTTGTACACGAACCGCGTCGTAACATTGTGGTATCGGCCTCCGGAACTGTTATTAGGTACGGAATACAGTTCTTTAACGTGAAATTCAAGTATCTCAAAGATGTGTTTTCTCTGAAAATTAAGATTTCCCGTTCTCGAGTTCTATATTCGAATCACTCAGTTTTCCAACTTCTTTTATTGAATTGTTCATATCATAATCGTGTGTCTCTTGTTTCACTCAAAAAAATTAGGAGATCGACAGTACACGACGACGATCGACGTCTGGGGCGTCGGCTGCATTATGGCGGAGATGTGGACGCGGACGCCAATTATGCCGGTAGAAACTGTCAAAATTACACGGGTTGAGTTGGACGATTCAGGGAGAAACTGAACAGAAACAGCTTCTTCTCATCACGCATCTTTGTGGATCCATCAATAAGGAGGTTTGTTTAGGAATCTTCATGGATAAGCCCAAAATGTTTTTTTCGGGATATACACTGCTCCACATAATTATTTATCCACCTGAGATTTTTCAAAAAATCGAATATTTTGAGAGTTTCTGAAAATCTTTTTGTTGTCAAAAGATGGGAATTTTGAGCAGATTAATATAACTATCAACAAAATTCCTATTGAAAAATAAACGTGTTTAAGAATTTCAATTTTTCAAAAAAAAAAACCGAATTTTCCGTTCCACATAATTATATATCCACCAAGGACTTTAAACTTTTCGAACCACTTTTTCCGGTTTTTTGTATCAGTTATCATTTTTTTTCAACATTATCGTTTGAAAATAAGAAGAATAAGAGCAAAAAGGTTTTCGAAAAAGTGGAGGAACCTTGGATTTGATCAGAAAACGGTCGCGGTGCTGTTCATTACATCAGCTACTCTTGAATCGATTATGATGTGAATGTTTTTATTTCATAAGTACCTTTGTACTTGGGAGACCCAATTTAGGTTCAAAAAACTTCGGTAAGGTATTTCTTTGCATTGAAAAGAGGCAGTTTTCCGATAACATTTACGAATTTTTGCAGTTTTGCCAAAAAATAGGAAGCCTAAAATGTCTTCGGATCATTTCTGTAAACTTTTTCTGAGATAAAACTGAGTAGCTGATGTAATGAACAGCACCGCGACCGTTTTCTGATCAAATCCAAGGCTCCTCCACTTTTTCGAAAATTATTTTGGAACGATAATGTTGAAAAAAATTTTTTTAAAAAACATTTATTTTTTTCAATAGGAACTTTGTTGATAGTTATATTAATCTGCTCAAAATTCCCATCTTTTGACAACAAAAATATTTTTAGAAACTCTCAAAATATTCGATTTTTTGAAAAATCCCAGGTGGATAAATAATTATGTGGAGCAGTGTAGTTTATTTCGGTCATACCTCGTTTAATTTATTTCCCGCTATCTCGTTTTCCTTTCGATGAATTTATTTAGTTCGTTTAATTTTTCATGCTAAACTTTATTTTATTTTTACAGCGTTTTGAATGAATATTTCCTAAATAATGACTAATCATTGAGTGACCTTTGCATTTTTTTGAATTTATTAATGTGTACCTTCCATAAAAAAATTATTTCAATAAAAAGTACGTTGGTTAGACCGAAAAAGAAAGACAAATTGTTCAATTTTTTTGAAATTTATATTTTGCGTGCCCTGGAGAGTTAGTAGGATTTAGATCTATTTGATTTTGATTAAAAATTATAATCGTTTTGAAATTTCAAGGTTTGGCCAGAAGTTGACAAATTGCCGATGTTTTTCCGCAATGGAACAGTCTCTACCGCAAGGCCGGAAGCGAATGTTAAATGAACGGTTAGGAAAAATTCGTCAAGGTTCGTTTTTTTGAAGAAATTTAAAAAAAGTTTATTTCTTACCATTTCTACCATTCTTTCATGCACGTTAGGAAAGGGAAGGTTAAATATACGAAAGATGAAAAAAACTGTCTCGGAATCTGAATGCAGTCTGTGATAAACGCGAAACTAGCTGTATATAAAAAAATCGTAGATATGATCTGTTTAATGAATGTATCTAGGAGATAAATTATTCCATGATCTTCATCTTCCAGATGTATCAGAAACTATATTTCTTACAAAAAGAAAAAATGCAGGGGGGCGAGGCGTTATATAGTGCCAAGAAAGAAGTAGTCGTAGATTATGAAATGTTTTAAAGGAAAGGAGGAGTTTAGAGAGTAGAGTTATGGTACACGGTAGAACATTCTAGAGTCTTGAAGATTTTCTCCTGGAAGGGAGAGAAGTTTGCAGAAGAACTCAAAAAGATCTATTATGGTTTAGAAAGTTTTTTTGAACGATGTGAAATATTCCAGAAGCTAAAGGTTACATTGATATGGTAGGAGTTTTATGACGTGATAAATGCGAGAACTGTGAAGAAGATTCTGGAATAATATAGAAAGACTTATCTAGTTATCATGAAATGCTATGTATAGAAATGTTTATGATCGAGGAGAGTTTTAACGAATCTTTGTACTTTAAAAGCGTTTCGAATACTTTCATGGATCACTTTTGATTTTGAGAAAAAGATCTATTTGAGGACGAATTCGCTATGCAATTACTCGATGAACTTCTCACATTGGATCCGTCAAAGCGGCTCACGGCGGAAAAAGCCATTTATCATGATTATTTTTACAAAAACCCTCAGCCTCAAGAGAATATCGCCGACCTCATGAAGACTATCACGGTTCGTTTTTTCTTTTATTTAAGATTAATTCTTTTCTTACAATCTCGGTTTTCAGACGTCGCAGTTCGAGTACACGGCGGGACAAGGAGCGCACGCAAATCGCAAGCCGCAGCAGCCGCGACCGCATCCGCAACGCAATCAGCAGCAGCAGAATGTCCCTTCCGGACAGTACCGCGACATGATCTTTTAACCACACTTTTCTTTGTACGATTGTTAGGTTCCTAATCTTGCATTATCTCGAGCACATCATACAACACCCTCATCATCTGTAATAATTGTTGCATTTTTAATCAATAAATTTTATGAAATCTTAGTATTCTTTCATAAGAAAATGACAGGCAAAGCCATATCACACCGACTTTTTTTTTCAGTCATTCAGTCAATTTTTAATTTCTTTTTTCTTTCAAAAATAAGTTGATGTAGCGTTTCAATTTTTTGTTCATGTAGCTTTCAAATTTCGCTCTAGCGGAGAGATCTTATATCATCGCTTCTAAAAGCCGGCAAAAGAGCTTGGGTAGCTGATTAAAAGTTTAGTTCCTAAAACAAACAAAAAAGCTTGACAAATTGAAGTTCAATCGCCATCATTTCAAGTCGTATGGCACTTACGAACGAGTTCTAACTCGAACCATGTTGCGACGACTCAAAATAAAAGTTTTTTCGATTCATCGGAAAAGTCGGAAAGGGTGAAAAAAGGCTCGATAGAAATGTACTCTTAGGGGACAAAAGTACTTTTTTGCTGCCTTTTCTGAGCCTTTTCCTTTTTTAGCGGCCATTATCCACCATTCTGACTTTGCCCCAGTGTCTTGATTCAACTTTGAAACAAAAGTCGAGGGTTGTCTTACTGGAATCAGAAGATCTAAGTCTATACTTCACTTAAATTTTATCTGAAGTTTGTTCGTGCAAAACACTTTCCTTGTCAGAGGCCTGTCATTTCCAAACTTGTTTTTGCTTGACGGGAGCTTTGTCAACGAATTCTGTGATGTTAGATGTTTAGAACGTTTCGTCGCCGTGGGAAACCGACGGTTCCCTGTGTGCGAGGCGATCTTACGACGTTTCAACGCTCTGAAAACCGAGAAATCGACCTCCAGAATCCTTATCAGATGTTATCAGTGTTGTTTCGTTGCAAGAGCGCTCGATTTCGTCGCTACTGGACCCCACGTGCCGCTCCAAAAACCTCTGAATACACGTAGGCCAGTTTCTATTTTCGAGTGGCTTTGTCTTTCTTCGGAGTTGATTTTTGATGATGATGACAAAAATCGTTAGTATTACAACTTCTCTTCCCCAATGGGTAAAACTAACTATCTTCGATATGATCTTTGGCTTTTATGGGCCAATAATGACTACGTCTGTGATTTATAGTCTTTTAACTAAGAAAAAACATCGAACGAATGACGGATTATTTGAGAAATACTTGAAAAAGTAGTGAGAATATTCAACGAGTATGAACGTGTTTTTGAACAATCGGAAAAAGCTTCATTTGAGAGAAAAATTTCTACTGAAGTGATGGTTATTTAGAAAAAAAGAACTTGAATCCCCCGAAGATGAGAAGATTTTCCTATAAACTTAGAAAATATTGGTAATGAAAAAAATTTTTTTCAGATATATTCTGAAAAAAATTCTTTATAAAAATTTTATTCTTTATAAAAAATTTTGGTCAGTCTAAGAAATGTGGTTGTGATTTTCTTTTCACGAAGTAGTTTTCCTGAAAACAACGTTTTCACCGATTATCTCACGATAATTTCACAGTGCGAGGAGAATTTCGTCATCATGATCTATCCTCTCATTGACAACAAATAACGACGTCCTCAGACCGTCGAAATCATCTTTTATTTTTAGAAGTGTGAAGTCAATGGAGACTTCGGAATCTAGAATTTTCAAGCTTTAGTTTTTGAAACAGAGAAAATTTATAGATATTTTTTTTTTTGAAAAGAAGTTGGATTGAGATGGGGCAGAACCTTCTTTTAATTCGAAATTTCATCTTTCTTCCGTCTTCTTTTACCTGGCAATACTTTGAACAGGTATTGTGAGCCGATTAAAGTCGGGGAAGAAAAGAAGATCGATTAAAAAAAAAAGGCTTTAAATCTGGTCTTGTTACTTTATTATCGCAATTGCTTCAAAAAATGAAAGGAGGCTAGAAGTAAATTGAATTTCATTAGAAGAGGTTCGAAAGATTTGAAATGACGAATCAAATCAATAAGTTCAATCACATGGGCCAGAACCACGGCTTTCCATTTTCTTACAGAATATTGCACAGCTTTTTATTTAACCTGTTAAAAATTTGTTGAATGAGTATTCAAAAGTTCAAAAATCTTTCCTGGACGTGTAGGACTCACATATCTTCACCCTCCCCCGTTGAAAAAAAGCTTACCCAAAGCTCGGCTTCAATGCCTCTGAAGGATCAGCAACTGTCTCTCAACAGATATTTTCAAATTTTATTATCGATTTCAAAAAAAGATTGACAGGAGGAACGAGTTTTCTTTCAGACCACGTGGGAATATTACATCAGAATCTGATCGGTCTGACCGAAACCACGCCCCTTTTGTGCCGACCACCGGCGCCGCCTCCGCAGTCCGTCATTTCGGCACATCAACTCTCCTAAACCTTCTACACCTCTCAGAATGGTAATTTCAGCTTTTTTTTCGAAGTTTGACAGCTCTTATAGATTTTAAGCCCTAGAAAGTACAAAAAAGCTTCTTATCGATTGTTTTCTTTATGATGGTTGAGCAGAGCTCTCTGACAGAAATAAATTATCAATTATTGGTTTTCCCTTGGAAGATGTAACATCTTTTCAGCTGAAAGTTTCGAGATTTGACGAAAAGTTTAAAAGGAAATCTTTGTGATAATTGAACGTAAACTTCTTTTTTTATGCTCCATTTTTTTTGATTTCCACAAAACATATCCTGAGATTATGTTCAATATTTTTGACTTATGAAGCTTGCCAATGTTCTAAAAATTGTTCGTTAAATTTTTCTTTTTACGTTCATTTTGTTCTAGTAGTTTTTTGAATATTCTGACATTGAAAGTTCAAAGAGTATATTTTTCTTTATTAGGTTTTCCTGGCCTTTTTTGTTCTAGTTGTTGTCTAATTTTACATTTTCAGACGACTTTCGACAAAGGAGAAAAGCCGGAAAAGGGAACATTCGTCGCTTTCGACCACATCCGATTCCTCGTCGGAAACGCGAAACAGGTATCAACTTCGTTTGAATTTCGATTCTCCTCTCTTTGAAAAATTCTTCATATTTCCTATGTTGTTCAAAGAGTCACCGACTACTTTTAGTCTTGAGGCAAAGAGCCGTTTTTTGTTTCCAGTCGGAAGAAATAAATAATATTTCGTCGATTTCAAAAAAGTAAAGACTTCTAAAAAACAGTGTCCTGATTAATCATTAGGAACGACAAAAATTCCACGTCCGACCATCAAATTGTCACTTTTTGGTTATCAGCTCCTTATCAGCACTGTTGTTTTGCCAAAGGAGTCGATTGATATGTGGCGCGATTCTTGGAAAAGTTGCCACGTGATACATTTTCTGAACTGATGAAAATTGAATATTCAATTTCTAGTGAGGAAGTTTTTGTAAAGAGACTTGATCAGACCATTATAGGTCAATAATGACGCAAAAAGTAGAGATAAGATCGGAAATCAGGTCAAGTGACGTCAGTAGATTTGAGGCAGGGTTGAGAACTGCCGAGGAGAGCCACGATCTGGACTCTGGAAACTTTGGAGATTGGATACTTCACAGAAAGTGTTACAGGCAGCCTATTGGTACTGTGCCAATTACGGATTCGAGCCGTACGCCTACAAAGGACTCGAAACTGGAAGCCGAATCACTGCGCAGCACGCCGTTCGCCAAAACAAGGTCATTTACAGGAACGAACTTTCTCCAATTTCTAAAATTCATGAGTAGCTTGTTTTTCGTGAGAAAAGTAGCTCGATTTATAGAGATAGCGACATATTGAAGTGTAAAAAAGAGGTTTTATCGTTTTATGTTGTTGTGTTTTTATCTTTTTGCTCTGAGATAACTGATTCTTGTTATTAAATCTTATCCAAATTATTTGAGAATAAGAAAAATTGATAAACTGCAAGATTCGCAGAGAGCTAGACTTTTTTTAAAAACTTCAATCAAGTGTTGATTTGATGTTAGTTTGATCAAAAAAGAAACGCTAGCTTTGAGGGAACAGAAAAACTTTCGGGAACCTCTCATTCCATGTAAAAAAAAATAGGTTTGAACTACTTTTGAGTATTTAGTTAACGGGGAATTTTTAAAAATTAGAGTCAATTTTCAGGAGTTTATGAGTAATAAATAGGCAAAAAAAAAACAAAAAGCAACAGAAAAATCTAAGTTAATCGTTTTAGTAACAACTATACCAGTTTTTCCTTAATCCATGCAGTTCCAAAAATAGAAATATATATGGTGTTATACCGTAAAAGACATACCAGTTCTTATTGTCTGATTTGAAGAAGCTATTCAAGATTGTGGAAAGAGTTGGATCTTCTGCAACTCTAAAGAAAACTTTTTTCAGATCATCTTCGTGTTCGAGTCGGCTCTTTTGCCTGACAACAAGGAACTCGGCGATCATCTGGTGCGGCACGGCGACGGCGTCAAGGACGTCTGCTTTGAGGCAAGTTCAATTTTCATGATGAATTGACTCATTTCTTCCGCAGGTCGATGACTTAGACGCAATCATCGATTACGCAAAAAAGGCTGGAGCCAAGCTCATCCAGGACGTCACCGAAGAGAAGGACGAAAACGGCGTCGTCCGCTTCGCAACTCTCAGAACTGTTGGTTCTTGATTTTTTTTTTTTCGAAACTCGAATTATCAAACTTTTTCAAAAAACGATAACTCGAAAAAAAACCGAAAACAGACAATTTCTTTCGTCTTTATGTTTTCAAAGAGTTTCGAAAATTAAAAGTCTAATATAGAGATTTTGATTTTGGGTATATTCTAGAACTACTTTTTTGAACTATAATGGCCTCAGGAAACAAATTTTAAATCTTCGAAGTTTTGAGAGAGACTCCTCGAAGCTCTTGAGAACCCTTTTTAAATCTTTCAGATCGATTGGAGTTACTTTAAAGACTTCATGCGTTTTTAGTGTTATTTAGGGCATTGCAAAAACTTCTGAAATATTTGATTTGTGACGCATTCAGTCTAACAATTTGCTGGAAAGATCGTAAAAACAAAAAAAAAAACAGAACGTAAAACCAATAAGCGCGGTTTGAAATAAAGCTCTAGCGGTGAGAGAAAAAATGCGATAAAAGATACGCTCGCGCGCAAACCGCTCCGAGTCGGAGGCGCGTTGACATGGGGTAGCCGCCATTGGACGGCTCATAAACTTACCTGGCTGGGAGGATTTCGCGATCACGAAGGCGGAAACTCCATGGCGAGGCCTGACCATTGCACTTCTGGTCGGGCTGACCGGTGTGGCAGTCTCGAGTTGAGATTCGCCAACAGCTTAATTTTTGCGTGTGGGGTTGCGTTCGCGCGACCCCTGGAAGCTTGGAACTAATTCAGAATCACAGATGACGATATCATACTCGTCCAAAGCTAATTTTTTCTTGATTTTTCATTGATTCAGAAATATCAATAATTTTTTTATTACAGTATGGCGAGACGAATCACACTTTGATCGAACGCAAAAACTACAAAGGCACTTTTTTGCCCGGTTTCAAGCCACACACTCTATCGAAGGAATTTTTCCAATCTCTCCCCCGTGTGAGTTCATTATCAATCCGTTAGACTACTCATTGTTAACTTATTTGAATTTAGATTGATAATCAACATTTTTTTAGGTTGGTCTGAATTTCATCGACCACTGCGTTGGAAATCAGCCGGAGAATGAAATGGATTCTGCCGTCCAGTGGTACGAAAAGACGCTCCAGTTCCATAGGTTCTCATTATCATGAAAATTAATTAATTGAGAAAGTTTCAGGTTTTGGTCGGTTGACGATTCGATGATTCATACCGAGTTTTCCGCCTTGAAATCGATTGTCGTCACAAACTATGAAGAGACAATCAAGGCAATAATGACTTGGATTTTTCTAAATAACTTTCTACGATCTTATAGATGCCAATCAACGAGCCAGCTTCGTCTGGAAAGAAAGCTGTTTCACAGATTCAAGTGAGATCTTTTTGGTTTTCCAAGTCAAAAAAAAAAATGAATTTTTCGCATCACTAAAAACTTTGTTTAATCCACTATTTTTGAAAAATATAATTTCAGGAATACGTTGACTACTACGGCGGTTCTGGAGTCCAACACATCGCCCTCAATACTTCGGATATTATAACCGCAATCGAGGCTCTGAGAGCTCGTGGCTGTGAATTCCTGACAATTCCATCAAACTATTACGATAACCTCCGACAAAGACTCTCACAAGCTTCTATCAAAGTAAAAACTTGTTAATATCAAAAATATTCTCCATTTTATCAGGTTTCCGAAGACATGGACAGGCTACAAAAGCTACACATTTTGGTGGACTTCGATGAAAACGGCTATTTGCTTCAAATTTTCGGGTTTGTTTCCTTTTTCATCTTTCAACTCGCCGCCGCATCCAGAGCCCTTGAAGAGAAGAAGAGCTTTGGTGGCGTTGCAGTGTGTTGACAAGCACGCAGCAGCGTGGCGCAGTGGAAGCGTGCTGGGCCCATAACCCAGAGGTCGGTGGATCGAAACCACTCGCTGCTAATGTTTTTGTCTTTTTCTTTGGTTGCAGAAGTCTAGAACCTTTTTTGCATGACTCTCGTTTTGTTCTTCACCGATTGATTGATCTTTCAGTAAACCTTGTCAAGACCGACCAACATTATTCCTGGAAATCATCCAACGACACAATCACCAAGGCTTTGGAGCTGGAAACTTTAAAGCTCTCTTTGAGTCGATTGAGTTGGAACAGAATGAACGGGGAAACTTGTTCTATTCTGACGTCGAGAAAGGAGGAAAGAAAATCTAAATGTGCATTGTATGTGTACTGTCTTCTCATTTTTGTAAAACTCCGTTATGCCTTTTGACATAATAACCTCCATGTAGATCTTTTTTACGAGTGAATAAACGATTCTGCTAGATTTTTAGTTCAGAGAACGTTGCTCTTTGAAAAATTTTCAGGTCCACGTGGTTAATGGAGACTTCAGAAAGTCGGAGAGAGCAGTATATACAATTGTTTCCATATTTAGAGGCGGTCGCCTTCAAATGGCCGCACCGGAAATGACTCACGGCCAAAGATAAATATATACTGGGAGGTCCGTTCTGCGGGATCGCCTCGCTTCGCTGAATCCGTAGATTTTTTCTGTTGACCCCAGCTTTGAGTGGTTTTTCTCAGAGAAAGAAAAAACGGCTTCCAGGTGTGAAAAGGTTGCAAAACTGCTCGTTTAAGTTGTTATTTCCAGATTCTTCCGTTTTATGACGAAACCAGAAATATGGTTTATTTATGCACAACTTGAGCTCGGAAAAAGTCTAGATTCAGATTTCTGTTTATGAATATTTTCTATATGTGCCTAATGAATGACGCCGGTATCAGATAAGAGAGTACAGAAAAATCAGAATGATTCCATTCTTGACCACGGCTATTAATTCACTTTTCATACTTCTCAATTTTTAGATCTTCTACACTGGATGTTGGATCTGTCAATTGGAGACTTTCCTACGTCATCAAAAGTTTACAAAATTTCAGACCGCCGAGTTGAAAAACAAAAGACGGAAACAAAAAGCGCGATTCAAAAGGGCTTTCTGCATTGTTCTGAAAAGCAATTTGAGCAAGTAAAACAAAGTTCCGATCAAAAAAAACTTGAAATAAAAGTTTTTAAGTGTCGTGAAACTGCACACATCCATCCGTTCCACATGACTTTCGAGACAATAAAAAAGAAGTTGGGCGAAAAATGGAAAGACGAGGAAATGTTTGGCGGAAATTCAAACCCTTTTTTAACGCCTTTGCTGACGCAATTTCCTTCTGGTACTTTTCAACGTTTAAAAATATTTGACGTCAGAGCCACTTTAAGATTGAGCCAGAAAAAAGCTATTTTTACTGTGCAGATTGAAAAAAAAAGACATGACTCATCGGTGGCTACATTCATTAATTTGACGATCAGAAATGTTCCTGAATATTTTATAGCTATGATAAGTTCAGAAAAACTTTGGTCCAAAGCTTTCGCAGATCAGACGTTAGAGATGATACCGGCTATTTTTACCCTTGGAGCTCGAAAACGCCTTTTTGCAGCTTTAATTTCTGAGCTTTTTTTCAACTTCCGACTTTTTTTTTTTGATTTTGAAGTGTTCTGAGGAGCAGCCGGCTCGATAAATCTCATACTTTTTTCGCCGAAGATTTTCGACTTTACCCCGTCTACTAGGGAAAACGTAACGTCGTCAGAACTGGCCGTTACACCCACGTGTTTCACTGGAAATTGTGGCCAATTTGTCGTATTGGATGATGAGTCGCCTGAAATATGGCAATTGAAGCTTCTTTATTGGCTTTATGAGTGCAAGTCTAGTCAAACACGGGTAGGTAGACTAAAGAGCACTACATTTGTTTTCTTCCAGATCTTTGAGTATTGTATCATTCTGCATATTCATCCAGAGATCTCACTTAAAAAAAAATATTTTTAAGAAATTTAAAATTTTAAAGCTCTCGTCAATGTAATCTATGAACTTTCCCACAACACTCTTCCATCGTTACAGCGGGCTATATTCTATTTCGAGACTCTGCCTGACATGAGCAGCGTGGCGCAGTGGAAGCGTGCTGGGCCCATAACCCAGAGGTCGGTGGATCGAAACCACTCGCTGCTAGTCTTTTGGCGTCTTTTTCGAACAGACTCTTTCGAGAGGACTCCCTAAATAGTAGCTTTATGCCAAGTCCAAAAGTTAAATTTTCAAACTTAGAACTGGAAAAAAAAATTGAGAAGGAAGTCCCCCTATTTGACTTTCCTTTTCGTTTTATTTTTGTCTCTCATTTTATTGTGAATCATTTTCAAACTTTTTCTGTTAATTATTCTGACGGAAGATTTCTCACGCCACGCGTTCTTTTTCAGAATAGTCCTGAAGGTATTGCTGACCTTTGGAGAGAATGAACTGATCTATGCTATTTTTCGAAAAAAAAAAATTGAAAAAAAGAGAAAAGGATATCTCTTTTCAAAAAATTGTCTAATTTGAAATGCAGTGTTGTGCCAGGAATAGCTTTTTTTTCCTAATAATAATTAAGATTAGGAAGTGAGCGCATTTTTTCACTGTTTTCTCCCTTGGAAAACACAATGCTCACAAAGAGAAACGAACACGTGTGAATGGCCTCGCCACAAATTGGGATGCAGTTTTAATCTTCAAGGAGGCGAGGGCGGCCAGAAAAACGCCTCAGGGCTGGACCAAAAGCCGAATCCAGAAGATAGTCGTAGCGTCGTTTGTAAGTCGAAACGCCCACGCAATTTATTTCCATAAACGCTATCTTTTGGGCTCTTCTGCAAAAAAGTTGAACTCGATTCGAAACGGAAGCAAAAAAAATTGATGGTTTCGATCAGCTGACTGTCCGACTGTTAGACTGTCATCCGTATTTTGAATTAGACTGTTTTCTGCTCTCCACTGGGAGAATTTTGTGAGGATTGGTAGGAAAGAGCAGAAGAACCGTGGAGTTCCGTTAGAAGCGCTTGAAGAGCTCATAAATCCTCTTTTCAGCTACATACAAAATTATCCATAAGATTATTTCTCTTCTTCTGAATTAAAGTGAAATTTAACCAATACAGCGGAAGTTCTTATCATTGTTTTTTTTGAATCGCTCATTTACCGTTTCTTATAAAAAGTTGAAAAACTGAGAATTTTAATTACTTTAAAGAAAAAAATTTCCGTTGAACGACACCCCCACAAAAAAATCTTAAGCTCCGGTTACAAAAACAGCCTTCAAAAATTCTCTCTATCAAATTACACATTTTTCGCGCCAAAATGGCGATTTTATAGGTCAAGTAGGCGTCAAATTTCGGAAGTATTTTTTTGTTGTAACTCTATATATTCCTTTTCCGGGTTCGAATCAAGTTCTTGCGGAGGTGGCTTATTCAGTTTGATTCACAGGAACGGAGTTAACTTTTTTGAAATGAATCATCGGCTTTTTTTCTAGTTTCAATTAGAATTCTTCAATAGCTGTATTGAGTTATATTCGTTCTGTTTTTCCATTAATCGGATGCGTACTCAGTGCTATCCAGGTAAGAACTGAAAGAAAAAGAATTTTTTTGAAGCTGGTCAAAAACAGTTGATTAAATCCTAACTGTTATTTTGTGATCACACCTTCTCAAAGCTTGCGATTGAAATAGTTTTTAGCTGATTTCATATTGATCAGCCCAGTCTAACGATTTTCGATGGCTCCGCGCGCAAGTAGCTTAGAGTCGGACGCATCTGAAAGCCACAGTTTCGTAACGATTACTGTGCATTCTTCCAATATGCGACCTTGAGTTTACGAGTAAGCCTGGATTGGATGTAACTCACATTTTTATTTTTGCAGTCGCTTTTTTTTTTTAATTTCCAGAACAACATGAACTTTGGAAGTCGTTCGTAGGTAACTTTACTGTTTTGCTCGTTCTCAATGAACACCGAAGGAAATAATGTTGTATCTTTTGCGAAATGTCGGCACCAACCTAAACTCGTAAGTGTAGGCGGTTTTCAGAATTCGTAGGCGTGGCGTTTAAAACGATTTGCATTTTACTCGTTTCGGATCCGAGTCTGGGCCAATTTTAGTCTCAGACTTCAAGCGGTTTATTGATTAATGAAACCTTTTTAAAGCTTATAAGCCCTGAATTTTTCCTCTCTGTGAGTCCGTCTGAAGCTTCTAGCTTTTTTTAAACTTTGAAACTTCTGATTCTTGCTCCCAAAAGTGACGACACTCAAACTTGATGTAAAACTACCGTTTGGCGGAAGTTTCGTCGCATCCGGATGGGACATTTGAGTCTTTCCCTTGGTGTGGACATTGGTGTTCTTTCCGAGCGCTGTTCTTTTTTTTTTTTGATTTCTCGGTTCAACACGACCTTCTGTCTCTGATTTAGGCGATCTCTAGAACTGTTTGACGTGGTTTGTGGATAAAAACAAAAGTATTACAGATTTACAGGTTGTAATCTCGTTTTCATAGTCTTGCGCAAATGTGTGATTTTGAATTATAATGCGATTTTCAATAATTAAAGTTTTTAGTATATTATATATATTAGGATTCAAATAAACTGGATAGTGAGGTGATGTATACCGCAGTGCAAACATTTTGACCTATTCATTAGTTTCGGTACCAGTAACATTGGTTTTAAAGAATTTTTCCGTTTTCGCATCCGTTCATACTATTGTTGCGGTCATAGAGTTCGTTAAACAAGAAGAAATCAAGGATTGTCTTCACGCTATCAGCTAAAAAGAAGAGATTCAGATGTCCCTCAAGGCTTTCTCCGAAGCGGGGATTCGAAGTCGTCGTATCTATTCTACAGCTTTTGAGATCCTCATTCATCTAACGGTAGATTATATAAGCTGTCTAATTCAGCGTGCAAACAACAATAAACTAATTGTTCAGCCTTAATTTGGATACAACTAACCTCATTTTCAACGTCGCGCGACCTCAAATAAACCCAAATCGTCACTGGAATGCCAATCAGTTTCTCTTTTCTCAATTACTTGCATTTTCCATGTGGTTGATTTTTGAAGAGGTCGTCCACGGAAGTCTGAAAATCCGTGACGCAAAGCTCAAGGTGGGCGGAGCCTTTGTGTGGAATGGCTTTGGGCGGACGTCTGAAATATTTATCGTCGTACCTATTGAGATCTCTCTATTTCTGTTTTCATTCTAATGGTTTTGGAGCTTTGTTGTCTTATAAGTTGATTCATGCGAATCCAAGTGATATCAGAAGTATAGGTCAGAATTTCCACGTACTCGAAGTGCATGCAATCAATAACTTTTGGGGATATTTTTGCTGCTTCTGTTTGTTTATTTTTTCTCGTCTACAAGTTTTTTTTTGAATTGACGCACTTGCCTTTAAACATCTATTAAAGGAACGTTTTTCAAAGGAGCCTCAAAAATGTTTGTTTAATGAAAAAAAAGGACATTTAAAGCATTCGGAGTCCTTATCAGGAAAATATTGTGCGAGTCATAAGTTCCTTTTTTTTTTGCCATTAGAACTTCCATTTTTAGACGTTGTCATATCTCGTTCTAGCCAAAGAGCACTATCCGAGACAAAAAAGAAAGTTTCACCTGGAATTACAATTTTTTTGTTTGAAATTAAGTTCAAGGCAGGGACTTTTTTTGTTGGAATCTCCAGCCGAGGAACTCCATCGTAGGAAGAAGTCTGGATCGTGGCAATTCGAGAAAAAAAAGGGGTCAACTGTCTTGAATTTCACATCATTCACGGAAAACAGGAAGAGGCATAAGATGAAAGACGAGATTTTCAAAAGACCAACACAGACTCAATTATTTTTTTTCCTCGTCTGTTCCACCACCATTTTTCAGTGACTCTTTTGCCATGTAGCGCCATTCTTTCAAATAATTAGACATTTCGAGTTTCTTTTATGGAAATCGGGATGTTTTTAGATGAAATTTCGGAACAGTTGAGTTCTTCCCATAATATTAATTATGACAAAGGGCTATAGTGGAAAAAAACTATTTTATCCTCATTTATATATTTCGATAGCTTTTCTTGTTGATCTCGCTGTATATGTCTTATCAGTTATTCTTGGTAATAGTTGCATTTTTTGAAACTTTTCTTTGTTTAAGAACTTTTTAAACATTCTCCAAAAAATGCAAAATCTAGCTACGCTTCAAGGGGTCGTTCCTGCGTTCGGCGTACACTCGTTTGCAGATTTTTCAATAAAAAGAAAAGAAGTTTTGGTTTTCTGGCTTCTGCCTGGAATTTATGCCTGAAGTCCGTTGTCATTCTTCTTCTTCTTCTCCTTCTTCTTTGTCTTCAGAATCCACTCACGTCACCGACGTACTCTGCCGTGTAATGAGAGACTTCAAGGGGTCAATTTCCACATGTTTCAATGTTTGTTTGTTCTTCCTGTGGATTGGAAGATCACGCAACTGAGGCGGGGCTTCTTCGGCTTTTTAAAATAATATTCTGCCGAGTTTCGGAAAGTTTTTCGAGTTTCCCTTTGAAAAACTTTCATCTATTGTCAAATATTAGTGCTGTGACTACTGGATTATTCACTACAAACAAACTTTTGACTTTATACATATGTAAGTTGACATTTCATTTTCAAATTTTTAACTCTTTCTTTTTTCTTGTTTTATATATCTGTCCTCAGTTCTTTTTTTTCCCGGAAAGTCATCAAAACTCAACTATATGAAAATGAACTAGAAGACATTACTCAACAAAATAAAAAAAAGTTTAGAAAATATCAGAAAAATACTTGAATAGCATGAGCTTTCTCCAACACTCTTATTGAAAACTGTCATTTTCTTTCAAACCTTCCTTTACTCGCAAATTGTTATCTTTATTAATCTGATTATTTGATACTGTAAATATTGATGAAATAAACGGTCAGAAATAATTCCAATTGCAGATGTTGTTGGTTTCGCTGTTGAGCTTGGTGGCCGTCTCTTTCGCGATGGAGATCACGCGAAGGCCCCTGCGAACAAGTGAGCCTTAACTCAAAAGTTCGATTTTTTTTCAAACCTGTTGAATTTTCAGACGACCTCGAATTGGGCCCCGAGTTCGGATTGCCTCTGGCGTCCGAGGAGCTGATCCGAGAGGCTGACCGGCTCAGCAAACGAGGTATCACTTTCTTCTGAGAACGAAAGTAACTTGAAAATAATCTCACAAATTATGATTTTCTAAGCAGTATTATCTAAAAAAATATAAATTCTGTTGAAAGCGCGCAAGTCTCGAACTCAATCAGTTTACTAAGAGGGATTGGTTTTCGTATTAATTTTTTTTTTTGGATAGATAAGGTAAAAAAAAAGTTTCACTCTCAGGAGGTAATACTGAGCTAGAAAATTTTAAGAGAAAAGTTGGGCGACCTTAAAAAAATGGACTGCGTATGTATTTCTGTAGCTTCACGTTTATTGCACAGATAATCAAAGAGGTTGAGTGAACGGTCATGTCTTTTGCTACGAAGTTTGGTGAAAGTGATTGAAGAAAATGGTTTGAGGCGTGGATCCGATGAGTATCCCACGGCTGGTGAAGGAGCCGCCGTTGAAGAAGCGGAGCGACCTGTCGGAGAAGCGCGGCGACGCCGCCGTCTATCCGTCCGCCAGCAAACACACCGTCCCGCTGATCCGCATCCGAGAACCGCCTCTGAAGCGACAGTCGTGTGAGTTCTTTCTCAGGAACTCTCATGCTGGCCAGGTGTCTCAACGGGTTTACCCGTATTAAACCCGTGTTTTTGAATCTCAGTTGTGCTTGGTGTATGAAAAACGACGGGTGTAAGAAGAAATAGGTGACCCAGCTGTATTTATTTCGAAAATCTGTAACCCAACTGTGCTAAAGCTGTGCATCAGCTATTATAAAAATTGCCAAAATTTCTACCCTCTGGGCCTACATGAGTTTAATACGGGGACACCCGCTGAGTTAGCACGACTGGGCTACCCTCATAAGCATGAGAGAAAGGCCAGGTGAAAGGAGCAAAGTCCTGACGAAAATTCTTTTTTATTAACATTCATTTCAAAAACATCGTTGTTAATCCAGGGACGTTCTTATTCTTCGTTAGAAGAACTATATGGTTTAAGGGGAATTGTGAAAAAAACTAAAATTCTATAAATTTGTCTGGAAAATCTATCGTTTGCAGTAACACTACACGATTTGGCACAAGAAGTTTCTTCGAAGGAGGACGCCTATAAGTATCTCCAAAAAAGATTCTCCGCGCCTTATTCCCGGTTCAGGTTTGTTCTAAACCTGTTGGAAAGAAAAAAAGAAGATTATATTCAGGTATAGAACGCTTCGGGAGCCCACGTATGTTGACTGGTAACCGATATTCTGAGCACCAGGACTTCAAAAACAACAGAAAGAGATGAGAAAAGAAGCCACGATTTCTCGAAACCACCAATCTCAAATGATTCGCCAAACATAGTGTTCTTTGGGTACCAACTATGCTTTTCTTCCTACTTTTGTACATTTTTTTTCTTCATCGCTCGAGTGGATTGAACGGAATAAACATATGACAGTTTGCGCATTTTTCTCTACAGTCATTCGTTTATAACTGATGTGAAACCTGTGAAAACGTGCATGAGCTAATAAAGTATTTCTGAAAACATAAAAAGATGAAAATTATTCGTGAATCACAATTAATTTGGTATTTTCCTTTCGATACTTATCAAATCAAAGAAAAAGAAGCCGACGTGACTCAGGTACGCGGATCGAGTTCAAACTTTCGTGGTTTATAGACCTAAGTGAGAATACTTGAAAACGAGAGAGAATATCTGCTAAACCCAATAGAGAACCGAGAAAAAATTAGTTGAAAATGTGAAAATTAGGCTTGAAAATTTTCAGAGTACTGCTTTTCACCTTTTTTTCATATTTTAATACACTCGCCTTGGATGATCCGGCTATGATACACTCTAAAAAACTTTTTTCCAGTCAAAAGAAGGAGAAAAGCAGAAATTTGATAATTTTCAAGCCTTAATTGTTCATTTTCAAAAAGCTTTTTCTCAGAAGCCTATGGGGTTTCGCAGATAATCTCTCTTGTTTCTAAGTACTCTTACCCGGGTCTATGAGCCACCAAAGTTTCAACTCAAACGGGTACCCGAGTCCGAGTACTCGCATGCTGAGCAGGTGTCTCAACGGGTGTACCCGTATTAAACCCGTGTTTCTGAGGTTATTTTAGTCTCAGTTGGGCTAAAACGGGGGAACAACGGGTGTTAGAAAAATAGGTAACCCAGCTGAGCTAAAGCGGGGTCTCAGTTGGGCTAAAAAGTGCCAAAAGTTCTATCAGCTGGGCTTATACGGGTTTAATACGGGGGCACCCGCGGAGACCCCGTGTTAGCACGGCGGGGTTACCCTGCTCAGCATGCGAGTAGTTCCCTAGTCAGTCAAATTTCAATTATTTTGCGCGGGAATTCAAAAAAGCGAGCATGCAAACTTTCGAACGTGTGTGCTCAGAAAACACATTTTTCTTACGCGCATTTTCACCTGCAACCTCCGATTTTCGCGCTCTCAAGTTTTTGGTATTCTTTTTTCAATTCGCTTGTTCGTTTTCATGTTAAATAGATGATATGAGTCAAATACGCTTAACATCTGAGTGATGAACTGTTTTTTTAGTGATGAGTTTTTAAATGGGTGTTTCTTCTTGAATAGTCGATTAAAAGGAAGTGTGAAAGGGAAGTAGTGTTACGAAACTCCAAATCTCTTTTTAAATATATTTTTCTAGTTTGTAACGAAATTCAACCTGCGGAAGATATCCTCACCATCGCAAATTCTATACAAAGAGATCTATTCTCTTCGAATTTTTACGTCACGCGAGCACATCAATAAGGTGCAGCGGGCAGACGACGCGAGCGGCCGAGAAACCTTTCTTTGACTGATATCTCATCATTTAACCATTAGCACTCAGATTTAGAGCGTGAGTTAACATATCTTTTTGTCGCTGAGAGCCTAATTAGCAGGAATTTTTCAGTTGACGAAGAAAAGTATTGATTAACGTTGGCCCCGAGGAGTTTTTCCGTTTTTTTTTTGGAGAGATTTATTGAATGACACAAAAAGTGTCTTTTTCACTTAAAAGGTTTATAAGATTATTGTTTCCTGTCTGACAAAAAAACAATCTGATGTAATGAGAAGCTTGACTAATTTTTTTATGGAATAACTAAATACGGCTTTCACGTTTTTCTCTATCTATTTAGTAATTTCTGTAGATTTTCTTTTTTTAAAGGAAAAAAACGATCGAACCGTTAAATTTCAATGATTTATTCGTTGTAGTTAATAAGAAGACGTCGACGCTTCGAAGTTTTTTTATTCTTCTCTTATGTGAATCTTATTGAATTACAGAAGTAACTTTAAAAAGTCCTATTATGTCGATGGCTGGAGAGGAATCTGGTGACGATTCTCTTTACCCTATTGCCGTACTCATCGATGAGTTGCGAAACGAAGACGTCACTCATCGCCTAAACAGTATTCGCAAGGTTTTCTTTGCAAAAATAAGTTTTGTAATATTTCAAGTTCAGCTTTCTACCATTGCTTTGGCGCTAGGAGTTGAGAGAACCCGAAATGAGCTCGTTCAGTTCTTGACTGGTTTTTTTTCCCTTTGAAATAAACTTAAATATTGCTTTAGACACGATTTATGACGAAGATGAGGTTCTTCTTGTGCTCGCCGAGCAACTCGGAAATTTCACACCTTTGGTTTGTTATCTGGTTTATGAATGAGCGATGAACACAAAGCTATAATTCATAATTATTTTTCTTCTTCCTACGCCTTTGTACCGCTTGAGCGGCGTCGGCGCCTCAAGTCGATGAGCCGAGGTCCTATCATGATATCAGTGGACTGGCTCCAGTGACATATCCGTCCTTGTGTGTGACGGCTGGGGATTATGAAGCCGTGGTTTCCCACTACCAAAATTTCTTAAACCCCTTCGTTGGGTCGGGGCGGGGATCGAACTTGTGACCCTGTGGACCGTAGGCAGGCACACAACCTGTTGCGCTACGGCGCGCCCAGTTCATGATTATTTTTGAAAGAGAAAAATCAGTTATCCCTCTTCAGTTGAATTTTTTTCCAAGTTTGAATTATGTAAAAATTTTTCGCAGTGGAAGATTTTACTTTTTTGATTTTCTGTTGCAAGTATTTGTGTTAAACTTTTTTTGGAGTGAAGAAAGGTAAAAAAAATTTTGAATTTAAGAATGTTGCGAAATTGATTGACTCTGGATTTACGAGAGAGCAGCATCAAAAAATTTATGTTACCATAGAAGTCCAATATAAAACTTTCTTAAACGATCAGTTCACTAATTGTTTCAACTTAGGTTGGAGGCCCCGACTACGTTCACTGTCTTCTGCCACCATTAGAGAACCTGGCGACGGTGGAGGAAACTGTCGTCCGCGACAAGGCGGTCGAAAGCCTCCGCAAAATCGCCGACAAGCACAGTACGGCCGCCCTCGAAGAATACTTTGTTCCGATGCTCAAGCGTCTTGGAAACGGTTTTTTTTTCTCTAGTATTGAAGACAACTGATTTAATCTCAGGCGATTGGTTCACGTCCAGAACCTCGGCCTGCGGACTTTTCTCCGTCGCCTACCCACGTGTCAGTCCAGCGCTCAAGGCTGAACTCAAGACGTAAATTGGATCAAGTGAATGAAAAACGCCATTAAAAACTTCAGTCTGTTCCGTACGCTTTGCCGCGACGACACTCCGATGGTCCGCCGCGCCGCAGCTTCCAAACTCGGCGAGTTCGCCAAGGTCTACGATAAAGATGCCCTCGTCGACGACCTTCATGGCAGCTTCTTGGATTTGTCCGTTGACGAACAAGTTGGTGGATGGAAAATGAACAGAACCAGTGGCTCATGTTAAGGACTCGGTCCGCCTTCTCACTGTCGAGGCCGCCATCGCGTTTGCTTCGTTGTTGAACTCGGAAGACCGTACCAAGCTGGTCAAACCGATTCTGTTGTCTCTTTTCGACGACAAGAGTTGGCGCGTGCGTTACATGGTAGCCGAGAAGCTTATCGATGTGAGGAATAAATTAAAATTGGAAAAATAAAAGCTAGCAGATTTTAAAATTACTATCGAAATTATAATTTTTGATTATTAACGTTAAATTGTTCTATGTGGAAGAAATTTCTGAAAGCCTAGGTCTCCCCATATTTCCTTCTTCCTGGACTTCTTGTCCACTTTCATTAAGTTTCAGTTTAATGTATTTTAAACAACAGCTCGATAAAAAGAAATTTTCTTACATACTGAGCTCTGTTCAGGGAAAATGTTTTAATTCTCAGACACGAGTACTAAGCTTGACGGGATAAATGTAGGGAAAATGTATGAAAATACGTGTTCGGAACTTGTGGTGATAAAGGGAAGAGAACTTATTCAAAAAAATAAACATCTCAGATACAAAACGCTGTCGGAGAAGACATGACGGCCCAGGACCTGGTTGTCGCCTACACGAGTCTTCTGAAAGATCCCGAGGGCGAGGTCCGCTGTGCTGCCACGCAACGTCTTCAAGGTGAGCGCTTTCATCGATTTTCGCGGAGGGTCATCTGTTCACAGACTTCTGCGGTAACTTGAAGAAGGATTCCCGTCAGGAGCTCATCCTCAACCCAATTCTTCTCTATGTCAAGGAGCTGGTCAGCGACCCTAACCAGGTTATTTATTCATCAAGTTGAAATTATTTCATTTATTTTTCTTAAGCATGTCAAGACCGAGCTGGCCGGCGTCATCATGGGCTTGGCTCCTTTGATCGGCAAAGATCACACGATCAACGAGCTTCTGCCCATCTACATGCAGCTCCTCAAGGACAACACTCCCGAAGTTCGGCTCAACATCATCAGCAGCCTCGATCGGGTTTGCAAGGCGATGGAGTTGTTCAACAAATTGTTTCTCAGGTCAACGACGTGATCGGCTCGTCGCAGCTGTCGACGTCTCTTCTGCCGGCGATCGTCGACCTCGCCGAAGACGGAAAATGGCGCGTTCGTCTGGCCATCGTGCAGTTCATGCCACTTCTCGCTGCCCAGCTCGGCCAGGAGTTTTTCGACGAGAAGTTGCTCCCGCTCTGCCTCAACTGGCTCGTCGACCATGGTATGAGATGTCTACAGCATAAGAACGGGATCTTTTTTTTGACTAGATTCGGATCTCATGCTTGAAAATTTTTTCAAAATAGTTCGAGTCGGCCTAAAAGTTGATGGTTCATACTTTTTTTTTTGTTAAAAACTTTAAACGCAAGTTTTTGAGTTCGGCTTTAAAAAAAAGAATATCTTTCGATTTTTACGGCTTCTTCTAAAATCAGCTGCAATTTTTTTTAGAAGAGGCCGTGAGAAATGTATTCAGAGCTAAAAGAAATTTTCAGTCTATTCCATCCGCGAGGCTTCTACTCTTATCATGAAGGAATTGACGCAAAAGTTTGGCGGTGCTTGGGCCAGCGCCAACCTTGTGCCCAAGGTGCAGAAGCTCGCCAAGGTTCGAAAAAGCACGAGAAAAAGTAATAAGTGTTTCGCAGGATTCAAACTACTTGCATAGAATGACTTGCTTGTTCTGCTTGAACACGCTGAGTGAGGCTTTGAGCCCAGAACAAGTCCTCAAGGAGATCATTCCTATCGTCAAGGAGGTTTTTCATATCATAATTGCAAATTTAAAGAATAATTATTCAGCTTTCTGAAGACAATGTTCCGAATGTTCGTTTCAACGCCGCCAAGAGCCTCAAGCGAATCGGCAAAACTGTGTCACCCGCGTATGTAGTTTTCGTGTCCACTCAATTCTGAACTTGCCATTTCCAGAGTCCTACAATCTGACGTCAAGCCGATGCTTCAGAAGTTGTGCAATGACGCCGACTTCGACGTGAGATTCTTTGCCGAAGAGTCCAAAAATGGTTCGCTTTTTTCAAAATTGCTTGACTATCATCTTTTTTTCAGCTCTGGGAGTTTGATGCGTCCTGAATGTTGCAACAACTTCCTGTAATAAATATAATTCTCCGTTATCTATCCATCTTTATATTTCCATGAACTCCGGATATAAGTTTTAGTACAATGACGTGTTCTCTTCGAACTCTTTGGAATAACTTCTTTTCATTTTTCATGTTCATTCACGAAACTATACCGATTGACTGCGAAAAACTTTTCCTAAAATCATTCTTCCTCAGTCCGGTTAACAACTTCCTGATTGCTGACTTCATAAGTTTTCGAGGGTTTCTGAAAGGAATGATTTTTTCTCAACTATCCAATTTCTTATGGTGGATTCTCTTCCGATCTGTTTTTTCTACTGATATGGTTGATTAAAAAGGAAATTCTCATTTTCTGCTAGTTAACAATCATTATTTTTGATCACATTAACGAAAAATCCGAATCCATGAATTTTTCAGCTTTTTCTTAACCCATTCGCAAAATTTCATTGTTTCTTGTGTTGTATCGTAACCTTTTTCGAATCTGAATAAAGATGTAGCGTTTATTGTGTTTTCTTCGAAGTTTGATCTGATTGGCACACATTCGAAAATAATTATTTGTGCTCAAGAAGCTGATTTACTATCGAAAGTTTTTTATCGGCTTTTGGCCGCAGGAACTTTTCTGAAATTTATTGCAGGTTGGGGCTTCAAGAAATGCAATAATCTGAAAACAGCCGAAATGAGGATTATTTGGCCGTTGATCGCCATCAGCGCCGTCGTTCATTGCATTGGCTATTTTGACTCCAAAGAGCTTCGGTAATGAAATTGCCCTCCAAAATAATTGAATTCCAGAGAAAAAAATTAAATTCTTTCACCGCATTGCGGATATTCTATTCTCAAATTGTGTACATTTTTGCTAATCACTTGAGAAGATGATTTCATAATAAGAAAAACTTTCAGGGAAGTGACTTACAATGCCGAGATTTCGAAAAACTTGTTTTGGTTTGCGCCCGAGTTCAAAATCGGACAACTGAATCGCGAAAACTTTGACCGAAATGTTGAACATTTGAGCAAAAAGATGCCCGAGGTAGATTTTCTGAAGAAAACCATTTTTTTTCAGTTTTCTGTAAAGTGAAATATTTCGAAAAGGTTTTTTTGTTCTCACTAACATTGCCGCTGCTATTCACTCTTTTTCCAATTTTTAAAGAGAGAATGATTTTTTTCACTTTCAGATAAGGTTTTATTCTCACCAGAAGATTGACATAATGTTGAAAAAAAAATAATTAGCGTCCAGCGGTATTATAAAATTGAGGTCGACGACGTCAATTATATTTTGATCACGAACAAATTTGGACAAGATTTCATTTGCAACATCCCACAGCTCAAAGTGAGGATTTCAATAGCGATGTTAGTTTAGAAATATGTGTCTTCAGGTGGAAGAAGAAGCAACTTCGGAAGTTTCGCAGAGCAAAAACCCGAAGTTCTACTCGAGTATCATCGCCGCCGCTTTTTACATCGACCCTTGTGTTCTCTATGTGATAATAAAGCTCCTCTTGAAATATTTGTTTTCTTTTTTCAGGAACATGGCTGGTGGACGTATGAGGTTTGTTTCAAAATAGGAGTGACTCAGCAGCATGGATTAGGTTCGTCTTTCTTTTTCTTTTTTCTTTTTTCATGTTTCACGGCTCGTGTTTAGCCGGCAAAGCAGATTACATTTCGAATTCTCTCGGTTACCACACTGGACTTTTCCAAATGCCCAATTACACGGTGAGCTTTTTCAGAAAAATACTTCCGAATTATCAAAAATATATATTTATTTAAATTTTTTTCTCAAATTTAGTACCTGAGCCTCAATATTATGCGAGTTTTCTCCTATACAAGTTTTAACCGAGAAAAAAACACGTTTTTTTGTCGATTTCTTTCCGGTCTAGGCAGAGCTGTTCTCGGGGCGACCGCGGTCGACCGAGGGCCCCCCGACTTGCGGCATATTCGAGGGCGGCCGCGGTCGGCCTTTGGTAAGGGTCAACTCGGACGACCCGTAGATACAAATTTTGTTTTGACTCCCGGTTTTTTGCGAATTATGGAAAGCGCAAGTTTTACTGAAATGAAAGTGAAACAAAAAAACATTTTTTATCGAGCACATAAAGAGAAAAACCGATGAAATGAGATATTAATCCAAAAATTCAATAGTTTCCTAAGTGACCAGAACAATTTACAGAACTAGAGAAAACAAATTAATAAATAAAAAATAATTTGAAATTTTCACATCATCAGGAATTTCATTTTTGCAAAAAATTCATTCAAACCACTATTTGAAATATTATTTTATTATTTACAAAGAGAAAAACGAAAAAGATGCGAAAAAGTGAAATCAAAAAGCACGATTTCTGTCAAAAACAATAAAATTAAAATTTTCATGGATCATAAATAACTTAAAAGTTCATTTTCAATATAAAAAACTAAAATAAAAACAAAAAATACGGAAAAAAAATCCTTGCGCTCGCTTCGGGGGCCTGAATGAAAACCGCTTCGCGGGCCGGGGCGCTCAGGGGCGCGTCGCGGTCGGGGCGGCCTCGGCCAGGGTCGCCCCGACTTGAGAACAGCTCTGGGTCTAGGCATATTTTCCACTTGTCCTTGAGTCATGTTTGTAATGCTCGATGAACGCTCAAAAACTCGGAGAAGAAACTTTAGATGAAAGTTTCAGACATCAACCACGGATCGTCCACTTTATGTGGAAGAAATTTACGAGGGTGGCACCGACTGTGAACTCAACGGCGGGACGGTCAAAAGGAAAACTGTCGTTCGAGTACCTTTCGAATCTTGTTTCCTTCAAAACTCGGATGGTTTCAGTACCAATGCGACCTGCGTCTCGAAACACACGAGGCAGAAATCGAATCTGTTCTCGAACCTGCTCAATGCGAGTACCTAATCCTCCTCAGAGTCGGTTCTTTGTGTTCAAAACCCGAGTTCCTCTCTCCAAATCAGGTTGTTTAACGTTTTTCTTTCTGAAGTTCTTACATCTTTAGAAAAACCTGCTCAAAATTCGCTGTCATCCTTACTTAAACAAGGCTCTCCTCAAGTCGTATCTTCGACGGGAGCTCGCGAAAAGAGAGAAAATTGTTGGTTTTTTCTTGATTTGTTCTGTGACGGATAAATTCAGGTTTCTAATGAGAGAAGGCTGATTGAAACTAATGAAAAGTTGCGAAGTGTTATTCGCCGCAGAATCGCGTTGCTTCGGACCGAGCGCTTGGGGGACAAGTCTCCTGAGGTTTTGAAATAAAAAATAAGCTTTTTGCGAGATCGAGTGGAAAACGTTTCTCGGAAAAAAAAAAGTTTCTTTAGGTCTCTCAGTATGAAGAAATTGCTTTCAGAGCGAATTGAGACTTGATTTCTTCTAACTTCTTTTTTGCAAGGAAAGTCAAAGAAAGTATTTGAAAACGAAAATGGTACCAAAGAGACATCTAACTCTCTTCTTTTTGCACACTTTTTCCCAACTCGTTATATAATGACTTGATACAACTAGAAACTAAAATATCGTTGATCACTTTCGATTTCCTTTTCGAATTTAGTACTTCAGGATTGAGTTCAAATGATTTCAGCGCTTCGATATTCGTCGAAGCGTCAAAATGGAACTCTTTGCGGCTATGTACGACAACTACGTGGCCAGTTACGAGTGTAAGTTCGATACAAGGCTTTTTTTCTGACTTCTCTCAATTTCAGTCAGCACCGGCTTTCTTCCCAAGCAAGAGGCTGAAGAGGCCATATGGACGCTAATCAATAACGTTGTGTTCCACGACCAATTTTATCACGGTGCAAAGCTCGACATACCATTCAAAACAAATCTTCATTTTCCAGAAGCCTACATGAATTTAGTGGACGAGAACGCGGGAAATCTTTGGTACTACTTCAAAGATCCTTATTGGCCGAAAAATCAGTTCCCACGGGATATCATTTCTGTGCTAGTAAGAAGAATCATTTGATGAGAATGCCATGGGAATAATTCTAGGTTCGAAATCATTTCTTCGAACTTTCGATTGACTCTTTGAAAGATTTTGCAATTGAGAAGGATCGCGTAGCACAGTAAGTTCAACTTGGCTAGGCTAACTATAACTGTCGAACTTTCAAGGCTTCGTCTCGTTTCTAAGTTCAATTTCGAAGATCTCAAGGATATGGCTATCATCGACACTGGAACGGTCAGTGTCTTTCTTTCACACTGAGAACGTTTCTGAGCTAATAGAAGTAATATCTAAAGAAGGGGAAAGAAGGAAAAATGAAGGATAGCTCAAATCTCGAGAGTTACTTTGCAATGACCGTTTTTTCCAGACCTTATAGAATACGGTTCAATAACGATATTGAGAATTCTGTAGACTTCTCCAACCCACTGTGAATATCCTGTACAGTTTTTCTGAGGCGAATCGAAATAGTGGTTTTTCATTTCCGAAGTTTTTCAATTGTGATCAATTTCGAAATATATATTTACTCAGATTTTTGAAGAGTTTGGTTTTTCCTAAGCAAAATGTTCTATAGTTTTAATAACTTAGAGGTTATGACATTGATTTTGAATTACAACGAAAAAATTGAACGCTTCGGAGGTCGCCACGAATGAAAATTGCCCACAGGAGATTTTTTTCGCCTCTATGAAGACTTTTTTTGAGGTGGTGAAGCAAATGGCTCGGAATCTGAATGTCCCATGGCGACACACGATGCAACGGATCATGCACGACCACGACGACTACGCCCGGGAAATTCACATGCGGCTTTCCAGCTTTGATTCAAACCGACCCAACTTCAATTATCTCGGAATACGCTGGAAGTTCGTCGAAGAAGTCTACAACCACAAGCTCGATATCATTAGCGACGCTTCCAACCTCGACAATCCAAAACTTTATCCTTTCGGAGGAAAAGTGTATGTTTCCCCAGCTCCGGTATGTGTTCATCGGTTTTGCGTTCTGCAGAGATTTGTTAATGGACGACGTTGTGAAGATGATTAACAAAAATATTGGGAAGCTCAACGATCGCGATTTCCAATCGTCGTTCGTCTACAAATATCTCAAAATTGGAGAAATCGTCAAGTTAATAGACGACGATCCTTTGGAAATCGCTTGGGTGAAAGACCGACAGAGTAGTCTCGACACTCTCCGACAAGCCTTCTACACAGAAATCGAACCGATTTATTGGATGATTTTCGTTTGTTTTTCTTTCTTTTCTTTTTTTGAAACCGGCAGCCAAATGATATTCCTAATACTGCGGTAAAAGACAGAGTAAAAAAATCTGTTACCGTTTTTTTTTCGAAACCACTTCTTTTTAAGTTCACAAGTGTTCATGAAAGAAGTCTGTAATTTCAGAAAAAAGTTTTACTGAGTTGATCCAGTTCCTTGATTCAGGTTCAAGAAAACGAGAAGTGGATAAATTATTAAAGTAATATCTTCTGTAAACCCTTTACGACAGAATGTTAAACTCTAAAATGACTCAAAAAATGATAATGGAGTTTTTTGTTTTGATTTACTCCAACTAATTAGAAAAAAATTTGAATCCAGGTTTTGTATCTTCAAAAAATTTATTCTGTTCTCTCAGATGGTGCACAGCGTGCAAGGAAACATGAAACTAGCGTTCAGTACCGAGGTGATGATCGCGAACATGGGTCCGAATTTCCATCGAATGGAAAGTGACGTCCTCGAGTTTGCCGATTTCTTCGCTCAAACGGTTCTATTAGTCCTGGAGAAGTTATTTCCAAATCGGGAACGCAGAGAAACTTTTTTTTTCAGGAATATGGAGATGATTAATAATGGTTACGAAGGCCCAGCGCCTACACTTGAACAAGCTAAAAAGTTTTCTTTGCTGCAAAATTTTTTTTTTCAAAGACGTTTCAGACACTGGATCGACTACAGACGTTCGCAGATGATCCCATTCTATTCCGTTTCAAAGGGGCAGGAAATAGTGAACACGAGAAAAGAGAAAAATGTCCTCGAACTATCGGAAATTTCAGGAAGAACGCAAAAAAATGAACTGGAGCTTCGCCTTCAGAGCGGAAATGAACGCTAGAGAAGTACTCTGGAAAAAAGCGTTGTCCGACGTTTCGAAAATTATTGCCAGAAAAGTTTGTTTTTTTTTTCAATATGACTTCGAGAGTAAAACTATATTTTATTCACCGCTGGTTTCGGAAAATATTTGATAAGCGTCTTAACATGTTTAGCAAACCATATTAAAAAAAGAAGGTAAGAAGTTCATATAGATTTTTTTGAAGCAAACAGATAGTTATCAAAAAAACTTCCGATTGCTCAATCTCAACCTTATAATTCTTTACTTCCAACCTCAGTACTTTGAGCTGAAAGTTTTTTACAGGTTAATTATGAAAAAATCCTCCTAGATTTCGATAAAATAGGAAAAATTTTACTTTGGCAGGATTCCCTGTACCGAAAATCAGCGGCATTGTTGCGTGAAAAAAGATCCAAGGCCGGTACGAGCAGCCTTGCCGACCCCGACATGCTCGCCTTCCATCTGGACCCTCTTACGGACACTTTGGTGAACTTAGAAGGTGAATTTATGAGATAGAATATGAAAACTAATCCGCGTGAACATACCTTTTCCCTTTATAATAAGAACATTTCAGATATGTTCGTTGGAAAGAAGGTCCTTGACTACGTCGATCCAAATGTCCCGATTTTCAAAAAACCAGAGGAAAGTTATGAAGCCTTGAGAAAAGCTGGATTGATAGGTTTTTCAAAAGTGTTTCACTTAAGGGTTTTTTCCAGATTACAGAGAACCGTTGAAACTGGTGATTTTGGAGTCGCTCGTAACTGGAGAAGTGATTCTGGAGAAAGGCGTCGAGCGGGAGGAGGAAAGCAAGCAAATCAGGATGGAGCTGCCTTTCATGGAGCTCCAGGACAACTACTCGGCTGAAATTTACACGAAGGAAGAGCTTTCGGCGTTTTCTTCTCCTGATTCCTCCGAAGATGTCGTCGAACCAGAGACTTCACCTGAAATCAACGAGCCTCCAACTCAAGAAACAAAGTCTCCCACTGAAAAGAAAGAACTCTAACACTATTTTTCACATAAAACTTATCATTGCTACTCTTAATTCAGTTAGTTATTGGGAATCCCTCTTTTTTGCCATTGATACTGGTTCCATGGGTTATCTCTTCGTCTACTATATTGCCTAGTCTTCCATAATAACTGCTTTAATTTATTTCTGTGTATGATTGTCTCGGAAAATACTTCATTTCATATCATTTTTGGTCTCTATGTGGGCTAATTCTCGAATTATTCTTGTAAAAACCCGATATGTTCCTTAATTATGGGTCAATGTACTTATGTGCATTACTTTGCCGAGTTTCATTCCTTTCTTGCGTAATTGTGATTCAAAACTACCGCGTATACTTATGTGAAATTGGAAATAAATTAATCCTGTTTTTTTTTCTGTGGATTTTCGAATCGATGAATTACGATGAGATATTTTTTTCCGTTGACTTTTTTATTGTTTACACATCTATCTCTCTCTAACAAGAATGTTAAGTTAACTTTTCAAATTATTTTTTTTCAATTTTTTCAACACTTTTTGGTTGATGAACCTGCTAATCGCAACCTGTTCAATATATTAGTTTTCGAGATAGGACGATTCAAAATTTAAAATTTTTTTTCGCCTAATTAGGAAACTAAAAAGTTATGTAGGTTGCGGCCCTCTTGAACTTTTTTAGTACATCAAACAGCATTTTGGAAAATTTCAATCTGATATTTTTGGCCTTATAAGTGAGATGGTGAAAATTGAAAGTTCACAATTTGACAGATGGAGCAAGATAGAAGTTCTTCGAGCCCCGAGCCGACAGACGAGCCGCATCCGGCTTCACGACTTCCAGTTTCTGCGGAGACGATGCGTCTGATGGCCTTCGAGAAAATGGAGGACGACTACTACGTCGGCAGCTATCAGAATGCTGTGGAAGACGCCGTTGATTCCGACGACGAGAGGTCGGTTTTCTTCTGAATGTGTCGTGCCAAGGTTATGTGAGACATGTGGGCAGTAAAAAAAAAGGTTCGAAATTAATGGGACGTTTGGTATGGCTCTTTATTGAGTGTCGAATAGTATACCTGAAATTGCGCAGAAATAGGAATACCGAAATTTTCTAGAAATAGAGCAGAAAATATTAGAAGAAGGGAAAATTCGAAATCCGGCTGATTTTTCGACTGTCGGCGATTTCTTTGATACAACAGCTCAGCCTTCATCGGCAGTCGTATCAAAATTCGAATCCAGTGTTTTGCTAATGTTTTGCATTCAAAGTCCGCATACTTGAAAAATCATACTTAATTCAATACATTTGAATGTTTACTTTCCAGTTATTCTTTTCACTTTTTCTTGTACAAGTTATTGGTCACAGCTGTCTCTCCTATTAACCTATTTCTATGGCTTTTTGTGGTGAAAGCCTAGAAAAGCCAGATTCCCTGCCAAATAGGGATGATGTGTCGACTCAAAATCCAATATTTTTCTCCACGTTTTTTTTCCGATCAGAAAATAATCAAACGCAATTTCAAAAAAAAAAAACTTTGTCTATACTGTCTTTATCAGTCAGTTAACTATTCGCTTTATCTTATCTAGAAAAAAATCACATTCTTCCATGGTTTTCGATCTCCTGTTGAGTGAAGAAGTAATTGATGAGTATCGGAAAGATCAGTCCCCGGTTGGTTGTGCCGTCGATTCGCAACAGTACTGACTCCATCTTTCTTTTTTCTTGCGAGAAAAGTCGATGGAAGCATTTGTCATGAATTGATGGATAGACGGGGTGTATCGCGACGACTGGCTGTGCAGCAGAAGATACCTGCACCCACAGAAAAGGATAACATTTTGATAAGCGGCGATAATGATTTGGTCGAACAATAAATCATTCCAAGTTGGCTTGGTTGATGGAATTTGGCCCAGATCGCCTCAGACTTCCGTTTACCATTTGTTTCTTGGATCTCAGGCCTCTGTCGCGATTTGCGTGCCGTTTCTCTGTTGGCTTAAAAAGGAAGTTGTAATGATCTTTTTGCAAACCGAACAAGGAAATGATTCACTAACCTGGTTTTCCGCACTTTTTAGTATCTTAACTTGCCTCTGGATTGTCAGCAAAGAATCACGCAATTGGAAAGGTTTCTCTGAGAAGGAAGGATGTAGTGGTTTGAAATTTTCTACAAACTCGCTCAAAAACTTCCTAAAGATGAAGACGAACCTCTCTCATAGTCGCAATCTGCGCAAACTACTAGTTTTTGAGATGTGATTTTGCAAAGTTGCGAAATATGGGGTGCTTAACTTCCCGAGCTTCAAAAGTTCATATCTCAAAAACTAGAAGCTGGTCCTGGTAACGATTATGTAAAGAAAGTAAAAGTGTCTGTTTCTTACCGTGGCGTCTAAACTTGTGTTCAAGAAGTTATTATTTTGGAAATACCAAAGTTCGCGTAGGTAGAGACCGAAAGGGATCTTCATCTAGAGATTTGAAGTGCCTCATTTGATTTTTCTTTCTCTTTTTCATTTTTTTTTCTCTTTCTACCTCGAAGACTTTTGAGAAAGTAATCATTATTTTTGGAGGATCTACAGAGTCCTTGCGCACTACTACTGTATTAAAATGCTCAAAAGTATTTCAATCATCAAGTAGTCGGTTCAAATTTACGAGGTTGAGTGTTGGCGTCTCCGAGAACTCAATAAATCAGTCTAGCGTCGGAATTTTCGTCGTTGGTTTGGCTGACCGCTTCGGTTTTTCTCAGTTTCCTTATCAGGGCTACACCCACGCAAAACGGTGTTCACTGGGCATCTCGCTCGTTTTTTTTTCTGTTCCTTTGCATGAGATTTGGAGAAACACAAGACGAGAAAAAAGTATCCAACTGGCGTCGGTTTGTCTGCCCCGTCGTACCGTCATGAGACGAGACATTCTTATAAAAAGCGTTAGATAGGAGTCGAAGCGAACCGAAGACGCGAATTTGATGGATCGCTAGCCGTGGCAGATCGTCTACTCGAGACCAATTTCCTTGATGAATGATATGATTTTTTGGGGCGACTGTCGTTGAAAATGATCTTTTCATATTAGTTTTCTTCTCAGCTCGGACGACGAGGTTCAAGCTCAGTTGAAGAGGATCGCTGGTATTCAGGACAAGAAAAAGGTCAAAGATGCCTTTGGACGGCGACGTGAGACCTCCTGAAAACCACTGCCTCGCATTCTAATTTTCAGGTCGCCGGTCAGATTTTGAAGATGAAATGGACGAAGAGCTCGACCGTAGCATCACCGAGTACGCCAGTGAGCACATGGGAGTCTCTCTTTCGCCCAAGTCCATCGAAAACACAACCAAAGAGTTGCAAATAGTGAGTCGTCAGGGTTCTGTCGATAATATAGTTCTGGCTTGCAGGAAGACATTGACAATGAAGAGAAGGCTCGCCAGGAGATGATCAGAATTGACGAAGAACGGCGGCGTGAAGACGAACAGATGGAACAAAAAATGGCGGCTCTTGAACTTCTGCCTTATGATGTAGTAAGTGGGAATTTTCGCGTAATAGCTCGCTTAAAGTAGATGTTAAAATTTTTTGCGCTGACCTGAAACATTTCTTCGAGGATTGTCTCTTTTGCGAAGGCTACTCTAGAAGTTGATCAGGAGAGACAGAATTTTCCTCATAGGAACTGACGGACAGCGAAGTTGACCCTGAAATGCCAGCCGCAGTTGTGAAGAACAAGGACGGCATCCCCGTCCGTCTTGTCTACAGTGCGAAGCGGGGAACACAGTTCGACGTGGTGAGTTGAACGAAGCTTTTCTTCTCACTCAATATCACAAGCTCAGGAGGAAAGACGCCGCCAGCAAAAACAACGTCGTCAGCGGCTGTCACGAGCGCGTCCTTCTGAAGAACAACGTCGGAGAAATCTGATCAGAACCGTGGCCGAGGTTTGTTTGAAAAGGTCGCTTAGAACATTTCTTTGCAGTCCTATGCGGACCTGCCCGATCTGCAGAAGCAGAGCCGAGAGGCTGTGGCAGCTAAGGGAAAGGTTAACTTTTTCCGAGTCTCTTGCATGTTTTGAGCCTTTAGAAGGAGTTTCTCCCAGGTCCAAACACTCCTGGAGCAGGTTTGGTCGATCCTGCCAAGGCTGAAAAGCACTCGACCCCATTGGGTTCGATTCTGAAGAAAAGTCGAGCCAATAAAGACGAATCAATGGAAGTCGATGACGACTCATCTGTAGTCATTCCTTGTCTGATTCAATTTTCAAAAAAAGCTTCAGTTCAAACAGCCGGAAAGTTCATCTAGCCGCACTGCGGCAGTTTCAAAGTATTTCGAGAAAGAGCTCCAGGAGGTTTGGTTAACTGAGTTCATTATTGAAATTCCCACTTTTATTACAGTGGGAAAAGGAAAGTGAACCCGGACCGTCTAAGCCTAAAACGAAGAAGTCGCCGAAGAAAAAAGTGCTGATATCGGAAAAAATGGAAACGAATGACGCAGACGACGAGGAGGAGGACAATCCCATCAAAAGAGCTGCCAAGGAGCGCGAGAAGGAAATTAAGAAAAATGTAAGAAAATGTAATCTCATTTCAAAAGTTATGGGCACCTTGGCGCTCGGCGTCTTCAAGTTTTTGGAGAAACTTTTCAAAAACCACTAAAACACCTAATAAGTTGAGATCAGCAGCTTCCTGATGAGGCGCCAGAAGAGCAAGAATATTCCTTTTTTTTCAAACATGGCGTCTCTTTAGGTCGCTGCTGACTTCTTACTCTAGCTTTTAGACACCTTTTTATAGTCTTATATCATATATACTGTTGAAATCCTAACCGTTCAGACCTTTTTGATCTTAGGATGAGCTTCTCTACGACGACGAGGAAGACGTCGACAACGAGCGTTGGGTGCAGGCGCGTCGGAGAGAGAAGCGTGGAGTCAGTGAGAGCGAAAGCAAAGACGAGGTGCCCAAGGAGAAGCAGACCAGGTCTGGAACGGAGCCGTAAGCAACAGGAATGGAGAGAACGGTTCAGACCTCGACTGGACAACGACTCCGACGCCGTCCTCTCGTGTCCTGGCTGCATGGCCGAGCTGACCAGCGACTGTCAGAGACACGAGATCTACAAGGAGCAGTACAGGTTTAGCCCCTCACTCCCATGAATTTCCGTCTAGCTGGCAAACAGAACGCTTATTCATCGAAAATCCGATAAATATGGAGTACATGTCTTGCAATTATTCATGGAATTGAGAACAAGACGTCATATAAAAATTCTCCCCCAAGTTAATAACATCAGACTTGCCCGACCGTATTTAATTTTTTTTTTTCTTTGAATCCCTTCTTTACAAAAAAAATTTTTCGATCTTCCGGTCTCAGAAAATGTGTTATTATAACAAAGCTTCGATTTTCACAAGATTCAAGAAACCTCACATTCTTTTTTTTCACATTGTCCTTTTCCATTCATTTCATTTTCCAGAGCGATGTTTGTTTCAAATTGCCGCCTTGAACCGGAAAAGATGACTGTAGAGAAGACTGGAAAGGAGAAAAGACGCGAGAGACAAAAAGCCCGCAAATCTGGCGGAAACTTTGAAGTTGGTCTTCTGTTAACGTTATTTCTGGCTAGAAACTCGACATTTTTCTCTTTCAGGTAGCCGAAAAAGACGTCTTCACGCCGGTTAAGTGTTCTGTGTGCAACACTCTTGTCGCAATGATGGACACTGACGAAATCTATCATTTTTTCAATGTCCTCGCTGGTTATGCTTGATTCTCAATAAAATAGCAAAATCTGGTCTCTCATCAGCCTTATTTATCTGCTCTTTTCACTTTCTGACAAACGCTGTGTACACTTTATGTTTTTCTCGTTTGTTGTTCTTGTCGCTTTTCCTTTTTCTTCCTCATTGTTGAGTCCTCGGCGTTTTGTTGATGTTCCGGTGCTTTTAAACCCATTTCTTCTTGTAATTTGAAGTAAGATTGAAAATAAAATGAAATATTTTTGAATTGCTGTTTTTGTGATTTGAATTGAAGAGTTCTCTAACTTTATATTTTAGGAAATTTCAAAAGTTTTTTTACTTGAATCAAATGTGTCAGCAGCTTAATACAGAGCAAAAACGTTGAGCAGTTATCCATTTTCTTATTAAAAAAAAATGCTTGCAAAGGAACTTTCGCAATGCACAAGCAGAGGGGATGACGTCACTTGTTTTGTGGTCCTCCCCCATTTTCTGCGCCCGCTGGAGTTTTCTGTTGTTTAGACCGAGGTCATGCGCTTTTTTGCTCTGAACGTTTATTTCTGCTCGCTTTATTGATTGGTTTCTAGGCATGTTCCCATCGAGATCTTGGAAGCTGTTCGATTTGATGTTTTTGGATGGAAATTTATGCCGCGTTATTAAAAGAAGATTTCGCGAAATGTCAAATCATCTCTGACTCTCCAAAAATTGGTTATCTTTTTCTTTCTCTGACGGCAGTTGTGGATTTCGCGGAATCATTTTGAACACCGCATTACTGAACTTACAAGTTTATTCTCGTGATTTGGTTTTATGAACTCAATGATTCAAATAAGTTTTTTTATTGAATGAAGAATTCATCGAAAACTTTTATTGGCGAAAAAAATCTTCATAACTGAACATTGGATTGGAAAAAGTACTCTCAATAGCTATTTCTCAATCTTAGCTTTTGTTTGGAAACTTAATTTGAAAATTCCTGTCGCCCTTTTCCGATTTTTCAGAATTTCACAAGAGTGAAATAAGAAAGATTCATTTATTTTTCTAAATTGGAATTAAATTGACTCCTGAGAACCCAATTGTTTTGGCGCTTTGTTTTCATGAGAAAAATATATTTCATTTTAATTTTGGAGAAGTGGCAAAAATTTTTATGATGATTGATTTTGCTTTAGTTTTTATGATGATTAATTTTGCTTTTGGCTTTCTCAACCATCCACAATTTCTGTTATCTCTTTTTTTTTCGAAAAGAAAAAAAATCGTTGTAAGCTTAGAAAAATGAACGAAAAAGAATAATCTTTGAGCCTCGAATTTTTTCTGTTGTTCTGCTCACCTGTCTTTTTTTCCTTCGGCCTTCTATGTTCTCCATGTTTTCCTGCTTGGTTCCTTCTTCTTCAATAAAAGCTTTCCTCCTTCTTTGCATGATATTTGTCGCCTTGGGGCCTTTTTTCTCGTTTATCGCGTACCTTCTTTCTGAATCATGTATGTGCAGGCATGTCTTCTCGGAAGTTTCAACTTTTTTCCAATTTTAGAGAACGATATCGAGGGAGAAGTAAATGAAAAAGCTTAAGTCTATGAAAAGAAACGCCCTGTTAGTTTTTGTTGCAGCTTTTTGTACTTTTTCGTGTTTTTTTTTTCGAGTTTTTTTCCAGTATCGTTGCCAATTTCATGCAATAATTTTTCAAAAACAATGTTTTGCAGTGTCTATAGCTGTCAAAGATGTCTTACCCTCATCCAACGGCTCCTGTTGAAGAAAATCCGCCACCGGCTTATAATGAAGCTTATAATATAGGTATAATTATTTATTTTTTTATTTTTTTGATCGAAGTTTTTACATTATTATCTTTTTTTATTTTTCTATATATTGTAGGAAATTCGAATCCGCCGACATACGAGTCTTTGTACGGCCAATTTCGACAAGTCGACAGTCCTTCGGGCCTTTTTACCTTCGCGAAACGCACTTCTGACGTCGTTTGCGGAACGTGTGAGTCAATTTGTTTGATTCATATTTTTTTTCCAGTTAGCTTGAAGAAACCATTTAATTTTTTAATCGTAGCTGTGTAGTCCCGCGAAAGAGTTGTATGGATGCAAATTTATATTTTGTTGTAACTTTTTTTTCTTTCAAAACGAAACTTCTCAAATGACCTGAAAATAGTGAAGTCAAAAGAGGCTTTAAAAGAAAATCTGGATCAATTTCAGCGAAGTTTCAAGCTGTGTGTAGAAAGAGAACATATATTTTAAGTTAATATTTTTTTTCGTGGTGTTACATCTTAATTATTTTTGCTAGCCTTCTCAAAAAAAGGGATAAATGTAGAAATTTAGTCTTTGAACTTGAAAAGAGTTAAAAATTTTAAGGTGCTAGAAAGATAGCGAGAACTTTTTTTTTCTGTTTTGTCATTGCCCGCGGCGAAAAAAGAAAGAATCCAAATAATTTAAATTCTCCACCAGCTTGAGAGAAACTTTTAAGTCTCTTTTTTTTCCGCGAAAACTTTTTTGCTGGTTCTTAAAAAGACTCGTATAGATTACTATCCATCAAGAAAAAACAAAAAAGTCTTTGAGCCTCCGAAGCATGAAAATGTTTTGACGATGGTTTTGAAAAGATAACGCGAAAACCCTTCAATGGTTATCCGAATGGCGGTGACTTTAACGCAACATCGAACGGTCGTTGTAAAAGCGTGTAGCCTTGGAGAATTGAACAGGCGCTGAGAAATTCTGTCAACACAGATGGCAATCAAACGGTTTCCGTTTTGACGAACGCCCTGTTGATTGGAAGAATGTTAAAGATCGAAGAAGACCTGGCGTTTACAGTATAACCGGCCAGATGGTCGTCTGAACGCCGGAAGCTTTTTGAAGAAGCCGATTCGGAAGTTTTTTTCTTGGGGTGGATTGCGTCATTAGAGAGAACACCTGTGGGAAACAACAATTATCATTTAACCAATACATAAGAATGGTTAACATGGATAACAAGCTATCTATTGTTTGAAATAATGCTCCGAAATAATTTTACAAGGCGGCTGAATTTTAGTCTGATCCACTGATTTGAATTTATATCAGAGAAAAAAGGAGGTTTAGAGCTCATCTTTTATTTGGTTTTTTTAATTCCATTTTTTTAAAAAGTTACAGAGAAAAAAACACGAAAAAAACTGCTTCTGAATTAGAAATTTTAGAAATCTGAATTAGAAATTTTATCTACCGATTAAAATTTCTTGATGAAAGCTCGAATGAAATATGAACTTTTCTTTATCATTGAAAAAAATAATTAACTAAGAAATCTGAATTATCGAGGTTGAAATCCAATAATAGTGTAAGTGTGTTTTTTTCATAGAACATTTCATTAGGAATTTATTTTTTTCTGAATCGAGGTTTTTTTTAATGATTAAAAAATATTTTATGGTCCCTTGAAACCATCAAAAAGAAAAACTTTTCTCCGTTTTGTTCTCCAATTTTTTTTCTCCAAACTTCTGATAACCGTGTCTGATATCCCGGCAATAAATCATCAAGCGCAGTGTGATATCACAGCGCGAGGTGTCAGAATTCGTTGAGACGGTTTGGCTTGAAGGCCTAGCAGAACGGATGTGAGATCAACGTGTAAATCTATCCCAAGGTACTCTGTTTTGCTGAAATTGAACCTTGAGGGCTTCGGTTACGAGGCGAACATTTTGAAGAGTTCAATCAACTTGTTTTGAAAACTATGCACTTTTTGTGGGTCACTTCCGCAAAGATCTGTGTGAACCGAGACCATTGATTTCGAGGTGAAGAAAGTGTACTATGCGGAATTTTCTACCTATTGTGAAGAATAAATTATGTATGAGATGAGAGTGAAATAAACTGTTTGCGGAAAAGATTTATAGTTCGAAACGTCTCTGAAGCTTTATCTGCAACTTGGCTAAATTTTTTCAATGTTAGGGTAAGTTTGTTTTAGAGCATGGGATTGGAACGGTAGCATTTCTGAGAATGAGTTTGGATCCATAAAATAACGCCTAGATGGATCAAGAATTAAAAAAAAAACAGAAAGAGTAAGTAAAAAAGTTTTCAGTGGGCGCAGCAATTATTCTCGCCTTCCTGAACTTCGTGCCTCTTACGATGATCATCGTCGGCGCCATCAACAAGGAGAACTGTGATGCGAACCCGAACATCCCGACGTGGATGATCGTCACCGGCGTCATGACAATCGCCACACGCTCTCTCGACTACTTCAAACAGATTATGGTTTCTCATTCGAAATTTCCAAGTGAAGTTATTTATCTCAGACGAAGGTGAATCACACAGAGTCGGCTCCCTTCGGAGTTTCTTGCCTCCAATGGCTCATCAACGCCTTTTTGTTTGTCTGGTGAGTAAATTGGTTGATTGAAGTCGTTCTCAAAGATTTTCTAACGAAAGTTTTTTAAATGATTTTTAGTCTTCGCTGGACTTAAATCAGAATATAAAAAAGAGATCCCTTGCAAAACTCACTGTGGCCACTGAAAAATATTTCCTTTCCGATTTTTGAACAACCTTCATTTAAATCCTGAGTGCGATACAAGGATGTTCAAGTGAAAAGCAGCAACTTTGGTAATTTCAAGCATTTTTATTATATTTCCACATGCACCGTAAGCTTACCGTAAGCTTACGGTGCATGAGGAAATGTAATATTTTAACGTGCAGAAAGTCCCTTCTCACCAAAAGACAAAATGTTGCATGTTTCGTGTTCAACCATGTCTACAAAACCATAGTTAAACTTCCAGTCTCGCGTCTGGAATCTAGTCGACTTCAGCGATTCTTTAGAAACAGTAAGAAGTCATTCAGAAGTACACCAAAGGTTTGAGGTTCATAATCGGTTGCGTGTGGGTCTTCGGCGCCTACGGCCAGCGAGCGCACTGCGAGACCTGGACCTACGCGATCTCCTTCGCGTTCATCGTCGTCACGCTGGTCGTGCTCGCGTTATCCGCCTTCTGCGCTTGCTGCTGCTGCTGCTGCGTCTGCTTCCGCAGCTCGTCGCAGAACTCCGACTCGTATCGCCCTTCCAGCTTTGCTTGATCAATTATCTTTCTTCTTAATCATCAAAAGCATTCGAGAAAGGTCTCATTTTGCGCCTGGCTCACTTTATCGACTTTTTTTGTTCCAATTTTCACACGTATTAAAAAAAATACAGCATGCTGTATTCATTTCCTCCTTTCGCTTCTTTTTTTGGTTTTTATTGCTTTATTACACTCTTACAAAAGCTCTCTATTGTCCATATTTCATGGTCAAAACGTGTAGATGTTAAATTTGTGTCCGGATCTTACGGGGCTCTCCTGTTTATTCTATCTTTTGTTTTTTTTTTAATAATTCCAATTTTTATCCTTTGGATGTACATTTTCATTTTGTTGATAAAGTTTTTTTGTTGTCAAATTTTTTTAAGAGAGCATCATTGAACAAAACTTTCCGGGGTATCAATTTTCTCTTACATTGGTCGAAATTCTTGAGCTTTGAAACTGAAAGTGAAAAAAGAATTCATTGTGTTTTAGTTCATTCTATGTCAGCTTCAAATAGCATCATAGGCAGCAACTGAATTTAGCAGAACGCACGCCTCAAAGAAACTGTCGTCGATTATTGTGTCAGAGACGCAAACAGCGGATTTGACGCTAGTTCGAAAGAATATCAAGTTTTTTTGGTTATTTTCCGACTTATGTCTTTGTTTTTTTTATTATTTTTTTGTTCTGAAAAAGTTTGTTTTTTTCAATAAAAAGAAACGAAAATATTTCGAAATTCACACCGATTCTCAAAGTTTTTTTCTTCTTTTTCGTCGCTCGCAAAAAAATTTAGAATCAATTGCCCCTGAAAGGCTGATGAGTGATTCTTACAATTTTCTCTACAACACGTCGCGAATTCGCCCTGAACATCGAGAAATTTCGACCTTTCCAGGTGATCCGATGAGTCACGACCTTCCACGAGGATGGAACCTATTCGCGGGAGTTTCGAAACGCGCAGGTGTTCATCGGGATTTCGCTATTATCGTGTCAAGGAAGAGAGCCAAGGCCTTTGGGGCACTCGATCACCTGTCTCGGAAGCCATCTTCTTTTTAGACCACCCATCTGCCGTCGGTTCACTTCTCTAGATGCTTCGTTGGTCTTTCGAGTGTCCAAGTGGGTCTAGAATCTTTTTGTAGTTTCAAGTGCATGAAGAAAAAAGGACAGCGTCATTTTTCTGCGTGTTAACTTGAATTTCTTTCTATTTGCCGGGAGACGTCCTTCAACTGAAATAGTCTGTCTACGGGATACTAGATTAATAGTCCATTTTTTGCTGCAACGCGAAAATATTCAATGAGGATCTTCACTCGGTTAGCTAGTTATTAAAAAAAAAGAAGAGTTCAAGGCGCCTCTATTATATTTTCGTTCCAAGTTCTCATTAGATGGAGTATAATTTAGCTCCTAGCTTGGGCAAAAACAATCTATCCAAGGGTTTCAAGCAATGATAGACACAAGGAAAGGTTAAAAATAGAAAAAAAAAAATAGAAAAAAAAACTTTTTTGTGAAACGTCAACTCGTAGTAAGGCGCCGAATGTTCAAATAATTGGACATTTATTGACTTTTCATAAATTTCTCATATTAATTTGGGTATTATTAGGAGGACTATAATCATTTCGATATCAAAATAAAGCAAATTGTAAGCTACGCCCTTCTCCTGTCTTCTTCACTCAATTGTACCACCTAAGAACGGAAATACGTTTCCGGCAGAACTTTTTTGGAGAGTTCCTTGATTCAATTTAAAATCTGGTTTCTATAACTGGTTCATTGGTGACTTAGGGAAAAAGTTCCAGAATTTTTTTATTTATTTATTTCACTCAACACACAAAAATGAAATATAGAATAGAAAGTACTCAAAGAAAGGCCCAAAGACATTTTTTTTTTTTTGAAAAATTTAAATAATTCAGGCAATAATATTTTTCAACGTTTCTGTTCTTTTAATTTTATAGTGACTGAAAAAGCAATTTTTGCAACGAACGAGGTAAGTGAATACTTTCATTGTTCATGGGAACCACCGGTGTTCATGTTTCTTAGCCCTAAGTACACGGGTTATTAGGGTTATCGAGTACATCTTTCAGCGTTAAATTAGATCATTTTCGAGTTTTTGAATTGAAGATTTTGTTCTTTGGTGGCGGAAACGACTCGGGGATCGTTTGTAATTGGATTCCCAATTTTTTTTTTTCGAAAGGTTGTACATTATTTAAAAAAACTTACAACTGTTTTATTTTTTTAATGTGCCTAAATTTTTTCTTTTCATGGCTATCCGTTGAACTAATTCTTCTCGTAAGGAGATGAGATCTCCTAGTTCTACCCAATAATGCCTTAAATTATCTCGCGGAATCTCGACACTGTGAGGCAGCAGCTCCTGCGCGGCAACATCATAAGAAGCGGAATTCCGCAGATGCCTGACGGATTCAACGCCAACGACGAAGAAAAAAATCTCGCGCTTTGATTTACACGCGGACCTCGTCGACGCGTCGCCGGAAGCGATTATTTGGACGCCGTCCGAATTATATCACCATGAGAAGGACTCGGCTACGGTGACTCAATTCGACGGAAGTGATGACAGACCTTTTTTAGTTCGTTCGCGATTAGAATCGAGGTTGTTAAGGGCAGAGGCACTAACGCATTGTTCAGAAATTATCGGTTGAGCAATTCCAGAAAACCAGTCGTTTCCTATTAACCAGGTTTAAGATTTTTCGCCTTCTCTGTACTCAGTTGTAAAATCATTCCTTTCTGCAGAGTCCCCTGCAAAAACTGCTTCGTAATACCAATATACTCTGATATGCGCCTTTAAGCACGCCTCGACTATGGAATCAGAATTTGAATATGTTCTGGACTTTTATTTTTCCAACTTCATTACCTTAATCATAGCCAAAAATAGTATTTAAGCCATTTTCAGAAAACTTTTCATTGGTGATATTTCGATTGCTTCAGTTCAAACAATAAACTGCTTTCAATCAATCAATATTTATTGGTTGTTTTAGTCCGATGGAATCGACTAGGCGGTTAAAAAATTGCTCTTTTGAGCGGCACTAACACCGCCTTTGGCGAAAAAGAAGTCAAAACGTGTAGTCGATTGAATTGAAAGCATGGTCTTACGGTCCTTCGCCTCGTTCTTCCACAAGTAGATTCCTCAGTTTCGCGGGTACGGGCACGGCGGTGATGATGGGGCTCGGGCACGGACTCCGTGTCCACTCTAGGGTAGTCTCGGCCGATTGAGAGAGCTACCACTTCGAGTGAAGAAAATACACGGAATCCTTTAGGAAAAAAAAAATCGGTAAATTATTTCCACAACCATGATTATTTTCAAAACTTCAGTCATTTCCTATTCCGGAATTCCCGTTTTCGTAGCCATACCAATAGATGTGTGCTTGGACTGTCTTTCGGATCCTCGGTACCTCGCTTCCAACACATTTTGGCTTTGTCCTGCCTCAGAGGATCGGATCTCCAGACGATCGACTTCAAAAGGACCGACGGCCACCTATGGCGCCGCCCATAAATTCACGATTCTCGTAAATCCAGCGACGTTTTTCGCGTCGGGCCATCCTCCTATTTAAAATTGCACTTTGCTGTCCTTGTTCCGGACGGATTCTGGGCGGAGCCAAGTCCTTTCATCCCGTCGTCTTTATATGAGATCTTCTGTCAGCTCCTGTCACAATTTTCCGACCTCTGATTTATACAGGTTTTGTAGTCTTTCTTAAATTGCTCCATTCGTTCTCGATCCTTGACGTCTTTCCATCATTCTCGTTGGCGTGAGTTAATCGCCGAACGGTCTATATATATAATGTGAATAGTTCCTGAAACAGATAGTGGTTTGGGCAGATCCTTTCATTCCCATTCAATCCTTCTGGCGGAATAAACTTTTTGGCGATAGAATTGCTTTCGGAATTATTTCCATAACCTCTGCCGGCCAAGCATTTTTTCAGTGTTTTTTGAACATCACTCAGATCAAGTTTCTTTTGTGCCTCAGCCACCCACGCATGTTAGGTGAATGTCCTCCCACCGTCTCTTTCCGATAAGAATGCAAATTTGACGACGTCAACGACCTCATCAGATGCCTTTCCTCGCGTTCACGCCTACGCTACATCTAGCATCAACCTAGATTGACCGATCCTATGTGAACACGAAATTGTTGCCAACGCCATGCTACAAACGAATTTATAAGTCGAGGAGAAAAAAAAAACGAAGCTTGATTATATAGTGTCTAGTTCATCACCACCTTGGCTTTCCATATGAAGACAAGTTCAAAAATTGTTTAGAGAGTTTGAACTATGGAAATTTTCGCTAATTGGCTCAACAACTCTTCATGTATTAGGTGAAGACTCTGAGAGTTTCAAAACGCAAAACTTCATATTGTTTTTTTGAAGATTGACGCTTCAAAAAAACTCTGGATTCTGATAAAGAAATAAAAAGTTTAAAGATCCTTCCATAACCCATTTATGCAGGCTGAGCTTTCCAGGTTTGCTTGCAGCATAGTTTCCGATGTTGCGAACCTTTCCCAGACGATGAAATTCGGCAAAGAGAAGATCTCCAACTGTCGGACTCGAGCTGAACCTTTTCCTACTGAGAGCCACGCCTCGAGGCGTTTTTTGACGTCGCCGCCGCCTTGTCTGCCTTGCGACGTCTCGATTTCTTCGTTCCTCCGTTCGTTCAAAGTCTTGTGCCTGACGTCAAATCTGACAGTAGGCGGGTTCACGCCACGCCTTCTTCTTCTTTGAATTTTTTGGTTTTCCGAAGGGACATCCCCGCCTCTTGTTCAATCCAAATGTTTGCGAACGGCGGCGGCAAGTCTCGCTGTTACCGTAATCCACGTGGGCTTCCTTCACCTAGGACCAACTTTGTTGAGCGAGCTACTATTTACTTGGGCTCTCACGTCGTTCAACTGCTGTCTCTTCAATTTCCTTGCTTTACTTCTTATTTTAGAGAAATCCTTTCTACTTCATCCTTGGAACTTTCTTAGACTTATCCTCATCTTTCTCTCGAGAAAAACCCTAAGGCACAGCTTGCTAATAATTTCTGATCCTGAGTCATAGAGAAAACAATTAATCTAATAGTTATCAGTAATATTCACGCTTTTGTAGTGAACTTGAAATTCCAGATCTGACTACGTCTTAAAGCTTAGAAAATCTTCATTCAAAGTACATTGAAAACAGCTGGAACCATTCCTTTTCGGTTAAGTATGACTTCCGCCAGAGGCACTCATAACTTGAGAACGTTCGCTTCCTTCAGCAAGTTTTACATCCATTTTTTGTGATTTAATTCATACGCTGGAGAAAACCTTTGGAATTGATTCTGAAAAGAAAAGAAAACGTAATGCGTTTTTAATAAGCTCTTTTTATATGAAAGCACTTAGAATTTTAGAAAGCTTCAGAAAAAAAAATAAATCCGAATAGTAAAGAACAGAGAACGAAAAAAAAGTAAATAAATAAAAAGATGACGAAAAGAAGTTAGAAGGCTTTGATGGCCGTGTCGCGTCACCTTTTTCGTGATGTCCTGCGAGCCGCCCATTTCTCTCAATCTGATTTCTCCGACTTCTAACAGGCGCCGCCCTCTTTTGGAGTGGACACCACGCACTCACGCCGTCTCTTCTTTTTCCGAGCTCTTTTTCCAATCATTCTCAAGTTCAATTTTGACAAAAATAGTTTGACCTTTGTGTTTCGTCTCTGTCATTTCAGTTTTTTTAGTTTCTCTCTATTTATTTATTTCATGCAGATCTGGCTAGTCTATGTTTTGAAGATTTCGCATTTTCAAATTCGTTTTTCTCTCTTCTGAAGTTAATTAATGGCGGCTTGGTTTAAAACTGGATTTTCAGCACCTCCTACTTGAATCAATTTTTTTTTTCTCAGACAGAATTTTTTAAAAACTTGTGAAATTGAAAACTTTACTCATTTTTCAATAGAGTCAAAAAGATATTGATATAAGATAAAGATCATTCCACTTGAACTTGTAATATTTGATGAAATTCTGACTGAAAAATTTTGAGGTAGAATATTTGTGAAGGTTCGAGGCTCCAGAATCATTATTATATCGAAAAGTTTTTATCGCTAATTTTAAGAAAATCGTCAAGGGCTCTCTTCTCTTGTCCGCTCTTCTCCAAAATGTTCCACTTTCGACAAATTGTGTGTAGTCTTGGATGACACTCTGGTCAGATCTATTAGAGTTGCTCTATTTCTCGCTAGTTTATTTTATTACCCGACCCGATCTAGTATACCCTCAGGCCTTATACAGTCATTTTTATGTGACAACCCGCCTCGGTCCTTTTATATCGTGACTTTCTGCGACAAAGACGCCATGAAACGATTGGTCGAATCACCCGGCGAGTCGATAAATCTGGACTGCACGCGAAGGAAGGCCCGCAACACAAACTTCCTTCGCGTTTTGCGACTTCCGGTATCCGCGCGGACATCTTTCTCCACTACCGTCACCACCTCTACCGCCGCCTCCAGGCGTTGAAGACGTCGGCCTAATCTGATTACCTCAGCTGAGAAAGTATCGATTATCGGCTGTTGCTAATTGAGAAGTTGCGAATCACCTTTCTGAAGACAAACTTCTCGGAGCTTTCTTTCAAACTGAGTTCTTTTGAGCATTTTTCACGCTGTCTCTTAAGTTTCCACTTTTCTGAGTGCATAGTCAATCATCTGATAGCTAGTGCTTCGGATTCCCGTGAAAAAGTTTTTAATGTGAATGAAACGGACCACTTTTGATATTTAATCATTTAGCTTTCGTTCTTTGTTTCCAGTTTTATTTCTCAGAGTTTCAGCTGGATTCTTGTGAACTTCATTGACTTCATCTTCACTTTAAGAAACGAAGATATAATATGAAATGTTTGAAGTTTTTGCCGAGGTGTTTGAGCATAGGAAAATTTCAAAAAGCTCTTTATGCTAAAATCAATTTTTTTGTTACTTCGACGACGATTTTTGAACTGACTATTGAAATCGATAATTAAGTTTTAATGAAAATAACGAATAATGTATTCTAGTCATCTTCCTTTTTTTCTCCATTTTATGTGGCTGAAGCAGTTTTGGCTATTCTAGGCCACACTGCAATGAACTTTCTCATGATTTTCTAACCAGCTCCAGCCTTTCTTCCAAGTTTTTCACAAATTTTTCGCATTTATCAAGCTCCGTAGACTTCATCGGATCTCATCAATGGAGCATTCTGAACTTATCAGCATCAACCTCATCAGCCCAAAAAGGAACTTCGGAATGCCCCGCTGAACGACATAACGGATTATCTTCAACGGTCTGCAGGCCTGTCCGAACCGATTTGTCGCGAGTTATTCTTGTGGCTTCCGTTCTTCCAACCGTCAGGCCACTTCAAAGACGCCGCACTCAACAATTACAATCAACCCGTTTTTGCATCCGTTCCTCAGTCCTTTTTGCGGAGTTTGATCGCGAAATTGGCGCGCTTGTACCTAGACTCTTGCATGCCGTTCGCACTTTCCAAAGATCATTTCTCGAGTTTGTACTTGAGTGGGCCAGATATCTCGGCCGGCTGGGTTACGATAATCATGGTGCCACCAATGAAGATTGCAGCCGAAGGTCAATTTTTTATCCCTCTCATCTTTTCCCCGAGTGTTCTTACAGTTAAAATTATAGTTTTCTTGTCTTTTAGATTAGATCCTCTCATAGGTCGAAGCTTTTTTTTCCAATTATTTTCTTTTGGCACTGAAGGTTCACTCAATGCCTGTCAATGAAGTTTAACGGAGGATTCCCCGCAATAAGGTATTCAATTCGCATATTTCATTATTTTTTCCTAGATAAAATATTCATTTTTATCTTCTGTAAAAGCGCCTAAAATAAAATTTCATAAGAAAGTAGAAGAAATTTTGGACGATTGACTCGAGAAAACTTTCCATAGTTCAAAAAGAAGCCGCGTGGAGCTATTCTTTTCCCCCAGCAAAGCCAGCTTTGATGTGTTGAGATTCAAAAAGCTCTGTAGAGGTTGGTAGATGAAGACTTTTTTTAAACAGCACATTTTTGTACTACTCTTCTTAGGACAGACTTCAACGTAACCTTCTAAGTTTATCAGCACTGAAAAGAATTATCAGTGCTACGGTAGATGATATATTGCAATAAGCGCACTCTCAACACCATTGATTGATCGCTGCTGGATTGACATTTCTCGAAAATCGCTTCAGTTCATCTGCGCGACGTCTTCTCTTTCTCCTCGCTCTCGCCGCGTCGACGTCTTCGGAAGAAGGCGATGACGACGGCGTAGCCGAGTGGGTTCGGCATTCAAGGTCTTTTGCCGTTCTGCCCCGAATTCCAGTTGAAGCTTCCGGTCCTGCTGTCAGGGGCTCTTTGAAACTCCGTTTTTTTTTGTGAAAGAAAGTGAAGATTAGTTTTTCTCATGGGAATATGGAGGATTGTACAGAGTAAAAAAAAAAAAGATAATTTCTAATGAAAAAAATGTCTTTTATTCATTTTTGTTAAATTTTCCGTTCTTTAATTAACTCCATACGGTCAAGTTCTCGAGTAGTTCTTTGGGCCGAAGAGAATACAATTTGATCCCAAATGAGTACTCCACTTTGTCTCCGTACTGATCAGAAAAAGCAAACCAGTTGCTGCCGGCATGAAACTTTACAAGCGAACTGATGTTCTTCGCTCGGTTCAAGGTCGCTCTGCACGCGTTTTTTTTTCCGCAGGACCGTTACAAAACTGTTATGAGATATCCAAATAACGCGTAAACCACGGCACAAAAGGCTTTCAGTTGCATTTTGGCCTTGTTTGCATTTCACAAGCGTTTGCACCTGGACAAGAATGGTAGCGAATGTATTTGAGGTCGTTATGAGAAGTTATGGCGAAAGAGCAAAGAGTAGCTACCGTTTAAAAAGAAAATTCCCACTCCGTTCAGTTTGTGTTGCTCGATTTTTCTCCTTTTCCTAACTTCCAAAGTTTCAGCTTGTCCAGTAAAGACGGCGGAAAACGATCGGGTAGCAAGTGAATATTGGAAAAAAAAATCCACCGCGAAAACGGAGGAATCAACTAAAAATGACGTCACCTTGGCTGCTGCTCGCGCTCCCTGCCGTCGCTCTCTGCTACAACGTTCCGCATCTCACAGGTTCGCTTCATTGATTGTATGGAAAGAAATAGAAGGATTCACAGGCACGCCAGTGACGTCGCATTCGGGGCCGAGCGAAACCGAAGGAGACGTGAGCCACACCAGAGAGAAGCGCGGCTTCTTCTATCCAGACTTCCGACACTACGACAACAGTCTCCTGGTCCGCTCTGAGCATCCCAACGAGTACCTCAAGAAGTGGATCACCTACGAGCACAATAGATACCGTCGCATCGTCAGTTTCTTCCTGAGAACTCCTCAAAAAGAGAAGAGCTGTAGGTGCCGGCGTCAGACATGAACATGTTGTACTGGTCGGAGGAGCTGGCGGCGTCTGCCCAACGGCATGCCGACACTTGCGACTTCAGACACTCCCGCGGTCGCGTCAACGTCGGCGAGAACATCTGGGCTGCGCCTTACAGCAACTACTCCGACGCCATTTCCATCTGGTTCAACGAGGCCAGTTTCATCGGAAGCTTAACTTGAAAAAATGTTCTCATAAAAATACAGACTTTTCAAAAATACAAGCGTCCAAATCAAACTTTAAATGAGTTTATTTTCACTCTGTTTCACTCTTCAGCCGTCGAATCCTACAGAAATTTTAATTTTTGTAGTTGAATGCAGAAGATTTTCTTAACCAGTCTTTTTTTTTCCATTACTTACCAATATTTGGCATCTAAAAGCCTCTAAAAAGTTTTCCTACTATAATTTTTGATTTTTTTGCGAAAAATTCTTTTGGTTAATTATTTCGGTTTTAACTATCGTTTTCTGGAGAACTTTATATGTTCAAACGGCCTCCTATCTCTGAGTAAACCGTTCCTTTTTCTTTGGCTAGGCAAAAACTTTACAGTCAGACGAAATTATCTTGACGGACATCGCATAATCGAAGGTTTTTGTTGGTAAATTTGGATATCGCTAACTTGAATCTTTCACAAATCAGGCCGAATAGCAAGAATTTTCAGTTTAGGGCCCAAACTCCGTTCAAAAGAGTGGAAAAGTTAAGAAAGAAGTTTCAGTCCAATTTTGATTGTTCAGGTGCACAACCCACGGTGCGGCTGCAATCACGCCTACAAGCACTGCTGCGGTCATTATGTTCAGGTAAATTGTCTTCAACCTCAGACTGAGTTTTTAGCGAGTAAAAGAAACTGCTGATAGTACGGTCCTCTAATAGATCAGCCAAATAAAATGCGTCAGCCACGCACTCAGGCGATCCATAAGTGCACTTGCCCTAATGATCTCCAATCATTTTTTGAGAAAATAATGTCCTTTCAAACCACCGAACGCCTTTTCCCTTCAAACTTCTTGTTTGCCTTTCTTTGTTCGCGGCAATTTGACCATCAGATCTCGTTCAGAGCGTCTAAAGCATTTTGCAACATTTGCCGTGGCAGCAACCATTCCGATTGTTACAAAAGAAATTGAATCAACGTTTCATGTCAGAAGAAAACTTATTTGACTATCCAAGAGTCAAGCGATATTAAATCCTCTTTGCAATCAGTTATCCTTATCAGAATATTGAAGAAAAAACTGAGTTTCTGTTCACCTATCCTTCATGGAGCGCAGAGATACTTGCATTAGCAATGACCTTTGTTTCAATGAACGAGTGGAAAAAAAGACTCCGCTCGGTTTTTATCACCTGTAAAGCCATTAATCGAGTCAGTGCAAAGGTTCCTAAGCTCCTAACGTGTTTTACGCTTCAGACAACCGAAACGACTTTTTACTCGGACGCGAATTACCGCAATTCAGAATTATCGGTCGCGTGGGTGGTTCCAACCTGACCTTTGGACAAATTATTTCAAGGCTTCCCTCATTTCAAAACAAGAACAAGGCCTTTTCAGATAAGACAAGTCTGTCCTTTTGTTGTATTTACTTCTCAAAAGCCAACTTCAGCGGAAAGAACGACGGAAATGCATGTTTTGCAATCATTTTTCTCTCAATGAAAACAGAAAACAAGGCTAGGCAGGTCTTTCTCTCTCTCGAATTTTCGAGTGATTCGATAAACCGTCCATCTCTGTGTCCACAGCGGCCGCGATCCCTCCCAACAGACCGCCACCGGAAGCGGTCAATCAATTCCCGCGCCTTTGCCTTTTTGGGGATGGTCCACCTCAAAATCTCTTCTCTCAACTTATTTTTGAAGAATGAATCTCTTTGGCTGAAAAACCTCGATCCCATAATTTTTGAGGTTTTTGAGGGACCATTAATGAGTTTTAGAGTACTATCATAATGCCGAGACCGCTATCATAAGTTTGAAAGTAAAACCGTTTTCTATTAACTGACGCATGAGAAACCTTTACGAGGAGGCTCCCACGAAAAGCTTCGAAAATTTTAATCGAAATTTTCTGAAAATCCTGCGGAACTCGATTACGAAATGCGAAGAGATTCAACCTTCCAATCTTTATCGCACAAATAAATTTTCAAAAAGAAGACACGCCTGTTGGCCAAAGACCTAGAGGTGGATGAAGGTTAGAAATCGCCTTTGAGAACAAAAAAACCCGCTAGCGAGTTTTCTATGCGGTTACCGAAAGAAATAAATTTTGAGATCACTCAATTTCGAAGATGGACTATTCGAGTCAAAATTTAAAATAGAAATTGAATCAGAAAATACAAAGATCTATGCCTTGGAAAGTACTTCAGCATCTCACTTGAAGCCTCATAGACACTTTTAGCGGCAATTTGAAAGTCAAGCTCTATTTTCAGCTTGTTTGGGCAAGAACGAACCTGGTAGGATGCGGATTTTCGCGTTGTCGCGACGTTCAAGGCGTCTGGGGCCGTGGCCATCGGAACGTCTTCGTCTGCCACTACAACCCGCAGGGAAACACGGTATTCGTCACCGCCAGGGGACAGCTTTACGCGGTTCGTCCGTCTCGCTTTTCAACCTTTCCTTTCTTCTTTCACTAACTGAACACGAACTTCCTCAGGGCTGCGGAAAGGTCAAAATGTTTTTCGAAAGAGTAAAATCGAGCAAAAAAAGTTTAGAAGACCAAGTCCCAGACCCAACGCTCAACTGTCGTTTGCTTTGTCTTTGGTGCAACTTTCTCTATTGCTAAGTGCAGTGTGTATGGTCAATGTCCAAAAAAAAGATAACCGTCTTTCAGTTTTCATTCAATCTTGGAACTTGTACGTTTTGCCGTGTATGCATTTTGAGACCTCACATCTAACTATCGCATTTTGAAAGAAAAAGCAAACTTTCATTGAGTAGAAAAAAGGCATCGCTCTAACCTAAGCCGGCCACAGAAACATGAAAGCCGAAAAATCTTCGAGTTGTTTTTTGTAGGCTGTAGTTTTGAAGGTCGCTTTACTTGAATTAAAGCTAACAGTTGCTCGACGATCCTTGGTCCCATGGGTCGGAGCAAATCATTAAAAACTGGCGAGGAAAGAATCTTCAATTTGCAGATGCCTGCTTTCACTTGGACTACTGAAGAATCTGGTCGTTGTTCGCACTGCCCAGAATCAGCTCCTGCTTGCTATCAGGTAGTTTCCTATTATAAACTATAGAAACCATTTTCCATTCCAGGGTCTCTGCTACATGCCAAAGTACAACTCCGAGTCAACTGAAGAAACAGCTGAAACTAGCACTACTACTACAACTACCACCACAACAACGACTCCTCCAGCGCCATCAGAAGACGATATCGACTACGACTCGACGACGTCGCATTCGCCACCTTCGTCCAACAACCACGTCGACGACTATCCAACCAGTCCGTCCGTCCTTCCAGTCAACCCCAACGACGCTTTCTGAGCCGATGTCGCTGCCTCATCAGGAGTAATCGAAAGTCGAAATCAAGGAAATTGAAGACCCCATATTTAGCTGAAGGCCTGAGACCTTTTAGGGACTGTTACATCCATCTTTCTTTCTCAAATAATTATTGTTGACAGAAGTTACACTCATTGTAAAAGTTCAAACAAAAATCAGGAAAGATTTTTAAAATTTATCTTCTCATCTTGGAAAGAGTATACAGTGATTGTAATTTCAATAGTTTTTGTTGAGAAACCAGAACCTTCGCTCTTCTGTTTTTCGATAAAAGCTTCCCTTTGTGTATATTGGCCCCAGCCCTCTTTTAGGCATCCTCCAATTTGTGTACGTATTTATGTTATTTATGTTCGCTTTCTTCATATTCCCAAAGAAACGACCAAGCAATAATCTATTCTTTTCATCATTATGACATTGACCCAAGATAATCGTTTTCGGTGGAAATTGGAATTTTCGAACAAAAAAGTTCAACATCGGCTGACGCAAAAGTTGATTCCGCCAAAAAAGATGTCGAAGAAAGTTTACATTCTTCCCCCAGTCAAAAACTAAACTTGCCAAACTTCTTTAAAAATCATTGATAGATCCAATTGTCCACTCTGGTGTGTTCTAAATTGCCTTTGCGGGTCCGCTTACACTAAATGTGAATGCAAATATATCGCTCCTTCGAGCTGGTGACGGAAAATAGGCTGACCCATATCAGAGAAATTTTGCGACTCTATTTTCCTCACTAGTCCGTCATCATATCAATTCCTTTGTGATACCTTAAATAAAGATCAGAAACCATTCTTGAAGTTGAAATCATTGATCAAAGGAAAAAAAGACTTTTTAACAAGTTTGTAAGTTTAATATGAACAGCGAGATGAAACATTCTCGAAAAAAAGAAAATGAAGCAAGAAACTTTGACGAGTTCAACTATTGATATAAAAAAGAAAGAAAAAATGACACTAATATCGTGATCAAAGTAATTTCCGCGAAATTCGAGATCATCTCTGACTCTCCAAAACTTAGTTATCTTTTTCACTCTCTGAAGTCTATTTTGAGTTTCGCGGAATCACTTTGAACACGCTATAAGAATGAGCGACCAATAAAACTTTTAAAACGCAAAAAAGTAAAAGTTCAAAATCTGAATTTTTTGAGGTCCGAAAATTAAGCAAAAAGTTCAGGAAAGTCCAAAAAGACGTTTCAATACTTGTAAAAGCCTTCGCCAGACTTCCTGCCAAGTTTCCCGGCGCAGACTAGCTCCTGAAGTAGACGGCTCTGTCGGAAAGCCGGCTCTTCGGGATAAGTCTTGCTCCAGCCCTCGATGATGAACTGAACCGTGTCGAGTCCGACGTAGTCAGCCAACTCGAACGGCCCCATCTTGTAGCCGGCGCCGAGCTTCATCGCCACGTCGATGTCCTTAATCAGTGTTCAAGAAATTAAATAAGAAGGAAAACATACTTCGGCTTATTTCAACTCTGGGGTGAACAAATTGCCGCCTATCAACCGCAAAGTGCGCCCTACTCTTTCAAAAGTGTGGCCGATTACAGTACATTTACGAGAATTTTTCGCGCGCAAAATTTCGATTCACCCTGTAAATTGATAAAAATTTTTTTCCATCCAAATAATCTCACGTTTTTTTATGAAACATAATTCGAAATAAGTTTTTTTAAAAAAATCTGAATTGAGCTATATACGATTAACAATAGTTCTATTATCTCGGTTGATATTATCTACCGCAGGAAATCTTTTCGATGAAGAAGAGCAAATCTGATTATTTTATACAACCAAAAATGAAAAACTTGTCTCAAAGTCAATTTTTAAATTTAAAAAAAGGTATTTGTCCTTTCTAATTCTCGCGTTCTCAAAAAGAAAAAAAATTTTTGAAGTGGAAATTTTCGATAATTCATAGGATTAGTACAAAATCTTCAACTTATAGAAATTTAGAGAAAGAAACCTCTTTTGAGGCGTCGCCACGTTCATAAAGTCTCAAGGCCTCCATCATGTATGGGATGAGAAGTCGGTTGACGATGAACCCCGGAGTATCTTTGCACTTGACCGTCACCTTGCCGATCTCTTTTCCGTAGTCCAACATCTCCTCGAAGGTCTTCTCCGACGTCAACGGGTGTCTGATGACCTGCTTCAAAGTCGCCACAGCGAGACCCCGGGTGATTCACCTCGAGAAGCTGCATGATGGGGGCTGGATTGAAGAAGTGAAGACCGACGAATCGAGGTTTGTTCTTGAGGTCGACCGCGATGTCCATGAGTCGCAGCGATGACGTGTTCGAAGCCAAAATTGCATCGCTTCTGGCGGCTTTTTCAATCTAAGACACATTTTTCAGTTTCACATTCTTGAAGACTATTGAAAAATTATTAGTTCGAAAAAAGGGCGCAGGAGAATTTTCAGAAGTTATTAAGGCGTAAATCTATTTTCAGAATTATCTCAGGCCATACAAGACTCATGTGCCTTTGGAAATTTAAACTAAGGTTTTTGAAAAAGCCAGAGCAAAGTATTTTTTTTTTTTGGAAAAAAGCGTGATTCGGTCGAAGCGTCCAACAAACTCCTCAGAGCTTGGATCTTCGTTCAGAGCTTTAAAGATCTCAACAAAATTGAACCAAAAAAATTTAGTTATGAAGTGACCCAATTCAAAAATTTGATGCCACTTCATCTTATTGACGGTTCTATCTGGATATAAAATCTACTATGTGAGTAAGGAGTTGATTTTTATTTTATTTATTTTTTGCGAACCTCGGCAAATAGTTTCTTCTTGGCGTCGATATTCTCGACGATCGCTTCGATGACAAGATCGGCATCTCGGACTGCGTCTGAGACTTTTGTCGAAGTCTTCACTCGGCTGAGAGTTTCAGCAACAAGTTTGGCCTGAGCCGCAGAATCGTCGGCGTGCCGCTTTTTTGCCACTCTTTGAAGGCTCTTTTCTATCGACTTCTGTGCTTTATTCAAAGCCTCCGCGTTGCTGTCCACCACGAAAACGTTCATTTTGGCGGAAGCAGTTATCTTTACGAAAAAATTACAACATCAAAAAACATGTAAAAAACTACCTGAGCAATACCAGAGCCCATGAGCCCTGCGCCAATGACCGTAACATCTTTAATTTTTTTTTGAGACGCGGTACTCGAGAACCCTCTGTAGAATTTCGCGATAACTCGAAGCATCACTGTAAGATGTATATTTCTGTTTCAAGTATGAAAAACATTCCTAAATCAGAATAAATACTCAAAAACTTCTTCCAAGAATTTTCTAAAATTGCTATGGCGACCGCCTTTAGAGTCTAAAGACTTCCTCTAGATACAATTCTAAAGGTTGGCGTATTGGACCTTCCTGTCTGGGATTTCAGCTGTATGACACATGGAATTACAGGCAGGCAGGAGTCGAGGAAAGAGAGAGGGGACACGCGGGACCAGCTCAACCCACCAACTGAGGAACCTTCGCCCACGCGGGGGCGTGATCGAAGGTTCTCCTATTGCTGGGCTGGTACCTTTATAATTACAGTTTTATTTAGAAAATAGTTTTTTTTTAAACTTTGAACTGGTAGCTTCGAGCAAAAAAATCAACGAACCTCAGCACTATCTTCACCGTTTCCCAAACGTTTAGGTTACCCTAGGTTGTTTAAACTTCCGCCGCCGCTCCTTCAGTATGAAATAATAAATTTACGTCATTTACAACGTTTTTTGTGCGAACTAATGCCGTGTTCAAAGTAATTTCCGCGAAATGCAAAATGATCTCTGACTCTCCAAAATTTAGTGATCTTTTCCTTTCTCTGACAGCTATTTTGAATTTCGCGGAAATTACTTTGAACACGGCATAAACGTTGTGTGTATACCGCCAGAAAGCTACAGTAGTCCAAAAAAGTTCATTGTCCTTCCACTTGATTTGACTTGAGCGTTTTATAGTCTGTTCAAATTTTCTATGTTAAGTCATCGCTCAAACTCCACCCCTTATGCTTAGATCAAACCAATCAGAGAACGAGCCATCCACAGAGCGTTGTTGTGGACGGAGTTTGCTGTTTGACATTCAAAATCTGAACATACTTTTCGTCAAGTTCAGCAGTTTCCTTCTGTCAGGCCATAACTATCTCTTGTTTTGACCGCTCGGAGGATGTTAGATTTCAACATCTTGAACAGAAATCGCATTATGTGATATACACTAAGAATAACTGCCCAGATAAACGCGAGACACTGGCGGTATATTGACGAGCTCGCAAACATCTCGCTTTTTTTCTCGCGCCGGACTCGCATTTTTCTAGGCGCGAGCTCGCATTTCTCTCGCAATTTGAAATTTTCCGAAATGCAAGATAAATGCGAGATGGCGCCGTGAAAAATGCGAGGTCGCGCCGAGAGAAATGCTGGATCGCGCCTAGAAAAAAGCGACATTTTTGCGAGTTAGTCAATGTACCGCCACCAAGCTCGCATTTATCTCGTCAGTTATTCTTAGTGATAGAATGCACCTACAAAAAATAGTTTCACGAGAAGCCAACTTAAAAGTGAATTTCGAAAATTTCCCAGTGTTTTCACTTCGTAAAATAAAATATTTATTTTGATAGGCACCTTTTGATAAAAATGTAAGCGAAGTAAATGATCACCGTTTCACATCATTGGGTAATATTATAAAGGCAAGAGGCAAAATAAAAGAATAAGCGCATAATGTCTTGGCAATGTTGACAACAAATTTTGTAACTAAAATGAGCAACTCGAATCGAGGGAAAGAGTGAAGGCTTGCTTGGCAGCGTAAAATTAGGCAAAAATAAAATCAAAACCTCAGGTCCTACCGCGTAGAAAGTATTATGGACACGTAGATTTTGAAAAAAAAGATATGATTTAAAAAAATGTTGATTACAAATTTTTTTGGCATAATAAGTGGCGTGGGCAGAAAAAAAGAACAAAGGTGAAAAAAATGGCAATTTAGTGTTTTGAAACTGAAGTTGACGTCTTCGTAGTCACAAACTGAAAATGAAAAAAATTGAATATTATGACTTGAAAAACTTTTTTTCGAAGCTCTTATTTTTGCAAATTCTTATCCGTGAGGAAGCCTACTGTGAAAAAAATTCATCTTCGAAAAAATAAATCCCGGAATCTTTCAAAAAATAAAAAAGACGCTTTAAAAACGCTTTGCTGATTGACATCCAAAATCTGAGCAGAATATAGCTCGCGGAAAACAACAGAGCGCTTCGCTTATTTTCAAAATTTTACTTTCATTTTTTCACTTTCTGACAGTTATTTTCATTTCGCATTTTGAAAAAGGTTTTTTTTTCTATTTCTGTGTTTATTTCTCTTCATGATTCATTTTTCCTTGTCATTTTTTATTCTATTTTGTTCATATTCACCTCCGTCTTGAACTTCTCAGATTCTCCACCCGCGAACGGCTCATACTGATGCGAGCGCGTCACTTTAGTCCGGGCGTCCCCCACTTCTTCCTCCAAATCCGAAGAGGTCGTCTCTTGCTCCTACAAAAAGTCCCGTTTCAGTGGATGTTAGTTGGAAAATCCCCACCGATACGTACTCCTCGAGCTCGCGGTTCTGTGACGATGATCCATGGCGTTCTGCGTGCACGGCGCTGCTGTTGCTGCTGGCGCCGAAGTGCTGCGACGAAGACGCGGCCGCCGTCGAAAACGCAGCTCCGCGAACTTTTCCAATCGAGAATTCAGCCACGCTTTCTCCTCGCTCTCTGAAAGCAAAGCTTATCAATCTGAAATCTGAAAACTTCAAAGGTCGACGATTTTACAAACCGTTGTTTTGAAGTACTGAAACCACTTAAAATATATTCTGAAAGATAACTAAATTTTTCTAGCTCTACATAAGATTCTTTTCATGATTATGATATTTAATTACTCAATTGTTGAGAAGAGAGACTTTTCCTTTTAAAAAAAAAAAAAATGTAATCCTACACAGGGCGTATCATTTCTTGAATTTTAATTTTAGTTTGGCTAAAGAAAGAAACTGAGTGATACAACGTTAATACGAACCGTTCATCTCCATGACGAATTTGAGAATAAGCAGCACCAGAGTTGGAGTTGGTTGCAGACTGCAAAATGATGGAATCTCTAGAGGATGAGAAAATAGTTCTCACCCTAGACATGGCGACTCCAGAGGCGGTATAGTCGGACTCTCTCTTGAAGAGGGATTCTCTCGCAGAAGAAGCGTTATCGCTGACATAAGAACTGGAAGCGGCGTTTTGGGCAGAAGAGCCATGGATGATAGTCCGATCGCCAGGGTTGATGAGCATCTCCGACTTGGTGACAACAGTGTTGCCAGCCGCGTCAGTCGTGGTCGTCGTCTTGATCTCCTTGGTCGTCACGTCGGTTATCACCTAAGATATATTTTAGTCAATCTTATCCCAATCAGATGGCTACCTTTCTCTCTACTTCCTCCTTGATGGTGTATTCAGAAGAAGCTTGAGACATGCTGTCGTAGGAGTCGTGACCACGTCCAGCGCCTCCTGCCAGATGAGCTCTCGGGATTCGGACGGCTCCTGCAACTGCTTTAGTAAAAGTTCCAGTCACAGAAGGTCTAACCGTCGTCAAGGTACTGGTCGAGGCGGGCAACTTCCATACTCCTAGCAGAAGTGTCCATGACGTGAGCTCCGCTCTTCAGCTTGGCTCTTGGGATTCCGATGTCTGGGTAGTACTCGTGTCCACCGGCGCTCATCGCCGAGAATTCAGCTCCACTTTCCGACGAAGAAGAACCTTCCAACGTCGACCAAGGCCAGGCACCTCCTCTTCTAAATTCATTTTTTGAGAAGTGAAAATTCAAAAAATAACTTTTGAGAAAATCGACGTTCACCGATTTACCGAAATTCGTAGGGATATCGAATTATGAAATCAGTGAAGTTAAATGTGATTTCTCAACTTTTTTGAAAAACATTTGGAAAAGTCAAAATTTTAGAGCATGTTGATTCGCCTTACCTATAACCAAACGGAGCAGCACCAGCCAGTCCACGTCCTCTGAAGCAGTGGCACTTGGTGCAGAAGTAGAGAAGACAGCAGAGGGTCAGGAGCAAGAAAAGCAGCGCCAGAAGAATCAGAAGAACCAACGAAGCGTTTGATGGAGCGACCTGAAGAAAACATTGGATTTTGTCAGAATTGTTGTCGGAACCTGGCAGAACTCGCCGCTCCAGCCATCAGTACAGACGCAAGTTATGTTGCTGGTCGCTGAGTTGTGAACACAATCTCCGTGGGAATTGCACAAGTCGCAGAGGAGCGCTCCGCAGACTCGGCCTGGCTCGTCAGGATTTCCTGAAAGAGAAGTTCTTAAGGATGTTTTCTTCTGACAAGAGTTGTACATAAGGTGTTTGGTTGTAGTTTATGAGGTTTGGCTGAAAGGTGCTTTGCATTTCTGAATAAGTTGAAAAGTCAGCGCCTTTTTGCATTTCGGTAGACTTATGACGCTACAAAGGCGCCGAAAACTTTTTCCGAATGAAATGGTGTACTTTGAATTTTGAGGCGTTTTAACTCTCTCTAAAGACAAAAAGCGCAGTTTTTCTGACTGATTTGGTATCACATAGTCCTGAAAACATTTCAACAAAAACTGATGGAACTCTAAGCTCGAACGTTTTCCACTTTGGTGAGGGACCTACCGTCGATGTATCCATCAGGACACTTGCAGGTGTATCCAACAGCTCGGTCAATGCAGTGAGCAACGCCTGAAGTTCGGTAAGTTCATGAAAAAAAAAAACTAGAGATCAAACCAGAGCAATTAGTGAGCCCTAAAGCGCACTCGTCGACGTCGCGAACATGCATGCAGAGCGTGTCGTCACCGAGTCCCAGCATGGTCCTTTTCTCGGATTTTCGGATATCCATGAAGCCGGAGTCGCACTTGCACTCGGCCTGCTGCTCCATGTTCTTGCAAGTTGTGTTCGTCGGACAGAAGTTGACGTCGCTACAGTAGTCCAGAACGCACATCGAGCCTGAAGCCAGAGGTTTCTCGATGAAAGAAGGTAGGAGTGCACCTGGAGTAGCTCCTGGAGGTGAAGCATCGAAGTAGGATGGGAGACATTCACACTTGTAGAGGTGCTCCAAATCAATGCATCTTGCATTTTCCGAGCATTCGTTGTCTTCCTAAACGCTTATTCCATATATTTTTTTCTCAAAATAAAAGATGGGGTTTGAGATGAACCAAGGAAACATCGAAATTCTTTGCAATTTCGAATAGACCGGTGGAAACGAAAGAAAAATATTTCCAAGGCTTCTATGTCTCATAACCCTCATTTATTCATTTTAAAAACTGAAAAAAACCTTTCGTTCACATTCATTAAACCCGTTTGTCGGTAGGCATTTGCGGCCAGGATTGGTAGGGTTGAGATCTCTGAATTTGCATAATTTGTTACTTGGACTTCTTTGAAACAAAAAACCTGAAGCCTGGGCCGCACTCGCAACGATAGTTGTATTTTGAAGTTTCGATGCACTTTCCATGGGGATCACACTCATTCTGAATCAATCTCCATGAACCAAAGAGCTTCTCAATGAAACCTTGAAGCAAGGGCGGAAGGGGTCCGGCTGATTGGGACTCAGGTAGAGGTCAGACTCGCCGACTTCGTTGTCGTTTTTGTCGACAATGTACCGCACGAGTTGGTAGTAGGCGTCCGAAGGGACTCTCACCATGCCTGAAGCAGGTAGATTCCAGACTCCATTCTTCTCATTTTCCTTTAATACCTTTTCGGAAATGAACTGTAGTGTTGAAGAGGAGTCCAGAATCGTAGGAGGCGTTGACGAGAACAGGATTGACGACGTCGTTGACTTCTGCAGAGACGAAGGCGTTGCGCAGCTCCGTGTGAGGGTAGCAGCCTCCGATTCCTTCTTCCAGACGTTGGACGTATTTCTGGATTCCGAAGATATGAGCTATCCTAGAAGACGAGAAAACCTTGTAGACAGGATTGAGAGGATTGGCGACACTCTCGTCATAGACGATGTTCTTGTTGTGGTCGCGGACGACGTACAGAGGAACGGACCACGATTCGACGACGCGACATTCGTCTGTGCTCTTGGCGCGCTTCATTCCCTCCGGACAACCGCAAATATGGCCAGCAATGCAAATCTGGAACAAATATTCGTACAGAAGTGTGAAAAAGAATAGTTGGAAAGTCGATGTATGTATATTTTGTAAGTACAGTAGAAGTTTCTTTGAAACTGGATATTTTTTCTAAATTTTCTCAACTCCAAAAATTATTTTTTTTGAAAAAGAGATGAAGTTTAGAATCGCTGGCTTAAATCTTCTTATAAGTATTGAAAAAAAGGTTTTGAGGCCTTCAGGAAAAATTTTCAGAAGCTTAATTTAACTATTTTTTTGATCTTTGAAAGGTTTTAGGATAGTTTTTTTGAGTTAGAAACAATCTCAAATAGACTAATTGAACACTGGATTTTTCAGTCGATTCTGAGCAATTAGTTTTTCAAAACGAATCTGTGGTACCTCGCCAAGACGTTCGTTGCAGCTGATTCCGCCGCATTCGCCGACGGGTTCAGCCTGCTTGCAAGGATTGAGATTTTCGCTGTCGCTGGCGACTCGAAGAGATCCACCGCCTATGCACAAAAAAAGAAGTTAGATCAAAGATTCACTGAATGAAACCGATAGCTCCGTTGGTTCTCTGCAAGGAGGCCATCATCTGCTTCCACAGTTCGCATTCGTCGATCGGCTGATTCGAAGATTTAGTCGTTTGAACTTCATATTTGAACAGGAGACCTTGATCCCATGAGCTGAAAAGTTTATTATGCCCTCAGAAATAATGAGAAACTTTACCTGTTGATGGTCTTTGGATGAGTAATATAATCAACTTTAGTGTTGACATATCTGGGCGCGTAAATTGTTCCTCCAAAGGTTCTGGCCATGTTCTTCTGAAAAATAAAATTCATCTAAGTAAGTCGACCTGGAAAAAGCTCCACGATTTCGACGTAAGATGGGTTCTTGGCAGATCCGAACTCGCTGGAATACATGACTGGCTTTTGGTCTCGTGTCACCACACGAATCTGCATCGGAGTTTCGTCCACAGCTTGGCATCTAAACATGAACTTGATGATCCGGGAAAGAAAAGAAGCTCCTTCCCATTAGTATGAGTGAAATTGAATACTTTGAGTATGATAAACTTCAAGAATAAGTTGGACAACTTTTCTCTAGTCTGCCGAGGTATCTAAGCAAACCTTCCAGTGCTGGCGGATCGGCTCTCTCCCGGACGACACCCGCAGTACTCGCCACTGATGCAGACCTCTCCACGGCCGACGTGGCAATGGTCGCGGCCACACGGAAGGCCGTCAGATAGAGGATGCGTCTGCACCGGTTGCTGAGTCACTCTTTCCACCTTTTGCTCAACCTGAGTTTATTCGAATACAAATGTTTGATTTTCGTTTTTCTCACCACAAACTCAAGACAAACTCGTCCAGGTTCTGCAGGATTTGGAGATTGGTCGTAGAATCCATGCCGGCAAACGCAAGTGTACCCATTTTCCAAATCACTGAAATTGAAATTGGTTTTGATCAACCACCAGTTTTTTTTGAGATTCCTCCATCGTTTTTTCTTTTACTCAATTTCAGTTATGATGGATTTTATTATTTTACCGGCAGTCAGCATTCTGATCGCAGTTGTTCAAGTTGGCGTCGCGGCATTCATTCAGGCGACAAATCCGACCAGCTGGGCCTAAAAAGAATTTCTTCATGGTTTCCGAATTCTCATTATTTCTAACTCTCGTGGTTTGTGAATATTAAAAGTAGAAAAGTTTTTTTTTTCGAAACTTTGGAGTGTCCATTGAAGTGATACATCTCCCACATCTTGTTTTCTCAAAATATTACTGACAAAAGATTCCGTTTTGGGAGGAAATTTTGGTTAGAAAAAATAATCCAAGCGGTGGTTGAACTTTTTTGAACGAATTCGTTTCATAGATTGCATAGAACTACAAACGATTGGAGAATTTTGTCTAATTTTTTGCATAAAATGCCTGTTTCAGACAATATAACAGCTCAGTTCAAAAAAAAAACAAAAAGAGTTTCCACCGAAAAAATTCCAATCGACAGATAATTTTGAATGTTGCTATTTCCCGTTTCCGAACTCACCGGGAAGACCTTCGTCCTTGAAAGGCGGCTTGCAGGAGCATTCGTAGCCCCCAGGCGTGTCCCGACAGATGGCGTTTCGGTCGCAGTCGTTCAGGTTCGGCGAGTCGCATTCATTCAGCACTGGAACATTTGCAATGGCTGAGTATTCCTCGGTTCTTCGTCATACTGTAAGAACACTGGCGTCCAGGATTGGCCGGATTATCGTCGTGATATCCGGAACGGCAGCGACAGTCGTAGCCGTGTTCCTTGTCGATGCAGTCGGCGAAGCGAGAGCAGCTGTTGAGGGACGGGTTCGAGCACTCGTCGACCTGCTGGACGCCTGAAATTCTCCGAGTTACTTCGAGTTCCCCCGGCAAGTACTGACAGATGCGGCCAGGACGACGAGGATCTGGAGACTGGTCTCTGGAGTTGACAGGACACTTGCAAGTGTAGCCTTCTGGCATATCTTGGCACATGGCCAGAGTGTGACAGTCGTTGAGGGAACGGTCCAAGCATTCGTTCATCTGCAAGAATTTACCTTTTCCATGTCTTTCCTCCTCTTCAAACAGACCAATTCTTTGCAGATTCTGCCAGGCCGGCGGTTGCGGTCGGGAGACTGATCGGTGTAGCCGTCGCGGCACCGACAAGTGTACTTTTCTGGTCCTTCGACCTCGCTGCAGATGGCCGCGGCGTGGCAGTCGTTTTGACTGAAAATATCATTCAAAGACGAACTTTTCATCCAAATCACCTTGGATCAAGACAAACTGGCTCCGTGAGGACACAGATGCGTCCAGGCTTGCTTCTGACGTCCGGAGAGCGGTCGGCGTAGCCTTGCAGACATTCGCAAGTGTAGGACTGAGCTCCGGTTGCTCGGCATGTTCCAGCGGGATGACAGTCGTTGCGTTCCGGATCTTGACATGGATGACCTGAAGAAAGAAAACCTCAAAATCCATAATATTCCGTGTAAAAGGTTTTTTGACGTGGAAATCTTCATTTCTAAATTTGCTATAATAGCTTCTTCGAGTTTTTTTGTTATTTTTTGCTCGTAACTTCTTTCTGAACTACGGACCCGTTTTTTTCATTGTTCCCCGAATGTTTTTGGAACAACTAGAGAAAAATTTATGTTTTCTTTTCTACTCACGTGGCGGTGGAGTCGGAGGTGGCGGTGGTTCACAGACTCTGCCTCGTTGGTTTTGGTCAGGAGACCTGTCGATGAACCCTCGTTGACATTCGCATCTGTAGCCGCGAGCTTCGTCGTAGCAGATGGCGTTGCGGGAGCAGGTATTCAGACGAGGGTCGCGGCAGGCGTTGTCTGGAAGGGCTCAGATCTTGATTGCTCAACCGAAAATGGACATACTTCTGACGCAGACACGTCCTTTCTGTCCGGACGGAGACTGATCGACGTATCCTTGGATACAGGTGCATTCGTACTTCATTCCACCGAGAGGCTCGCAAACGGCAGCCGACGAGCAATCGTGGTTAGAGGGGCAAACTTCTGAAGTTGTCTTTTGATCAAAAGAAAGAGATAGGAAGTCTAACCAGGGGCTGAGCAAACTCGTCCAGGTTGAGAGGCGAGGTTCGGAGAGCGATCGACGAAGCCTTCCTTGCACTCGCAGGTGTAGCCTTCTTCCAGGTCACGACAATCGGCTTGAGCACTACATGTGTGACGTCCTTCGCGGCATTCGTCAACCTGGTAATCCAAGGATCATCGTCTGGAGTAAGACTCCAGGTCCTCACCAATTTGACGCAGACGCGGCCAGCGCGATGAAGCTTATTAGGAGACCGGTCGACGAATCCGGCAGGACACTCGCAGGTGAAGGATTGTTCGTTGTCGCGGCAGTTGGCGTTGGGATCGCAGTCATGGGCTCCCGTCTCGCATTCGTTGATGACTGGAATGGTTTTTTAAAAAATGGTAGCTCTGTTTCCGTCGAAAAAATGGTTTTGATCTTTGAGCTGAGATAAGCTCCACTCAAAACAGTTTTATGTGGCAAAAATTTTCAGAAAATTCCAAACCATCAAGGGTCAAATTATGCGCCTAAAAAATTGCTTTTCCGAAATTTTGAAATTCTCTTGCGATTCGTAGATGTTATTAGCCGTTCTTAGATGTTCGTTTTTTCATCTCTAGCCTGTCTATTTATATTTTCGACCTGATAAACCCCAAAAACTATTAAAAACAATTTTTTTTTTCACTGACATTGAAGACAAACGCGTCCAGGGAACGAAGAGCTGGGAGAAATATCCTTGGAGTTGGGAGGACACTCGCACTCGTACGAGTCCGTCGTGTCCTTGCATCTCGCATTCCTATCGCAGTCGTTGAGTCGCGCATTCGCGCATTCATTCACAACTGAAAATCAGAAATCAGAAATGGATACAGAAGGCGTAAAAACGTTGTCGGCAGGCGCGTCCTTTGAGGGTCGGTGAGGGAGAAACGTCGATGAAGCCGTCGCGGCACTCGCATCTGTAGCCTTCCTCTTCGTCGAAACAACTGGAAATCACGAGTCAAATCTAAAAAAAGAAGAAGAAGGTTTCAACCGAGCATTTCGATCGCAGGAATTGAGGGAAGGTCGGGAGCACTCGTCCACCATTTGCTTGCAGATTCTTCCAGGTCGGCCGTGAGATCGGTCCATAAATCCTTGATTGCACCTGAGAATAAGAGATGCTAAATGAGTTGTTAAAAAAATTCACTAGTTGAGTTCTTGAATTAAAATTCAAAAAAAGGTGAATGAACAGCTCGCTGGAGTGAACTTGAAAGTTTCGAAGTAAAGTTGAAAAACTAAATGATTGGAGTTGAAAAGATAAGTTTAACACTAACTTAGTCACTGACCACCTCACTTGAAAGGAAACTTTTTTCAAATAAATTTTTGGTGATTATTTGAAACGCAATAGTATTCCCCGAAATCTTTGAAAGGAAAAAAACGGACTTGCACTCGTAGCCTTCCTCCAAATCGATGCACTGAGCGTTCTGATGGCAGTCGTTCAGATGAGGGAACTGACACTCATTGACCACTGGAAAATCGATATCAAAACTCTGATTCCAAGACTTTTGTCCCACTTGGCTTGCACATGCGACCTGGCCGATTTCCATCACCCATATCTTTGAATCCACTGCGACATCTGCACGTGTAGCCTTGTGTCTGAACACAAATTCATATCTTTTGAAAAAAACTGCCGTGTGGTTATCACTTTTTTCTTGAACTTCGAAAAAGCTATCTAGTTAGAAGTTGAACGATATACCTATCTATCATTGTGCGGAATCATAGAATTTAGTTCTACACAAGGAAAAAAGAGTCGCGACATTACCAAACCGAAAGTTTACTCGTTCGTAAACAAAGGTAATATTTTTTCCAACAATATTCTTCAAAACTCCGCCAAATATATTTGAACTGAAATTCTACCTGATCGATACACTCAGCCGAAGTGTGGCAGTCGTTCAATTGCGGGAACAAGCATTCGTTGATAACTGTAAGCAAAATGCTCAACTTGAAAACGTTCAGGATCTTATTACCAGAGCAGACGCCACCCGCGTCTCGTTGGTAGTTGATGGGACAAGAGCATTTTGGCTCGCCGACGACCAATCGACAGACCTGGAAACGTTGAGCATTTTCAATTGGAAAATGAGTGAAGTTCCACCTCATTGAGATGGACTTTGCACTGGTTGGGGCCGTCGAGTCGGCATTCTGGCGGCGGCGGCGTCGGACGCGACGAACAGAGACGACCTGGATGCGTCGCCCGATGCGGAGACATGTCCAAGAAGTCGCTGCGACACTGGCACGTGTACCCTTGGGGAAGGTCCTCAAATAGATCCAATCATTTTTTTTTCTCTCGAAAACTTCCAATAGACTAACCTGGCAGATGGCGTCAGAATGACAGTCGTGCTTTCCGGTCCGGCATTCGTCGACGAGAGCTGGACGGCAGATTCTTCCCGGTCTTCTCGCGATATCTGGGCTCTCGTCAACAAAATCGTCACGGCAACTGAAAAAAAGTCGTTAAATCACGGAGTGATGTTTTGGGAGTCTAGTTGAATCACGAAAACTAGAGTTTTCTAGCGGCTGTACACTGATTCAATCAATTATGATCAGGAAACAATTTTTTATTAAATTTAAAATTTTCAAAAAGATATTAAAAATTAATACCGCTGCAAATCTTGACATTTCGCTAAAAATCGTTGATGATAACTCTCGAAAAATTAGTAAAAATCGCATGATTTAAGACCTATAAACAGACAGAACTTTTTTTGCAACAATAAAAATTACCACAACCAGTGGACCTTAATCTTCTTATTGATATAATCAATCTCCTCGTAAGATTTTTCTGACAAAATTTTTCAATCGCTCTCAGTTCAAAGCAGGATTGCACAAAAAGTGATTTTTTGGAACCGAGACTAGATCAAATCTCGTGCAACCCCGATTGAAAGCCCTTCTGAATTTTCTTTTCTACTTACCGGCACTTGAAAGATTCGTTGGTATCGATGCAATCAGCGTTCGGAGAGCAATCGTGACGATTCGACGAGCATTCGTTGATTCCTGAAAGCATTCCTGAAGACAACTTCCGGATGAAAACGAACTGAGCAAGCAGCGTCGTCCAGGCCTGTTGATGGTGTCCGGCGAGAGGTCGATGTAGCTCTGAGGACAAGCGCAGATGTAACTGTCTTCTGAAGAATGGACACTCGGAAATCGTCCCAAAAGGGCTCGAAGCACCTGTATCCGTGCAGACGGCTTCCCTGGAGCAGTCGTTCTGTCCCGTGGAGCACTCATTGATGAGTCGTTTGCATTTTCTTCCGGGACGATTGGTCCTGTCGAAGGAAACGTCCAAGTAGTTCATCGCGCAGCGACAAGAGAAAGAGTCCGGAGTGTCCTCGCAGATTCCTAGAAAAATATCATCGCTATCAAAAATGAAAAGCTGAGTTAACCTCCGTCTCTGGCGCAATCGTCGATACCCAGGGCGCACTCGTTTTGAACTGAAAAGAGATATTTTAGGAAATGTTTTCAAATTGTCTTTTATTACACACCTGCTCAGATGAAGTTACTTTCTTGTCAGCAAGATGAATATTAATAAAATTTGCATTATTTTCTGTGCAAAAAACCGTTTAAAAAAAGTTATAGCACGAAAACTCCATTTGACGTTTGCAAAATTTCATTCTATGATTTGCAGGCTTGTGCTAGGGCCGGCCTGTAAGCTTCTCGGCCCCCGGCCCGGCCTCAAGAAAAAATGGCCAGCCCAAAAAGCGCAATTTTTTCTATTCGAATATCAAGTTTTTACGACAGAAGTCACGTTATTGCTTATTTTTTTCACTTAGAGTTCAAAAAAAACTGATTTTAAAGTAAAAAGAATTTTTCGGTAAACATTTTTGCAATGAAATTTCAAATTTTTTTTTTTCGGAATCCGGGCCGCCCGGCCTGACGCACAAGCCGGATGGTTTGCGAAGCCGGAAGGCTGCTGTGATGAGAATTCTCTAAAACATACGCGGTTTGCAAAGACGACCCGGCTTGACATTGATGTTGGGAGAGATGTCGAGAAAGCCTTGGCGACAGCGACACATGTAGCCGTCGTCGGTGTCCGTGCAGACGGCGCGGTCCGGCGAGTCGCAGTCGTTGAGCGTCGGATTGTCGCACTCCGGAATGACGGGGATGCAGACGCGGCCGGGGCTCGCAGCACTTGGCGACTTGTCTTTGAAGCCTGGTGGACATGCGCAAGAGTAGTCATCGTCTCCTGGAGTCGTTCTTTTATTTTGAGAGACAATACCAATAAAAGAATGCAAGAGAAGTTTCCTTGATTTTCATAAATTCAAGACAATTTATTAAAGTACTTGTTTTAAAACTGACCAATTTGGATGCAACGAGCATTTCGATCACAATCGTTCCTTCCAATTGAGCATCTATCATTTGTTTTGACTGAAATAATCAGCTTTTCCTGGAAAAGATCTTCGGAAAACCTTTCTGACACCGACGTCCAGGATTGCGGAACTCGTCCATATCCGTGAAGTCAGCCTTGCAAACACAGGTGTAGCCCTAGGAAAGCCATTTATTCTCGAGAAATCGCAGGAAACAGACTTCGATGCTATCAATACAATGGGCGTTGCGGTCGCAGTCGTTCAAATGTGGGAACAGACATTCGTTGACCAATTCTTTGCAAACCATTCCAGGGAATCTGCAGAAATTATCTTTTTCAGAGATTTCAGCGAGAGCCAAGTACGTTTGAGGGTTTGGCGAATAGTCGACGAATCCAGGCTTGCACCGACAAACGTAGCCGGATTCAGTGTCTGTACAGAGCGCATTGGGAGAGCATCTGAATCAGTGAAATTAACTTTTTTAGTTTTCCCATAGTTCCACTACATACAAATCATTAAAAAAAAATAAGCAGAAACAAGTGATTTTATATCGCCCCCATTTTTTGATCTTTCTTGAGACCAGTGTTCAAACCACCTAATTTCTCCTAAAAACTCAAAAAACCTTTTTTGCTTTCTCATTGTGCCATTTCCCTACATCGAAGCGAGAAAAACAATTTTAATTATCAATTGCGAAAAGTTGCATAATAACCTGTTGGTTCCATCGAGACACTCGTTCTGCTGAGCCACGCACAACCTTCCTGGTTTGGACACAGGGTCAGGCGAATGATCGATGAAGCCGGAGGGACAGGCGCAAAGATATCTCAAATCAGGGGATTATGGGAAACATTTTGAAATATCCTCACCCATCATCGGTATCGATACAACGTGCCGATCGGTCACAATCGTTCTCGCCGGTCAGACATTCGTTTTTCACTAGAAATTGTTATAAATTGTTTCAGAAAAGATTCTACAGCTAAAAATTTCTTTTCCATTGCGACAGGATAATTTCAGATAGGAATATTCTTAGCTTACCAGGTTGAGGTAAGGAAATTTATCTAAGCATAATCAAATACTCTCTGCTGGCCGGCCTATCTGCGCCAAATTTTAGTTTTAAAGGTATGAAATTTCAAAATTCGCAACTACCAAAAAATTACGTCTGGAACCAGTATTTCGAAAGTTTGAAAATTGAAATCTCTGAAATAATAAGTTCACGGCGATATCCATTACGTGGAATCTCCTCCTAGGAAGAGAATTGATAAAATTTGTAGCAAATTGTTTTTTTATCAACACTTCAGCAAAATTCTTTCAAAACTCACAGCAAATGCCAGTCACCGGATGACGACGTTCATTTCTGCCACACTGGCAAGTGTAGAAGCCGTTGTGCGGAAGGCACTTTTCATTCTTCCTGACGTCGCACGAGAAAGGCTCCGATGGAACGCATGAGCCTTAGTATAAGTAACATATTTTGAGTCCTTGTAGGCAAGACTCACCAGGATAAGTACACTGTCCAGTGGAGCGACTTCTTTCAAAACCAGTTTGGCATTGACAGTACCTTGAAACAAGTCTTTGCAGCTTATTTAAAAGTATTTTTCTTCTTCATAAAGCAAGCAAAAAATAAAAGCAAAATTCGATTTTCAATTCCTAATTTAATGAAAATATCGAGCTATTGAACGATATCAGTTTTAATGAGCTATATAGTTATGCTGAGAAGTTCTCGAAATAATTCTGAAAGAGTAAAATGAAAGAACGGACCACTGTCCACCGTCGCTGACACACTGTTCGTTGGGGCCACAGCGGGCTCCTCCATTGTGGCAGTCGGCGTCCTGCTGCGGCGCGATGTGCACCTCTTTGATGGATACTGTAACAAAGTTTTCGTTTTGAGACCCTCAGTCATGGGAAACCACAGAATCCGCTGCGATAGTCGCGATTGTAGCCTTCAGGACACGCGCAACGGTAGTTGTGGTAAGGCGTGACGAGGCATTCTTCGGGGAAGATGCAGGAAGTGATCAGTTGAGGGTTGCAGAGAGAACCGCCGCAGACTCGCGTCGTCGGGTGTCGGCTGAAGCCTTCGGGACACGTGCAGCGAGTTCTGAAAGCTCCCAACGTCTTTGAGCTTTTGTGAAAAATCAGTGAGGCTCCATTCTTCATCGAGTTTTCATAATTGTTGATCCTAAGTATTGAGTAGAGAATCTATATGATTCATAATTATCTATTCGTTGCAATCACCTTCCACTCTCGTCGATGCAAATTTCGTTGAGAGTTCTGTCGCAGCCAGTCTGGGTTCGGACGTTGCAAGTTCCTTCAGGAGCCGTTTCCTGTTTGACTGGCGAAGGACAGGCGGCCTTCTGGATCATCGATCGAAGTCTCGTGTCCAAGTCCTAAAACAAAGGGAAGATTTTCTTTGCAGGAGTTCTTGGAAGTCGGACTTTGAACTTGTCGACGTAGAACCAACGGCTGGGTGAGCCAGAAATTGATTCCAATTCGCTCGCCAAGACGTGATCCGTCACACCGATAGCGAATGTGTTGATTTTCAGACGTCGCGCGGCTTCTGCCGGACCGGTGACGTTGTCCTGCGACCTGCCGTCGGTCAGAACAATGGCAACTCTGAACATCGATAGATCATCGAATAAATTCCTCTTGTGAAAAATGAAAATTTCAAACAAAGGTTGATAATTACCATATCTTGCCCTTAGAAAAAGTTAGTGTTAAAGCACAATTTCTTTTCCGGTCAAATAATTTTCTACCATCATAACGAAACCTGGGCCTTTCAACTGAGAAGAAATACGTACCTGGCGATATCAGCACTCTGAGGTCGAGCTCCGCGTCTTTCGCTGAATCCCTCCTGAACCATGTGTTGAATGGCTGCTCCAGTCCTTGTTAAGCCAGTCAGATACTGGGTGTCGGTAATGGCGCGCAGCACAGATTTCTTAACTTCTTATTTATCAACATCTCATTAGATCAGACTACCTTGTCAGTATACTGATCCAAATCAAATTCGTGGCGAATCTGATCAGAATATTGAATGAGCCCAACACGCGTCTTATCCAAACCGATTTCGAACAAATCAACGAACTCTCGCACAAATCTGAGGACCTACAGAAACGAGACTGTAAACGCGATATCCAGAATGAAACAGCGACCTCATTCTTGAAGACATAGGAGCCGATGGAGCCGGAGCCATCGATGAGGAAGACGAGGTCAGTCTTCTGCTTGGGACACGTCGTCTGGACTGTACAAACTCGGCCAGGAGGCAGATTTGCGTTGGAAGAGACGTCGACGAAGCCGGCGTAACACTGGCAGGTGTAGCCGTCGGGCTCGTCGATGCAGTCGGCGTTTTCGTCGCATGTGTTCAAGGAGGAGACCGTGCATTCGTTGCTAGCTGAAATCGAAGAGTTGAATTCCACGTCTTCGTTAGGAATTCAGACCGTTGACGCATCTTCTGCCTGGAGCCAGGTTGTTCCGGCTGGAGACGTCAACGTAGCCGTCGAGACACTGACAGGCGTAGCCGTTGGTCGCGTCGATGCACCGCGAAAAAGGCGAACACTCGTTGTCAGGCGTCGCGCATTCGTTCACCACTGCAATTATAACCATTGGTCATTCTCTTAAGTCAATGTCCAAACTGACATTCTTTGCACTTGCGTCCCGGCTTGGACATGTCCTCGGAAATGTCGATGAAGCCTGGACGACACTGGCAGGTGTAGTCGTCGAAGCGGTTGAGGCACACGGCATTCCGGTCGCAAGAGTTCTTTTTCGAACACGCAGAGTACACTGCAATTTTTTTTTTCCATAAGACTAGGTTTTGAAAACTTCAAACTTCACAAGCAGCTCTGAAAAAAACTAAAAAAACAAAAATCCAAAAAAATGAAATTGAAAAAAAGAAGCTTGGTAAGAATATAGATCAAACTATGAGATTATTTTGGTTTTCAAAAAGACTCTATTTGAAAATCTTAACCTTGACTCCATAAATGAGAAGTCGATTGATTCCATGTTTAGAACTTTTTTCAAGTAGAAGTCAATAATCAACTCTATTTTCAAATATGTTCCCCTCTTTCTAGATGTACATCCCTGTTTTGTTTTCTCAGTTCAGAGCATATCATTTGTTCGTCATTCCCACATTCAAATCATTCCAGTCATTCAGTTCTCCCAAATATTTACGACATGTAACTTTCTTTGGATCAAGGTCCAGACCCATTAAAAGTCAGAGCCGTCCATTTAGAGACACACGGAACAGACATCCTCAAAAGTTCCGTCGCGGAATCGAGTGATAAGATAAAAAGGGACTTGCCGCGCACTAATCATCAGCGGCTTTTTGACAACAAATGATGGACTTTTTTGCGAAATTGGGTCAAAAACCGGGATGTTCTCCTACACACGTTCGATGAGGCAAAAGAAGGAGAATAATTTCTTTTGAAAGTGCTCAGAAGTTGTTCTCTGAACACATCATATAATTCTACGGAAGAGTTCACAGAACTTTTCCTTTTTTCAACAAACTGATAGCCCTGACTTATTTTTTGTATGAACCAAACATCATAATCTATTCACACGAACCTCATTGAAATTTTAGAAATAATAACTTTGTTGATTGAATATATTTCTTTAAGTAGTGATTTTTCAAAAAACCCGTATAATTCAATTACCTTGAATTCAGACTTGATTTTTCCTAACTGTTTCTATGCTTTTATCCAGCAGCAATTTCTTAATTTTACACGAAAATAAAAGACGTTCACACTTACCTCTACAGCTGCCATCCGTGTAGCGGAACGCATTTTCGGCACACTGACAACTGTAGGAACCGCGAGATCCGAGGCAAACTTCATTTGGTCCGCATTTCGGGCGCTGAAAACAAAGCAAAATTGAATAGATGCTTTAAAATAAGTAAACCTTAGGATCACATCCATCAAGTTGCAATGAGGTCTCTTGCTGGATTCTGTCCAACTTTTCGATCGGCTTCGTGCAAATTCTATAAAAACTTTCCATTTTTTCGGTGTTTTTTCTTTTCAAAAACCTTCCAGGATAGTGAGTAGCATTTGGTGAAGTGTCGACGTAGCCTGGGCGACAGGTACAAATGTAGCCCTCCTGAAAATGAATAAGATCTTTTTCTGGAAAATTTACACTAAAAAGAACCTTGGCATCTTCACAGAAAGAATTCTCAGCGCAGTCATTCAAGTTGCGAGAAGAGCATTCGTTGACAGCTTCGATACACTTTCGGCCTAGAAAAATATTAAACTGAAAGAGTTGAAATTCTCTTACTTAAATTTAATTTCACTATATCTGCAAGGAATTTTCTTAGTTCACTGAATTTCAATAAAGTTTTCAACGCTAATTGTTCACCTGGCAAGCGACTGAAAGAAGCAGAAACGTCGGCAAATCCAGGCCTGCACTGGCAGGTGAAAGACTCCTCGGTGTCCACGCAAATCGCATTCTCCGAGCAATCCACGCCGTACTTATCGCTGGAAAATTCTTCATTTTTCGCAAATTTTATAATCGCCACACCGATTGGAGCATTCATTAACACGCGCGCGACAGATCCGTCCGGGCTGTCCAGGCGGAGAAATGTCGGCGAATCCGGATCGGCACTGGCACGTGTAGCCCTCGGCCTGAAACAGCTCAGAATTCATTAGATCAGTTGTAATCTTGAAACTCCACGAAAAAAAAAACTATGCATAAGTTCGTCCCTTTCTTTCTTGTACATCTTTGAAAGCTCTATGACAATTATCAACAAAAAGTTGATAGATTTTCGACAAAAAAATTTCAAAGATGATAGAATAGAAAGCCAAAAAAAGAATTACAATTCCCTTTAATTGATTAAGAATCTATCAAAAACAACGTGCACAAAAAGTACTGTACTTACCAAATCGATGCACTGCGCGTTTTTGCCGCAGGTGTTGAGCTTGGGCGTCTCGCACTCGTTGATGACCAGACAGCGGCCGTCGGGAAGTCGGGAGTATCCAGAGGCGCATCGGCACTTGTAGGTGTTGTTGAAGAAGACGCAGACTTCCTGCTTCCGTTGATCGCAGCTCATCGGGTCGCTCACTTCGCATTCTGGCGGGTCGGGAACGGCAGCTGAACATCGAAATTCTTCATAACTTTTACTAAACGGGCTTAGCTTTCAGTTACTCGAAAAAAAAATATTATGTGGATATGAAAAATGCAAAACTCAGCCTAAAAGGTTTCCTTATTTGAATATTCTTGAGAGTTATCACTGAGCCATTTAAATTTCTAATAATTCTATTTCCAAAAGAACCTGTTTCTATCAAGGTTCAGATCCTAGAACCACTGAAGAAAGCTTTTCCCAACAAAGAACCAAACTTTTTTCGAAAAAAGAGTGAAGAAATAATAGAAGAAATCCCACCTCGGACGCAAACTTTTCCGGGAGCCTTGAACGGATCAGGACTCTCGTCTCTGTAGTCGTCGAAACATCGGCAGGTAAAGCCGTCGGCCGTGTCGATGCAGGAGGCGTGCTTCGAGCAGTCGTGTTTGCCTGCCAGAAGACATTATTCATTATTCAGAAGAACGGCAACACCTTCGGCGCATTCGTTGACGACGGGACGACAGACGCGGCCAGAAGGACGGCCGTGCTGGCGACTGACGTCGACGAAGCCGCTCACGCACTGGCACATCGGTCCGATGGGCGTCTCGCGGCACTCGGCTTCTGCCGCGCAGTCGATGTTCGAGCACATGTCAGCTGTAATGGTAAAACCTTTTTATTTTAAGTTTGAGTCTTCTCGGGCGCTTGCTCAATTTTTTGTTTTCACAGCTCTGAAAAAGGCCTCAGACTCCCTAGTCAGTCCGGTGCCACGCTCAATCTTTCATTTTCATTTTGCTCTCAACATTATCTGAATATATTGGTTGATAAATTTTCGATCTGAATTTCAAACCCCACCAACTTTTTTAGTGTGGTAAATTTTTTTCCTATTCCGTCGAGAATTAAAAACCTTTCATTCGTCTTGCATGTGCGCGGTCAGCATTTTTTTCCAGATTTACACAAGACCCGAGACAAAATTACCGAAGAACACCTCCTAGGTTCTCTAGTGGCAAGATCAAAATCTAAAAAAAAAAAAGCAACACGAGATTCCCGTTCCTTTGTGTCCATACACGGCGCCGTTCGTCGGATGTTTCGAGGATGAGCCACTTGAAGAAAATTGCGCCGTCTCGGTTTCAATCTTTTTGTGGAAGGACAAATTTGCGGAAAAAACCTTTTTTTGCCAATGCCAGTAGAATGGTTTCATTGAAAAAACAATTTTTTAACCGATTTCAACGAAAAATTTCTCTACTTATATGAGTTGTCATTCTCGAGGTCTTTGCTTTAATTTTAAAAAAATAGCGAAGATCTAAAAAGGGCTTTGAAGCAAAAAAGAAAGTAAGTCCAAGAAGACCAAACGTTTATATTTTATAAAAATATTGACTGAACGAAACTGAATTAATTTCGGAGCTACTTCACCTCTCCAAAAGTTTTCCTAATCAGCTTAGCTTTAAAACGAAAGTTATCGAATTTCCCAGATTGCATTCTGAAAACTATTTTCCATTCCATTTCAGCTGCAATCCAAATAAACCGACGCGAGAACGGCCTTGAGGTGCACGCTCGACGAGTATTGCGGTTCTCGAAACGGCGAGACAAATTGATAGGTTGACCTTCCATGTTTCCTTATTTCATTTCAGTTTTTTGGGTAAATGGGCCGTCCGTTCCGGTCACGTCGCGATATATCAAGATTGTCCGACTTTTTTTCTCCTTTAATTTTCTCGTAAAGAAAAGCGAACACGGTCGTTAAGTTAATGGGTGACAAGAATAAAAAAAAACGAAACATTTTCCCAGACAGTTTCGAAGCTGCCGTCATAGTTTTCAAAGCCAAGAATGCATCATCGACGGCGAAAAAGACACTAATCCGAGCCGATTTTTGCGGGATTGCGTGTGGTGAGTCTTCTGTATTCGTCGTGCCAACCAGTCCTTCCGTCCAAATAAGGAGAGAGAAAGCAAGAAATATATACACGCATTTCTTGTAAGCCGACTGGCCCATGTGCCAAAAAAACGAATGATCAAGTCATAAAAAAGAAACGCCGGGAAAGATGCGAACGTAGTCGCTGGGAGAGATGAATGGCCTCACCTCGTTTGCAGATTCTTCCAGGATTCCGCAGCGGATCCGTCGAAGAGTCTTGCCAGCCATTTCTAAACAGTTTTCAGTTTTTGATGTAAAATAGTTCTTTTCCAGATTGAAAACACAGAAATGATGCATTTGTACTAGTTTTTTTCGAAATTAACCTGCACTTGCAGGTGTATCCTTGGGAGGTGTCGATGCAGTCGGCATGAGGGTCACACGTGTGTCTGCCTAGCGCGCATTCGTCGACCGCTAAAAAACCGAAATCAAAACATTAACTAAACTTTAAATCTAATAAAAAAGGTTCGTTTTTCACACACAGATTATTATAAGGAAAGATATGGAATTCGAGATCGGAATTTGTGTTGGTGGATGGAAGAGGACTCGCGGTCGTGTTAACATAAAAATAGAGGAATGTTAAACCGAAATTTTCTCGGAATTTCCTTTTTTTCACCTTCTTTTCCGCCCCTTTTTTCCTCCTTAAAAGGTCCTTTTTAAAGTCAAGAAAAAAACGCGCCTGTGAGGCCTTTTTTCTAAAGGGACTTTTTGAGACATTCTGAACTTTGCCCGTGATTATGAAAATTCGAATAATAAGAATATAAGAAACTGCGAAGACCACTTCTTTAAATTAAATTTTTTTGTTTTTTTCATTTCGAAAAATAACGAGGTCCGTGTGATAGGAATTCAGATTTCTAACTTTAGACCAATCGAATTTTCATCCGTCTTCTTTTTCTATTCATTTTCCTATTTTTTTCACAAAAAAACAACCTTCACAGGACAATTCAAAATCAGCAGGAGACAAACTTTACAGGCCCTGGAATCTATTATTAAAGCGTTGTAATCCCATCGAAGCTGATTAGCATTAGCGATCCCCCGCGGGTTTTCGCCGCAAAAAAAAGAATGCATTAAGGACTCGCTGGCCGAAACGTTCTTTTCGTGTTTTTACAAGAGAACGTCGTCTCGAGAAACCTGACCGTCAAGAATCGCCCCCGACTGAAGCAAAAGCTGGGCGTCGACCACACGAGAAAGTCGGAACTTTCTTTGAGGCTTATCACCAACACATCCTGCTGATCAAACAGCATACTTGGTTCAACTGAAGTAATCGGATAGTATGAACGAATTTACAGTTCAAAACCTCAGAATTCCCCTTAGAATATAACCTTGGCTAAAGTTTTCAGAGGCAGAGAATACTTGAAAGGTCCTATGAGGACCTTATAAAAATGTCTGCTACTCAGACACCTTGAAAAAGTGCAGGTGTTGAGTATGTGAATTAATGAATAAGAACACATGAATGATTAGACCAAATAAGGGTATATAAGGGTCTGAATACTACAGAGGATAATCACACTGCTCGCAACGACTACTGCCGACGTCGGCCTAGTCGTTGCGAGCAGTGTGGTTCAAATACCAGACTGTTACTATTACCAGTGGTTTAGAAGGATATAAGGTGAAAAGTTTCCATATTTTTTTCATTCCCAAGCTTCGGTTCTTGATAATCGATTAACGAATTCTTACTATTCTATCGAACTTGTGTCTTCCGCCGTTTCTTGAATAATTAAAACGTTAGCGAATAATTGGCCGGAACGAATTCAAGCGGGAAAGAAACGGGATTTTCATTCAGCATTAATTCAAGGTCTCCTAAAATGCCACTGACCCGAAACATTTTGAAAAAATTTTCATGTAACTTTAGCGACCATTTCTATAAATAAAGTAAACTTTTCGATAACCCCAGAAATCGTTGTATTTTTTCTATACAACCTTCCAGGCTTCACAACAACTCCAAACGCATGGGTTAATGATGAGAACAGTCGTCAGACTTGTTGGAATAATGATTCCGTGGGACGACAAAATTATACAAGAAAGGGGCACGCCTGGCTGATCACGCTTGGACACAAGACACGCCAATTACAGGCAAAGACTGTCAAATAAAGTATGCACTTTACGAAATCTACAGCAGATGCTTATTGTGGTCATTTCCTAGAGTTCCGCGTCAAAAAAAAACTAATAAATTATCTGACAAACTTTATTCCAAGTACATATTTAACTGAAATTAGTCTTAAATCTTGAGTTTAGGTTCATATAAATAACAAAAATATCTTTCGAATCTTCCATGAGAGGTACTCATAGAAGAAATAAATTTGAAAAATTAAAAAATGAAGACTCAAATATTTTATGCTCCAGTAGAGATACCTAATCAGTAAATTATCTTTAAAAAAACTTCACTTGAGATTTCTGGATAGACTTTACTCGGAATTTTCCTTTCTCCAAAAATCTCCTTGTTCATATACTTCCAGAAAATGATAAATACCTATTGTTTGTTAGGATCCGTTGAGAGATTTATTAGTTTCTTTCAGAGGCCATTAGAATTAATTCCGCAATCACAGGCCGTCATAGATCAAGGAACAAGGCAACGGAACGCCGTTCGAAAAACGATCAATTGAAAAGATGGCCAAATTAATCACGACCAAGCCAAAAAAGGCCTTCAGCAGGCGGATTAAAGCCATGTTCTCAAGGTTTTCTTTGGTTGGCCAGGCGTATTGCCGCCGCGTTCCCGCACTCAACCGCAATTTCCAAGGTTTTTTGCCCAACGAAAAACATCTCACGCCGTTCTGTTTAGAGAGAACGCAACAGAGAAAATGGCAAAAAAAATTGAGTTTCAATAGGAAAATTAAATTTACTAAAATTCTTAGAAAATCAAAAAATGTGGAATTTTCCTATGATTAATCAGCCCCGCTTAGAGAGTTTTCGAGTTGAAAAAAGAAAATTAACACAAAAAAATACGTGAAAGTTACAAGAACCATTAAGAATACCAGAAAAAAATCAAGCATTTTTCATAACTCTGCCTATTTTTATCTCACAAGTTGATCTGCTCTCTATGGAAAAAACCCATTTTTCAAATCTGAAGTTTCGAAATTTTTACTTTTTACTTTTCGCATCTTTCCTGTTTGAATACAACGACCAAACAGAAAAGCGCAAAGGTTTTTTTTTTCCGTTTTTTGGTGAAAAGTTGTCCAAGGAGCGTGAATGAAAGCGAAATTCCACCAACTCTAGTAGAACTGGTCAATTTCGTTTTGCCTTTTTTCATGGCAATTTTATGGAGGCTGTTTTTTTCGACTTCTCACCTCAATTTCAAGGTACTCAAAAAGGTCTTTCTCTGCGAAATTATCTCGAAGATCGATGATCTTCAAAATACTGGAATAGCCACACATGAACATTATTTTCGCGGATTAAAAAAGAAAAATTAAATGTTTGATGAGCAATCTCTGATAACTCAATAGCTACGGTTTCCCAGGACCATTTCCTTTGGCCATAAAGAGAGGCATGGGAGCCTTTGAATTGAACCGTTCCATCGCAACCCATTGGCCTGTCTCGAAAACCGCTTCAAACCATCCGAAATCCAAAGGGCGCGGTCATTCCAATTCTCTTTTTTTTTCTTCAAACAAAAATGTTGCGCCCTTGACCCAATACCAACTTTTTCGCAAGGCTTTTCTCTCTATCACCTATCCGTTCAGTTCTAGAGAAAATCCACTCTTTGACAACTGTTTTTGGGAAGACTTGGCCTAATTTCAGAAAAGGTATGGAAGGGCACTGAAGTTAATCTTCAAGACGATTAAATTGATACGAAGTGATTATTTCATAAAAATTTCAAATTGAGAAGATGATCCTAATAGAAAAACAGATAAATATTGAACGGTTTCAAGAAGATGCGAAAAGAAAACCTTTTTTTCACAGATTCAAGCTTTTTTTTTCTTCAGCTTTGTTTCGATATAACATTGATTTTACAGGAAAACGGAAATTTTCAAATTTCGAAAAAAAGACAGACTATAGTTTTTGAGTTGAACTTTGAAAAAAAATCAATCAAGTCTTGTTTTTGGTGCAACATCAAACTGGACGCGATAGCTGAGAACTACTCACTTAATTCTCCAAAATTGTTACAGAATTCACACTAAAAGATAAAAATGATGAATGGCAAGATATTGATTCGAACTTGGAGGAAAAGTATAAGTAAAAAAAAAAATCACAGAAACGAAAATGAAAAATACCTCTGACACATTTTCGGCCAGGAAAACGTTTGTCGGTGCTGAGGTCGGTGAAGCCCTTGGGACATTGACATTGGAAGTAGCCAGGCTGTTCGGAAAAGCACTCGGCCAAAGGATCGCAGTCGTGTAAGGAGTAGTCCTGGCACGGGTTCGCACCTTAAATTAAATCTCAGATCAATCAAAAAACGAATTCTTAAAAGCTTTGTAGATGCAAACATAATATTCTTGAAACTCAAATAAACTAGCGATGTTTAAAAAAAGATTTTAAAAAATGGCAATTTTGATTTTTGGTTTGAAGTTTTGATAGTGCAGCGTTCATAATAATGAAAAGTCGCATTTATATGGATTTTTTTGATCGCAAAGCTCTCAGAAAATGAACTTTGATTCTTCAAGTCTGCTCCTACACAATTTGACAAAAAGCGAATTTAAAACTTGCAAAAAATGTTTCATGTATTCAAAATTGATCTAAAACAATATAAAAACAAAGCAAAAAGAAGAATTGCCACTAAAAGAAAAAGTGTGCGAAAAAAAAAACCAACAGCAATTATCAAACAGAACGGGTATTCTTACAATTGTTTTTTAACCTTGAAAGCAATTTTTGCCAAGCTATAATAGCCCCAAAATTCTGGTCATAGCGTTCTCCGTTCCTTGAGGAAAAAATCAAGAAAAAAGTCTACGGAGTTTCGAAAAAGTGCAGAAAAAATAAATTAGCAATAGTTAAGTACTTGAGGAAAGCGAAAAAAAAATCTTACATCATGAACTTTCTTGCTGAGAAATCTTTGAAAAATGAAATTTAAAGACGTTTGTCGCACACAGATTCCAAAAAAAAATCAAGAAAACTATTTCTTTTGCGAAAAGTTGATAAAGAGCTACACAACTCTGCGCAATTATTAACTAAAAAAAATACTTTTTTTTTTACTTTGCACCAAAAGTTCATCACTTTCATTTTCTTTCCAATGGTCCATTACTAAGGCGGATTTGTTCTTCCAGAAAATTCGTCTCTGTTTTACCTCAGCGCAAAGACATGGGTTTTGCAACGGAAAAATGGGTCAAAAGGCGCGGGTGTTTGAAAACGCGTCGAAATCGGAAAAAGGGTCTCAAAAAGACAGTCAGCTCTCGCTTTTCGGGACTTTCTGCGGGCAGATCTGATCCGAGATTCGCATTTTCGCTCTCATTTGCTTTCCAAGTTTATTATATTTAAGGTTTTTGTCTACTTCAAAAACACTTTCTTTTATTTACTTCTACGCGATCCAAACTCTCTCATAACGTCACGTAAAAAAACCGGAATGAGCCAATTATTATAATAAATCAGTTATGATACATCGCATTTCTCCATTTTACCCGCCAATTAGAGGTGTGTAGAAAAGCGAAAAGGAAAAGCATCGGCAAAACAAACATTAAAATCCTGTTTCAGGCTCTTTCCCGTTTTTTTAAACTTTCAAAACTTCTAACTGATTAGTTTCAATGTGAAGAAATTTTCTAACCCTGCGTTAAACGCTTTTTGGTTCTTTAAAGCGAGAATTTTCAAAAAAATGGGACAGAAAAAACCAATGAAACAGAGGTATCAAAAATAATAAACAAAAAACGGCTTTTAGAAAAAGGTTTTTTTTTTGCTTGAACGAGCAAAAACAGTAGCGATAAAAATACCTATTTGAGTAGTCTAGTCTGAGAAATCTGAGATGCTAACCTAAAAAATCATTTAATATGGCAAACTTTCGGGAAAGAAAAGATAAAAAAAACCCCTAAATTTCTTCTTTTTTTGAGCGCCACTGTATACCAAAACGCAAAAAAAAAACCTTTTCCAACAAAAAAAAAAATGGAAAGAATTCTATACCAAAGGAACAGTCGTCCTGACATCGAATGAAAGGCGGCTGATCTATAAAAAACAAAAAATTACTCACCAAGGACTTGGGACGGTCCCAAGCAAAGAGCGACCCAAAAAACGCCTGTTAGTAGGCGGCTGCGCATTGCGCTTTTCAGAAATACAGTAACGTTATCAGCAGTTTGATGAGCAGTATCAAATCTTCCGGTAAAGGTCCCAAGAAGCTAGTCGGAGAGTGGGAAAGGCGGCGGCGGATTTCTCGTTCTCCTCCGCCTTCGCTGCCTCCTACAGGCTTAGCTCGAACGTTGAAATGGAGGCGTGGCCTGGCGGAACTTGGCTGCTGACGTCTGTTCTTCCTTCCCCTCCCTCGGCGCCGTCATTCCGAAGGCCAATTGCGGTGGAGGGGTCAATTGACAACATCAGAACGAAGATGGAGAAGGAGAAGTTGATTTCGGGTCCGTTTTGGAGTCGACCTACTAGCGCGACACGACGAAATAGTTCAAGTGAACATGTATCCTGCCCTTTTGAGAAACACTGTTCAATATTTCATCCCCAAAGTTTACTAATCAGAATAAATTCATACAAGAAATACTGATACTAGTGAAACATGAGGCGGCACACAAAAAATAGTAAAAGCTACGACTTTTTGTCAGGAAGCCTGACAAATAAAGTACAATAGTATGTATCTACTTCTAGTTCTTTCACAGAGTACCAATATTTTTTGTGTCCTTAATAACTTTTGGATCTTATTTTGTATTATTTTGAAATCCAAGCTACAGCGGAGAAAGTGTGAAATCTCCAGGAAGCGCTGTAAGAAAAACGAGCTCTCGTGAAGCGTGAACACCTCGGATGGACCGGTCATTCGACGGCTTCCTCAACGAAATTTCGCCGCCTGCCAACCGGTAAAGGCTTCCGAGGAACGCGTGTTAATCCTCGCAATTTGCCCTCTCATATTTCTCACTGTCTGGTTAACTTGTCCTTTTCGGAGAAGTTCTAATACAGTAGATTCTCCTTTTCTGGGTTCCGCATCAAAATTTAGTCGTTACTGTAGGAATAAGCCAAAAAAAAAAAAAGAAATACTCAATTCTAGCATGTTGTTGTCTTTCAATCCTCTGCGAATCAAAAGGTTGTTTTGTATGTTTGCATGTTCCGATAGACGCCCAAAGGTGATTCATTGGAGTGATTGGCTATTGGCCATTGACACCCCAGACAAAGCAGATCAGAAGCAAGGGAAATACACGACTTTCACTCTCAAAGTCAATACTGCGTAGGCCTCGTCCAGAACAAACCATCTAGTCATCGCAACTTTGCCGAATTCCGAATTCAACTCAAAAACGAACATGAATCTGCACAAGAAAGAGTTTTGACAGTGAGAAATCGCGGACGGCAGGTGTCCGTTTGACCACCTTTTCAGGGTCGCTTTCATCCATCTGACCTCGTCTTTTGTTTCAAATTCATCTTTTTTCGGAGTTAGAAAGACATTTCTTCCAGATGCGATGGGTACAAGAATGAAGTTGAATCACCTTTAAGAGGCTGGCAGTTCTGGCCAGGAGTGATTGGACTCATGTCGACGTATCCAGGCAGACAAGCACAGACGAGACTTCCGCCTTTCGTCGAGACACAGTGCGCTCTCGTCGAGTTGCATCCAGCACAGTCTAGCGATACTGGAAAAATAGCTTTCTTCTGAGGATATAATTAATTTATTCGTTTTAAATCATCGTGGTCGCACGTGGAGTGACTTAACGCGTCGCGGTCGCTTTGCAATTAAAAATTAACTAATGAAAAATTTTTTAATGCTCCGGGACTGGAAACTGCATCGCAGTAGTTACGCGTTGCTCCATCCAAATAAAATCACGGGTTTTTTTTAAGGTAAAGGAAATTGAGTATAATATTTTTTATTGAATATCTTCTTCACTGATTTGACCTGATTTAAAGATTGTTGAAAAATCGAAATAAGAAGCTAAAAGAAGTCGAAATTTAAAGAAGAAGTGATTCTATTATGATTATCAACTATGAGGCAGTTCCGTTGTTGAAGTGGTCGCCGAACGTTTCAGACCGAATTGACCCTCCTTTCCCATTCAATAAACCGTTCAGGTGCCTTTTATCTGAACGATGCGATCTTCGGATCCGCGGGATTTTCCACTCAATTCATTCACGTTTCACTTTATTCAAAAGAGAGAATCCAACTTCCGGGAGGTGCAGTTATTGTTCAAAACAATGTGCAAAAAAAACATGAAAGTGAAAATTTGAAAAGAAGGTTTTTTTCGGATATAAGAAAAATTATTAAGCTCCAACATTTTATTTGAATTCATCCCTCACTGATTCTTTTAGGTGAGAAAAGCGAAAAAAAAACTCCGTACATGTTTTTTAAAGTTGTTCCTATGGTTTTTTGTTTCGAAAATTACGGATATGGCCAAAAATCTCCAAACTGCTTTAATTTTGCCTGCAGATTTTACAATGCAAGAAACAGCTACCTAAACATCTTTTTCTTGTTTTTCGCTGCGCCTGTCAATTTAAAAAAAACCCTACCTTGAGCACAAGTTCGACCAGGCTTCGTTTGGTCGGGACTCACGTCGGTGAAGCCGAAAGGACATCTGAAAATACCAGAGTAACTTATTTTATTCATGATATAGTAAAGGTATCATATCTTCCGAATCTTGAGTAATTATGTACATGAAAGAGGTCCGAATACTTGCAAAATGTGTTGAAATATGACCCAATGGCCCTAATTGTTCAAGCAAATGACTCAGCGGCCGGCGCCCCTTCTTTTTCTTCCAATCATCTTTATCAATCAATCTCAACGGCTTTTTTCCTTCTCAGCATCATGGCACAATAGGGACCGCTTCTCAACAAGTTTCTTGCTTTTTTCATCCAGATTTGCTTCCCGAAGACGTAATAAAAATGCTATCACAACAGTTCCGCACGCTGAATGGTATCATACAAAGAGAAACCCAGGAACATTTGTTTTTGAGTTGATTGGTCACGAATAGAAACTGTGAAAGAAGTTTTTAAGAGCACGTTTTAAAGAGATCACTGAAGAAACATCATTGACGCATAAGAGATCACTTTTCAATAAGTCTCACCAAAGAATTATCTCAGGTAACAGTGGGTTTTTTGAATGATGATATATTATTATATAGGTGCATTGAATGTAAGTTTTTAGGCGGGTTTTGGAATTGAGATCAAAACTACAGTTTACATTGCCTTAAAAAAAAGTTTGAACTCCTTTTAAAAAAGAAGACTTTTTTTTCGGAAACTTCATTGTGAGAAACCATTCTACGGTCACAGCAAAGTTTCTTTTTTTTCAACCAAAACAAAAATCGTACTTGCAATTGTAGCCGACCGGCAAATCATGACACGAGGCCATTTTATCGCAATCGTGAGATCCTTGAGAACATTCATTTACTGCTGAAATTAAATTTTTAGCTTCTCATAGCCCATTCAATACTCGGAGACGGCTTGAAAAAAGCCACAAAACTCACCTCTTGTACAATTTCTTCCAGGTGCACGAGCGCCTTCCGGCGAAACGTCGACAAATCCGTTTTGGCACCTTCAACAAAGTTTGTAGACTCGATCTTTCTGTTCCAACATTGATTGAATTCAAAAATCAGCAAAGCTTATTTACTTCAAGACGGCTTCAAAATTTTTAAAAAAGCAACAAAGGGAAATATGAATATCACGTTTGAAGCTGACAGCTATCAAGTTCATTTCAAAACAACGCTTTTACAGTATCTTCCAAAAAACTTCGAAACGTCACACCTGCAAGTGAAACCGGCCGGTTTATCGAGACATTTAGCGTTTGGCGAGCAATTGTTCAACGTCCCATGAGCACACTCGTTGACTACTGCAAATAATAAAAAATAATACGCAAATTGGAAAAAAACTGGAAAAAGAGTAAAAGAAAGATAATTCCTCAAGGGCTACATATACCTATTTTTTTGTATAAGTCTCCTTTTTTTAAATTGAAAGTTCTTTAATTTTTTTAATTTCTGATCTGATCATTTTTAAACTGGTGGCCGCGTCGGCGAGAAATGAGCAAAGTTAAAAAAATTTTAATCTTTAACAAAGACCCAGTTACGACTGAAATTATCTTCCAGATCTTCTATTAAAAAATTTGAAAAAACTTTACACCAAAGGTAACTTTTGGGGATGAATTGAGAGAGAAAAAAAATTGGGAAAATATGTTTTATTATGAAAGGGAAAACTTTTCTTTTGAAGGTTTTTGTTAACAATTGTCAGATATCGCACATTTCAAGCACTTCCTTCCAGGCCTTGATCGAGGTTCAAGAGAGATATCCAGGAATCCTTCGCGACAAAGACATTCGTAAGAAAGCGGCGAGTCCATACACAGCGCCGTCGGATCGCAGTCGTTGCTCTTCTCGGCGCATTCGTCTCGAAGAACTGAAGATAAGAAGATTAATCTAGATTCAGTGATCGCTCAATGTTCAAATGGTTCCACTAATGAATTGGAAAAATATGAACCTTTGCATTCGCCGTCGGCAAACACAGTGTTGGCTTCGCAGGCACATCTGAAGGCGCCGTCCGCTTGTTTCTGGCACGACTGGTGTTTTGCTGAAACTTGGAAAGTTTTCGAGAAAAAGTACAAGGGTAATTTGTCATTTATTTTTTAAAGCTATTTACACTCTAATGAAGTTTTTACTTCAGATTAACATACCAATACTTCATTGTTTTCAAATCACAAAAAGATTGGAACGTTTTTTTTCTTTCTTTCCATCAGAACACGGTCTCCAGGCTCCAGCACAAGATCTGTTACATTCTGAGTTCGTCAAGGCGCAGCTGGATGGCCTACGCGCAGAAGAACGAGGCGAAGGAGCGTAAGACCACGCCTTGAACTTGATCAACTACTTGTTCGACATGGTTTTAAAAGTTCTTGATCACAGTCTAGTCAATTACATCTATTACTAAAGCAACAAAACTAACGGTTGATTGATATATAAATGTAAGAATGAAAACTTTTGAAATGTTTGATACCTGCACAAGTACTCCGATCAGACGGATTGCAGCCGTTTTCGTCTCTGAGCGGCTTGTTTGTGAACGTGTCGGAGAGATCCTCGTCGGACTCCAAGGCGTAGGTGTCGATTGTGTGAGCCGAGATCGAGGTGGTCTCCACAGCGAACATGAACGGAATATCCTCTCCGCCGCTGTGAAGAAACCCGTCACCTCGTGACATCTAGAAGTATTTTGAAAGGAAAGGAGCTTTTCATATTCATTAAGCTTCTACGAGGTTGTCTGATTAGTAATGAGCGTTTTTGGTAGATCACTATATAAGAAACTATAACGATAGATTAGAAAAATCTTCCTTAGGGTAAACATTTATTAATTCCCTGTTTTTACAACAAAGGGGTAATAACATTGAAAAAAACTTTCTTTTTGTGAAAATGTACTCAAAAAATCGTTCCTATAAATGCAGATGATGCAAGTACAGCGACTTTTTGAAAAATAAGACCTCAAAAAAATTTAGTTTCGCGTATAATTTAAATGTAAAAAAAGTTTTCGATTTCTTTCGAAAAACGTTAATCTACAGTAGTGAAGTTAAAAAAAAAGAAGTCTAACGCGTCAAGAATGCGTAGCCTTAAATGCGTTTTGTTTTCAATTGAAAATCACTCTGCCCTAAAAATAGATGAAACTAACAGCAGTGGTACCAGAGAAGAGAATTTTCTGAGGAGAACGTCGGATTTCAGAATTCGGCTTGAACTTGGCGGACTGAATTCGCGAAATCTCGAGGTCTGAATTATTTTTGAATTATTTTTTCTTTCAAGATTCTTCAAATTGTACCTTTCAACGCGCCAAACTGTTCTTTGAGTTGGTCGCTGAGCTCGGAGCAGTTAGTGACTGGGTTTCGCATGTATCGTTCGAGGAGCTCAACAGGCACGCATTTTGCCGAGCCGAGAGGTCGTACCGTGCCCAGTTTGCAGACACATCTCCAAGTCCCGCCCACAAGCTAAAGCTTCATGTAATCATGAGATTGAACTGAAGACGAACAATGCAAATCTGGCCAAGTTCCGGTTTACAAGGATTCACGACGGTCGCTGGACAGAGCTGCAGTTTTCCGAGAGATAGCGTGTGTGTTCCGGATCTTCGTGGCTTTCCATCCTTGCACTTCGAGTTTTCCGCTTTAATGAACAGGTTAATTCATCGCACCTAACTTCAAAAGAAAAGTTATAAGAAAGGTCATTTTATTTGGAAATTTCCCGAAATTTCACCGTAACGCTCCTTGATGTACCAGAAAAAGATTCTGGAATTCCCATAACCTTCTAGTTTTGGAGGTAGGAGTGCTCAAAGCCCAGGATGAGACTATTCAACTCGGATTTTGAAGTTTTTTTTGACTTTGAGGTTTCCCTTTTCACAAACTAGAAAGTTGTGCAGTTTGAGACTTCTGGGATCTTCATTCGGTTCATCGAGGAGTGTTCTGGCCAGTTTTCAAGAAATTTCCTACCACAAAGTAAATCGACCATCCTTGTTAAACCATCTATTTTTCGATATATGGAATAATCCAATTTAGAGAACTTAGAGAATTGGATAACTTCCGTTGTTGATGTGTTATAGCTTAAGTTTTGAAAAACGCAGTTTGAAGTTTGAAGAATGGACAAAATAAAAATAAAAAGTAAAAACCCGCAAAGCTGTAAATAAATTCGCTTTGTCTTTTTTGTTCGTTTCCCTGTATACAAAAGTCGTTTTCCTCGAATTTTCGATGGAGAAGGTGTTTACCGACATGCATAGGTGTTAACGAGCCGCAAGATAATGGGATTCAGTAGTGCAAACATTGAAAAGCGATTGCGATGCGCAAGGTAATGGGTAGAAGCCCTACAGACTTGCTAATTTCATCGAAATTCTTCAGTCGTATCAAGGAAACCGGCAGTCGTAAGCATGCAACTTTACAATTCTTAAGTGAGCCTGCAATCTACAACCTATCTTTTTTTGACCTCCAACCAACACTAAAATCGTACCTTTCATGGCCCAACACAAAATTTTAGTACTAAAATTTTTTTGGGAAATTTCCAAAACTGAAAACTTACAAGGAAAGCTTTCTTAACCCACGGTTGAACTTTAGAATAAACTTAACTGGGTCGTATTTCACGACCTTTTGACTCGAGAACACGAATAAGAGTCCTTTCAATAAATATATCATTCAATTTATGAACTTCAAAGTTAGACTTGCTCCCAAGCAAATTAGCAATCGCTATACAAATCATGAAAAAAATGGTTATTTGAGAATTTTTGAAGCTTCATCAATCAAAGCACTTTTATTGCTAGAAGTTTGAGCTTGTTCTGAAATCAAGAGCTCGTTAAGTAAACTTTTGCGAAATTTCATCAAAAGTTCAACCGGCGGCATGTTCCCTTGTCAGCATTTACAATCTCATTTGAAGGCATCCTCAAAAAACTTTCAAATGCGAATATTTTTGATCATTCTGATGCCCAACAGACCATGAGTATCGTTGAAGAGCTCGTCGCTGCCGTCCTCGCAGTCCCAGGAGCCGTCTCCGACCGCTTCGCGCGAGACACATCGGACCGCGCCGCAGCTGCACGAAAACTGTGCCCCAGTGCACTCTGCAAACGATTCCTCAGAATTGTGGCAAATTGAATAGTTTGCCTTCATCTGAATGGTCGGCACAATCTTCGCGCCCGTCCTGGAACCTTTTTCCTTCGATGCATTTGGAGCCGTCGGCGCATGGAAATTGAGATTGTGGGCATGCTGAAAATCGTTTTTTATTTGAAAATTCAGGAATGACCACCTACATTAATTTTTTTTAAAGTTAAGAAAATCTATTCAACTCTTCAAAACACTGTACTCGGATTTTACTCAACTATTAATTTTTGCATTGCGTCTTTTTTGACACTCTCTTCTCTCACAGAAAAGATTTCGAAAATTCGAGGCTCGGAAAGAGATCCTGAGAAACGCCTCCCTACTTTTTCAAACTGTTTTCAGAAGCTTTTTGGAGCTCTACATAAGGTTCTGAATTTTATTGAATACTATAGTATGTTTGAAAATCGTTTCGGCTTTGACAAGAAAAGTCTAACTTTATTCTCCTTTATAAACCGTAAAAATTAGTTTTTCAAAATCATGATTCTGACATGAAATAAAATTCTCTTTCCTTATCTCTTTCAAAATTATCTTTCCGAAAGTAATAACTCGTTCCTCTTGCTTCCGCTATAATAAGCGTGAAAAGAGCGGCAAGAATGAAAGAAAGTACGAGGCCGCATTTTTTTCAACCAAAAGTTCATTCAATGTCCTCGAGACGATCGATTGAACCTTATGAAGAAGCAAAAAGAAAACCAGCGTACGCTCAAGGCTGTTTCCGATCGGCTCGTCATTTTTTCACGGTTCGTGAGCAATAAAAGCTGGGAACGTGAGAAGAACAGATATTCAGACTTTTACTTTCAGAGATGAGAATTCTGTTTTTCGAGCTTCTAAACATACGTTCGTCGCTGCCGTCGGCGCAGTCTTTCTTTCCGTCGAGAAATCGCCAAGGTTCAATACACTTGCTGCGGTCCTTGCAGACAAAGTAGTGCGGTGGACATCCTTCGAAAAACAAAAGGAATATTTCAGCCTTTTCCAATTAGAAAAACCTTCGTCGAATCCTGAATAACAGTCGATTTTTCCGTCTTTCAGTTTTTTGCTCGCCACACATCTTGGACTTCCAAACTGACAGTCGAACTGCCATGGGAGGCATGCTGAAAAAATGAAAACATTTTGATATTTTCAAGAATATAAATAATAAAAAAGGCGGAGATTCAGTGATTTTTCAAAGTCAGAAATTTCATCGATTAACTCGATTAGATGTCTCTCCATGATACAGAAACGTTTAAAAAAAAAATGCAAAATAAAAATTCCGAAGGGTGGTTGAGAAGCTTCTCACATTCTGCGGAAACAACTCTAGAGGCTATTCTGCAATTTGTTTCGTGTATCCAGAAAATAATTAACAAACACGGCCTAATAAGAACATTATCTTGATTGCTTGAAAGAATAGCAAAATTTTCGTAATTTTTTGAAGCCAAACCCCGTTTTCCGTGTTATCTTAGGTGAACTTGAGCTTCTCAATATACTTTGCCTACAATTTTGAGCATACTCTGAGCAAGTGACCAAGGAAAGTGCTATTAATGATCTATTTTCAATCAAAGAAGATTTGAGTACAATCTTTCCGAGAAAATTTCAACGGCAACCTGCGTAAAGTTCTTACTAAAATCCTTTCTTTTTATTTTCCACTTTTTCGCCAAAAATCTTCGCAACTACTAAACGTTTCATTACTGATTTGATCTGCAACCCGCAACTTTTGGGTCGAAATGGGTCATTCCGTGAAGTTATCGGAGGCAACCGGACACCGCCGCCTGACGTGATAATTGCCCTCAACTGTTGGAGGGTTTCTTTGGCTTTGTCATAGAAACTGGTTTGAAGAGCCGAGATTCTTTTTCACCACATACAAGAGTCGACTTTTTTAATTTTTTTACCTATAAATTTTTTTGATATACTGAACTAAAAAATGAGATCTAGTTCAAAAATCAACGTCAGAAAAAAGACACAAATGCCAACTTTCGACCTGGGCCGTGTCGGAGTTTCAAGTATCTGTTTTTACTGTTTATTGCATCTTCATGTAAGAGTACATGTGCAATCGACTTTCATTGATTTCAACTGTGTTTAAACGGCGGCAGGAGCTGTGGCTTAGGCAGAGAAGTTGTGAATTTCGCTCGTAGAACATCAGGTACAAGAGAGGTCGTAGGAAGAAGTACGGTGTCGGCTTTCCAAAGGCCGATGGCAGAGATTGAGCCTTTTCGCTGCATGCAGCTCCCAATATTATCTACCCCGGAGGGATGAAAGGCTTGGTCGACCTCGGGGGGACTCGAACCTTTCAAGTATCAGTTTTGAAAGAAGAAATGAAGACCCAAGATCACCCTGTCTTTTCTTCATCTATTAAAGCCTATTTCAGATACGATTGAAATGGATAATCATTCTTTTTTGAATTTACATCAACAAAAGTGTGTGGCCAATCAAGTTGACCGGAAATTTTGCTTGGGAAATTGTTTGGTTGGGAAATTGCCGCCTGTCAGACTCGCGACGACCTTTGGAGACGTCACTCTTGCCGCAGAAGAATGGCTCGGTTGCAATCCAATGATCGTTTTCTTGACGCGCGGAACGTCCAACCGTTCTCTGAGGTCGTATTTTTTTCGTATAGGGAAAGTTGTATAACTTTGAAAGACCTTTACTTTCCCTCGAGCGAATTAAAAAGCGAAATTCCTCCTTTCTACTCGGAAAAGAAGCGGAAGCGGTCATCGCCCAGTGTCCATCCGAATAAGGACAAATGAGCGTGGCGCAGTGAAAAAATCGCCACTTCCGATGCCCAAAAACACAATGGCTGGTTATAATTATAGCCGCGGGTTGTTGAACGACGTCTTGCGCAATTCCAAGCACAACCGCAAAAGGTCGCAAGTGGATTTGTTCCACACCAAGTGTGCTCTACTGGACAACCAGTCGCAAATGTTTTTTGTCGTTTCATGGTCCATGGGAAAATCGCCGAAAAGCGTTTAAAGTACTTTTTTGCCGCCTCGGACCAACCGTTGAACCAGTTAGAGGGATAATTAGATGAAATGGAGTAGGAACTCATGTTTCACTTTCGGTAGCGGAAGCGGAGGTTCAAAAAATCTTCCTTATAATGTTGAGAGACGCTCAAAATGAAGTTATTTGACACTATTTCGTCCACAGAAAAAATAATCCAGAAAACCAGGAAAAAGACGTTTCCTCATTAGACTTTGAGGAAGAATGTGTTATTTTGTGACTTTTGCTACGGCAAAACTAGTCCAGAGAAAAGATTCATCTCTTCTGACCACTACTATCTCACTTTCCCTCCGGGGTTGCCTAACGGGGAACGCCAAAATCCAGCGGATTCTAGTTGGCAGATATTCTGGGCAACGGTTTCGTTCTAGTCCGACTTTCTCTGGCTCGATTGCAAATTGGCCACTCGATGAAAGTGGCCAAGCATTTTTTTTTTGCTTGCCAGTTCTCCCTGCCACCCGACTATCTGAACTCAAGTGATTATAGAACTAAAAGTTTTTTTTTTATATACAAAGGGCCTTTCTGAACCTTCCCTCAGTTGCATATTTCAATCCTACTCTTGCACCTTCAGGCATGAAAATCGCTTTCCAATAGCTTATTATTGGGATTTGGCTACCGACAAGTAAACACTTCACCGAGTTATTGGCAGTCCCGAAACTGCGCAACAATACTGGTATTCTAGACACATGAAGCTCAAGAGAATAATTATACTATGTGTGAGTTCTGCGACGTTGGTCACCTAAAGTGGTCAGAAAAAAAAAGGAATTCGAATTAAAACTTACAAAATAACTATTTTTATCGTAGCGTGCACAAAAATGACTTCAATCAAACATGCGAAATTGATGAAAAATGGAAAAAAAAGAAGACGATTCAAAAAAGAAACCTTTGAACGACAAAAGACCAAACTGGAAGCTTTGAAAACGAATGAAATATCGAAAATAGTTATTCAAAGGATTACCGAAACGCAAATCAACAAAAATTAAACGCTGGTTAGTACGCTGTTCCAATTGGGTCCGAAGCTCGTGTTTCACGTATTTTTATGATAAAACTAAACTTTGAAGTACGCCTTTTTGGTTGATTTTTTCTGTACAGACACCGATCTATCTGGACAATGTTATCTATTCAACTAAGAACGTTCATCTCATTTACATGCATAGTTTCTCGATGTCTAAGAAACTGCAGAACAATACGGGAAGAGGCGCATCACGAGGGTTTTGTATTGTGCGGCCATTTGTGTCTCTAAGTAAGTGGCTCAGGAACAATGCTCCTTGCAGCGATGAAATGGGACCTCCTGTGGTGTTCCGAAATGAATAGCCGTGTGCCGTTTCGAAGACCATTCCTGAGCCCTCGTTTAATGGCTACACGGTTCAAGGCCAACTTATTTCAGATTCACACGGCCTGGAGTTAATTGTCTTGGGTTGCGGTAGAGGAAGGGGACTACTAAATCATGGCCTTTTTTTTCCAATTTAGAAAAATTGAGCCTAAACCTTGATATACAAAAACTTCAAATGAAATAGTATTCTCGTTGAGTTTTGTTGACAAATAAAGCCCTTGACGAATTCAGACAGTTTCCAAAAACAACATCCAACAAATCGAACGAAAACGGGAGCGATTTGCACGACGAGATAATCTTCATCGCGCTACTTTGATGTCTATCGGCGTTGACGTGAAATATCGGTGCGAGAAAAATGAAATTATGCATAGAAATGAATCATACGAAAGATAGTCAGGTCCATCAATTTTTTCTTATCTGAGGTGAGATCAAAAAAGAAAAACTCCAGAGAACACTCCTTAGTTATCTATCATCTTCGAAAATAGCAAAATTATACTGTTTGAAAAGGATCACAGATAAAAATTGCTATTCGGAGAGATTGAGCTAAAAACTTGAACAGAGGCAGAATCAGAGAAATATTGCTTAATTCAAAATTGTAAAATGTTTTCACGAGTTCTTGAAGAGAAAGTCTTCAAACAGGAGCGTACACAGATTACTGGGAATGAAATAATTCTTTAAACCACGCTAATTTGAATTTCAAAAAGCTTCTTCTTTTTCTTTACTAAAAAAAAAACGAACACTCGAAATGTTCGAGCGGTCCAGCCAAATTACTTAGGACTTTGAATATAGGCTGTATACATCCGAAAACTTACTTTACATTCATTTCAAGCCTTTCTACCATCTTTGTCTTGAAAAATTGCGACAGGTCCGAGAAGGCCAACGTCTCCATTAGTTAGAATTGTAGGTCAAACCTAGTACGATGGCATTTTTTGCGCGGCGCGCGAGATAGATGACGAATTACGCGGCTGGCAGGCCAAACAAACCGCGAAGATTCGCAAAAAGATCTGCCGCCTTCAAGGACACCCAAATGAGCATTCCTGACTTTCTTAGGTTGAGCAGCACGATTTTTAGAAGTCTTCATGAAAAATAATGAAGGGAAACATTTCCAGTGAACTACCCTACTGAAATCGTGCAAAGAGCAGTGCCTATGTCGGCATTCTGCAAAAAACATTTCCTGCATCTTGTACATCAGAGCTTTGCATTTTGCACAGGAGTTCCTCGCACTTTGCCTTTTTTTTTGTTCTTGCTTTTGAACAGACGAAAAAATTGCAAAATGCGAGGTACTTCTGGGCAAAATGCAAAGCAATGATTTGCAGAATGCATGAAGCTTATTTGGAGTATGCAGGCATAGGCACTCCTCTTCGCACAATTTCAGTAGAGTAGTTAATAGTTGAAAATACTTTGATAAAAAACAATCATTATTGGAAGTCAATAAAGTGAACTGCAAATAAAATATTACTCATTTTTTGTTCTTCCACTTACACCCGAAATTATTGAATTTCGTACAATTTTCTCGCTACTATAGCGCTGGCTTGAAACAAAATCTAACGATGGTCTCAAATAGGTATACTACTGTGCAAAAATAATGAGCTCACCTATAAATCTGGCCCTATTCAATTCTAGGTGGCGATTATTGTCCTATAAATAACTTGCGATACGACAAAGTTCCGTTTTGAAAAAAAAAGGACTCCTAAAAGTAACAACAAAGTAGAAAAAAAGTGAACAGAAAGTAATTTCGCGCGTATATTGGCCCACTTAGACGGCAACAAAGGTGTCCAACAAGTACAAGAAATTTTTTTTTTTCTAAACAAGCCTCTGGCTTTTTTCCTGACCAAATGCGTTTTCGAAAAAGCAGAACCCCTTAATTACCTTTTTCCAAAAATCGAACAACCATAAATCTAGAAGTCATGTCGGGCAAGTTTACATGGGAACTTCGAAATTTAAAGCGACTAATCAGTGTTATTATAACAGTCCCACGGTCAAGTTAGGATTTTTATGAACCTCTTCAGAATGGACATTCGTAAAAAGACGAGAGAAAATGCGATAAATCAAGAAACTCGGATAACTTTTCAGTAATAGGCTTAGTTCATGAGAATGAAAAGAAATAAAAATAGAGTTTAACCATGGAAGTTGAGGCGCAAAAAATCAAGTAGAAAGAAAGACAAAAAAATATTTTTCGAATAATCTTCCGAAATAAAGTGTTGCTAAGAATTTTTTTCACTAATAGAAGGATTGGAAATATTTCTACCCAAAGTGTTCAGAAGAAAAATGAATGAGTGAGAAAAAAATAAATTTTAGCGAGTTATCAAAGTTAATTTTCAGAAGATAAAATCGAAAAAAACACAGCTGCTTTAATAATTGAAAAATTTTATGTTCTTTCAAAGCAATTACTCTTAAATTTCACTGGAAAAATTTTTCGGAAAAAAATTACAGTTTAGAGTACGAAATTTAATTTAATTTTTTTCAATATTTCAAACTAACGTTTAATAAAAATTTAGAATACCCTTTTTCTTTATTCGTTTCGTATAACTCCAATAAAATAATTAACTTGAACTTGAAAAAAAGGTAGTAAAAAAAGTTCAATTCAATTTTTCCGCCCCCTCACTTATATGGGGTATGCTTTTTTCAAAGAGACATGTCTCATTCTTTTTTTTCGAACGTGCGTTTAAGTTTTTGAGGAAAAAGACTGAATTTATAATAGAGTGATGACAAACTCTTCGATATAACATGATTCAGCAGAGATTTTCTACATCTTACTCTGAATACTGAATAAATTGAATTGAATTGAATTGAATGGAGCCAGACAAGAAGAATCTATTGCAAAAAGAAGAATCTCGAGAAAATCAAAATGTAAAGTGAAAGAAGCAAACGGACCTTCATCGCTGGCATCAGGACAGTCGTCGATGCCGTCCTGCCATTTCTTGATGGAGACACAGTCGCCACCGACAAAACAGCGGAACTCCTCCTTGGAGCAGTTTCTTCTCGAGCCGACGACGGAGCCCGAAATGAGCAAGAGCCAGGGAATTAACCGACTATCCAAATGCATAATCGAGGAGCATTGATAATGGGAGTTTGTGTGAGTAGTCGGGATCTATCTAGTAGTCGTTCGACTTCACTGACGGAGGACCGGTAGACGCATAACGAGGTGGTGGGACCCAGGTGCCGATGGGCGGAGCTTCGCGTACGTGCCTTCCAAAACGTAATTGTTGGTCTTTCGGTATGGGACGGTGCAGTGAAGACGATGACCAGTGTAAATTATCTTGAGCAGCTATTTTTGATGGTTTTGCTCTCAAGCCTACGAGAAAGGCTTGGAAGAGAAGCGGCAAGGATTTTGAAAAAAAAAGAGAAGCGGCAGGGATTTTGAAGAAATACAAAACTTCTTCAAACCTTTTTCGAAAAAAAAAAAAGTTTTTTCTTCTTCAAAAAAACTTTATTTTGGTCATTTAAGAATAGCCTGGTCGTGATGACATTTTTTCCAAGTTCTGTTGCTCGACATTAAAAAAAAATTACCATTTGTGAAGTCTAATTGAGCGTTTCGCTCTTTAAATCTCATCCAATAAAAATACATTTTTAATCACAGTGACTTTCTTAAAATTACAGTCCAAACATGACTCTAAAAAAATTCTTCTCTCAAAAAAAATTACTGATTCGATTCTTTTTTTATGTTTTTTTAATAATTGCATGTGCTTGAATTAATGCCTTTTTTTCAAAAAATTACTAAAATACAGAAAAAGTAGTTAGATTACTGATGGAGATTATAAAACTATCGCTAACCAGTTTTATATATATCCCTCTTTTGTAAGTTAAAGTCATTTTTAAAATTATATACATTGAATGTCATCAACACTGATGTAAGCTTCAAAGTTGAGGCCAAACCGTGCCAAAAGGAATGAATAACCTGACGCAGAGCAAAGTTCTTGGCACGGTCTCCAGTTACCAATTCATTGTCCATTGTTGGCTCTTTGTCCCTGCAGTTTGTTGTTGTTTGCTCAATCCAAAACCTTCGATTCGCTCAACTAAATCTTTCCAAAACGGTTAATCTGATCCAAAAACTCCTGAAAGGTTTCGGTTGCCAAAGTGCGACCTTGGGGTTCATCTTGAGTACCGTTCTCTCCATGACAAGTTGGCAAATAATCGGTGCTATGAGCCTTTTGAGTGAGGTCGGTGTCCGGCGACACAGGTTTCATAATTGTTTGAAACTACCCAGCGGAATGGAACATCCTTCAAAGGTTAAATTTCAAATAATAGTTAGGCTTTTCAAAAAAAAAGGTTTTTGGCTTGTGAACTTGATAAAAGCATTTAGAACGGAGATTCAAGTTATTTCTGCATCAGATCACAAAGTTACTAAAAATTTGTATCACAGAGAAAATCTAGTTTGAAAATAGCGGATTTTTTTCCACATTAAAATATTTGAAAGACACTTGAATGAAAATTGATGATTTTTTCAAGATTCGGATTGATAGATTCAACACCGTCAAGCTTTTTCTGAGATATTAGAATGTTTTCTTTTATCAGAAGGCATTTCGACTTTTTTAAGTTTAGGTTTTTTTTTTCAAATTTGAGAGTGTGAGCCACGAAAAAAAGTCAGAAATTAGTTTTTTGAAATGCTTTCCAGGAGATTCGTTTTAAGTTCATTTTTATTTTTGGCTAACTGAATTAATTTTCTAGTGTTCAACGCTTTGGTGTTTTGATTAATCGTGGGTTTTTTTCTTGAACTTTCTTTTTAGCTTTACCAAACAGTTTTCAAAATCTGACGGGAAAGTTGCGACGGAACCTTCATGACTCTCGAACAAAGTTACAGCTTAACGTTTCTCTTTTTGATCGAAAATAAATACTATAAAAATAAAAAATGACCTTTCGAATCCTCAGTGAGAATTTCTGATCACTTCAAATCGCCTATTCAACTTTCTCCATTCGCAGCCATAACCAATTGAAAGTTTGAAAAGGCAAATTAGTTTTTAATGCGGCCCAGTGACCGGAATCGTGCCAAGTGGCCTCACTTGTCTGGCTTCTCTTAAGAGATCCCTTCAGAAGACGCAATTTACTCATTACCTATTATCATGCGCCGACGTCGGTTTATGAAGATATCCGACCTTGCGGCCCATTGTTGTGTCCTCACTCCTTGGGAGGACCGCACGCGTCTCGACTCATTGTGTCATTTCCTCGGTTTCAGGTCAAATTCTCGCCGTATCGGACGAATTTCTGAAAGTTTTCATGAATGAAGCTCGCATATAGAAACGAAATGAGGAAAAATTAAAGAGAAAACTTCAGTACTATTATGCTTAAATTTTAAGATGCATCCAAAAATCTATGAAGTTATTTTGAAACGTTTTAAGTGAGAAAATGAAACTAGAGCCAAACTGTTTTTGAATTTATGATCAAAATCAAATTTCAGTAGAAAAAGCGCCCAAAAAAATAATTAGAACTTAGAATAGAAAAAGTTCTTTTTTTAGGCTTAATGGAAGTTAAGCTTTGAAAATTGGAAAAATTTTTTTATTCTGAATTTAATTTTTTTGCGCGTTTCGTGTGTGTCTCCTTCCGCAACTTCGGTGTATTTTTAACCTGACGATATTTCAATTTATTGTAATTTTGGTTTTTTTTTTATTTCATAATTTTTTAACCGTTGAAATTTATTTTTGAAAGTTTCAAGGAGGTGATTTTGTGAACAGAAATATTCTGCATACTGTGGTGTGAAAAAAACTCCCAGCTTTTTTTATCCCAAAAAAACATTTTATCAAATTCAAAAAAACTTTTTCAATCGCTAGTTCTACGCCAATATCGAGTTTTTTTATGTTGATACGAAAAAGAAAGGAACAAGGCAAAAAATTTGAATACCAATAAAAATTTTAATACGGGCCTTAAAAAATGTTGAAAGAATTCTTGTGACATTTTTGTTTTTCAACGATTCCTACTAGCAAGATTTCAAAGCTTTGATTGGATATGCTGAACTCAGGTTTTTTGCTGCTGGTTTCTTTTTCGGTAAGATTTTAAAGTTTTTCACTTTGATTGCATTTTGATAGGGGAAGGTGAAAATAAAAATATTTTATTTCAAACTATTGAACTGTGATTTTTTTTTTCAGATTGGTGTTCGTGCCAACATCTTCGATTGCTACCCAGGTATGGTTTTTTTTCAGACTCACTATTCACAGTGGGACTTCTGAATGAGACGTAGTCAGAAGAACTTTTCTTTCAGAGCTTCGAGCCAAACTGGAGGACCGTCCAAAAACTCAGAATAAAGGGGAAGGACGTCAGGAAGATCTTTATGGAGGCTATGGAGGAGGACATGGTGGAGGTCATAATAATGGAAATCATGGAGGACATCCTGGATATCCCGGAGGCCACCAGGAAGCTTCATGTCCGACCGGATGGGAGAGCTACAAACGAAAAGGCAATCGTATTTGGTGCTACAAGGTTCTACCCATTTTCCTAATTTGAAAGGCTGATATTAACTGGTACCATTTTGATGACGGGCTGCGCTAGATTGAGACAGAAATATAAAATAAGCTTTTTTTTCGCAAGAAATGTGGTTTAAGAATAGTTTTAATGATAAACTTTCAGGTGAACAAGATCAGAACAGTTTGGGAGAAGGCACAGTTGCTGTGCCAAGCAGAAGGAGCTTCATTGAGCGGCTTCGAGTCAGACGAAGAGTACGTCGCTCTTCAAGGTATGGTTCGAGGAATTATCGATTTCTCAAGTCTCTTCTTTGATCTAGAGTCGAATAGTTGAAACAACTTTCTCCACAAGAAAAATTTGAGTTTTCAATAAAATTGGATTTTTAATCTGAAACTTGCTGCTACTCTCACCAACATCAATTTGCCAACTGGACTATCAATTCATTTGATGGTTTGGCCTTATAGACCTTCGTGTTGTCCCCGTTACTGTATGTGGTGAAACCTGAATCTGAAGGGAGAGTGGCGAGGCCATTAAATCTGTTCGAAAAGTATAACTTTTCCAGTTTACCAAAAACCTTACAATAAAAAAAAAATTTTAAGCTCGATATTTCGATTTCCATGACTTGTTGTTTCTGGGATAGTACTTGCGAGTTAGACATTTTTAATTCAGCCAATATCGCTTGGACGGGTACGCAAATGAAAATACTTTGAAGTACTAGGGTGGAAGGCTTGATTTCTAACTTTAAAAAAATTGTAATACGTTAAATCCACATGAAATTATCTCTCAGCGTACTTACTGAAGAACTTGGGTAAGTCCCAAGTGTTCCTGGGCGCGAAACGCAGAGCGGTTTGCAACACAAAGCCTGAAGATGACCCGTACAACGAGAATGCGGCCAGTCCTTGCAGCAAAGAGAATGTGAGACGGAAGATTCCCTCAAAGCGACTAAAATGGACCTTCCAGTTGTTCGAATGGGTCAATGGTGTGTCGAATAACAACCTGGTGATCAGTCGCCACTGGGACCCGATAAATCCTTCGAACAAGAAGCACCACGAGTACTGCCTCACCATCATGAACTACGGTTACGTCAACAACAACATGATCAACGACATCGAGTATGTCGAGCAGTTCATTTATTTCATATTCAATTACCTAATAGAGTCTCAATGACGGAAAAAACAGCAGTTAGGCAAAGAAGTTGAAAAATTATCTCCTAAAAGTTCGGAATCAAAAACTGTTTTCTAAAGGCTAAAGAAAGGGCAGATGTTCAAGCTTTTTCGCTGAGTTTGTTTCACAATTCGAGTACCACAAAATTATTGAAAGCCTTTCCATCCACCGCCAATTTAAAATGAAATTGAAAACGAAAGAGAAAGTTCATTGGTGAATAAACCTATAAAAAATTGACAGCTGGAATGAACTTTTAGTGTAACTTCATTTCTGTTGCTAAAAAAATATTTGAAACTAAATTATGACAGCGATATCGAGTTGATGTTGAATTAAATGATGAAAAGGGTTCACTTTTTAGGTATCAAAGTTTCAAAAGTTAGGACCTCATTCAAGTTTTTTTGAGCTGATAGATTTCTTTTCAAAGAATAAGGACCTACATTTTCAATTTTAGAATGTAATCAAATGCAAAAAAAGAATTCAACGAACATTTGGTTCCGCCGACCATTTCTCTCTCTTTTACAGCTGCGCTCCTCGGAAGCTCCCCTTCGTCTGCGGCAAATTCGCAAAAGCCATATGATTAAGTTCCAAAACTTCATGTTAGTAAAATTTTCATTCAAGGATCTTTACGACTTTCAAAAGGTGCGTTTAAAGTAGAAAAAATAATGGCTAGCAAAGAATTGACTCTGGATACACATATATCAAGTCGCACTGAATCAACCTACGTTTTTGAGTTTTTTTTTCTGAATTTATGACTATAGTTTATTTGCTAGTGGCTTGTGACAATATCCGAAAATTGTCTTAACACGATTTCGAAAACAGACAGAGACTATTCAGAATATGCGGAGTATTTTTCGAGTCAAAGCTCAAAAAGGAGTATGAGTCACTGTTAAGTCATTTTTTTTGTGTTCGAGTATTGAGAAATTAAAACTTTATTGTTGACTGAGAACAAAAAATTTGATTGGGAAGTACGTCGGAGTATACATTGTACTATATTTGGGATTAACTGAATTTTTTCAAAAAGCTCGCGACGTCAAGTGTTTCTTCACGTCGGGCTTAGGTAATAACCGCATGATTGAGACCTGTACAATAGTTGGCTAACAAGAACAGAAAAAGATGATACACGAAATTGAGACGAGACAGGTTTAAAACAAAATCTCTAGTAAAGCCAGAAATAATGAGAAACAAAAAAGGTGAAAAATACAAAAAAGCTAACGGCGCTTCAAAAGCAAAAATAAAAACTATAAGTTTTAAGGCGAAGGTTTACTGAACTCTTCGATGATAGCAAGTGTATTGAAATACAGACCAGTGAAAATTGAAAGTATTCCAATGACAACAAGAGTGCAGTTGAACGCGATCTTCATCATTCTCTTAGGAAGCGACAGCAAGCTCTGTAAAAAGTCAGATAATTTTGCAACGAACATAAAGTTTTATTTCACAAATTTCGAAGATTTCATTTTATTCTTTTCGAAAATGTTTTCACAAACCTTCAAATCAGACCAAAAAGCGACCAGCTCGAAAATTGGGGGATAGACCAAGGCGCAGAGGGTTCCACTGGTGATACCGACCAACGGCATCATGATCTCCAGTTTCGGGATGAGCACGGCCCATCAGATAGGTCACCAACACCCAGAATAACCGGAATCCCTTGAAAAAGAATGTTAAAACAAAAATAAAAGGATAAAAAACCTTATCGGACACAAACTTGGGGAATTTTGGGAAGCGATCGCCAAACTTCTGCATGAAGCCGTGCATAAACATGTCATAGACGACGTACATGGCGATGGCATTTCCAAGAACCGATTGGATCATTAGAAAACCGTTCACAGTCGAGTAGAAGCTATAGGAAAACTACTTCAATTCTGATCAAAATCAGGTCAACGTACCCTTCCTTTGGAACGTTTGTCGTGATAGTCGTTGCGATGGAGTCTCCAAAGGCAGTGTAGCCGAAATATCCGAGTGCCGCCATGCAAGCCGTGCTGGAGACCATTGTGATGGAGAGGACTCCGAAAGGAGCCAGAAACACTTCCGGCCGCTCCAGCTTGTTCTCGACTGGCAAGATCTGAAATCATCAGATTGGCATGAAAAAATAATGTTGGATTCAGCTCTATTTTGAAAAGAGAGAAATTCATTTGGATGTCGCAACGTCTTCTTCAGTCGAAAGAAAAAACCAACCATGGTCTGACCCTCGAAAGCGTACATTGTCATGCCGTACATTGTCATGATTCCCGTGAAATCAGTGGCAGCCGGCAAATCTCTCCACTTACTCGGTTGTCTGCAATAAATGGTTCAAGTTCTTGAGAGAATGTATTCTTTTCAGATTTTCATGTAGTTTTACCTCTTTCTGAAAAATGTGAAATATGAATGAAGTACTCACTGGATGGAGTACTGCAAGACGACAGCGGCACCGATGACGAAGAAAACGGAAGAAACGAAGGCGAAAAAAGAAACGATGCGCATTTCGGTGAACATGTTCGTCGCCATGATCAGCAGCAGCGTCACCGTGCACATGAGCACCATCTTCTGACTGAGAGTTCCTCCGAGCTGATCGCCAACCAGGTTCACCTGAAAACCAAAATTGTTTTTTTGTGACAATTAGGGTCACTCACCATGTTGTCGGCAATGAAAATGATGGCAACGCTGCACAATCCGAGCTGGTAGAACAGAATGCTGAGGTTGACGCCGTACCTGGAAAATCGAAAATGAACACAGAAAAATGTGCAGCTTCGCACATAATGCCCTTGCTGTGATGACGGAGAAACGGGATGTCGCTGGTGTCGCAGACTTTCTTGGCAAAATGCCCGTAATCCAAGGCAGCGACGTCGGACTTCTTGGCAAGGTGTTGGCTGGAGCGGACCAAGATGTAGTTGCCGTACCAGTTCAGACCAGCTATCACGAAAGTCGTTACGAAAGACACCTGAAATAATTCGTTTCAATTTTTCAAGATTTTCTACCGATTACCCAGAGACCACCGAGTTTCCAGGCGTAGGGAAGGGAGAAGACACCGGCGTTTAGCATCGACTTCGACAAGGTCATGACGGCGCGAGCAGGACTGGAAATGATTTTTGAACCTTTAAGCATCCAATCCGAAGCAAACCTGATGACGTCGCCGCTTCTGGAGACTGGCGAGACTGGCCGTTCGACGGTTTTCGCGTCCGTGTCGACGTCTTTTGCGACGACAGGCTGAGGTTTCACAAAATCGTCCATTTTCTAAATTATTCAGTTGGAGTTCGAAAATGAAAGTGTGAAACACAAATGCAAAGGATTCGAATGCGAAAAAAAAGTTTTGATGAAGTTCTCTGGGCTAAGGTACTATACTAAAATCCTCTTCCGTCGAAAATTGAGAATTTCAAATTTGAAACAAAGAATAGTTCTTCAAGGCAAAATTGCGTGCAAAAAATCGAGTAGACGAATGTTTGGAGCATTTTTTTCGGCTCTAGCCATATCTTTCTCTTGAGTTCAACTCCAAAATAATAAAACTAAAACTTTAATCAGTGGCAAAAAGGAAGAAGAACTTTCGAATTCAACTTTGTTGAGGCTCTAAGAAAAGACGGTAACCTTATATAGGGCCAAGAAGTTGACTCCGCCCCTTGAAGGTGCACTGAAAACGTCATTTGACCAGGGAATCATTTTGGACGGTGTGCTACAAAAAGTTCTTATGAGGCGATATAGTCTGTTTTTCTCGACTGGTTGTTGACCTCAAAGATATATAGCTGCTTCGGAATGGCTTGTTTTGCGACGAGTTGAAAACAGGCGCCGCCGCCTAGGAAGAATTTCACGCGAATTCCGGCCGCTGCTGCAGGTTTTGTTGGACTTTGACTTTAATTGGGTGCACTAAGAACCAACCTGAACTAAAACCTAAAAAAGCAAATCGGCATGAGGATTTATCATTTTTTGCGGTTTTGCATGGCTTCCGTTAGCCTTTGACTTCAGGGCTTCAGGGCACGGCCAAAAAATGACCATGATAGTGGTCTGCAGATACTTGAATCATGTTCATTTTTAAATATTTTTTTTATTTCTTTGAATTTTTTTATGGCTTGGTTCAACCGGTCTTTATTCATTTTTACAATTTTTAGATCACGGACTCTTCAAGCCAAACTCGAACAGGGTTTACGACATTTTCGGCATTTATTTTTATTTTTCAACCGAAATTTCTGAAAGAGGTCGTAGTGATAGTACAACTACGTGGAGGAGAGCGATGAGAAAAGCCGTAAGACTATTTTTTCAACTTGATCAACTCTGCAATCGGACTTATGTTGTTGATGAAGCTTAAGTGCGATCCTACCATTCCCAATCAATCAAATCTACTCTGCTGAAATTCCGATCAGAGAGCTCTTTCAAGTTTCCTGCTGTGGAAAGTCCTTCTTGTTATTCAGGCCAGAAAAAATCCAGTGTTAGCAACTGCTATCTGTGCGACTCCGGTAGAGCAGTGAAAAAGCCGTCGAATCCAAAAAAGAAAGCTGTTTTTTCGCAGATCACTTTAGAAATCGCTGCTCTCTAGTGTTTTAAACAGTTGCGTCTCATCATTCGGATCCGACCAGGGGAATAAGCAGTTCTCTGTTTAACCGTAAATGATTTTAAAAAAGTATTGAGAAAAGTTGTAGTTTTTCTTTTTGATTCTTGATTGTTTTCTGAAAATGGGCAAATCTGTTTAATTTTGAGTATTGCTAAAGTTTTCAAACAGAATTTTTGATGTTACGTAGCAAACTTTCAACACTGAGCGTGGCAACAGCTCGCCTTTTAATGTATGTCTTCAACTTAACGGCTCTGCCCAGGCTTATTCCAAACTTAAAGCTTTTAGAGGGGGAATACCGTGCGACGGCGGCTGACTTTTTTTATGGTCAGGTGTGAAGAGGAGGGGTGAAAAGATCAGAGCGTCACCCGGCCAGGCAGCGATGACGCCGCCGGTTTTGGACCTACAGAAAGAACTTTCTGCAAATTTTGACCTTTGCCAAGTGATTCTTACCTCCTTTCAACAGGTAGAGTTGAAACGAATATAGAAAACCGTGAAATGCCTCAGATCCTTGGCTTTAATCCGAAAAATGTTCATCTTTGACCTGAACGGTCTGCTATGGTTTAGAACACCGAACTGTTTTCAGTTGAAAGTGATATTGAAAATATCTTGGAATCACACCAAAAATTAATTTCGGACTTTTTAAAGTCAAATGGCTGAGATTGAAGTCTTTTCATTGCAACAGCTTCAAACTTCGACTATCCTTAAAAATAGAAGGATTTTTTCAAACATTACAGGACTCCAACCAAAAAATTCGACCTCTAGAATATCTGGGCTACGACGAGTTTGACAGAAAAAAACCAGAAGTTCTTCTAAATATCATTATTTTTCTTTATTAGGAAACTAGAAGTCTATGAAGATATTCTTGTTTACTTTTCAGAATGCTTTCTTTCTGAGCTAAGTAGCTCTTGGAGGAGTCAGGTCTTCATTTTTTTTTTCATACTTTGACGGAACAGAGCCCATGAAAAATGTTGTTTTTCTAATGACAATTTTAAAACCTGAAAAGCTGGCTCAATCGAAATGCAGACGTTTTCGAAAGCTCATAAAAATCTAATCTGTTGTTTGTTCCACTATTGTGGTTACTGTAACTGCAGCGGCTCCATAAAAACTGAGAGTCAAGGGAAATGACGTTTCCCAGTAAGTTCCGCCCAATCAAAGGAAGGGAGGACGAAGAAACAAAAACGTCACTTTTTCAGAGAACCCAGAAAAAGGAAACTGTATCGAATCGGGAGAGAACTGTTTGCACGAGAAGAAGTAGTCATCTTCGGACACGGTAGGCGTCAACAAGGCCGATTTTTGGATTATTTATCAATCTAAATAAAATCTAGTGGCACTACTTCCTGGATGGCAGATGACGTTGATAACGTGGATATGATGGCCTGACGGTGTTCCTCTAAATAAACTTCTTCCTTCTAGATGTTCAAGGGGTTACTTATATTTCTCTCAAAAAATAGAGTTTTTTTCCAGTTTGTTAGTTTTTTTCCAGAAATGTTAAAAATAAATAAATAAATAAAGGAAGAATTGAACCTTCCGAAAGAAAAGAATTTTTAGAAAAGTGTAGAAAGTAATGATAAAAAAAATAAAAAAAATCCAAATTATGAATATCTTTAAAAATTGGGTTTTGGGTTTTGATATTTCATCACAGCTTTTGATAAGGTCTTTTGATGATCATCTAGACAGTGAAAAGAAGAGGTTTTGATGGCATTTCAGTATTTTTATTTCAAGCCAGTAGAAAATGATGTATACAGTAGCTCTTTTTTTTGTTCATAGCATAAAACCACGAGTTTTGGAATTATTCGGTCCTTCGAAAAAACGTTCTTCAGAGCTAAAACAAAATTAATCATAAACCAGAATTCCAGCTTTTTTTTTCTGGTCAAAACAGGATCGATAGAAACTTAATCTGACGCGACGGGGATGCTTTGAACCATTCCATTTGCGACCACAAAGTTTGAATAAGTTCTGGAAAAGAAAATCCCTCGCTTGTTTCAGTCTTAACATTGCTCTGCTCCGAGAAGTTTGAAGCGCAAATGACCTCTCAACAATCGATGCTGAAACAGGAAAAATGAGGTTTTTCTATTTATTGTTTATAATTCTTTCTAACGTTTATTTATACATATCAGTTGTTTTTGTCTAACTTTGTTGGGTAGCCCAGGCATAGTAAATATAATTACTACGACGTCTTTGGCCTTCGATTCGCAGTGGGCTGACTCTGAAGGCGTTCAAGAACGCGAAGATCAAAATTTAGAAGGCGTGGGAAGATGCGAAGACGTTTTGCAAGAGAACAAAAGATTCACCCAAAGATAGAAAATCACGACGGTCAAAGAGAAAAGTGACGTGGGGTCGCAACCTAGGCTCCGCCTCCGAGGAAAAAGACCACAACGTCATCTGGTCAGACAGCCTCGACAGTATCTCCTGTGTTGTTGGTTTTGGAAACTGTTTATTGCTTCTGAATGCACTGGTACTTGTGCATTCGACGTCTCTGGTCAACTCGAGTTATGGAACTCAAGGAAGATTTCATAAATATGATGAGAATATACTTATTCACATTGATAGTTCATCTTGAAAGTGAAGTTCTCAGCGTGAACTGCACGTTTATTTCAGGCGCTCTATTGACATGAATGAGCGAGAATGAAAAAGGAAACAACAGGGCTATTTCTTTAAAATCAAGAAGGAACAAAAATGAACAGAGAATTTATTTACTATAACAGTTTATTGTTGTTTCATTGAAGTTAGTTTTTTATATCGATAAGGGAAGTCTTCTCGCTTGGAAATTTACGACTGAAAATCTTAGCCAATATCATCAAATTATAAAATTAAATAAGTAGCGTTTTTTCCCTGCGAAATAAACTTCTTTGGGGAAAAAAAGAAAGAATAGCAACTAAAGATGAAAAACATTTTAGCATATGCTCCAGCACAAGATGTGCTACATTCTGAGCTCGTCAAGGCGCAACTGGATGGACTACGCGCAGAAGGACGAGGCGAAGGACCGTAAGACCATGCTTTCAACTCTTTCGACTACACGTTTGGACTTCTAGCTCGCCAAAGGCGGTTGTTCGTTATAGCTTTTAGAGTTCTTGTTCACCGCCTAGTCGATTACATCAGACTAAAACAACAAAATAAATGATTTGATTGATATCCTGTTCGCCACGACTTGAAATAGGCTGATTGGTCTGGGCTCTCTATTCTCTCATCTGCTCACGAATTGACGCTCCTTTTGTGGTTTTCTTTCTATAAATCGTGTAAGTCTGAACTAGAAACTGAGTTCGATAGAAAAAGAGCGCAGAAAAGTTAAACTTTTTCGAGCTATGAAAAAAACTGTTTCGAAATAAAAAAAGCTTTTTCCAAATGCAGTTTTTGAAAGTTCAAACATGGTCAATTCTAAAATTATTTTTATCCGTGAGAAATTTCAACACCAGAGAACTTTAGCTTCGAATTTGAATTTGAAGATAACAGATGCATCACCTTGTTTTTTTCCTCTCACGAAAAAATATGACTTCAAAAAGAATGCTATTATCAATATTTAAAATTCAGTGGCCAAACTCAGAAAAACTTTAATACAACTTGTTTATTTGAAAGAAGAGAATAAACAATAAATAACGGGAAAAGAAAATGTTTTCGAAATTCCAGGAAACTTCTTCTGCAGTTGATTTGAAGCTTTTGTTGAACTTTAGAAACAGGAAGTTCCTTTCTATTTTTTTCTTTGTGGAACTTTGAAAGTTACATACTAAACTTGAAACGAGCTATGGAAAGTTGGTTCGAACATACATAAAAAAGAAAATATTCACATCCTTACACTGTAATAAAAGCAAAGAACTGTATAAAATGATGGAAAAGAGCTTTTTTCGACAGTTTCCTTTCGTTTTGTGAAAAAATTTTCTTTTTTTTTCGTTTGAATTTGCTTTTTGTTGTTTTTAAAACATATATTAGAGATTTCAACTACTGAAATTGCTTCAATCAAAATTAGATTTCTTTCGGCAAACCTCTTGAATATAAATTGAAATATTCTGCTTACGTCAATCACAATATTTACAGGGTTCTCTGGGAGAATGGGAAATCTAGTTCTTCTGTCTTCGTTTCTTCTAGTGATAGTCATAGCTTCAGCTGGCGCCTGTGTAAGTAAAAAAGGTTTAGATGGATGAATATTAATTTTAGACCAAAAAAGTAACGGTTACGACCTTTGAAACCTACAAAAAAGAAGTCGATGGTCGAATCAATGCTCTGCAAAAACAGATTGACGATCTCAAAAAGAATTGCCGCTGTGGTCAGTCCTTTTTGAAGCGAGCGATTTCAAGGAAAATAATTGTTTTCTAAAATTTTCGATAAAGGAAGATGTCACATTTCATCATTCTTACAGCGTTTTCGGAAAAGTAAATGCAGTAAGAAATCTTTTAGCAAAAATTTGCATGCAAGAAATTTATTTAGCGCAATTTTAGAACGATTTCCGATTCACGGCTAGCTTGAGCCATCTAAATAAGGGTCCTGACACGATAAGCAAAGAGACAGTGCCATGTTGATGGAGAGCGCAGACAGGCCACGCCTTTTTGCGTCAAAAGCTAGTCGTGAATCGGCTATAACTAATTTTAAAAAAAAGCTCTATCGCTTTTTTTTTCACTTCAACCTCCTTCGATCGGAGAATCATAACCTTTTTCATAAGAGGAATAATCAGTTCAAATTTCTAAATTGAAAAAATTATAGTTTGAAGAAAAAAGGTTTTGGATAAACTGTAAACGATCAGAAAAAAAAACCTTTTAGAGCTTCAATAAAATTCATTTTCAAGCCGATGTTGTTCAAAAGTCTGCCGAGGAAGATGCACCAACTCCGAAGCCTACTCCCCGCCCCACACCTCGGCCTACGACGGCTGCTCACAAAACGGCGGCTCCCACCACGGCGTTTCGCAAAACCGCGGCTCCGATCGTAGCCGTCCGTACAACTGAACGACCGGCTACTCCCTCGCCTACGAAGCCATCCCCACCTACGACTCCCAAGCCCCTTTGTCCAGCCGGCTGGGGCTCATTCAAACGCTCCGACGGCCGCATTTGGTGCATGTCGGTGCGATCTACAAACTATTTTCAAAAAATAAGTAATCGAAAAATTAGGTCAGTGACGAGCAAAAGAAACACAGCGAGGCTCAAACGACTTGCCAGGAACAAGGAGCCAATCTCAATGGATTCGAGTCTCCCGAAGAATACAACGCCATTCGAAGTCTTTCTCCTATAGAAACCTCATTAATCGCGGGTTTCAGATTTCCTGAAAAGCAAAGGCGTCACGAAGCAAGTTCACTTGGGCGCGACGCGCGTCGAAGGCTGCACTGGGCGAGACGATAATCCGTACAACCAGGACCCCAAGAGCCCATGCAGTCGTGACAACGTGAGAATCTTGAATGGGTCATTGAGTAAGGAACTTAACACACGTTCTCCGAGATTTTCAAAAATCTTTTTTGACGTTTTTGCATCGAGTGAACTCACAACAACGCTATAATCAGAACTTTTTCTGATGATAAGTCTAGATATAGTCTGCTCAGTTCTTGAATGTCAAGTAGAATGACGTCATTCGAAAACGCTTTTTGGATGTCTTGCTCTCACTAGTCAGTAGGGCGGAGCTTGGGGGTCGGCATTTGAAATCCTTACAGACTATAGGAGTTTTACAAAACAAAAGAGAATTTTATATTAACAATTGTCCAAAAGGAACAGATGACGTTCAAAGTTTTCCAGAATTTTCCAGAAAAAGAATATTTCTCGCACAAAAACTGTTTCTTTTTTAGATCACTTTCCCCGTTTTCTGAAACACTTGTTAAAACAACGGGTAAAAGCCATATCCTGGTCATTTGAATTTTTCGCCTTGTGGTATTTAACCGCGTTTTGTTAAATCCATAAGAGTAATGCATGATATAGAAAAATTGGAAAATATAACAGGTATTCGCTTGGGAAAACAAGGTGTCGACGAAGAACAGCATCGGACCTCATTGGACCGACAATCCGTCCAATCCTTCCAACAACGAGAACCATGAAAACTGTCTGACGTTGATGCCAGAAGGTGAAGACCCGCAGAAACTCCTCAACGACGCCGCGTGAGTTCAAAAACGTTTCAGAGAGTGACTACGCAAAAAATCGATTTCAGGTGTTCGAGTAAATTCAAATTCATGTGCGGAAAGTATTCAGCCCGTTAGCTTGTCTTTTTGGAGAGAACGAAAACGGAAGTCAACGAAAAATGAAAAACTTTTTTATAACATGCTGAATAAATCTTGGAATAAGCTCACAATCTTAATAAGCAAAAAATTGTTTCAGTTGACAGAGATTAAAATAAAAATCTGTGATCCGACAAGAAAGGGAAAATAAATGCGTTATAATATAAGCGAATTGTTTCAAAAATGCAAATCTATCACAATCTTCATAGTTTGGTTTCACAAAAAATACCAAAGCGTCAAAAATTTCTCAACGTTTTTGGCCCAAAAAAAACCCATGACTTCGACCTGTTCATTGTTCGCCTAGGCAATAGAATGAGAAAGTGCAATAAAGTTGAGATAAAAGGGAAAAAGGAATTTACATGAAAAATATAATAAATAATCTCTGAAAAATGAAAAACATGGTGAAAATTTGAAGAAAAGGACCGATTCGTAAAGTACATCAAAATATACTGGAGGAATAATAAATTCAAGCACTCTGACCGAAAAGTCTCGAGAAAGTTGCTCAAGGCATGGGCTGACTGAACGCTTCGATGATGGAGTGTATATTGGCGTACATTCCGGCGATGATGGCGAAAATTCCAATAGAAATGACGACCAAATTGATGGCGATTTTCGTCATCCGCTGTCTGTAGGTCAGAAGACCCTGAAAACTTCCAAATACAATCCATTCCTCGAGGAAGTTTCAAGTCGTGAGGCCTCGCGCCTTGAAATGCCCTAGTCGCATTTGGAGAGACTGAAAGCGTCGGATATTGTGATCGCGTACTCAGAACACTTCAGAGGCTTTCTGACGTCTTGAAGCAAGCCGTTAGGCGTTGAGCCATTCTCTAGGCGTGTCTTAGTTCCCAAGTTACGGTATAAAAATATTAATCTACTATTTCACTAGGGAACGTCTTTTTTTTCCTGGTCAGATTTTATTCTGTACTAATTCTCAGAGAATTAATTCTCAGATTCTTATAATTTAAAAGTTTTACGAAAAGAACTTTAAATTTGAACTTTATGATTAGAAACATTCAAAATTTCGATCGTCCAACTGAAGAACTTATTTCTTATTTTTGTTCAAAATGTGTTTTCAATCAAGACTGACAATTCAGAGGTCTTCCTGGAATCGTTTTGGTATCCTTAAAAGGTCAGTTCCTAACCAACAAATGTATCAACTTCGACACAAACCTTCCAGTCGGTCCAAAAGGTGATCATCTCGAAGACAGGGGGGTAGATCAAGGCGCAGAGCGTTCCACTGGTCACGCCGACCAGAGGAATCATGATCTCGAGCCGAGGAATGAGCACGGCCATCAGATACGTCACCAACACCCAGAATAACCGGAATCCCTGGCAAAGCCAATTTTTTATTCAAATTCAAGAAAAAAAAACCTTATCGGAGAAAAATTTGGGACAATTCGGGAAACGGGCGCCGAATTTCCTCCGGAATCCGTTGAAGAACATGTCGTAGACGACGTACATCGCAATCGAGTTTCCAAGGAGAGACTGGATCATGAGGAAAGCGTTGACAGTCGAGTAGAGCCTATAAAAAGCATGGATGTGTTGGAGTGAAGAGGGTACAGTACCCCTCCTTGGGAACATTCGTGGTGATAGTCGGCGCGATGGCGTCTCCGAAGCCAGTGTAGCCGAAGAATCCGAGGGCCGTCATGAAAGCCGTGCAAATGACCATGGTGGTCGGAAGGACGCCGAAAGGCGCGAGAAAAGCTTCCGGATGCTCCAACTTGTTTTCGATTGGTAGAATCTAAAAATATTTTTAATTCAAAAAATAATCATAAGTGACTGCTTTAGATTAATGATCAAATTATTATTGAGGAGACCAAAAATTACCATGGTCTGGCCTTCGAAGGCGTACATACTCATTCCAATCATTGTTAAAGTTCCTGTGAAGTTCGTGGAAGCCGGTAAACGCGCCCATTGATTCGGTTGTCTGGAAAGAATAACTTTGAGCGGTTTTGTATCAACTTAGAAATCACTAAGTAACTTTTATTTATCTTCAAGGCTGAAGCCCAAAACTAGAAATGTTTGGAAACGAAAAAAAGTTCCTTGTTCTGTAAAACTTCTCATTATATTATTATCAATAAATAAACGTTGTTAGAACGGAAAAAAAGCATCACAAAGCTTCAAAAAAATTGGCATTATTTGCCGCTCAAATAATATTTTACCTCCCTGTTTCACCGAAAACTTTTTCATAAGATTCTATTCCCTTTTCGTATCAGTCAACCAGAAAAATTTGAAAATGGTTTCGATTAAAAAAAAACTCACTGAACAGTATATTGCATGATTACAGCGGCGCCGATGACGAAGAAAACGGAGGAAACCAAGGCGAAAAACGAGACGATCCGCATCTCCGTGAACATGTTCGTCGCGATGATGAAAACCAAGGCGACGGTGGCCATCATGACCATCTTCTGATGTTGAGTCCCACTGAGCTGGTCTCCCAGCAAATTGACCTTTAAAAAATCATTCTTCAGAAGTTTTTTCCGCGGATTCCACTCACCATGTTGTCAGAAATGAAAAGAATTGCCACGCTACACATTCCAAGTTGATAGAACAAGATGGTGACATTGACGACGTACCTAAATTCTCAAAAACTGCATGAAATTTTGATATTTTGAGCGCGAACATTATGGCTTTGCTGTTGTTGCGAAGAAATCGGATGTCACTGTAGTCGCAGACTTTCTTCGCAAAGTGACCGTAATCCAGGGCAGATCTGTCGGATTTCTTGGCGAGATGCTGGCTAGCGCGAACAAGAACGTGATTGCCGTACCAATTAAGTCCAGCTATCACGAAGGACATTACGAAGGACACCTGAAAAAAATTCGTTTCAATTTTTTGAGATTGTCCACCAATTACCCAGAGACCACCGAGTTTCCAGGCGTATGGAAGTGAGAAGCAACCGGCGTTGAACATCGATTTCGATAAGGTCAGAACAGCTCTTGTTGGACTGAAAACATCTCTCAACTCTCCAGAGATGTGCTTCCAGCCGACCTGATGACGTCACCGCTGCGAGCCGTCGGCGGAACGAGTGCCCGGCCATCGTTCATCGACTCAGCGTCGACGTCTCTCACAGAAGGCCTCGCCGAGGCGTTGACGAAGTCGTCCTCGCCGACGTCCATCTGCCTGAATTTGTGAAATTATTGATATGGATATGAGGGCAACAAAAATGCACAGCGATTGCAGGAAAGATGATACGGAAAAAAAAATCTTGACGTCATCAAGTTTTCTCAAAGCAACGGAAAAACTACCAAAAAATTTTTGAAGCTCCAGTTTTTGGCCCTATGTTTTCTTTCATTTTTTCAGGTTTATAGTCGATGAAAATTCATTAACCACGTTCCTCCCAATTAGAGTAAACTATGGGTTTAAGAAAAAATTGGCGTATAATCGGAAGATAAAAGCTGGAGAAAACCAGTGAGCCGTGAAACAAGGACCAAACATAAATTTAAAAATATTTATACATTCTCCAAAAATATCGAACATACGTTTCAGAAGAAAAAAAAAGAGCTTTAAGCTATTTTCAAAAATTCACTTTTTGGTTATTTTTGTTAGTTGGGGCCAGGATGAAAAATAGAAATGATTGCACAAGAAACGGGAAGAAAAGGTGAAAACGATAAATAACATGAAAGTTTTTTTAGATAAAGCGAGAAATCGTTTCTATGAATAGAACATCGATAAGAAGTGACAGGAAATAAAATCAATAAAATAATCTTTTCATCCTAAAAACAAATCAATTTCAAACAGAATGGAGTTTGACGCCTTTGCAGAAGGTGGCCTTGACGGTGACGTCGTCGTCGATGATCACCAGGTCCGCCACACTTCCGACGTTCAGAGTGCCCCTTTCGTCGACGATTTTCATCAAAATTGCTAGAAAATTTTTTTTCTTATTTTTCAAGCTAGAGATTCGAATTGAATCGTTTAACTTCCAGGGGAAATAAGCAGCTTCGTTCTTTTCAAAACAGAATGAAAAAAGTTTTTGACGAAATTCTTTTTAACTTTTTGTCCAATTTTTTGTCTATAAGTTGATGACTTGCTTTCAAACTATCTGTCTATTTTTGCTTTCCAACTCTAGAAACTATAACTTCCAACGGAAAATGTTTCTCACCAGGTCTCTGAGTGGCACAAATCAACGCTTCGCCCAAAGAACAATTAACAGCCTTCACGAAATGTCGAATACACATTGGCATACTTGCAACGCTGAAAAAAGCATTATCAAACTAATATTGTAGAAATTAAATAAGGTAAAGTAAATTTTCCCTTAAAACGCAAGAAAAATGGATTTTTGTTTAAATATAAACTTTTCCTCTGGACGTTATTATCTTCTACATGATAAAAAAGCTTTTTTTTTAAATTTTGAAACAGTTCTGAGGTGATTCATTTCTGTGAACCTTGTTTACACTGAATGTATTCTCACGGCTCTATTTTTTGATTACGAATCCTTACAAAACTTTCATTTCGAGAAGTGACGCCTGCGATTGTCCCAGGCATGATTACATCATAAACAAAAGGAAAAAAAAGCGTCATAAAACTTTTCACAAAACGATTGTGCCTGATATAAACAGAAAAAAAACAAGGACGAGGTCGCTAGAAAACACGAGAAAACTTTCGAAAAAGGGAAAAGAACCTTCCAGCCGTGGTGGAAGTTCCTTGGAGGATGGCAGAAAGACCATTAACATGGATGGTTTGGGCGCCGAGTTGATGAACGCCGTCAGCCATTCCGAGGGCGCCGATCGCGTCGGTAACCAGGATCAGGCCGTCTGGGCAAGTTCTAAAGAACAACAAAATATGAAAAAAATTTTTTTAGACAATTTCTAAATGAAGACAAAAAAATAAAGAAATTTCGACAGAACCTAACTATTGCTAAAATATCTTCGAATATTTGAAATATAAACCAGCTCAGTACTTGAAAGCGATGCGGAGAGCCGAGTCGTGAGTGTGGATTCCGTCGGAAATGATTCCATAGTACACCTGTCGATCTTTGGCGACTTTCTCCGACGTCAGCAGGCCTATGAGCCCCGGATCTCGATGATGATACTGGAAACTCCCAGATTTTCCACAAAAGAGGTCCATCGATTCGAACCGACTGCATCGCATTGAAAAGATGCGTAATAGTCTCAGCCCCTGCCTCGAAAGCCGCTTCGCCGTGCTCCAAATGCGACGAAGAGTGTCCGACGGCTACTATCACGCCGGCCTCCTTGAAGCTTCTAAAGGTGTTTTGTTAGAAAAATAACATGTGAAAGACAAAAACAAAACCAAATTAACCTCGAAACATGAATTTAATTACAATTATAACACGCAAATAGACGTTGACGGTCATTTGCTGGTGTGATACCGAATGAATTCACGAGTTTTAACCTCCTTTTTATTGAAATAAAACTTCATTTTTCTGAAAGTTTTGAGCTCAAAACTGCATTAATCACGAAAGTTCCATTTTTCTGAATTAAAAACGAAATAGCAAACTTCGGAATTTGCTCTCCTTTTTTCGATGTTTTTCAAGTTCCTCCAAAGCCTAGATTTATTTAAGTTCAATCTCTTTTCCTCTTGAAAAAACTAACTTGATGGCTTCTGCTGCGAATTCGAGCTCCGGGGCCATAGTCACCATCGCGATGGAGCTGAGATCACCATAAACCTGGAAAAAAACAGATAAAAATAGGCGAAAACAGAAAAAGAACCAACCTCATTTATAGCGGCCCGTGGATTCCATCCAAAGTTGCGAACAAACTGTTCTGGATGACATCCACGTTTTTCTGGTGAAATGAAAGGACCTTCGACGTGAGCTCCTAAAACAATTTAGAGCAAACAACTTTTGATGATGAACTTGTAAAAAATAGAGAAAAAAATTTACCAAGAACGTTGGCGCCATGAACTTTGGATGCAGAACGTCGTGAGAGCAGAGGGAGAACCTGGAATTCAAAAAGGATATCTTCTTTACTTTCCTTTTAAAGTAGGAGTATTCCGAAATTTTGTCACTAAAAGGAATTTGAAAAGTTTTCTCATTAAAAATTATGAAATTTTTTTCTCTCTTTCTGGCAAAAAAAAAGTTTGGACAAACAGCGAAAAGAGCAGAAAACATACAAAAAAAGTGCGAAGAAAAATAATAACTATAAGCAGTCGCAACATGATCTTTAAAAAATGCATTGAAGTCCTGAGAAATGAACTAATAAAAGTTTCCGTACTGATAGAGAGTGACAAAAAATGTTGAGAAAGGGACTCGCAAAAGAAAAAAATAGAATGGAAAACAACAAAGGGAAAAAAAGATATCATTCCAAAAAAAAAATTATATTTATTTAAACGCGATTAGTGTTCGTATGAAGAAATAAAAAGCTAAGAGAAGCAAAAATTGCTTGAAAGTAGTATTTCAAGAATAATATAGAGACTGTGGGAAAATGTGGAAAAATGAGGTGCGTTTTTATGTGATTAGTCAAGGAATGATAAAAAAAAAGCCGAACAAAGCTATTTTTTTTTAAAAAAAGCAAAAAAACTAGGATCGGACATCGAATGTCCAGAACGTGACGGAGAGAGTGGTCGGGGAGAGAGACGAAGAAAATGAGAGAAAAATGGGAGAAAAGAGAGAGTCGGTCTCCGATTTGGGTTCGACGCGACAGTCCCTCGCATTCAAACTCACTCTTTCCTCTCACCAACAAAAAAGAACGGAAGCCGATCGATTTGGTCGTTTCAAAACATTCAAATCGTTTTTTATAGTCGGACAAAGTCCAAAAAGTCTTTGCGAATTCTCAAAAAGTGCAAAAAAGAGTGGCTGTAAAAACGTTCTTTGAAATTTTTTTTGCAACGTCATCTCCATAATATTTCGTATCAGAAAAAAAAATATATATAAACAAAACACAAAAAAGTGCTAGGAAAAGCTTCTTTCTGGAGAGAAAATTTAGTTGCAGTTTTTAATAAAGCAAAAATTCCCATTGTGATCTAAGGCGTGAAACTTCCCACAAGATATAATAGTAAAAATATTTTCCAAGGGAAAAAATAGATTTGAAAGGAAAGTATAACATATCAAAGATTAAGTGAACCCTACAGTGAAACCGAAGACGAAAGTCCAAAGGAAAAAAAAACATTGAGACAAGCTTTCATGAGAGACACGCGCAAAATTCGAACCGCACAAGAAGTGACAGAACGAATCTCGAAAGAAAAACTGCAAGAAATCAAGATCAAATCAAATCCATAAATTCCTGCAGTTCGATTGTTTGTAGAGCTGTTTGTCTCTTGTGTTTCACAATTTCTATGCGTCACCAATCCTCAAAAGCGCCAAAAACTTCCAAATGTCTAAGAAAGCCGAATGGATGAAGAAAAGACGCCTTTACAAACAGAAAAAAAACCATTTTTCTGCTTTTTTTTTCCAGACTCAAAAAGTTTGGCTTCATTAACTTGAAAAAGCGAAAATTTTTCGAATACAGCAGTTTTCAATCAACTCAGACTCACTGAAATTGAAGTGAAGCTTCCATTTAGGTACGAATATTGCAATAGCAGACAAAAGAAACGAAAAGACGCAGAAAAGAGTAGTGACTAGTCGGTCACCCACTGATATACATTTGTGGCGAAGTGTGATAAGGGAAACAATGTAACAGTGAAATGACAAAGGACAAGAAAATATTTTAATTTTAAGATAGCTGAACTTACCGAGAGTGGACCGGAAAGACCATACAAAATAACAATTGATTCATCGAAAAATAAACTTTTATTCTTATTTTTGAAAAAAATCAAAATAAAATCTAAGAATGGAAACAGAATCTAAATCTTCCGGAACCTCAGAAAATGAGGCGAAGTAACAAAAGAACCCGGAAAAACCTTGTGATAGACTTCCGGAGCGCTGGTGATGATCGTGGGACAGAAGCTTGTGACGCCGTGAGTCAGAAGCTTTCGACCGACGTCATCCAGGCCGGCCACGTAGGCGTTCAGCGAGTCCAGAGGGGTCGAAAAATCGAAACCGAAGCCGCCTTGAATATTTCTGTTTAGGTCCAAATCAAACTTTAAAAATATAATAAATAGGGTAACTTCTGTTTGTTCAGTTACTTTTTTTGTCAGATATATTTTGATAAAAAAATTGAAAGAGCTGTACCTTTTTTTCAGTTTTCAATTGAGATTCCCACCTTCAACGAAGTTAAAACTTGAAAAAAAACCTTCTAGAAGTACAGCTTACCATTAATTTGAATGTCGATGAAACCCGGCGAAACAATCAATCCTTCGCAATCAATCTTGAAATCAAACTTCGTGAGAACCCTAAAAACACGCGAAACCTGGACGTCGGCTTCTCTAGTTTCATCAAAAAATACATTGGCCGCGTTTATAATCAAGCCGTCGCGCACCTGCAAAACTCCGGTTTCAAAACTCAAAACACTGAATATCATCAACAGAAGGCTTGAAAATCCATTGAGCAGGGTAAAAAATTAAATTTTTCGCAACACCTAGAATTTCGTGGCTTTAATCTAAGATATTATGAAACTCATTATTATTCTATCAGTGCTCTTTTCCTAGAAAGATTGTGCAACGTCTTTGCCAACAGCCCAACACCGAGTCGTTAAAGATCCCAATATCTTCACGCACTATTCGTCTTTGAATCCACTCTGGGTTTTCAAGTTTTTCAAGCCATTTCCAAGTTTTTTTTGTTCGAACAAAATGACAAAACTCTAACCCAGACATATCCATCTTTGATAGTGCCATCTCGTAAAACTCGACAATTTACGAACTGCAACAATTTCCCGGACAGATCATCACTGAGCAGTTCGTCGTTGTACTTCACTTTTATCATTCGAAAGTTTGTGTGGGAAGTCTATAATAGAAACAAAATTATGCAAAAGGGTCTCAAATATGAATCGAAATTTTCAAAAACGAAGAAACGAACTAGAAACCTTTCGATTCCTATCACACTTCCTTAATAACAAACAAGTCCGAAAAAAGACTAATAATGTTGTGAAATGAAGGAGAGCTATTCTTATCACTGCCCTTCTGCTGTTATATAGAGGCTGTGGGCGAAAAATTCTCTCCGGAAAATTCCTTCCTGTACAGCTCAAATAAGCGAGAAGCTTGCGCAAAAACATTTTTTCGTAATAATTTGCTCAGAGAAAGAGAATTTATTGGAAAAACAAACTAAAACGAGAAACTGACAAAAAAAGAAGAAAAGATATTTATTCACAAAAAAGAACCATATTATTTGATGTGCAGCTGAGCTCGATGATATGACGCGTCGACAGTCTTAAACATAATTTTTTCGAATGAATATAGATTTTCAGTTTAAATAATCGTAGATAAAGTTTTCGAGGTCTCGGAACGAAGAATTTTTTTAAATTGGTTATACAAGACTCTAACTCTGAACGGAAAGTTTTTGAAGTAACTAAATGCTTTACTAGAAAGCAAAACGAAAAAATTTCAATTGAATAGCTGAACTTTTGAAACTATTTTAGGTTTTATTTAGAAATGGTGTAAATTTGTTTCCTCTTTTTAATTGAAAAAAAAAAGATTCTTACTTGAAACCCATTTCATAATAGCTCATAAGTTGTGAAGTGTAAATTATGAAAAAAGGCTACCTTGGCGACAGACTTGATGATAGTGAGACAATGCTTGAAGAGTTTGTCGGAAGAACGCGAAGGATAAATAATGACGACTCCAGCGTGTTGGTCGATGCATCCGTGGAGTTTCTTGTCCAGAATCATGGTGGCCAAGGCTCTTTCGACGGGTGGGATAGTCATTCCGATCAGACGTGCGATGTAAGACAGCTCCACCTCCGAATAAGGCTCAATCACACGCGAAATCTCCTATATCAAGATATTTAGTTGTCAAAAATTGAAAAAAGTGAAAAAATGAGAGCTTACATAAAAAAATTGTCACTCGGTTTTTTTATTCATCGATGAGCTTAATAAGGATGATTTTCATTCAAGAAAGCCGGAGAGACTTGAAATTAGCTTGAATTTTTTTTAGCTTAAACATTTAAAAAAATACTTGAATAAACGCTTCACGTGAATACTGCCGGATGTTTTTGAGTTCTTCTTATTTAGAATTTCACCTTCTCGAGCATGTCCTTCTGAAGGTTGTAAGTGTGTGTCGCTACGACTTTGTCCTCAACCAACTCCTCCTTGTAATCATCGAACGCCTAGATAAACGACTCGAAGCATCTTCATTTTTCGGAAACCTTTTGGAAAAGCTTCAACGAACGCGTCGTGAAAGCCTCTGCGAGTGCCTTCAAAGCGTCAATCGGCTTTCCTTTCACAGTCGCAAACTCCTGGAAAATAGCTTAACTTTGGATGAAAACGAGAACTCAGACTAACTTTACTAGCAAGTAAAGCGGCGATCTGACTCGCCTCATTGGTCATGATCTGAAGGTTATTTGATCATTTTCAGTGAGAAGAGATGAACCTTGCAGAGGAGCATATACTTGAGTGTGGTGGCGGCCTTGGCCTTATCACCAGTTACGATAAATCCTTCGAAAGCCTCGTAAAAGTAGGAAAATGAGGTTTTGAAGTCGCGTTCATCAGCCGAATACAGTATGCCCGACTGCAAGTCGATGGCCGCCTGCATTTGCGGTGAAATGTAGGCGCCGTTGGAGTTGGTCTTTGCCAGAACCAGGGCACATTTGGCCTGGAAATTCGATTATAAAATATCTGTTTTCTGTAAAATTTTCATCTTCGTTCAAAGTCTTTCAGGAAACTCTGGTTAAGATTAGAGTCACAGAAACCTTTCCTAAACGAAAAAAAAAAACTGAAAATGGCTCTTCTTTTAAGAACTCCAAGAAGTTTATCAATACATCAAAAATTAAAAAAATCATAGAAGTTAAACTTCCAAAAAAATTATATGCACCTTCAACCTCAAAAAAAAAAAAATGTTTTTCAACAAACTGAACCAAATGGAACTCGCATTACAGTAAGCGTTTTTTCGGATTGGAAAAAAAAAACTGATAAATTTTCTAATTATATATTTCTTGAAGTTCTATCTCAATGAATGTAAAAAAAAGAACATGAAAAGCTCAGACTGGTCATAGTAATATGAGAACTCAAACGATCAAATAAACAAAATTTCCGTTTTCCAAACAAGTCTGAGCAACGGTAAACCCTTTTGAAACGAATTGATATACCTACCTTTGCAAAATTATTCAAATAGAACGCGCTCTTGCTTTCTTCCAGAGAAACTTCAATTAAGAGCTCACGATCCTCCAACTTCTTCAACTCATTTCCCAACGGATGAGCTGAAAAAAAAAATTTTTTTTTGCATAACAGTGAAACGAACCAAGTTTTTGAGCTTCAGTGTATTCACGGACGTCGTTGTACAGACGAACTAGGCGGGCTTGCAAAGACCGACGCAGAAATTCGCTGTGGTTTGACGCCGCCCATTCGACGCAATCTTGCACCAACACTATCTCAAATTCATTTCTTTTTTAGCAGAAACCCCAAATTTAAGCGTCTTACTTTTTCGTCTTTGCCTTGATCAATTGTCAGAGAGATATCCACCAAATTCCGCACAAGTTTACTAGCTTTAGCCTTGCCAACGGCAATATAAAACGGTCTTGTTTCGACCATCAATGCTTGTAGGCCTTAAGAAAAATAATTCCAGGATTCTAAACAAAATGGAAACTTCTGCAATCTTTCTCCTCGGCCAACTTCTTCGCGTACGCTAATATGAGTTCCTCACATCGTTTCAGTTCATCCTCACTCGATTTCGAAGTTTGCAAGTTGACTCAAAATTTATATTATAAAATGGGAGATCCTTGTTCTAGTGAGCAAAATATAAATCTAAAATGTACCTTGCTCTCGAACGCGAGACAAAGTGAGGGCGGCAGCAGACATTTCGCAAGATTGTTTATTGAGAAGACTGCGAGTACAGTAGTGCTTTTTTATGAAATGAAATGAGAGAAGCAAAGTTGCGAAATGGCCATCATATCCGAAACGTGGCGTTCTTTCACAAAATAAACGTGAGCGAATATTTTCAAGTCAGATTCCGAAATATCAATTACTCACTGCTGGTTGACCTAAAAACGGCTCATTGCCTCGAAGTTCTTGAAAAGATTGTACTGTTCAAAATTATACCAAATCGGAGAAAGGCTTTATGTCAAATTTAGAGAAATGGACCGCTGAAGAAAATCCTGTCAACACGTACTGAGATTTCAGAATGATCTGCAAACAATTGAAAATTAATGTACAAGTGAGAAGAATTTTATTTCTAAACGTTTTGCTAGATGTTTCCTCTTCAGTGTCGCTATTCACCTCCACAGCATCGCTCTCCGAGATACTGTCCTAAAAATGAGTTTGAAAACTTTTTATCTAGTTTAATATTTCAACACCTTATATGAAAACTTTTCGCCCTGAATAATTCCACGTGCTTGTTTCTTTCAGAAATTCCCAGAACTCACAGTTCTAAGAAAAGGAAGACATTCATCCAAAGCGGCAATTTTGTGACAACGACAGGGTTGCCTTTTCTGTATCGCTCTGGAGCGTGGGGAAATCGGCGATCGAGCCATGCCAAAAACTCCTGAAACGCCGATCACATCAATTTATTCGAAACCTCTTTTTTCTATCACACCAAGTTGATAAATTCCGGATGAAATTTTGGTTGGACAAGAATGGAAGAATACATATATTTTTTTAATGGTGTACTTTTTTTTATTTAATAAATATTCATAAAAGATAAAAAGCTCGTGACGCAAAGGGAAAAACAAAATAAAATTTCATTACAAGGAATATTCATATCATCATCATAACATTGACGCAAGAGCCAAATGAAACGTAAAAAGTTTTTTTCATCGCTTGAGTGAATCCTCTGCTTGTTTTCTCTTCTCGAAGTGTATTTTCTTACTCATCACTTTAATATAGTTTGACTATAGTATTTTTCAGTCAAAAATAAATACATTTTCCAAAATTGCAGCTTGATCTAGTCTCTTCGAACCCTTTTCAGTTTATCATAACCATGTTTTGGAAACACTCTGAACGCGCTATAATTTATAGAAAGATTTTGAAGATTAATTGAAGTTGAAAGGTGGAAAGGACTTAGAATAAAATTTATATTTTATTGAAACTTAAATATCAATTGACCGCGCAGCGCGGCGCCGGCGGTCAATTATCACTGGAGCATATGTGAGCGAAATTCGAATTTTCTCACCGGCATAGTTCTCGTGATTCGACAAGTTTCCGCTTTTATTCTGCTTCTCGCTTTTTGTATCTTCTCTCCAAAACATCCAGCCAAGTATGACTAATGACAATGATAAAGTGGCTGCGGTTGTGATTAGTGTGTACCTATAAATTTAAAAGTTTAAAAGTATAACTTTTCTAGGGAAAATTCGGAAGAGAATGAAATTCTTTCAATAAAAAGAAAAAGCATTTGTTTAAGTTTTAGGAATAAAGAATCAAAAACATGGCGAAATAGTATTTATGCACCGCGACTTCTAAATTTCGTTTACGAAGTACTTTGGAAAATATCTCAAAAAGTCTTTTATAAGTAGATATTTCTGATCGTATATGTATATATTTTTTTTTTCGTTCACGATTTTGCTCAAAATATACCTTAACATCATTATGCACAGATAGCACTACCCTTTATTTGAAACTGAAATGTCAGCACTTTGGCTTTTTGCGTCGGCGTGACTATTTTTGTTGCACATACGTGTTTTGAAATTTTTTATGTTGTGTTCATATATTCTACTATTACCGGAACTATTTTCCATAGCTCTTTGGAATTTGCGTGTCTTCAAGAGATTTGATCAATAAACCGTATACATCTTTTTTTGTGATTTTTGCTGTCATTGGTTCAAAACTATATAAAAGTTTCTTCGGGACTGTTCGTCAAACTCCCACATCACTCTTGAATATTTAATAGGGAACAAAGTTTTCTTGTGGTGACAATATACCGTTCCTCTCGTATTTCTCTCAAAAAGAACCACGAAAAAAATGATAGGTTTAAAAATAGACAAAGAGGAAATAAAGAGAGTGGATTTTTTGTGTAAGCTCGATTAGGCGCAGACTTGTTCTTCGCCATTTGTGTTATTAATTGAATTTAACACGCTGTCTCTGTAAATCTCAAAAATTTCTAAAAGCAACGGGTACAATAAAAAAAATATTTTTTGATTTGGATGAAACTTCATCCAGTGTGATAACCCATCATCAGAAATGCGGACGCAAACTTTTGAGCCATTCCCTCTTACTGTAGCCGGGTTACGGTAGGCAGGTTGGCACCTGCGTATCTCAGTATTGAAGAGTTTTTACTAGGCAAGTAATATAACAATCGATAGGTAATCCAATTTCAAGAACTTTTACAGTACATACCATCTTGGGTTACGGTCGAAAAATTTTGAGTTACGGTACTTTTTGTGTCTGCCCAGTCAGTTTTTCGACCACCATGAGCTTGAGCCAGGAGATCCATTCTTCCTAACTTCTCAAAAGATACCTTATGAGAAGCTGTACAAGCTGGTACTAGTTTGAAAAAATCCTAGGTGGACCATCATTTCGAAAAATCGCCCCGAAGGCGCGCAATCGTGGTCTTGCGGCGGCCAAGTGGGTGAAGTCCATGATGCCTGACGACTCATTCTTCAGAGATCCATTCCAATCTTTGCTTCCATTTTACTCATAGATATCTATTATTGACTTTTATTTCAATTTGAGATGTTTTCGGGTTGACCATCATCTCGAAATTTCATTTTGAACCCAAATTTGGCCTGAAAAGGGTCGACACGGCTTCTTTCACGGGATCCCTGACCACGTATGTGACCGTTCTCAACTTTTTTCTTCCTTAAACATGAACAAGAGTGTCTGAACAACAGTTTTATAACAATCAGAAACCCTTTTGAGAGGACCATCATCTCGAAATTTCATTTTGAACCCAAATTTGGCCTGAAAAGGGCCGACACGGCTTTTTTCACGGAATCCCTGACCCCGTATGTGACCGTTCTCAACTTTTTTCTTTCTTAAACATGAACAAGAGTGTCTAAACAACAGTTTTATAACAATCAGAAACCCTTTTGAAAGGACCATCATCTCGAAATTTCATTTTGAACCCAAATTTGGCCTGAAAAGGGCCGACACGGCTTTTTTCACGGAATCCCTGACCCCGTATGTGACCGTTCTCAACTTTTTTCTTTCTTAAACATGAACAAGAGTGTCTGAACAACAAGTCTTCCTCTTCAAAATTTTCTCCTTCAACCGCTCTTCTCGATCGAAAGTTTTTCTTTTTGTCTGCGAATCTGGAAAAGTATCCTGCAATTTGTTTTGCCGAGATGTGGTCGTGAGGAGGAAAAAAAAAGAGATCCGTCGCTTTTTCTACTGTTCACTATCAGTTTTTCTACATCTCGTGGGTCCATGAGTCAAAAAAGTTGAGAACGGTCACATACGGGGTCAGGGATTCCGTGAAAAAAGCCGTGTCGGCCCTTTTCAGGCCAAATTTGGGTTCAAAATGAAATTTCGAGATGATGGTCCTTTCAAAAGGGTTTCTGATTGTTATAAAACTGTTGTTTAGACACTCTTGTTCATGTTTAAGAAAGAAAAAAGTTGAGAACGGTCACATACGGGGTCAGGGATTCCGTGAAAAAAGCCGTGTCGGCCCTTTTCAGGCCAAATTTGGGTTCAAAAATGAAATTTCGAGATGATGGTCCTTTCAAAAAGGGTTTCTGATTGTTATAAAACTGTTGTTTAGACACTCTTGTTTCATGTTTAAGAAAGAAAAAAAGTTGAGAACGGTCACATACGGGGTCAGGGATTCCGTGAAAAAGCCGTGTCGGCCCTTTTCAGGCCAAATTTGGGTTCAAAATGAAATTTCGAGATGATGGTCCTCTCAAAAAGGGTTTCTGATTGTTATAAAAACTGTTGTTCAGACACTCTTGTTCATGTTTAAGGAAGAAAAAAAGTTGAGAACGGTCACATACGTGGTCAGGGATCCCGTGAAAGAAGCCGTGTCGACCCTTTTCAGGCCAAATTTGGGTTCAAAAATGAAATTTCGAGATGATGGTCAACCCTGAAAACATCTCAAATTGAAATAAAAAGTCAATAATAGATATCTATGAGTAAAAATGGAAACAAAGATTGGAATGGATCTCTGAAGAATGAGCCGTCAGGCATCATGGACTTCACCCACTTGGCCGCCGCAAGACCACGATTGCGCGCCTTCGGGGCGATTTTTCGAAATGATGGTCCACCTAGGATTTTTTCAAACTAGTACCAGCTTGTACAGCTTCTCATAAGGTATCTTTTGAGAAGTTAGGAAGAATGGATCTCCTGGCTCAAGCTCATGGTGGTCGAAAAACTGACTGGGCAGACACAAAAAGTACCGTAACTCAAAATTTTTCGACCGTAACCCAAGATGGTATGTACTGTAAAAGTTCTTGAAATTGGATTACCTATCGATTGATATATCACTTGCCTAGTAAAAACTCTTCAATACTGAGATACGCAGGTGCCAACCTGCCTACCGTAACCCGGC